CCTCTAGGGAAACGCACCATCAGGCGACTTTGTTCCTTTCTTCTTCTTTTCGCTTCCGTTTTCTTTTTTTCTTTGCCTGCCAGCGCCCAACACAAGCAGCCAGGAACCGTACCGTTACCTACGGTGGTCGAGGCGAGTGCAACTTGGGCTCAATTTTTGGCCTTCTCGGGGTACCCTGGCTTTCCGCCATCGCATTTTGCTCCCAGTCTCGACAGTCGCGACAATTGTCTCGAGCGACATTTCGCACACGTCTGCGCCCGCGCGGTTCGACGCTGATCCAGCTCAGCTTCGCTCGCAAGAAAAACACACCTCAACGAACCACTCCTCGCCCTCATCCGCATATAAACCCCGTCTCCCGGCAGGCACCGCCAGCATGAGCGCCGCAATTGCCATGGCCCCTTCGCCGGCTCCTCACGAAAGGAGCTCTTTCGCTACGGAACGCCCTGCTCCTCCGACAACCTCGACGTCGCCGCCTGCACAGCGAAACGTGATGCCCTCACAAGCAAGGAGCCAACTCCCAGGCGCCACAAACGCCGCACAGCCCTCCAACGGCAGCCCCAAGTCAGATCATACCACTGCAAGCAGCAGGCCTTCGCCCAACGCGTAAGTTTTGCTTGCCGCCACCCTGCGCATCATCACGGGGGGTGTCCTTCTGCTTCGCTACAGTGCAACCAGAGTTCATCTTTGCTGACAAATGTTTGATTGCCATGACAGGTCTCGAAAGGATGGCGCTGTCGCCCCCAAGATTGTCGTTAAGAAAGAGCCAGTCTCGCCTGGCCTGCCCGCATCAAGGCCCCGACCCAGACGGTTGGACCTGTCCAAGAATACTCTCGCTTCCGGATCCAATCCCCCTTCAGGCCATCCCATGACGGCGCGTGACGGGCTCGGAATCCAAGAAGTGGGCATTGCGTGCCTTTCCCCAGGCTTCATGACGCAGGATCCCGTGATGAAGGAGCAGCTTCAGCGGAGCATGACGGTCCGAGAACAACAGCGAAGTCTCATCGAGGCGAGACTGCAGCTGCAGCAGTCCGCCAAGGGAGACGGCCCATCCGACAAGGACAAGGACTCCCCGTTCGCGGCCAAGACACCGGGCATGTCTCGCAGGAATAAGGCGCCTCCCGGGCTCTCCATTGTTGCGCCCTCACATCAGCAGTTCGCAAACGAGCGAGTCATACAATCCGCACCCCTTGGCCGCAGCTTCACCGGCCAGCAGATGCCGCCCTCAAGACACGTGCAGCACCAGGCTTCCAACCTCTCAAGCACATCCCACATCCACCACGTCCACGCCAACCAGACCACGAACCGACTTCCGCCCATTAGTGATGTCTTTGGCCAGAACCTCTCCGCCCACCCCGACAATGGACCGCACACCTCTGCCCTCTACCCTAGCCACGCGGCTTCAAGGCCCCAGCTGTCCCCCGGCCTGCCGCCCGCTCATCATCAGCAGCAGCCCATGTCTGGTCGTTTGCGAGAGTACAAGTCCGCAGAAGAGGCCCAGCAAGAGCTGGCCGGCGGACGACCAGAACTGCTGCCCAGACTCGTCCACTACGGGGGCCCTCAGCCTCCCACGCCTCCCTCGCCCGTTGCTGGCGCCAATCGCCATCACGAAGCCGCTCGGAGCACCAGCAGAAGGCGGACGCGCGCCGAGTACGAGGAAGGCAGCAGCCCGCCGCTGGGCCATGGCCCGGCTCCTACCCGCCGTGGCCCATTTGGCGCCGGCCGTGACAGCCCCGAGACACAACGAGCCAAGAAGGAGGAGTTTCTGCAGCTGTGTGCCAGAGCCTGGGATTTGTTCCACTCATAGGGGAGCAGCATCAGTCAGATGTGCAGCACGCACCCATCAAAGGGCCTTGGCCACCTAAACTCGGCCATGTTAATGTTGATGGCGATCAAATGTGTGTATGACAGGGCGAAGTGGGACTGGGCTTTGGGTTATGACATGGTGAAACGATATCTCGTCTCTCCGAGCAGCTCGTGGATGATTTCCTCTGTGACTTCTCCCTCGCTCTCTGGATGGTTTCTCTCTTTTTCCTCATTTTCCTCCATCCTTTTTGTGTTTCTTTATATGTCCATCCGTGCTTCCTGTTGGGAGGGCCACATCCTCTCCCTGGTCCTACATTCTTTACGCAAAGGACCGGGGCTGGCAACAAGGAGGCTTCACATTACATTGTCCCATTCAATTTTATCCTTGATCTATGGCAAGCTTCCCGGAAAGCTGGCCACATACACAGAGAGGGATCTGTAAGGGGTAGCCACTCCCGCTTCGTGGGTTATCTTTCTTTCTATGATATATATATCTACAGTATTGGCTTTTAAGGGGGGAGGGAGAAAAAGGAGGTATCTGATTATCTGCGCTTTCTTGAGTGATGCGGCTCAAAGGTACTGAGGGGGGGGTATGGAAGGGCGGGGTGAAGACGGCTTAATTTCGAAAGGGAATTCATATGGCGTTGGATGCGTTGTAATTTTGGGAGGAGGAGGGGAGCTTTCACTGGCTTTTTTCACATTTGGGGGAGATGTGGCTGAATCGATATGCGAGACGATTGCCGTCTCTCCTTTATAATCGTCACTGTGTTTTCGTATGGTGTTTTTGGTCAGTCTTGGTGTTTTTGCAGGCGCAATGTGTTGAGCATGCTAGTTATAACATAAGTACCTAAGCATAGCAGAAAGGCCTTTGGGGTCGAATGGAGTCAAGATCGAAACCGTCACTTGTTTGTAACCGTCTGATTCGATTCCCGGCCTCAGAGCTTTCTCTGAATCTCATCCAGATACCCAAGCCAAGGCCGGTGGTTTCATACATTGCTGACCGGCACATCTCTTGAGTGCCTCGTGACCGTTGTGTAATGAATCCAACAGCCTGTTTTAGTTGAGAAGCCGGCGATCTTGCACCAACCTACCTACCTTTTCTACCATACTTACAGTAGGTAGTCGCCAGGCTTAATCTTGTTTCAATCTATCCCGTATCCTATCGTCGTTTCAGAGTCGAGAATGGGGGGGGGGGGGGGGGGGGGGGGAGAGAGAGGGGGCATGTTGCCCACTCGATGCTTATACTACTGGTTATTTGAGCCTCGATACTACCTTGCCTTGACAAGTAGGTAGGTATCAGGTGAAACGCCATTCTCATCTAGCTAGAGTCTTCCCTTCTTTAACTATGTAGTATTATCTTTAATTTCAGCGGAAATGTGAACAAGTTGCTCTATTACTCGAGGCCTGTAAAACGTCTTCCATTTGCGCCCTCGAATACGAAGATGGGGGGAAAGATCTAAGAATGACCCGAGGCACGTCAACTTGGGCACCCATCTTCTACTACTCTCCCATCTTGATGCGTTACAAAAAATAGATCAAGCGGTTACTAGAAATCAAGACATTCTCGTTTTCATCTTGAGATATCTACAGGCACAGCATACAGTGTGACGCACTACAAAGAGGGGAAAGGAGGGACGGACTCTGGGATGTTGTCTACGGAGTCCTATATCCATCCAGCATCTTCACGACAAGTCTTCTCAGGGTTTGGGTGATGAGCGAAATCTCTCATCCATAGGACATCTCGTGAATAAACTTGCTCGGAATAACGCCTAATAACGCCTAATAACGCCTAATAACGCCTACGCTTCTATTTGCTTCCAGTGCAAACCGGGATGAGCCAAAAATGCAAGACGCCGCAAATCCCATGATACATGAAACAACCCTCGCTTCACGCAGAAATGCCGCTACATGATGACCCAACAATCAATCAGTCGGTGAGAGAAATATCAAAATGGGGGCCGTGAGGAACAGAACCGAATCTGTCCAGCTGCTGCCAGTGCGGCCAAGCTACTACAGCCACGCACGTCACTCTGCTTCATGTCACGCTGCCTCTCTCATGGACCCCAACAGACCTTTTCTGCGTTACGCCAACGATAAAGGCCCCAACAGCAGAGCACCAAGCAAAGGAATGCAGACACGCAAGCAACAAGATCATGAGAAGCCCCCCAACCCGTCAAAGACGCAATGGGGTTTGATTCAGCAAGTCCGCCTAGCCGCGCCATACGGACAAAACAGCAACGCAAGCCAACATCGCTTAGGTAATTGTAACAAGCTCACAAAAGCCATCCTTCATGCAAAAACAAATGCATACTCCGTCTTTGTCTGTCCCTTTCGCCAGGTGTCCAGAAAAGAATCAAGAGGAAACAGAAATATCATCCAGTTCGCAGACGGCCATGGCCCACCGACCAGTGAGACAGCCTATCCCGATGCCCAATACCCGACGCCAGTATCCAATCCCAGCCCAACCCCAAAGTTTCTTGTTGCCCCCCCTGTCCTCGCTTTCAGCTTGCTTGTATGTATCTCGTACGCCAAACCTCCGCCACTCTTTTGCTGTAGTTCAGGGGAGAGAAGAGAAGAAGAGAAGAAGAGAAGAAAAGGAGCAAGAGGTGGTTTGTATCAGGCCCAGGCAAGAACTTGGAGAAGTCATCGAGAGCCCCTGTTCTCAGGATCCAACACGTCTTCTGATAAGTGCGAAAGGTAGTCCTTGCAGAGTTCTTCTTTTCGCTGCTGCACAGAACGCCTCTTGCCAACTCGAACTTATTTGAGTGTATATGAGAAGGCTGGACCACATGTAAATGTAAGGGAGCTTCGTGATCCAACGGCTGCCAAATCATTAACAAGCACGAGCCGGGTGTGCAGGGCGAGTTTCCAGGCTGTCGTCCCGCGCCGCACGCTCCCACCTGTATGCAAGAAATAAAAAGAAATAAAAGACAAAAGTATCCCAGCTGCCAGTTCCAAGGGGTATTTTACATTCGCCACATGATATCATTAAAAATTGTTTTTTTGCTTCTTTCCGTTGGTTCATGTTTCGTCGTCCATGTGTCTTAGCTCTGCCTGTAAGTGTGTTGAAGGGCAGGGAGATTAGGCGATAAGCTGATAGATGTCCAAGGCGGTCGGAGGGAGGGTGAATCCCCGTGCATCGAATGCCATCGCTGCAGGCAGAGCGTTCTGTCGTGTACACTGATCGTGTTTCTTTTTCAAAGGCCTTCTTCGCCGGCCTTGCAGAGCTTAATCTCGCGAACCCACTCAGACTTGAGGACCTGAGCAGCCGTGAGGCGGCGCGTGGGATGAGGGTCCAGCACGGAGTAGATGACGTTGCGACAACGGGCCTGTAGAAAGAAATCAGCGCACATTCAATCAAGAACTGTCGGGCAGACAGGGTCAGCATACCCTATGTAATGACTCAATTGGGCCGTAGCCCTCCTCGTCGCGACGGCCCTCCAGATAGCGAGAGTAAAACTCGTCGTCCTCCTTTTTGGCAAGGCGCCACAAATGCCGTCCGGTCCGCATCGCCATGTAGATAACACCGCAAGCCCAGACATCCACGGCTCGGGCGTCAAACTCCTTGTCGGTATACTCTTCGGGCGCAATGTAGGGGGCCGAGCCGCAAAGGCCAGAGACCATGTGGGCATCCGTCTCCCAGGCCATGCGGAAGCACTCGCCGTTGCCAAAGTCGGTGATTTTCAGGGCGCCGCGAGTGGTGAGCAGCAGGTTCTCGGGCTTGAGGTCGCGGTGGGCAACGCCCATCTCGTGGAGGTACTCGACGCCCCTCATCATCTGCTTGAAGAAGCAGTCGGCCTCTTGAACCTCCAGCTTGCCGCTCGACAGGATGAGAGTGTACAAATCGCCGCCAGCACAAAACTCCATGACCTCGCAAAAGTCGCCCTTGGCGTCCTTGAGCAGATCAAGGGTGTGGATGACGTTGGGGTGGCGCAGGGAGGAGGAGATGCAGAACTCGGCCGTGAGGCGCTTGCTGTACTTCTTCTCCGACTCGTCGGGCCGTCGGCGGAATTCCTTGACGGCGAAGAGCTTCTCGCCGCTGGTGCCCATCTTCTTGTGCGATATCCTGACGATGCCAAAGGCGCCACGGCCGACGATTTCCTGGCATTTGCCATACTTTTCCACCAGCGTCGAATTCTGGGGTCCCTTCTTGTCGATTGCGTCCTCCTTCTCCTGGCGCAGCGAATCGACCCAGTTGGAGACGAGCGAGAGATCGCTGTCAGGCGGGGGCTCTTGTTTCTTTCCGATGATGCTTCGCCACATGTCGGACAGCTTCTCCTGCCTTCGGCTGGATCTCAAGTGGTGCTCATGGCCGCCCGGGACGTCGGGGAGGAGAACGAAGCGACTTGACGGCTCCTTAGGCTTGGCGGGTTCTTTAGGTTTGGCAGGGGTCTTTTCGGCGGGCTTTTCTATTGATTCTTTTCGCGGAGCGGGAGAGGAAGCGCCGCTGATGGAGGGGCCGCGGGAGCGAGGGGTTGCGTCGCCATTGAGGGCGGTTTTTGAGACGTCCTTGCTGGAGAACATGCGGGAAATACGATCCTTGACCGAAGCCTTCTCGGCGGGGAGGTGCTTCAGCTGTGTCTCGCTCGGAGAGGGAGAAAGCCTCTCCGAGCCTGTCTGTGAGGCCAAAGTAGGCGACCTCTTCCCACCCTCGTGCGACGACTTGATGGACGACGGTTTTGAGCTCTGAGCGGAGCTCGGTTTTGACTCGTTCGGAGCGGACGGCATCCTGGAAAGCGTATGAAGCGCCTGGTCGTTCTATGAGTGAGCTTCGTTGACGCGTGCGGGTTCTCTCGGTCGGAGTGCCGGCTTGTCGAGAGTTCAGTTATTGGGCGAGCGAAAAAAGCGACCAGACGTTGCTCAATCCGGTGGCGAAACAACGGGGATGCAGCGCGGGAGCTCGGTGGTGTATGGAGGGAGCCAGAAGAAATTGCGTCGGCGGCGGAAGCTGATTCCGGAGCAAGTAGAAAAGCGAGGATGACGATCTTGTGCAACAAGAGCTAATGCGCGGCAAAAAAAACAGAGGGAAAATGTACGTCGAAGAGTGGAAGCCGACGTGGAGCGATCAAAGGCTCGGCAGCGCAACAGGCGGGGAGTTGCTCTGTGGGCGTTGCAGGGTACGCAGAAGTTGCCGTGACGCAGGACGTTGGCAGTTGTTGCGGATTGCTGTGGCCAGGCGGCGGGCGCTTCAAAGATCGAAGAGGGGTGTTTGCAGCGTCAGATCGAGACGGGGCAAACGCACAGGCGACAAATGCAATTGCGTGGAATTGCAGTTGCTGCTGAGAGCGAAGAACAAACGCCTAGAGGCGCAGACGGGCGGCAGAGGCCCAGCAGGGATGACGGTGTCGATGAACCAGCAAGCCTGGGCGATTTTTCTCCTCGTAGCTGCAGACGGCTGCCTTTATATGGGAGTTTCGAAGTTTTGCTGTGCTGCGGGACGTGGCCGGGGCTGCTGGAAATAGCCAGGCGCGGTGGCTGTACTCTTCTGCGTCAATGGCAGTGAAAAAGACACTGGCGTAGACGTAGGGCAAAAAAAAAAATGAGAAAAAAATATTAATAAGAATAAATGGCGCCCAGATGACAGGACCGGGCTGCGTGTTTGGTAGGAAAAATTGCTGTGTGGTGGCGGCAATGGCGTTGGTGTGTATAAGTGTCTTATGGTTCAAGGCCCGTCAACTAAGAGGGCAGAGGGGTGGAGCGAGACGCCTTGGACGCCTTAACCTTAGACACGACACTAAGGTTCACACGCCCGGGCGGGAGAAAAAAAAATTGAATAGGTTGGCGGAAGAGAGACTCTCTGGCAGCTGGACGCGACACGAGGACAGACGGCCAAGAGCAGAGAGACGCAGAGACGCAGGAACGCAGCAAACGATAGGTGGAGGACGAGCTGCGAGAGGCGTGAGAGGGGCAATTGAGAGGAGCGGGAGGAGATGGCGAGGAGGTGAGGAGACGGGCAGAAGGGAACAAGAAAAGAGATGGAGAAGCCAGGAAATGGAAACCGACAAGATGGCAAAAAAACAGCCCGAGTTGGCACAAAGAATAGAGACAAAAGGGGGCCAAAGGGGAGAGTCGAGAGAGCAGGCGAGAGGGAATAAATGGCAAGGGAAAAAGCAGGATAATGAGTGCAGTCAGTAATTAGTGACGGCGGATTGGGACGAATGTCCCTTCCTTACTACTTTAGTAGGTCAAACTCGTAGGGTCGAGGTGGGGACCTTCCCAGTTGAATGAGTGTTCACCTCACATCACCTGTGTGTCTGTCGCTGTTGCCGTCTGAGGCGCGCAGCCCAGGTCAGGTAAGGTACAGTACTCGGGGTACTATACCTACCGCATGTACTAAGGTATACTTGTCGGAGTACAGGTACGGGCCACAGGTACAGATACACTCTGCAGGTAGCTGGCCGGGCAATCTGTACGGCGCAGCAGCTAGGGAGAGTACCGGTACGAGGCGTCGTTACTCTCAGGTATATTACAGGCTTCGAATGGAGGGAGCTGCAGCACAATGGGACGCGGAGTATTACGGGACGGCAGGGAGCGCCTTGGGGCGGTTGGCTGGCCGGGCGCGACCACTGGGGGGGGGCGTCCTGCACGCGCGCCTGTAGCGGTACCCATAGGGGAGTTCCGGGAACCAGTAGTGGAAATGACAGTACCTGCTCGGCGTCCACGCCCGCGTACTGTACCTGGGCTGCCCTGCCCTGCCCTGCTTGTCGTCCGAGGCGCTGCAAGCGGTGCTGAGGCATCCAAGGCAAGGTACCTAGGTAGGTAGGTACCTGGCGGAGTTGATTGCACATGCCGGGCAATTGAAGGGGACCTGTGCTTGTCGGGTAAGGTAAGGTACTGTACATGTACCTACAGACGCACAAGCACAAGCGCTGGTGTTCTGAGGCACGGAAGCGACTTGACCATGGCTGGAGAGGGTTTAAGGCGGGCAGTTCACTCGCAGCTCCTTGTACTGTACCGCATTACCAGTAGTGCTCTGTCGCCTGTAGGGGCCGTGTGTGCAGTGCTGGAAACTGCCCGCGCTGCGGCAGCCGCGAAATGAGGCTCCCCAACAGTCGGGGCAAGTGTTCCTGCGAGCACATGCACTATTACGAGCGCGGACAATAAGGCACAGGCAATGCCGTAATAGCTGCTCCTCCAAAGAGCCTTTTGCAGGAGTCGATCGAGAAGATTCACGATTATTTTTTTTCTTTCCCTGCTAGTCCCGCTGCTAGCTGGTTCCGTTCTGCTCTGTACGGACAGCCGCAGTGGCACCTCGCATCACGAGCTCAGGCGCAAATAGTTCTTCTCCAGCTTCCATCGTCTTCTCTCTCAAGGGCTAGCAGGGCAACAAGGGCTAGGAGCTCCTTTGCCGGTACTATCCTTCCCGTATCCCGACGGCAAGCCAAGGTTCTCTGATTCAGAGAGAAAGAAAAATTCCTGCAGGAAAGGAAAAAAAAAGAAAGAAAAAAAATAGATAAAAATGCGGAGAAGAGGATGGACGGATTCCACAGGCCGGGCCAGGCTACCTGGAGCTTTCGTGCTAACCTTGGAACCGATCCGAGTCGATCGTGAAATGTTCCAGCCAAGCTCTGGGCATCCCGCGCACCTGCGCAGTGGAAGCAGAGTTGCATATGTAGGGCAAAGTGAGGCAGAGTAAGGCAACCCTGCGGCTACAGCGGAAAGGAGCTGAGTATATGTGTACTGTACGTGTATGTACGTACGGTATGCACGCGGTTGGCTAGACAAAACAGAAGGACAGCAAAGCCAATGAAGAAGTATTACGAGCCGGACCCCCAGGTGGACGTGATGCCCCGTCATCACAAGTTGCTCGTATGTATGTCAGGTCACGGACGAGAATGTCGCGCGCGCGTGCTTGACTAGAAGAAGCCCGGCTAAGCCCATGCATTCATCCAGCGTCAAATCGGATGGAAACAGAGCCAGAAATTTCTCCTCTTTCTTCCCCCCATCCGTCCTCCACAGCGGGGTCTATCTTTTGTCTGTTCAAGGTTTTTCGTTCGTCTTTTCTGTTCTGCCTTATTTGGTGCGTTTTCTGGCACTCCGCTGAGCTAGACGGGAAACAGACGTTGATTTGCAGGACCTTTTTGATGGACTGGGGAGAGAGAGAGAGAGAGAGGGCAGCGTGATATTACTTGTACTCGCACCAGTGGTCATGCACACGACGTCTGGTAAGAATCTCGAATTGCATACCTACATACCTTCGTATGTCTGCATCTATAAAGGTATCACTCTTTAGTCCAGGTGCTGCAAGGTAAGGTAGCTTGAAGTACCTTGTGTACCTTTCAAAAAGGGATGTACTTCAAATTGAGGCTGTGACTCGAGATGGCATCAATCACAGTCAACTGCCACTCTTGAGTCATATCTCCTGCTTCAACTGTTGCCAAGCTGGGTGCCAAGTTGCCAAGTCCTGTCAACTGCTACAGCGCCTCAACGGCAGCGCAATCACCAGCTTTACAGAGACGGCGTGGGCGTGTGAAACACTGAAACATATGCAAGGCGGGCTAAAACAAATCAATCGAATCGAAATCACCTCCGATCGAATAGTAGGCAATAAAATATGTCCAGAGCAGCCCAGGTAGAGAGAAGCCCTGGGGTCTTGCCTGTTTGGGAGGCTCTGGCGGCGCTGGATGGCTGGCGGCCGCCAACGACGGGGCAAGTACGTACCCGAGCCCGTAATTGCAGTACTTTCAAGTTGTATCCGTACGTGTTGCGTATGGCGAGGCTGATGGCTTAGAGCGAAGTTGTACTGCGTAGATGGCAAGTCCAGGCTTGGCTCGATCTCAATTTGCTTCGAAATGAATCGATACAATGATTTGACATACATGATTAGGTACCTAGTAAATAACAACAGATCCTTGATCTTGGGCTCGTACCGCTACATATGCTACCTTATTACTGGCAAGATTGGGGGAGGTAATACCTAGTAGGTACCTCACGACCTCACTTTTTCCCAGCTTCAAGTTCTGTCCCATGCAACGCCATGCCGTGTGCCCGCTCCACAGCCCAAAAGTCGCAGCCACTGAGCGATTTGCCGCATCAGTCAGCATCAGCAATCAGCATCAATTTTGCATGCAACGAATCTGTCATAGGTAAGCAGAAATGCAAAAGAGAAGGGTGGTGAGATGACTAGAAGCTTTGGTTGCATGAGAGCCGAGCACAGAAAAGAGTTCGTGCTGCCAGGTAGTAAGTAGGTACCAACATGAACCTACCTTAGGTACTTTTGAAGTTGCACTGCTGCTGGGCGCAAGAATTCCACTAGAGAGGAGCTGAGGAGAGAAAGAGAATATCAGTGGTCTATAGGTAAGCTTGACAAAGAGACCGGCCAGCGTCGGGCAATACTTGAAGCACTGCTAATGCCCCATTTGCTATTACCTGACAATGATCATAAAGAGACCGACTTGTCACTTTGAGGTCCGGGTCCCCATCAGATCGCAGTGCCACCCTCATCGTCGTCGGTGGCTTTTGTTTCGCCTGCGCCAAGAGGCTACCCTACAGGAACCGCGAGCCTACAGCTAATTGTGTTGATTGAACATCCGATGATGACGCGCTTGGCCGGTGGCAGTGTTGCTTTGCAATCCATAAAAGTTACTGCATACCTTGGCATACCTTTGTGTTTAGGGGCTTGTCATTCGATCGCAAAGAAACCAGATGCACTTCGTATCTATTGGTTTACGCATCACCCGCATTGAGCCACAGAGAGCAGACGCAAAATGATAATAGACAGAGGGCAAAAGGACTTGTGCTCATCAACATTCGCCCCCCCCTCCCACAGCATCTGGTCGCACAAGGCAGCACTGGGACGAGGCGCCAAGCGTCTTCGGAATGTTTGCAGCCCTGTTCGAGGCCATGTGTGATGATGGCAGGTTTATCGGGGTCTTTCTCCTACTAGTTATCTCCTAGTAGCTGTTGTGATACAGGGTTGAACAAGTCGAACGGCGTGTGTGAGTTTGAGACCAATACTGCCCACGTTACTGTTGCCGATGACAGAATACATACATACATTTAATGACCTCGGCGTCAAGAACCCTTGGCAATGCCACCAAACGACGTAGCATTCGGTGTTTGCAATCCGAATAGGTTGTGTCCACAAGCGTTGCGTTGTGCATACCGCCTCTATTGCGTATTATTACATGTCCTTCATGCAGACACATCTAACAGCCGGCGGAGTTGAGCAGCTGCGGCAGTAGTCACACTGAGAACTACAACCAACCCTACTTGGATAGACAGAAGGTAATGTACCTATCAAAGATCAACTGTTAGGCTGAGGGAATGCCACTTGCATCTGCTGCAAACTCACGTACCAGTACATGTAAGCAGCATCGCGAATCATGCCACAGCCCTACTAGTACCCAGGCGCTCATGGCTTGCTGACATGACCTACATGATCATGAGGATGCACTGTCCGCAAATACATAGTACATGCGTACCTGATAACGTTGAAGGTATGTATGCTCCGGCATCGGCACTTTTTTTTCCTTCCTCTTCTCACGATGGCTAGCATCAGGTTCGCATATGACCGCTCGACCTACATTCGTTGGGTGTCCCCCCACGTCCAAGCACGGACCGAAGAAACCAAGAGCGAGATCCATACATATACTACTATTACTACTAGTTAATCGATATTGACGTCTCTGGCACGAGAACAAGCTGGCATCGAGACATGACAAAAAGACAAGACCCAGTGATGACAAGAGACTTCAGGGTGAAAATGGGCCAAGAACGTCCAAGACGGCCCATCGACCCTCGCTCGACCAACCGCCGATCTGCCTCCATCTCCCTCCCCCCCTCTTTATATCCCTTCCCCCCCCCCGCCAAGGCGGCAGTCGGAAAGTAGCCAAGAAGACGGGACGTGGCAGTGTTTATTTTAGACTTAAAAAAACATTCATTTGAGAACCTTGCAACGTCTCAAACGAGAACTGGGAGAGCTCTGTAGCTTTAAGATTTCTCTTTCTGTACTGGAATGAGTGTGCTGTTAGGTACTCTCATGTTGTGTATGCCGTGTACATGTACATCACACCCATCTTTTCTGTGTCTGTTTAGAACAGGCAGTGTGATGCCCGCCCTGAGACTGGCAGATGGGCAACTCCCACAGCCTCGCTGGCCTCGTCATCACAGGACGTTACTTGTACATGTATGTTCTTGATGTCTTCTCCCACACTCCATCACTGAATTGCCGGTTCGAATCCAGCCATAGGTAGCCTCGGTTCTTGTACGCGTAAGTACTAACACACAAACACACACACACACATGCACATATCAATACTACATGCCGGTTCCAGTCCCAGGCCCGTGGGCCTTGAAATGCAATCCATCACGCTCCAACCATAATAAAATACCCACCCCCTCATGAGACGGGGTCAATACATACTACTAAGTACGTGTATGAGGGGAGAGCAGATGCTACCTAGTACTATTGGCAGGCCCCACGAACTCGTCTCTTGGTGCATGCTCGTATGACCTCAGCTGCAGCTGCACGAGCGTCAGAAAGAGGCGCGGGCAGATGGATTACCTACTTGTACAGTGGCCCATTCCGATGCTTGGGACTGGCTGGCTGGCTTGGCTGTCGGGCCTTTGAAGCTGGGCGACTCTTGGTGCTACTACCACGACCTATTATAGCTCGATGCATGTAGGTGAAGAGGAGAGCGGAGGAGAGGAGAGGAGAGGAGAGGAGAGCGGAGGGGAGGGGAGGGGCCCAGAATGATTCTGGGCATGTTCACGGAGTAGCACTGCATATAGTAAGTATCTTGGTAGGTTGGTAGGAAAGATGAGGTATGGAATGAGGCGGTGATGGAATCAATGGTAGGTATCTTAGGTACCTTGGGTTGGTGTCGACATGATCACGTCGTGATTATACCATGCGCGCCGTGTCAAGCCGGCAATCAGCAAGTGAGTTGGCATGCAATCCATCAATTTACCTCGGCGGAAGCACATACGCGCTTCATCTACTACTACTCTACTCTATGGTTGCATGCAGGTGGTGTTGCAGCCTCGAAATGGATTGCAATTAAGCAGCCATTGATTATCAAAAGCTTTGGTGATGGAGTGCACACATTATTGATTGCAACATAATCCATGCATGCCACGCTCAAAGAGGAGAGGTATGTATCAATCATTTACTACCTGTACCTATCCAGCATCTCAACCTACCCACATACTTTATATCGGCGCATCACCATCACATTGCCGTCTACATGTATGTTCGTCTTGTCCTGTGCCCATGAGAAATGACAGAAGAATTTTGAAACGTCCATACTTTTTCTTACCTACCTTACAGCATGGACAAGGGCGCCATTGCTCCGCATCTGTGCAGTGTTCGTACATGGATTGCCGCCTCCATCCATCCATCCATCCCTGCCATGGGATTTTCCCTCAGGCGGCCTCCAATGCAAGCCACCACCTGTCTCTGTCTCTGGCAGCCAAGAGTCCATCGCCTATGCTACCCCCTCTTTCTCCTTTCTCTCCGCTGCTTGATCAAGTCATCATCTCGCATCAGTTGTCATTATTAGTCTACCGTAAATGATGTATACGCATGCACTCGGCTTGATCTTGTTTTCCCGACTTTTACCGTGACTGGAAGACTCCGAGTTTGTGCCAGATGCCGAAGAAGGGGGAGGGAAAGGGATGTGCCAAGAAGACAAGACGCCTTTTGAAGCCAAGGCCCAAACTTGGCTTCTCGACTTTCTTTTGTCTGTTTCATTGCAATTTGGATATGGGATGCTATGGATTTATTAGTACATACCTAGTATCATCCATGTTTACTTTATAGACACCTCTACGGTGGACAAATATAAGGGATCGTGGAATGAGAACTCTAGGTAGGTACCTAGGTGAACTTTGGGTATAGTATACTCCGCATGTGTTATATATCGACAGCAGTTGAAGCATCAGAAGACCGTTTGACAGCCCAACGATCCACTCCACACACCCAAGCATCATCCGTCAACAAGGTCGCGGGTATGATCTCATAGTGCCAGATTCAACACGCGCTTATGCCCACAGCCAACCCCCCCCCTGTCATGCTGGTCTGGTCTGGTCTGGTCTGGAGAAGGGAAGAAGACATTGAACTGCAAAGTGCAAATCACAGAGGCTATTCTGATTCAAGCTACAGTATAATCACACGAAATTCCTCCATCCCAATTTGTCATCAACTCGACACCGCAAGTCAACCGCAGGAAATCCTGCTGGCCTGGCTGAGGTGTTTTAGCTTCCATGTCCCTCTGTGATACCCCCTGTGAACACCTTAGGTACATACTTACAGCGCCTCACATGCATGCAGCTTGATTTCTATACATGTACCCACGATGCCTCTTTCAGTTCCTGCTCATTCTCGTCACTTCCATACCGCCCACTCGGCCAAGGTGTAATAGTAGGGGTTCTGTTCCAAGGGGACATGTTGCGAGTAATACTGAGGCCCCTTGCTCTGAATCATTACCCGCCACCTGTTTGCCCCTTACTGTATACTACCTACCTACCTACTTGCGTCTTAACATGTCGTGTGTGTAATGTGAGACCTGGCTGACTGACTTGCACCAATGCCGTGGGAACATGCGGATCTAACAAGCGGTCGAGTTGGAAAGTCGATATGCCAACCATTTGTCGATCTGCGTTGTTTTTTTTTTTCTTCCTCTTCCCTCTTTCTACCTTGTGATACAGTGAACAATAAGATGGACATCAAGATCAAGTCCCTCTATGCTCTTCGCCCCCCTCTCTCCCACTCTGATCCCGCTCTCCACCAAACGCTTCGCAACGCACATCCCCCTCCCTCTCTCTCTTCTAAACAACCATTCCATCAATGCAACTTTTCCTCATGTTGCTTCGATCTGCACGAAACCTGCAAGATTCTTTACTCATCAGCCCAGACGGAAAGGAACCCGTGTTGCCCACCCTCTCACATCCAAGTTGGGCTTGATCAACACACACACACACACACACACACACACAGACCAGCATCCATCATCATTCCAGGGTTCTCTTCCTCCCTCTTGGTACATAAAAGCAGCTGTTGGGAATCACGGCAGTAAGGCGTTCTTACTGTAGCCCATGGCACCGCATGCTGCGGCTCGTACATACAAACCATAGAGATACCTTGCCTCGTGCATTCTGCAAGGCATTTACTAGTAGTTGATCCTTCGTATGTAGTACCCTCCAGACACGGCAGACACATCTTCCCCCCCCGGCATGTAGACTTGGACACCGACATGTCAGAAGTAGGTAGCCTTGCCTACAAAGCACAGAGCACTAGTAGTATGACAAGCCCGTCATCATCACCTCGCAAGCAAGCGCAACCTCACGAGCTCCAAGAGTATCTCCTCAAGACAGGTAGGTATGTAGTGCTACTACTACTCTGCCCTCCGCCCAAGTGACCCTCACACGATGAGATGCAAATTGCGCGTCCGTGTCTTATCCTCCTGAGTTCTAGACTGCTAGTATAAACTCCAGCCTGTGCGTTTTTGCGTTCGTGCAATCGCGGCCACACATGCCTACCTACCTAGACACCCGTGACCTCTCCCTCTCTCAACCTCAACAAAGACTCACTCAACATGCCCTCCTCCTCTCTAGTTTAGTAGAGAGCCCACATACCTGAGTATCGGCTGCAACCCGGTCTTCCTTCATCGATTCGTTCGCTCGTCTGCCACATGCAATGGCCCGAGCTTTCCTTCTTCCCTCTTGAGCTTACTTACTTTAACCCCCCCATGTCATGCCCGGACCAGGCACGGAACGCGGGTAGGGGATAATTTTTTTTTTCTGTGTCAGGGGTCTGGTTCGGCTGTCTGTCAGCGTGGGTGATAACGCGCCGCCTCGCCAGCCTCGCAGCCAACGAACGCACGGCAGGCTATGGCCATTGCCTGACCTGCTCCCTGGCATGTGCGGGTGTGCAAGGCTGCCTATCCGGACTGGCAAGGGTTGACTGACATACATACATACAAGTACCTACATACACGCAGCAAGTAGTGGTTCGTGCAGCACGGAGAAATGACTCCCAAGGTCTTGGTGCCAGCTGATTCAGTTGTCCTTGATTGGATCAAGCATTCATTCCATGCCTCTTCCGCTGCCGCGTGGCGGCTCCCTAATCTCCTCCTGCGTCCTTTCGTGCATGTACATCGTGCCGAATGACATGGGCCGCACTCCATTCGTCCCTTTGAGCTTCTCCCCTCACACCACCGTCCGTAATCATCACTGCCGTGGGTGGTACTGCAGTAATAACGGTCTTGCCGACCGTTCTAGAAACCACCACCGTCGTGTCTCTCCTACGTGAGGCAACTTCCTAATCTTGCTGCCGTCTTTGATGCGCCCGAAGCGGTGAGCGCAATTCTCACGGTTCGACGGCGGAGATTGCCTTCTCCACATAGTCGACGGAAGATGATGCCCTCAGCCTATATCACGAAGTAGCGTAGGAACATAGCAGCGTGGTAACCGATTGGAGACGGCTGCACACGGGGCCGTTTCCAGCCCTTTTGTTGGACACCCACTGAATTGCTGAGGGGGAAAAGAAAAAGTAGACTTGTACTTTGATAAGGAGTCCAATCCGAATGAAGGGGTCTTCATATTGCTTCGTATCTGATGTCTCAATTCGTGCCGAGATCATCTCTCTTCCGCGTCTTCACAATCAGACCGCGGGCGCGATTAGCTGAGTCAAACGATCGAGATGCGCCCCTTGGGGACGCCGACCGGATTAATTCTGGTCTCTTGTCTTGCTTCTATTCTCGGATCCATCCGAGACCTTGAGTTTAGACACAAGATCGGCCAATTTGTTGCCTGGATGGACAGGGAGAGGGTCTAGAAGCTGCTTGGAATTCTTCTCCGTCGTCTTTGGCGGAGAGGTTGAGACAGAAGCCTCGTCCACCAGGTTGCTCAGTTTCTTAAAATAGTCCTTTTCCTTGATGTGCCTCGTCAGATACATGATGGGGTTGTTTGATTGGTCCGGTTTCATTCGCTCCTTGATGGCCTCCTCATAGGCTCGATCATAGACGTTGAAATCGACCGCTGTCGGGGAGTCTGACACGACGTCTGGTGTCTTCTCATCAGTCGCAAAGGCATCTCTGGCCCCCGTGCCAATGCCCAGGAATGGCGGCTCTTGGTCGGTGATGTCGTGGGCTTGGCCTTTATGTTTTCCTTCCTCGGCCTCGGGCGCAAGGAGCGCCGTCTTCTGCTGCGTGATGCGCGCCGCGATGTCAGCAATCGATGTCTTTGTGTCCGTTGGCTTGGTCGCTTTCTTTTCTGCAGTCGACTGAGGTGTGCCACTCTTGCGCCTGCTCGCTGACAATGAGCTCCTAAACCGGTGGATGGCCTTCATCACACACAGCAGGTGATTCATCTTCCTCGTAAACGCCCGGCTGAGCTCCAGCTCATTTGGCGGCTCCACGGGGTTGGCGCAGTTTTCTTCTGTGGAAAGTAAAGGGTCGGTCCCCTCCTTGGTCACCCAGGGATGTTCCTGTAACATGGTCAGCAATTCAAGTGTGCCTTGGGTGGCTCGCGGCAAGGAGACTCACCCGAAGCTCGGCCATGGTGATTCGTGTTTCCGGGTTCTTGTCCAGCAGCCTGCCCATGAGATGGACAAAGGTTGGATTCTCGTCCTCAGGAAACTGCGGCTCCTCGGTCTTGATGGCCTCGTAAATCTCGAGCACGGCCTCTCTGTTGAAGGGAATCTTGCCGTACTTGAGACAGTAGAGGGTGACGCCCATGGACCATATGTCTGCCGCTGTGCCAGAGACCTTGTCGTGTTTGCTGCACAGCTCAGGAGGTAGGAAGGCGGGAGATCCAGCAGTCTTGGCAGTTGTCATGTTGGTGGGCTTTTCGAACATTTCCGAGACTCCAAAGTCGACGACTTTGAGGACATCGTCTTCGGATAGCAGGAGGTTGTCAGGTTTGATGTCCCGGTGAATGACGCCTTGAGCGTGCACTGCGGGCTGGTTAGCATCCGTGGCTGCAAATCCGACGTGGAGGTACCTTGAATGGAGTGATTTGACTTACGGTACTCGATGCCCAAGATCAGATCTCGGAACCAGAACCTGCACTCCTCTTCGGGATACGGATCTGCCTCTTCACACAAGCCGACCTTCATAATGACACCCTTCTTGCACATCTCCATGACCATGTACAGAGAGTCTTCATCGGGATCATCCAGCACTTCGATGAGCTGGGCCAGGTTGGGATGATTAAGCTTCTTCATGATGGCAATTTCCTCTCGGATGTAGAACAGGGCATCGCTCTTTTCGCGGTCTCTCAGGCCAACGAGATGAGGAGGCAAGTTGCCTCCCCTAGTAGGCATTCGTCGTGACGGTCCTGGGCCTTGACGCATGGCCATGGACTGTGCTCGCCTTCGTAGGCGGACCTTGGAGAACTCCTTGACAGCCTGCAAGAGGATTGTAAGTAAGCTTCCTGGGAGGGGAAGAGGCAACACTAACATATTCGTTTCCGAACTGATCTGTCGCCAGGTGGACGGAGCCGTAGGAGCCGCGGCCGATTTCCTCTTGAATCACATATTGATTTATTCTATGGTGAGTCCGGCCATCTGTTTCGTCATTAGAGAACTCGACACGCGCGTCCAATGTTTCCTGTTGATATCGTGTTGATTAGTCCAGCTTGTTCATGTTTGCGGATCACATGTAAGAGGAGCTGACTTTGATCTCGCGATGAGCACTCGGAGTGCGCTTATGCTGTCTGATGGGGCTTGCGAAGCCTTGGAGACGAGGTGGCTCAGTTCTAGCATGCGCCGAAGCATCAGCACTTGGTACAACCGTAGGGATACGGCAAGGCCATGGGCCGTCCTTGAATGGCAGCAGTAGGGTTGGCGCATTCGTTGACTTACACTGCAGACACCAGAGACGGTCGAACGTCTTCTGACGGGTCGTCACGGCCGTTGACGGTCAGCCTGGGCGACTGAAGCCCAGACGGTGGCCGCCCGTATGTGGGCGCCGACTTGATGCTGTTGCCAGGTGACTGCGGCGGCGTCTCCATGGTTGCAGGCTCACTTTTGCGAAAGTTGGCGACTGAGGTCCGATCAGGCGAGGCTGTTGCGAGGTACTTGAGTCGCGTGAGTTTCGATGCGATTCCCCGGCGTCTCTTCCTCGTAGCTGCAAGCTCCCTGTTGCGAGAAGAAGCTATAAGTGATGGAGGCAACCAGCAAAGATATGTGTAACCTCCCTTGCCCTGCTAGGTTAGTATCACAAGCGAGCGGCTTTGCGAGCCTTCCTAAGGGCTGAGAATAAGAAGGGTAAGTTGTTATGAGGTGAGGCTGAAAGACGCCTGGCGGCCAGTCATTGGAGGGGTAGAAAGTGGGAAGGTGGCAGAGCTGTTGTAGCTGCATTCCGCCTTTGGAGCGGGGGCGTCAAACTCGGGCGGTTCTATTGGTGATCCGACCTTTTCCACCCGTCAGTTGAGCCTATGTACAATCTTATCAGCGCTGGCTGCACCTTGTATTCTCGGCTGTCAGCCATATCTATTGCCTTTCCTACATGTAGCCTTGGAATACCGTCAACTTGAAGAATCCTGCTTTTTGCTTTAGAAGGTAGTTTCTCATATCACATCATGAAGGAGCACCAGCAGTGCCTCTATAGGTAGGTACCTTAGACAGACCGAGTCATATGTACCAGGAGCTACAGCGCTCGATCTAATGCAGTCCCGGCTATCGTTAGGCCCTCCAGCGGGCTCTTCCAGTGGACTCCAGGCATCGAAGCACCAGACCCGACCCCCACCATCTCCAGTACTAACAGCTGGCCCGAGCTGTACCTAAACTGTCAACTCCATCCCGCGATTAGATACTGTAACAACCTACCTCCAGCTCCTTCAAGCTGCTCCCGTCACCTCCAACCGCGCCCCAAGCCGCCGCCTCTCGACGAACCTCGGCCCCGTCCAGCAGCAACTCCCCAACCTCAATTGGCCCGTCGTCTGTCGCATCCAGCCTCGAAACCAACCTCTACCGAATCGCCAACAACCGTCCGTCCCTCACACACACAAGACAAAACACCCGCGCGCGCGTCACCATCCACCACTCTGCCCACCATGGTCGTCTACTCCTTCTACATCTTCGACCGCCACAGTCCGTCTCCCCCCTCTCTCCTCTTCTCTCTTCTCCCCTCCCACCTTTTGCAAACAATATGCACACACACGAAGCTGACCCTTCTCTTCATTCACCACACACGCAGCTGAATGCGTCTACGTCAAATCCTGGATGCCCCCCCAAGTCCCCGGCACCCCGGCCCCCGTCCTGTCCACCGGCTCCGACAACGCAAAGCTCATCTTCGGCACCGTCTTCTCCCTCCGCAACATGGTCCGCAAGCTCGGCGGCGACGACGACGCCTTCATCAGCTACCGCACGGGCCAGTACAAGCTGCACTTTTACGAGACGCCCGCCAACCTGCGCTTCGTCATGATTACGGATACCGGGTCGGCGAGCATGCGCAACGTGCTGCATCAGATTTATATCAACCTTTGGGTTGAGTATGGTATGCTCCTCCTCTGCGTCTCTCTTTATGCTCGACATCTCTATGCGTTGTCCAAAAAAAGCATCTTTGATCAAGGTGGCCGTTGCTGAGTCTCTATTCTCTGGTGCTAGTTGTCAAGAATCCACTTGCGCCGGTTGAGCACAAGGGCGGTGCGGGCGTCAACAATGAGCTTTTCGAGCTGGGACTGGATCAGTTCATACGGGGCCTGATGTGAGCGCTCAAGCATGCTACGGAAACTCCGAAACAGCAACGAAAAACCACTCGAAAAATCGAAAGACTCCAGCAGATATGGCGACGGGTGACCCCTGATGCCCCCCCCCCCCCCCCCAGAGATGGGGTGCTCTTCAGGGGAAGTCATCGAGACACTCCCCATTATCCCGTGAGTAGAATGCCATAGAAAGCGACTACTCCAAGTATCCAGAGGCTCCAAGGGAGGTGGAAGATCACCAAAGGACGAGATGGGTTGTGGGGATGTGTTCATTCGAAAGGGGTTGCTTGGGAATGAGAATCTGCGTGCCGTGACATGACAGATCTGTCTGATAGAGAGCCGTGGGATCTATGGCACAGCTGCAAGAGGGAGGCTCTTCATCTTTAGAAGCTTTGGAGCGCTGACCTCGAACACCGAGACAACGTGGTAATATCGTCATAAGCCGTCTGCTAAACTGCCACCCATCAACAAAAACATCGTATCAAAAGACCAAATAAAGTAGTAGAATCAGATACAAAGAGATGAAACAAGAATCGGATAGATCTCTACTTTCCGTCCCGCCGTTGCCTCCGAAATAATTAACAAACCTGTAGAATGCACCAAAACCTTTACCTCTTTACTACCTATACAAGTATGCGCATTGTTTGCTATCGTGCCTCCCCCCCCTTCCCCCCCCCCCCCCCCCCCCCCCCCCCCTATTTGCCTGCCTCAAGATTTCTTCTCCGTTGCCCTCTCCCATGCACCCTCGAGGTTGGCCGCCTGGCGGTCAACCATGACGACGCTGCTGTCGACCTGAGTCGACTGCGACTGGGTATCTTCCGACTTGAGGTACACGGCGCTCTCCATGAGCCCCTCGTCCTTCATCTCGTTTTCCCAGTTGCTCGAGTAGACAACTGCGGAAAAGGCCTCGAGATCGCGCACCGACTCCATCTCCTGCAGATACTCGTTCGGCACGCCGTTGCCAATGACGTGAGCTTGCCGCGTCAGGACGGAGAGAATCTTGGGCAGCAGGATGGCCCGGCTGCGCTTGAGGCTGGCTGTTGTTGCCACTGTGGTGGGGGACTCGTCGAGAGAAAACTCGAAAGCCTCGGTGGCCAGCTTCTTGTCCACGAGATGCGAGAACCCCCGGTCGAGGATCAGGGTCAAGACGTGTGAAAAGGCGGGCGACTCTATCAGATCTGCCGTCTCGTCCAGCAGCCGCCTCAGCGCGGCAGACGACACCTGAGAGCCTGCTTGAGGGGGCAAGCCTCCGTCGTCGAGGATGCCCGACTCGCGGATGACCTCGTCCTCCTTGTCCCTGGGCGGCAAGAGAAAGGTCAACCAATCCGAACGCTTGCGCTCATCGGCGCTGGACCCTTCAATCAGCTTCCTGACCTCTGCCGTCAGCTGGGAGACGCGGTCAAAGGTGACGAGGTCGCGAGGGCTGAGGCTGCCAAAGACGGTCCTGACAGAGCTCTCGACGCGGCGCATGACATCAATCCAGCCCCTATTCAGCAGCCACCAGCTGAATGTCAGGTACTTGCGGTTTGTGTCAAAGTCGCTGCCGTACGATTGGTCGGGGTTGTCGTCGTCGTTGTTCTCTAGGTTGATGGTGGCCTGTTGGCTGCCGGTGGCGAGGGCAACGACGCTGGAGAGGTAGCTGCGCCGACCCAGAAGATTCAGCTGGACCCGGGTCAGCATGGTGAGGAGGGCGAGCGTGTAAATGAGCGTGAATGATCTCGTAATGGCTAGATTCTCCCGTCATGATCAGCGATCCGCCCTGGCTCTTGGGACAAGCACGGACAAGGAGAGGCGCGTACCGCTAATAGTCAGGTCATCCCACAGCTGCCTCTTTGTCTTTCGCGGCCTGGGAGGAGCGAGCTCCTGCTGGGAGCCGTCTGAAGTGAAGGGCATGCCGAGCTCGACCGGCACGCTGACGGTGCTCTTGCTATCATCCTCGGTAAGGGTGGTATCGGCAATGCTGGGCGGGCTTGTGTTCTGGATGCCCTTGAGGCTGCGCGCGGAGCTCTTGATCTGCTGAATCTCGTAGGTGATTTGCTCGGTGTTGAGCGCGGTGACGATGTTGCTCGTGGCCGTGGGCAAGAGGGCGAGGACGGTAAAGGTGCAGTCCTCCTGGTTCTGCTCGAATCGACGTCGAAGACTGGCAGAAGATTGATGTTGGTTGGCGATTGCAGGAGAAGACAGAGAGACAAAGAGAGAGAGAGAGAGAGAGAGAGAGAGAGAGAGAGAGAGAGAGAGAGAGAGAGAATGGGAGAGACGGGATGAGGAGGCATGCTTACTTTTCCTTGGCAATGCGGTCGCTGCTCATGCGCTCGCGCGCGTCGTTGATCTTGGACATGACATACTGGGTGACGGCATAGCCAGCGCCCACGACGCCGAGGCCGATGGCAATGGGCGTCCGGTTGCGATGCACCCAGCGCCGGGCTGAGGAGAGCATGTTGGGCAGCGCTGCGCGGGTCGGGTCGAATCAGAGGCTCATGGATCAGCACTTTGAAGTCATTCACAGACAAAGTCGTGTCTTTGTAGAAGATACGCGTCGACTGTCCAGCAATGCGAGGTTCGTCGCACAGAGAGAGATAGAGAGAGAGTCGGCGCGGCACTTGAGATGATGGGGATTGTGGCTGATGGACAAGTCGCGATGGAGGTGAGATTGAACTTGAAGCTCTGCTGCGTGTGTGAGCCGCTCTGGTCCAATGCGCGCATGTTTGGCTCAAGCAGCAGCGTGCCTCGGTTCTGTCCAGCGCCTCTAATTGGCGTCCTCGGCTACCTGGGTCTGGTCCCTTGGTAGGGGCCAGCACGGGCAAAGCGGTACGCGCGAGGTACAGCTGCTTTCGCCGTTTGCGGCGCCAGATTGTCGCGCACTTGCGGCAAAGTCTGTGTACATCTGCGTACCTGCCCTATAATGCTTTGGTGCAGCGTCAGCCCCGTCGAGATCCCGGGGGTGCTCAGTCCACTGTATGCAGGCACTAAACGGGAGGTGGCTCTAGGGCGCTTACAGGCGGGCAAAGTCATGGAGGCGCTGGAGGAGCTGGAGCTGGAGGCTGTCAGCACTTCAGGTTGACGCTGATGAGGTTGCGCATCACTTTGCCTGGACGGTGATGTTGTCATTGGATGATTTTACTATTGATGAGTGAAGTAATGAAACTCAGACTGTAAGCTCAGATGACGAATGAGCTCAGCATACCTAGGCATCGCCCACATCTAGTAGATACCTTGGCTTCCTTTTCACAGCTACTACTAAGGTATGGATATCTCATACATGTACCTCGTCTTACAACTCCATTGAGTCCCTGACGAGAACCATCAGGTAAGGTACGAGTACCGGCTACACACCCCCTTATCGCTTATCGCAGGCAAACAGCTGCACTAACAGCCCTGGACCAACGCCTGTGACGTGACTGTGCGCATGTCCCGATCGATCCCACGCCAAGGTATTGAATCCCTCCCAGCTACTACAGAGGTATTACCAAACGGCGCATCAGCAGCCCCCCTTCAGCTCCCAGCTGTTCCCAGCATTAGGTATTCAAGTACATCAAATTCTATCCTGAGCCAGTCCGTCAGGTCCGTTCCTCCACGACTTACACGGGACGTACCAACCGACAGCAAAAGCAGCAGCTTCTATTACAGCTAGGTAGTAGGTACTTTTCCCCTTACGTAGTTGCCCCTCAATCCTCTCTTTGACCCCTCGCTTCGCATTTTATCCCAGCAATTCCACGCTGCCTGCATAGGTATTACATGTACCGACCGCACACATACTTAGGTACAATCCTAACTCTTTTCATCTCGCTGCATATTCCTTCCTCTCGACAAATTTTCGCCTCTTCCTTGCTTTTTGACTCCCTGCTGCGCCGCTTCGCAACAACAACGACGTCCGCTTCTACGCGCTTCCTTCTCCAGCCTCCCCGTCGACCTGGTACTAACCTGCTGCTAATAAAGGCGGACGTGACACCTGCCCAAGGGCGTCGTCCAGCCTCGACACCCGGGTCCGGGTCTGGTGACTCCTTGTTCCTGCTGACCGAGAACCAAGAAAAACCCTTGACAGAAAGGAAAAAAAAGGCATAACAGCAATGCGCCTCTTCGCCCAGCAGTCGAGATAACGCCCGGCCAATCCATTTCTTCTTCTTTTGCTCCTCTGGCGCTTCATCTCTCCCTCCTTCCCTCTCCCTTGGCGGTGACATACAAATTGCTCGGTGAGAAGAAGCGACAAGGGAAGAAAAAGGCAATTTTCCGCAACCAGTCGCAGCTCGCCCTTCTTCTGACGCTCTCTCATCCATTGCCAGCAACCAGTTGCCTTGTTTCCCTAGGGAAATAACACAAGAAAGAAAACAAAAAAAGAGAAGAAATGGATCAGCAGAAGCCCCCGGAATTCATACTCGACGTCTTTTCGGATCCTCGGTCCGTCCGCGAAGTCGTCAAAGGTACCTTTGAATATCTCTATCCCGCAAGTTCATGCGCCGGGAGAGCTCGTTGTATCATGAAGAAGGAAAAAAAGGTCTTGCTCTCTCCGCTAACAAAGAGCGATCGCGTCCAAAAAAAAAAACAGGCATCCTTCACACAATCTTCTTCAACCGCTTCTTCCCCTCCCTCGCCCCGCGAACGCACGAGGTTCTCGACGTCACCCTGCCCTACGTCAACGACAATGAGCTCGAGACGCTCATCGAGCAGCGCGCCTACGCCCTCGAGCGCCAGCTCGACGCCGAACGACTGTCCAGCTCCGGCGGCCACGCGGGAGGAATAGGAGGAGGAGGAGGAGGAGGAGGAATAGGCGCCGCGGCAAGGGGAGACAAGATGAGCGGTGGCGGCGCCGGCGCAGGGACGGCGGACGGCGGCAGCGGAGGCAGGGGCCAGATCACCGTCCAGTTCTTTGAGCGGAAACGACGCAAGGCGTGGCTGACGCGCGGCGAGGAGGAGGTCTGCTGGGAGACGTGGACGATCAAGGTGACTGTCGCCGAGCCGAGGACGGACAACGGTACGTCGTTGCACAGCATGATACCACTCCAAACCTTGACCCAAATGTGTGGTATTAACACACATATCTGTACTAACTCTCCCATGACAGAACGAGCCAAAGTCCGCAAAGCAATGGAGCAGACGCTCTTCACAACCGCCATGAAAATCGTCACCTTCGTCAACACCCACAAGGACCACATCCCACCCATCACCACGCAGGGCGGCAACCCCTTCCCCTACAAGATCAACCTCGAGTCCAAGGAGACGAGCTGGGTATCCCGCATACGCATGTACTAGAACTGCCTAGTGAGCATGGCGGACGATGCTCTCTTGGTGGCCGCTGCTGTTCCTGATTGACTCGAAATGCCCCCTCCCATTTGTCGCCTTGGGACTCTGTCCTCCACCTCGTACCGTTTCCAAACAGTCCATACACACAACTGAATAACCATCCGACGGATGGAAAAGGGGGCGAATATCCGATGATTTAAAAGGGGGGGGCTCTCGACTGATGATAGAATTATGAAAGTGCTATGGGAAACGGCCAGGGGTGATTTCTGCGGTATGCGCTTTTACTGCGGTTTATGTGCTTCCTAGGTGGGCAGTCACATATGCAGTCTATATGCGTTTTGCGTTTCGTTCAACGGGAAGGAAAGGGCGTTTTGGGCGTCAGTTGGACAGGAAGATGACTATGGATCCCTGCTATTCAATGCCATGCGATCCAAGGGTTCGATTTTTTGGCCTCCGAAAGGTTCACACGGCCAATGACTTGCGCACAACTATATGTGTATGCAATGCTCTCGGCTACAGACAAGGCATGGGCCAGAGTCTTTGACAAACCGTGGTGTTTCTATGAGGTCGAAGTCATATGCCAATGATCAACCCATGTCTACCCTATGTAGGTATTCACTACAAGTGAAATAAAAGATAGAGCGTAATTCACGGTATTGATGCAACAACATTGGTTATCAGATCAGAGGAATACAGTGTAGTTGGACTCAGACAGTCCTCCTCGCTATTGCGTGGCAAAGAAGAAGAAAAAAAGAAAGCCAATCAACAAGATAAAGCCAGTGGAATCCCAAGCCTGTCCGGCGGGGAAACAATCCCTGAAAAGACAAATTCCGATCCTAATCCGTCGAGAAAGGAGAGATGAGACCAACAAGAATTCAAACATGAGCCAGCCGATCCTCTCACAAGCCCTGTGATACCAATTCCCTCGGTACATACGCGCGCACGCACATGTTGTGTGATCCAGACTCCATGCATCCAACCAATATTCCGGTAAACAAGTCCAACACAAGACAAGCAAACAAGAGAGGGAAAAGAAAAAGAAAAGGAATAAAAGGAAACAAGACATCAAACAAGTGATGAGGGACAACCGACAACCCCCTCGCAAAAAGCCATTCCAAGTTCTGGCCCAGGCCCGGGCCATACCAGCTAAACCAAAGCAAAATCCGTTCCCTGGGACAGACCATTGTCGTATCCCAATGCCATAAGAAAAAAGGAGATAAAAAGAAATAAAGATGGTGGACTATGTACTTGGAATCGTCATGACCCTCACAGTCGTCGTATATCCATAGTCGCCGCGTTAATCGTGTGAATCAAAAGTCGTAATGAAGGTGTGGTCATCATTTTCCTCTTCCGCGCATGCGTCAGTTCTCATTGTGTCTCATCACCTAAAAGTTGGTTGTAAAGCTTCGACCCAGGGTGGGCTTTCCACTCTGCTTCAAGCCTTTGGACGGCTGAGAGCCAGATCCAATCTTTTCGAAACCCTGAAGGATATCAAGGCCGGTGAAGTCGGACGTATCACCCGAAGCAAAGTCGCCGGTGTCCAGGTGAAGGGACGGCCAGTCGGCATCTCCTGGAAGCTCTATCAGCGAGACGAACTTGCTTGGCGAGTTGCCCCTGATTGGCGACCCCTGGAGGATCTTGGAGGGAGAGCTGAGGCCTTCAAAGACTTTGCTCGGTGTCTCCAGAAACTGCGAAGGCGTGTCAGGGGCCTTGAGCAGAGGGGCCGATGTGAGAAGCCTCTTTGAAGCCGACATCTCCCCAATGGCTGACGACGAAATGGACCGATCCAAGCGAGCGCGCTTGGCCGAGCGCTTAATGGGCGAGCCCGCATCTGCAGCGCCAATGCTGTCAAAGACGTTTTCATCATCCACGGGCAGGTCTTGGAAAATGTCAAAGTCGGGGAGGTTGCTGCTGGCATTGGGCGTATCAAAGGTGAAGATGCTGTCATCCAGCCGGAAGGCGGGGCTCCACGGCAACATGTCCTCATTCGACAGGTTGGCGACACGCCGAAGAGGAGACTGCAGCATGTGGCGGACCTTGGCGCGATGGATGCGCAGGTTCGTGTTGGGAGACACCGAAGGTGGTGGCTGCGCAATGGGTTTGACCTTCTTGACAACGGGAGTGAGGGGGGGAGGCATCTGGTTGTCGAGGGACTGACGGAAAGGAGATGACGAAGTAAGCCCATAGCTGGAGAGCGAGCGACTCTTGGTTGGGCTAAAGGGAGAAGATCCTCTCAGCCGTGCAATTTCCTCCTCAGCCCGGCCGCGCTTGATGCGGTGTCGGTCCGCCTCGGATGTGAAGAGGGCCGACCTGGCTGCGTTCGGGCGCATGGCGGAAGACTCGAGAGACGAGATGTAGCCGCTGTCGTCCATGGAGGCAAACTTGCGCTTGTGAGTCCTGGTTGCGGACGAGGCGGGATTGCGGCTCACAGGGGGCGGTGTGCCGTTTCGTCGCTCTGGCCGGGGAACCGGCGGAGTGGAGTTGAGGGCGGGAGGAAGGGGCGAGAAGAAGGACGATTCCAATGGCAGTTCGTTGTCCGGTCCCTTGTCCGCCAGGTCCTCGGCGGGCGCGTTGTCGGACAGAAGAATGGTGGCGTCTGATGAGGGCTCCAGAGGCATGGACAAGGTCGCCTGAGAAGTCGGCAGCGGAGGGAGGCTGGTCGCATGCGGCTGATGCTGCTGGTGGTGGTGGTGCTGATGATGATGGATGGGAGCAGGAGGCGGCAGACACGGCTCGGGCATCAATGCTGGCGTAGGTCGAGAGGGCTCGAGGCGGGTGGACATGACGGGGAGGTTCTCGGCAGTCGGGACGGCTTTGCGCGTGGGCTTTTCCTTGAGGAACTGGAACTCGGTGCCGGGCTCGATGCCCCAGTAGTTGCCCTTGCCGGGATCGTCCTTTGGTCGCTCGATTTTGATAAAGTTCTTGTGCAGACTCAGGTTGTGTCGAATGCTATTTTGCCAGCCTGCGTCATTGGGGTTGTAGAAAGAATAGTTGTCGCTGATCCACTTGTAAATCTGGGCAAGGGTGAGGCGTCGTTTTGAAGATCGAAGAATGGCCATTCCAATAAGCTGTGCATAGCTGTGAGGCGGTTTGGTGCCATCGTCAGTAATGGGAGGGAACGAGTCGTGCGGCGGGAGCACCTGCTCCTCGGCCTTGGGCTTTTTGCTGCTGACTCGAGAGTCCTTGATCGGTGCCGCCTCCATCAGTCCTCGCTTTCCATTGGAATCCTGGTAATACTGCTCCATGGAGATGTTGATTGCCGGCGGTGCCGGGAAGATTTGAGGCTGAACGTTTTCCTTTCCAAAGAAGGCGTCGTGAGGGCTGGCGAGAGCTGGCTTCTGCAGGCCGGTCTTGAACTTGGATAGCTGCGGCTTCTTCTGCAGAGAGTCGGTGACTGGCGCCTTGTCTGAGGGAGGAGCCATTGAGATGCCGTTGAACTTGTTCAGGCCATGCGACGGCTTGAGCGGTGCTCTGGGTGCTGCGGTCTTGGGCTTGTATGGTGAGATCTTGTTGCTGTTCTGGGAGACTGCGGGCTCGAGGATGACATTCGAGCTTGAGTTGCTGAGAGGACGACGAATAGGCCTAGTCGGATTCGGCATGGGTGCGTGGCTTGTCATGGGGGCTTCGTTCTCGAAGAAGATGTCGTCGGTGAAGACTTCCAAGGGCCTGGAAGAGGCGTAGAAACTTGGCGGCTGGGCCATTTCGGCCGGTGGTACAGGCAAGTACCGGTGTGTGTGCGTGAGTGGAAGCGTGTGTGTGGTTGAGGCTCGTTGGAGCTCAGTGGAGCAGGCCGAGGATTGACAGACGTCAAGGCTCAGGTGCTGCTGTTCCTGGGCGCGCTACTGGTCAGCCAAGCGAGTAAGAGAATGAGACGCGACGCCGTCGGGGCGAGGGCAGCGGCAGCATCGCAAGGCTCACAAGGGCTGAAGGTGGTGAAAGAGAATCAAAGGCTGAGGAGGAGGGAAGAGAGTAGGTGAGAGAGGAGAGGGAAGCAGGCATGGGGGTCGTTTTTTGTGTGCTCACCTCGCTGAGGTCACCGTCACTCGCAGGCGCGGTGGGGCGGTAAATGGATGTCCTGGGGAGGCGCTGCCCTGGCCAGGATTTTTGCTGCGGTTTTGTCTTTGGCTCTTCGGCTGGGACGATGGGGGTTTAATAGGAGAGCCGATCGGACCCGCAGATGATGGATTCGTGGAAGGAAACAAGATGCTTCTGTCGAGCTTCTTTCAATTACTGCACAGTGAGATGGGCGGGAGGTGCGTGCAGGATCAAGGCGGCGATGGGTGAGGGATCGGAAGTGGGCGTTCGTTTGCTGGATGCGCGCGGCGAGGAAACGGGCTGGTGAGAAGGCGGCGAGAGGGCGAGAGGTGCGAAGGCTGGCGTGGAAGAAGTCTGGAGAGGCGGCGATTAGAGGTCGGGTGGGATGGAAGAGATGGGAAGTTGTGCGAGCGGAAGTGAGGGGAGGCGGGCGCTGTAATAGGGAATGCCAGTATGATCGGAAGGGAGGACGAACAGTGAGAACAGCGAACAGGTGGTGGCTCAGGCTCAGGCTCAGGCTCTGGCTCTGGCTCTGGCTCAGGCTCTGGCTCTTGATCCAGCGCACACAAGGGCAAACTTTCGATCCTTGGAACAGGCCCGAGTGGATCGCCGACCAGGGCCCCCCCTGGCAAGTAGCGAGAGACGCAGAAAGCCCAGCGCGTCAGGGATGCGAGGCCCAGATGCGGATTGGATGGCGGGCTGTCTAGGCTGACACGAGCGACCGGGGCCAGGGATTGTCGTGCAATCGAGGTGCTGGGCGTCTGCAGAAATCTTGCTTCTCCAGCCCGCAACTAGCGACGACACCAAGCCTCAAGCGGCCAGTCGGAGCTGCGAGTTGGACGAGAAGTGGTATTAGTATGTATTATTTCGGTTTCTTTTTTCGTCGTGTTGACGATGACCGCTGAAGTGGATGGATGGATGGACGAGTTGATGGTTGGGCGATGGAAGCGCTGGATTGGCTTGGATTGAACTCGGCTCGCTGGTGTGTGTGTGTGTGGGCTCGGGATCAAGAGAGAGAGAGAGAGAGAGACTCTTCAGAAGAACCGAGACGATCCAGTAATAATGGTAGTAGTACTACGTAGCTGCTGTGCTTGCAGAGCGTAGGTAGGCAAGAGGTTGGTGCTACTTCAACGTGGGAAACTTGGGGAGAGGAGAGTCACGTCGGTAGGTAGGTATGTGAGGGTGGCACCCCCTTGGTGGATGGACGGACGGATTCGGGGCTGTTCGAGGGCGTTTGCGAGACCAACTCGAGGGAGCGTCGATTCTGCTGTCAAGTCAAGTGGTGAAGAAGACACGAGTGAATGAAGGCGGCAGCAAAAAAAGAGAGAGGCCGAGGTGGGGGGGCGTGTCAAGTGTCTTGTGTGTGTGTCTTGGGGGGAATGCAGCAGGAAATGCACGACACCAGTCCTGTGCCTTGCCGTGACCGATTCCCTCTCTCCCTTTTGACTCGCCTCTTTAGCACGATCCGTTAGTTAGACTATCGCAATTCTTCGGCAGCTGCAACTTGTCGTACCTGGCGCACAGGTCAGGTACCTTGCCTTGCCTTGCCTTGCCTTGCCTTGCCCTGCCTGCTTGGTGTCTTTGACGATCGATCTCTCTCTCGTTGTCTTGAATCGAACGAACCGGGGCTGTGTTGTGCTGTGCTGTGCGAGAGCGGAGCAGGTGACGGAGGCCTGTACTAGTAATAGGTACTAAGTGAGGACTGCATTACAGCGAAATGCGCCAGAAGCATGTGAGTAGAGGGTCATCGGGGTCATTTATTACGGACGGGGCTGCCGCCGGCATTTGTGCAGCAAACCAACGCCATCGGGATCGGGTTTGACCAGGGATGACGATGATGAAGATGCCGAATTGCCTTGAAGCGTCGACTGGATTTGAGTGTAGCACGTACAGGATAGTATACCAAAGGTAGGTAGGTAGCAAGGTCTGATATTATACCGGCAAGATAGAGGTACTACCTACGCAGCAACAGTATCTGGTGCGACCGCACGAACTTGAATGATGCAGTTTCAATTCCGGTGCGAGGCGATCTGAAGCAGAGACATGACAGACAGGATTGATTGCCGTGGGATGTAATAGATGCAGACACAGATACTGAATGGATGATGGCACTTTGGATGGAAAATGGAGGTGCGAGAAGCAGTATGTAGCGGCCACATCCTTTTCAATATCCAGTCTCCCGATTCGCCATCGCCAGCACGGCCGTCCATCTGCATACATATAAGTACCTACAGATAGCATCAACATACATACATACAGACAGATAGATAGAGATATAAGCTGGTTGCCCATGCGACCTGCGCATGTCCGTCACGGCCATCAGCGCACATCCCGCCTGCAGCGGTAAACAAGAGACGCAGCTCTGCTACTGGGTGTTGAGCCTGCATGATGCATGCACGCGCGATCGTTGGGCACTGCCATTAGGGGCCCGATGGATGGGTGGGTGGATGGAGATGTTGTTGTTTTGATGTTGATGATGATGTTGTTGTTGTTGCGGAGCCTTTAACGCTTCCTTACGACGGCAATGGAGGCATCACGAACGTCTCATGACCACGGACGATTACCCACGACAACAAAGATGATTTGCGATATCAAGCACGAAAGGTGTCCATCGACCGCCGATATCAGAGGTGCGGATGGATGTGCTCCATCTGCTCGATGCCCTCCGGAAGAATCAGGAACGGAGTCTTGCCTTAATTACGTATCTACATACTACCAGACTCTCGCTCACACAGCATGTCGAGTGGAATCCGTCAGATGTCTCACCTTGTCCAGCCACAATCATCACGAGGTTTGCAAAGCTCCCACTCGCGTGCGTGCCCGGCAATTCTGCGTTTCAACCCAAACCCCCCCATCACTCCCTGGTCTCTTCAGCCCTCTTGTTCCTCTCATCCCCTCACAGACGTCAAGGCACTAGTAAACATCGCTGCCCTTTTTTTTGACTCTGATGTTCCCCTTTGGCTTTATCTCGTCTCCCCTCCATGAGCGTAGTATCCATATCCCTCCCTCACCCCTCCACGAGAATCCCTTTCCCCCTCCATCTTCTCAAGCCCCGAGTTCTCCCCCACGCATAAGGACAGTTACTACCGTGCTTGCATGAATGACATGGATATGGATTCCTGAAATACGACATGTCCCTTTGTAGAATAGTAGGTGGTAATACGTTATCGTACAGGTATGGCTAGGCCGCTGCCACGCGTCCTTTGATAAACCCATATAAGAGCAACAGCCTGCGAAGCACATACGGTAAATACACACCTCACTTACAAGTGACAGATGGCCGTCTTACCACCCCTGTGCGAAAGAAACGCGACTAAACACGGAGCGACAAGGACGCGTAAAGCTCTCTCTCAGCTGATGCCCTCTCTCGAGAGCAATTGGTCCCTTTTTTTCTTCTCCTTCCTACCCGCTTTCTCACAAAGCAGCCCGAGGCCGCAGAAACGGGTCTCGATGATACCCAGCGATAGGCTCTCCGCGATTTCGGTCGCCAAACCCCCCCGGTCGCGATTCGCCTGCGCGCTCCCAGGGCCCAAGACAGACGGCATGTGAGCAGCGCAATTGAATGCCTGTAGAATGTATTACTCGTGCCCCGTGTTTGTACATTACATAGGTAGGTACATTCAAAGTGTCCTCCCTCTGGCGGAAGCACAGCAAGGACGACATAGTACTTGTACAGATGAAGGGGGGGGTGTGAGTCTGATGCCAGTTCGAAGCGCTGATTGGGCGGGCCAGGGGCGTCCAAAAGAGAGACGGCTTAGACGGCCCCACTGCAGCCCGACAGTGTGACTGACACGTTTGGGGTCGACTGTCTTCTTCAGTCTGAGAGCAGAAGCAGAGCAGAGCAGAACCGCACGTCTTTAAAGTGGGAGTTTGTGTGTGAGGTTCGCTTAAGAGCAAAAGAAAAAAAACGCGTCATAACCACTTAAGACGCGTCTCGACTTGACCCTTGTTTACTCTGGACGCGTCACCCACCAATCACAGCGCTGGAGCGGCCACTAGCTCCCGCGCCGCCCATTTAGCGCCACTTCGATCCGCCCGAGGTTCTTTTTCTTTTCTTACCTTGCGTATCTCTGGTGAACAAGAAGAGAGAGTTCATCAAGGTACTAGTATCACGATGATATCGTGCAGATGCCACAAAGTGCACTAACGGGACGGCATTCAAACGACCGCTGGAGCCGAGAGCTGAAAGATGGGAAAATCAGCGGTGCATGCATGAACTGGGGGCAGGCGTCTGGTTCCAGCAGCCGACGCCGTCGATCCAAATCCAGCATGACGCACACCAACGTCACTGCAAAGAAAAGAAGCGTCGGTCGACGCCGTTTTGTTTAACCCCTGGTATATATTCTGTACACGTACTAGTATGGCTTCCCATTTAATGTGCAGGACTAGCTCGGAATAGTATGTAGAGCAACAGCGGGCTTCGGTTATAGTATTAGTGGTGGTAACTCTTTTGTGTTTCCCACCTCCATCTTGTCCGTGTTCTCGCCGTTTCCCGTACTGATACTGATACTGATAATGATAATCATGATCATGATCAAGATCGTACCACATCTGGGAAAACCCCCTCGCCCTTCTGCTGCGCTGGCAAGTGTCTTAATCAACCTCAAACGCGCTAAAGTCGTGATAGTTTTGGCAGCGCATTGCCCGAGACTATTCGTCGACTATTCGTAATACTAGCTGGTGGTTCCTCTTAAGCCGGCATCCCCTTGTGCGGCCGCATTGACTTTCTGACACCACCTAGCTGGTCACTAGCCTTACGGTTGGCCGGTATTGGACCTGGTCCGAGCTGTGAGGATGAGAAGAGGAAGAGTCATTGGAACAAACGAGAACAAAATTTTTCTCTCTAAAAAAAAAAAAAAAAAAAAAAAAAAAATCAAGAGATAGAAAAGATAAACTGACAGAGAGGCACCTCTCACTGCGTAGGTATCGTTCTATGAAATGATAGATAGTAGTCTAGTAGGTACTTGGCCAAAGCTTGTGTCTCTCTCCCCCTTGCACATGACGCGAGCCCCTCTAGTATATGCAAGGTACCAACATTCCAGAGCAGAAAAAAAAAAGGTAAAGAGAGACATCCTGAGCGAGAGACACATTCTCTTCATGCCACCCGCTTCCGATGATGCCGAAGCTTTTAGTGAGCAAGAGAGCCAGAGGGGGGGAATGGGGTTTCTACTAGTAGGTAGGTAGTCTCTGCTCGTTAGCTGGAACAACTAGAAGCCGATTCCCTCTTGTTACACATGGCCTTGAAGACGGTCTCTATCCATGTTAGTACTCTCGCTTCTGGACGTCGATTGCTTGTCGGATAGTGTCCATGTTGGAAGCGAGCGGGATGACTTGCCTACAGTAAACAGAAAATTGATCATTTGGAGTAGTAAGAAGCCATGCTTATATACACCACTCATCTCATCCAAAACAAAGGCGTCGTAATTCCATGTCCCAAACCGCCAGAATCTGGTGTGATATTCCATCCATGTCACAGCTTCCCCATTCACTACCCCGAACAAGCAACTCCATGCAGTGACACCTTGGTCCCATCAGCAAAAGCAATCTAGTAACCTCACAAAAAGAGAGATAGGAGAAGAAGAGAGCACTTTACGAACCGAATGCAACGCTCTGCTCGCTCCTTCAGCCCTCTTCCCTGCCCATCATGAATCTTATGGAAGAATAAGGTTAGTCCCTGCAGTAACTGTAGCAGTACATAGTAATACCCCAGGCATCATCATCATCCAACCCTCGTCAGTTCTCACCAAACATCTGCAATCTCTCTCGACTCTTCTTTGCCCTCTTCTCCTTATTACCCTGATTCCCAAGTTCACCTACTAGTAGGTAAGCGGACATGTTCCCCCATCCCCTGTTACCGCAACCCCCTTGCCCATCCATCCATCCATCCATCCATCCTTCAGTGCGCTCCTGTCATCCCCAGTTCCCTCTGTCTTAACCCGCAGAATCTTTTCCCCACACATGGCGTTGCTATTTCTGTATCATCTGAACCACCACTTGTTGTCCAGTCCAGTAATATGACGGCCTTTTTCGATTCGAATGCCAGACATCAGCTGCAGGACACTACTACAACAAGGGGGAAGAGATACATGTAGGAACACCCAGTGAAAGCCAGTCTGTTTGTTCGTACCGGCGGCTTGGCTCGATGGATGTCTTGTGCCCTTGCACGACCAACACCTCACTCAGTCACTCAGCGGCCCCAGGACGCACGGGCAACTTGTAAAGCATGTAGCTTGTAATTGAAGTACAGCAACGACATTCCCGGCACCTGCACGATGTATATTGTTCATGCGAGTTTGGATTGAACAAAATCGTGGGACATGTATGAAGTATCTAGCCATGCACAACCGAGCCTGCAAAAGTGCTGCTCGTCATTAATCAAACCCCCTTCATCGCAATCATGATGAGCCCGGGCGCTTCATAATAGCACCTATTCTGAAATCCTGCTTTCTCCTGAGCAGCCATCCTCCAGTCTCCGTCTTCCTTTCCCTCGCCCTTGATCTCTCTTCCCTCATTCCTACTCACTACCTATAAGCGCCCCGTAAGACAAACATGCCCCATCATTCGGAAAATCAATCCATCTCACAGGAGCGATTCCCAGGTCCTCCCCAGATGCCCCGTGTATTGTCTTCTCTTCTCTACACGAGCCTAAAAGTCAATGGCCAGATATTTCAAGGTACTCACAATGCACTTGAGCCATTCTTTCTTCTTAACCCCCCCTTGTGTCATATCATGCATGACACCCAACTCCCATTCCATTTCCCCCTTCTCCCTTCCTTCCATGGCAATTTCCAGAACGTTTGCGTCACTTAATTGCCCCAAAAAGGCACTGTCTACGTCTTGTGACCTTTCTCTCCCTGGCTCTTTGTTGACCCTACGTGCATATGCATATGCACATGCAGCATGCAACATGTCCTCACATGATGTACATGTAGTCTCAAGGGGAAGAGAACAAAACTTTGTTTTTCACTTCTTGGCCAAAAAAAAAAAAAAAAAAAAAAAAAAAAAAAGGTCTGTGCGAAAGAGCCGTGGTACTTGTGGCATGGAATGAGGACCGTGCTATAGAGCAGGCATAGGTAGCTTGGCTTCACGTTGGATGTGTGATCCGTAGTCGTCTTTTTCTAATCAAACAAGCATCTTGATACATTAAGATTCCGTAGACGGACAAGCAATAGCTCGCTGAACTTGATAATGGATGATATTAACACTCTTTTAGTTTTGGGGTAAACAACAGCAAAATAGGATAATAGATTGACTAAAATGACACAACCCCTCCCACGCAAACAGATCGATGAAGCAATGTGTGCATGAGGTCAAACGTACACGCTGCTACGTCTCCCTCGCACCTCCCAGCATCATCAACAACTAAATGCCAAATCAGAAGCGAACTCGGCAGAAAACTGAGCATGTACTCCCAGCTTTGACAACTAGAGCGCGTCCATTCTATTCCAGAACTCGGCCAGCGACGGCAGCTGCGCTCTTGTCCTTGGTCGTCGTCTTCTTGAGGGCCTTTCCGGCCTGGATCTCGCCCAGGAAGCCGGCGGGACGTCCGCCACCTCCTGCTGGCAGTGCCGGAGCATTGCCAGGCGGAGGAGGTGGAGGAGGAGGAGGGATGCCACCAGGCAATGATGGAGGAGGAGGAGGACCACCCATGGGGGGCATTGGCGGAGGAGGTGGCGGGCTTCCGGCATCTGGCATGGGCGGAGGCGGAGGAGGAGGAGCACCAACAGGCGTTCCGGTCGGCAGAGGCGGGGGAGAGGCGATCGCATCGTTGGCCGGAGCAGGCGTAGAGTGCGCCGAGTCTCGGCCGGCAGCAGAAAGCGGCCGGGGGGGCGCCATAGTGCCGAACAAGATGGACGCCAGCTGGGCAGCGTTGCCACCGCCGGGCCGGTCGTCGTCAGAGTCTTCGTCCTCCGAGTCCCGGTCCGAGCCCCAGTCGTCGGAATCAGCCCGCTTGCGGGACCAAGGCTGAACGGGCGCCGGAGTTGGGACCGGTGCAGACTTGATATCCTGTGTCATGCGATGGAAGGGGTTGGTGGAAACATCAGGTGCAGGTGCTGCTGGCGTCTCCTTTGGCACGGCTGGTGAAGAAGCCTCCGATGACTGCGACATCATCTTGAAATAGGGGTTCTTGCTCTCCGTCTCGGCCGGGGGAGAGGTAACAACCGTGGGGACGGGAGGCGGCGAAGGGATTGAAGCAGCAGGGGGAGCAGGAGGGGCAGGAGCAACAGGTGGCGAGCTCACTCTTTGCTCAGGCGTGGGAGTCGATGCCTGCGGTGTAACCTGCTGCTGGCCCTCGTCTTCGTCAGACGAGGAACTGTCCTCGTTCATGGCCTCGAGTTGGCGCTGCAGCTCAAGCTCGCGCTGCTTGGCAGCTTCAATCTCCGCGCGACGAGCAGCAAGCTTGGCCTCCTTTTCCTTGGCTTCTGCCAGGGCCGCCTTCTTCTTCTTCTTCTCCTCTTCTTTCCGTAGCTTTCCTTGCCGGACCTGCTCCTCCAAGGCCTTGAGTCGGGCCTCGGCCTCACGTTGCTCCTTTGCAAACTCGTCTTCCTCCTCCCGCACTTTTTGCCTACGGAAACAATTGTCAGTAATGCCATGATTTAACAAAGAGGGGACAGGAAACACCTACCTCATCTCGTCAGTTTCCCTCTGCTGTTGCGCATGCTCTTGGGCAAGACGCTCCTCCTCGGCGGCCTTGGCTGCCTCTTCCTCGGCCTTCTTTGCCGCATCAGCCTCCGACTTCCCGCCCTTTCTTGACGGTGGTGGCGGAGGCTTCTTCGCCGCTGACTGTGGCTCTTCCGCGGCGGGAGGAGGGATTCCTTGCTCCTCGGCAAGGCGAGCCTGTCGCTCGGCCTCTCTGCGGGCATCCTCCTCCTCAGCCTGGCGCAATTTGGCAGCTCTTTCGCTTCTTTCGCGCTCGATACGCTGAGCGGCCGTCTCCCCAGACTTGGTTGGAGCCTTGATACCCAGCGCCGCAAGGCGCTCAGCCATGCGCTGTTCGGCCTGTTGCTTGATAAAGGCAGCGCGCTCCTCGGGCGTCTTGTATGATGAGTATGAGCCGCCACCCGTCGTGGAAGATGGGGTGGCAGTACGCGAAGTCGAGGCCGGGCTTTCGTTGCGCTGGGGAGCGGGAGCAGTTCTGTCTCGCGGAGCCTCGTCTGCTGTTGTGGATCGACCGGAACGCTTCTCCTGGGCTCGGATGCGGGCCGCACGACTCTCGCGCTGAAGGTCAAAGATGAAGTCTCGAACCTCGTCCTCAACGCCGAGAGCGTCTTCCCAGCGACGTCTCTCATGCTCACTGCTGTTGTCCTTGCCTGCCTCGTTGAGGCTGTCCTCAATGCTGCGCGAGAATTCGCGGACGCTTTCCTCAACGTCATGGACCATGCGCTCATTGCTCTCCTTCTCGTTCCTAACCCGGATACTCTCCTCTTCCAGCCTCTTGGGGGCGTCAAAGTCCTCGTTAGTGCTTTCAATCTTCTTGCCCGTCAAGGCAGCAGTCCTCTGCTGCATCATGGCCTTTGCTCGAGCCTTGAGCCGGTCAGATTCCGTCACTGCTCCGCCAGGACCAGTTCCAACAATGGCCGATGCGCTTCCAGGGTGCGCCTTGGCATCCTTGAGTCGGAAGAGCTCGAGCCTTGCCTCCATAATGGCCTTTTCGGTCTTTCGCACCTGCGAAGCAAGTTCGGGGACCCTGTCTGTGAGCTTCTGGAGCTGGCGCTTCAGAGCTCTCGCCTCTGCGTCCGAGTTACCGACAGCCAGCGCAGCATCGGGGTGCGCATCAATGTCCTCCTGAATGCGTCGGATGCGACGGTAGAGCTCCTCAGCTTCGCGGCGGTCCCGTCGATCCAGAATGTCATCCTCTTCGTGGTTCTTCTCATCAGCAAAATCCATGGCGTCGAGCAGGATCTGCTTTTCCTTGATCTTCTTCCTAAGCTCATCGAGCGTCAGGTCATCGTTTGAACCGACAGAAGATGCCGCCGGGGATTCGGCTCGAGGAGAGGCACCGCCCAGCCTTCGGCGGGCACTGGACCTATACCCAAACTCCTCGTCATCATTCCGGAAGACGGTAGCATCCTTCCTCCCACCTGCAGCCGGGCTAGCGCCGCCTCGGAAAGATCGAGCTTTCATATAACTAACACCAGTCTTCTGAGGAAGCAGGGCAGCGCCTGAGTTCTTGCGAAGATCAGACTCTTCATGCAACATCGACTTCAACGTGCCGATAGACTGGCTGAAGTTGCGAGTAGAAGGAGGGACCAGCTCTGGAGGCAAGACGTTGGGCAGAGGATATCCGTTCAGCTTTCTGTAGATCAAATGCATGGCGACGGCAAATTCGTCCAGATTCAGACGACCCTTGTTACCGTGGTCAGCCAACGTCCAGATCCTCTCCAGGTCGGGCTTCTCGAGGCCACTTTGACCGAAAATCTCAATGGCCGTATCGCCACCAATGTAGCCCTTTCTAAGACCATCCCAGGCTTTGAACAGCGCGTCATATCTCGTCTTCTCCTCCTTGGTGATAGCCCAGGGGATGACAGCGTTGCCCTGCAGGCCGGCAGTAGTGAAAGAACCGGCTTCACGGCCAGCTTGAGGCATCATACGAGCTTGCAGCGCGTCGATGTTGGGCAAGCCAGAAGCAGGAGCATTGACAAGTCCCCACTGGCCCGGAACTCCTGTGGGTTGAGCATTCAGAGGCGCTATCATGCCGCCGCTGGCAGGGCCGCCAAATCCAGTGGGCATAGGAGGCAACGGAGGAAGGGGGCCATTGAATCCTGTTGGCTGCGGGTTTTGAAGATTGCCGAAGCCGGTGGGCTGGGGCTGAAGACCTTGCGATTGTCCACCGAAGCCCTGCTGCTGCGCTCCGGGAAAGCCCGTCATCTGCGCTTGGAGAAGCTGAGAATTTGATGCAGGCGGTGGCTGCGGCTTCGGCTGCTCAATAGTCGGAGCATTGTTCGACTGGCTACCGGCGGGGCCTTCATCAGCAACGCTAAAGCTGATGATATCGACCATGCTGGACACCTCGTTCTTCACATGGTCGGGCAGAGTTGGCGGCAGCGTCTTGCCGGTAAGCTTGAGGTTGCAGAGATACATGGCAAGCGCGAATTCGGGGAAGTATAGTTGTCCCGCTCGCGTGGTATCTGCCAATGTCCTACAAGTGTCCCTGTGTTAGTATCCATGCGAATGGAAAACAGTCGAGAAGAGAAGCGTTGTTTGTGTTCATACCAGATGTGCGATAAGGACTCGCCATCCAACTTTGACCGTATCAAGAGATCCCTGGCCTTTTCGCCCGACATCGTCGCCGAGCCATCTCCCACGGCAGACTTGAAGAGAGTTTCAAACTTTGCCTGATCCGCCGCCGTGATGAAAGACAGTCTAATGTTGGGAATCTTGCTCTGCGACTTTTCGCCTCGTCGCCCCTGGGGCTTGGCCGTGCCCCCGGTCTGGAAAGACGCAGCCACCTCCGCGAACCCAGTCGGCTGCGGCTTTATCGGAGCGGGAGGAGGGGAGATTGTCGAGCTGGGCTGGTGTTGCGGCGGCGGCACGGCCGGGAATCCTGTCGGCTGGGGCACCTGCTGCTGGAGCTGAGGCAGCTGCTGAGGTTGCTGCGGCGGCTGGTGGTGTTGTTGTTGTTGCTGCTGTTGCTGGAACTGCTGCTGGAACTGGGGAGGAATCGAGGGCATCGGCGGGGCGCTCGACGTCGGGAACTGCTGCTGCTGCTGCGGCGGCTGTCCCTGTCCCGGGAAGCCGGTATACTGCTGCTGCAGCGGCTGCGGCATCGGCTGGTAGCCCGTCGGCTGGGCCTGCAGCGGATATCCCGTGAACTGCTGCTGCAATGGCTGCTGTCCAAAGCCCGTGGGCTGCGGCGCAAAGGGGCTCGGCTGCTGCTGCTGCTGCTGGCCAGGGCCGAGATTGTTAAAGGAGCCGCCATACTGCTGCTGCGGCTGCGTCCCCGGGCGTGGACTGTTGCCTCCCAAGAAGGCGTTCGAATTGGAATACATGGCGAGCGAGGCCGAATGACCGCTTGGGGAGTCGTCGAGTCTGGCTGCTGGCCTCAGGAGGTTCACAGAACGGAGGGAGGGGGCGGTTCACAAAGGAGCGCGCGAGCTCCGCAAGGCTCGAACAAAGAGACACAGACAAAGGAGAGAGAGAGTAGAGTCAGCGAAAGTACAAGTGAGCGAAACACAAAGAGCAGAAGCCAGGCGTCGCACACAGGCAAGACGAAGAACGAGGCTCAAGCGGCTGCGAGAAAATGGTGATGACGAAGCTCGCGCCAACGCTCCCCCAATGATGCTCACGGTGCTGCTGGTTAGCGGTATGGAGCACAAAAGTGGTGGGTGATTCCAAGTCTTGAGGAGCGGCCTGCAGATGCCAGGCCAGTGAGGAGCTGCAAAGCTTGGGGCTGGGGCTGTGGCTGGACAAATTGCGCGGCTGGGCGCAATGGAATTAGCGCCCCACACGGCTTGATGGAGCAGCTGTGGCGGCGGTCCACCCTGTCTTGGTTTCGTGCATACAACTCGGTACTTGCATAAAGACGATTGAAACCACCATCTCCAGCTTCTCAGCTACCTAACTGAACTTGGTCGATGTCGGACGACTCTCACGCACAAGCTGGTCAACACAATACAGGGGTCTAATTACTAAAGACAAGTGCTATTCATCACAAGACTCCAAATACTACGATAAACGCATTAAAGCTCATACAGTTGTATCCGCGGTCCCTGGTTCTATATATTCCGTAGTCTGCTTGGACCTAATAATAGCAATAAACTCTGGGTATCAAACAATCCGTCCGTCGAGCATGCGCTCGCAAACAAGCAAGCAATCCAAATGACATGCCAAAAATAACAGGAAAATAATTGTCAAAAGGGCTAGGTTGGCCCCCTGCCCTTTCATCTCCTTTGTCATAACCCCCCCGCCATTCCCCCCTTTCCCCTGCACCCATCTCGAGGAGCTGCGTTTCCTGCTAAATTATACCACTGCTGGAACAGGCCCCCCTTTCCCGCTCGTCTCATCTCATTGACCCCCCTCTTCCTCAATTACATCCGCCGAGATGCTAAGCAAGGTTTGGTATTTCCCCATGAGCAAGCTTATCTCACTATCGGAAAGCAAGATGCTGTCCTCGGGATCTGGGATGCTCGTCCCGTCCACTGCCGAAGCTCCGGCCCACCCTGGCTCTTTATCAGGGGGGCTCTCCATCTCCGAAGGTGTCGGAACGCCAGCGTCACTGTTGGAGCTGGTCTCCGTGATCGGGTCGCTAGCCCCGTCGCTCGAGACAATGGAGTAAGGCCGCATCGTGGTCTCGCCCGAAGTGTCATCTGTGTAAGGTGACGAGACAATCACCTTGAACGCTTCCGAGTTGTGGCTCGAAGTTGAAGGGCCACGGCGCAGATTGGAGGCCGTGGCATTCTGAAACTCGAATTCTTTGTTTGCAAGCCCTCCGAAATCGACCGAGAACGTGCCCTCCTCTATCGCGCACGCCTTCAGTGCCGAATCGGCCGTGGCTCTCCTGCTGCCATGTCTCTCACGGTAAGCCTGCTGGTTCCTTTCGAGAACTTGATTCAACGCTGCAATTGCGGCAGCCCACTCCTCGCTCAGCCGCTCGACAAGCGGCTTCTGTATGTTCACAGGAGGCTTCTCATGTTTCAGTTTGGTAAACAACCCCGAAGGCCGGCGCGCCGATGCCACGGGCACGTCAACTTCGGCGGCTTTCTTGATCGTTCTAGCAAGTTCCTGGTCCGAGAATGCCGAAAAGTGCCGGAGTGTCGTGTTGCCCTCAATGCGCTTGACTAGATGCCAAAAGTTGGAGAGGTTGAAGTCGTTACCCTCGCAATCCAGAGTATGCAGGGTTCGGTTGCCCGAGATGGCTTCGGCCAAATCCCCAATGTTGATATTGAGCATCTGGCTCCGGACGCGGAGGTGCTCGATCCGCTTGTTGAACTTCATGCCGCTCAATGACCGGGAGAATTCCCTGCCCAACCGACCTTCGTCAAGCTTCGAGTCGTATCCGGAGATATCCAGGAACCGGATGGTGTCGTTGTGGGCAAAAAATTCAGCCGCCGCCTGGCAGGCTACGCTGCTGACAGCATCCGGTGTAGCACAGCCGGCCAAGCTGAGGCACTCGATCGTCTTGTTGACGGTCAGCGCCTTCATGAGCTTGACGAAGCTGGCCTCATAGCTGAATTCAATCATCTGCATGAACAAACTCCAAGGCCCGTACCCAGAGGCAATTGCATCACACAGACTCTCGATGCCATCATCCAGCCGGTTTGCATTTACATGGACCGTCATATGCCGCCCCTTGCCCATGCTGAAGAAGAGCTGGGCGAGTTGGCTCCCAGTGAGGCCGCAATTGTTGAGGCGCATCACTAGTAGGTCCTGCGACATTGGGGACTCCATGTATCTGGCAAGAGAAATGACAGTAGTGTCGTTGAGCTAGAGTGCAGGGGTTAGCCGCCAGTCTACTTGTAGGTTGATCGAGTCTACGCACCACTATACCGGAGAGATCCAGCTCTTGGAGAGCCCAGCTATTGAGTGCGCCTTCGGCGAAGAGCGGTTCCTCCGAGACGAGCCTGGTATTTCCCGATATGTTAAGCTTCTTGATGTTCCGAAGCTGGCGAAGCGTGTAGGTGATGGTTTCAAAACCAACAGTACCGTTATTGTTCGATGTGTCGATGTATTCAATGGTCTCGGCTTGGCCAGCTAGACCGCTCCAGAGCTGGGTAAGGTCACCGTCTCCGAGTCCGCAGTTGGAGAGTTCGATCTTTCTCATATGGACGTCGTCCAGGCCAAGGACATTTGCTGGAGTAGTGTCAATGGTGATGCCCAACACAACTGAAGCTTCTCACTTCTTCTGCTTTTTGTGCATATCACATACCAAGTTCGGCCACGTCGCTGGAGCCAATTGGATTGCCAGACATGGAGATGCCATGGCAGTGGCACAACCCGGTTTTGAGGAGCATCGTCAAGGGTCGAATGATTTCGGAACTCATCTTGCGCATAGTGGAATGGTTGATCGATCCTCGGCCTGTGTGTGGTCTTTTTGGGCGTTGTAGGCCGACGACATTCGAGAGGTCAATGTATCGTATAGACTCAGAAGAAAACAGCAAGGCATGAATCTCTTGCTCGAGAATGGGGGCTTGAATGAGAAGCTGGTAGTAGTCTTCTGGTATCCTCACGCCTGGAATGTTGGTCAGTAAGTGATCGTGAAAGAGAAGAAGTTTGAAGATAAGTACCGCTCAGAGAAGTTACCACCACCGCATCCCCCAAGTGCGAATAGTCGTTCTTGTTCGCCAGTGACGAAAGGTCAACATCACGGAACGACAAGGCCTTGAAGAAACTATTGTATCTCAAGGCCCGAAAGACAGCCAGAATCTGAAGTGGAGAGTACTCCATGTCCTCGGAAGCAAGCAGTCGAAAAGCCGGCTCCGACGGGGTGTACCATTCGATTGTCCACGAGGGAATCGGCACGCCAAAGGCAACGCAATACGCCTGGAGACTCATCTCAAGGCCGCCTAAATCGTTTCCAGACGTCAACTGCAGAGGTGCTGGGAGACCCTTAATCTCGAAAATGGCATGTTGGAGGTTTTGCGGCCACATGGGCTTCAGAACGCGGTCAATCTTGGTCAGGGCTTCGATGATCCGGCGATAGTAGACGCTTGCCAAATCCAAACGAGTCTCTCGGCCAAATGGCAGACTACAAAGAGTGTGCGTGTTAGAAGCAAGACAAATCAGGAGACCCAACAGACGCATTGGTTGATACGAGGTTCACTCACCGAAAACACATGTTGAATCGTTGCTCGTGAGAAGCCACTGAAGCCTGGAATCGGATCAAGGAGACCGTCCCAAAGGCCGACGTCTTCAGCCGTAGATCGCCTGGCGGTGTCAAGTAGTCCGCTTTGAGTATCTCGATGAAATAGCACATATAGGGGCCGATGGCAAGGTAGTATGTCGACGTGTCTGTGAGATCCTGGGACTCGTCTGCAGCTGTGCCCTTCTGGGCTGCCGCGACGGTACGCTTTGTCACTGGAAAGATCAGACTCTGGGTGGTGCTGTCGTAAGATGTATCAGCAGGCTGCATGGCGTGGTTGATGCGAATCTTGACATTCTCCGGGACGGTCGTCTGCAGCGGGCTTTTCCGCATCCTAGCCTTGTACGCCTGCTGGATGTCCGCCAGCCAATCGTCGCGTTCTTTCGGGAGAGCAAAGTAGAAGTGTGCCCTGTTGGAGGCGATCTTGGGCGACCTCGAGAGCCACCAGACTTCGATACCAAACCGAGAGCTGGAAGACTCCTCGACAAAGACTGCGATGATGGAGCGAAGGGGAATGTCCAATCGTACATCTCCCGAGGCCGACTTGCTGCTCACGGGCTGGTGGAAGTGCGAATGAGCACCTTGTGTCTGGGTCAGTTGCGGGAAGATAGCCCTAGCAGCTTCCGCACTTCCAAACTTGACCAATGAATGGTCTGCCAAGACGAGATACTCAGATCGAGCTTTGAGGAGCGAAGAATCGGTCTTGAGCCACCCGTATCGGATCAGTTCCATTGAGGCAAAGGTCGGCTCGACAGGGCTGAGGGGAGGCTCTAGGGGCATGGTGCCAATGGAGGAGTCTCGAGATAATCTCCTCTGGAACCTATCAATCACAGATCCTGAACCTGAGGGCGTTTTGTGAAGCCGCCGTCCCGAGGAGCCAGACCGGGACGGGCCACTAGATAGTGAATCCAACGAGGAGGTGCTGATTGAACGGAAGGCTTTGGACAAGGACCGTGACTTTTTGGGTTCGTGGGGCTCCGGCGAGTCTCCTCTGGAGCGACCAGTCTGAAAGGGAGAAAGCGAGTCCGCTGTGCTTGCGGTAGAAGACCTCCATTTCCACTTCTCGGAGCTGATTGCGGACTTCATGATGACGGCTGTACTGGGATTCTCGACTGGGGGGCTGAAAGGCGCGTGCTTTTTGAATTGAAGAATCTCCTCAGCGGAACATGCCGATCATGGGGAGAGAGAGACAAGGGCACAGAGCAGATGCGGTCGGATAGTGGCGCCTGGGATGAAAGTCGCACGTTCGGTCGAGGGATCCGATGATTTCAGGCCTGACGAATGGCGTGCTGCAGCTCTCCAGCAGCTGTGAAGCGATGTCTCAGCCCACCTGTGGCTCCTCGCAGGACGTCGGATAAGCCGGTGAGACAGATAGCATGCGCGTGTCGTTTCGCTCGCTTTGCCTCCGTTGTTTTGTTCCTCTCCCTGATTCTTTCTTTTTCCTTTGTTCCCCTTTTCCGGTCACTCACAAGGCGTGTTTTGGAACGTCTCAGTTCTCCGAGGGCTGAATTTGAGGCTCCGAAAAGGCAGGCAAGTCGTGAAGTTCTGGGGCAGCGCCTTTGTTGTTGAAGAGACAGTGCGCGGTATGCGCGACAGGTAGGTAGGCGGTACGAAGTGCGCTCGGTAAAGACGTGAGTCGTAAAAGTTACCGGGAAGTCGATCCTGAAAGAAATTCGTAAAATGGAGTGCAATCAATCGTCGCCTTTGCAATCGAATCTCGGTATCGGTGCAAGAAAGGAGAGGCTGTTGGTATGAGGCGGACAGACTGCGGTGGGCAGATGCTCTGTTGTAGGAAGAGATCTGGATACCTGTGGTATGGAGGCAGGTCCTCTGTAGAAACCGCTGTATGATAGCACTCGTAGGTAATTGGAAGGTAGTTGACGTAAGGTAAGGTTAGGTAGGATGAAACTCGAGAGCTGCGCGCCAAACAGGTGTGATGCAATGCGCGACGATCGATTTTGACAAGGCCGTTTCTCTTCGTTATGGGTTCATCTGGGTATGGGTAGTAACAGGTGAGATCGGCATGAGCGTCCAAAAGCGCTGGATGTTTATCGTTTGCTTTTCCCGGTCCAGCTGCCAGCTCACGGAATCTGCAGTCGGTAGACTATTAGATGCAGTCTGCAGCAATATCACATGCAGCTACAGAAAAGGCAGAAAGCGCAAGAATATGCCGTCCATAGGTAGATAAGGTAGGCCGAAGCAAACTGCGTCGCGGTTGGCCGTCTTCGTTTCGGTGGTCGCAGGTGACGTATCGAATCGAATCGCTCTGTTTATGTTTTCGACTTTTGACTGACAAACTTGCGCTGCCAGCGGTCCGTCCAGCGGTCTGGCCCTTGGTCACACGATGAGAGAAAAAGAAGACGAGGAAGCAAAAGAACAAGATGGAAAATCACTCGCAGCAGATGCGGAGGGGCTGCAGAGGGGCTGGAAGGGAAGAATTGGCGGGAAGATGAACTGGGGAGAAGAGAATGGAAGGAAATACGAAGGTGTGCCGGACAGGGAGGCAGGCGTGTGATATTATCTCCATGAGAGCCGCGCTCGTCAACACAGGTCAACATGACATGAACTGGCCAGGGCCAGGCACAGACGGGACGGGACAGGCACGAGATAACACCTAGTACCTACTACTACTCATACTGTATTACTGCAGTATAACAGTAGGTATACCTAGGTAAGAACTCTGCGCTTCCAAGCAGTGATAGTAATGCATGGGAAAAAAAGACAGCTGGGCACAAGTAACCGCCACACCGGGGGTCGCAGAATTACATGGCAAAAAAAGGCCCCCCCTACCGTCTCGACAAACTTGAAACCGCGTAATTCTGTGTCCATCCAAAGGGGCGTCTGGACAGGACAGGACAGGACGGGGGGGTTTGAGCTGGGCTGGCAGGCTGCTGCCCACCCTCGCCTCTTCTGTGCGCACCGCCTGCATGGGGGGGATTTGGCGAAACAGCGTCATGGCACGCCTCCAGAAGCCGGAATCTCGATCTCGGCGCGCAGAGTCAATTGACGTCTCTCCGACCTGCGTTCAGGGCCCGCCAGCCTATGAGCGGCGTCGACGGGCCCATCGTCGGCGGCATGAGATGACCTTGCAAGCCTTGGACCCGCGGGTTGCGATTCGCGCTGCGGCTAGCACTGCAGGACCCCGTATCCCCCCCTCGTCCAGGCGTCGTCATGCCTGCGGTGATGTGTGTGAGTGAGTGTGTGTGTGGGTGTTCTGTTCTCTGTGCCGTGGGCGTGCTGTGTGCGTGCATCTTGGTCTCGGAACCCTGCCTCTGCTCCTGGATCTTGTTTCTGCCGCGATGGAAACATGTTGACATGATGCCGAGGCGGAGAGGGAGTGAGGCGTGGCTAATGCTTGCTCTATTTGCCTCAATCTCAACAGCTCGCCTGTTTGTGCAAATCTTCTTGGCACCAGTCTTTTGCCTCTTCTCTTTGCAGTAGGTACCTATTCGCCCCAACCATAAGGTAGTGGTAGTATCAATCAATCAATGCCCGATCTGGCCTGCTGCGGGCGCAGTTCTTTTCCTTTCCATCTCTTCGCCTTCTACTACTCTTTCATCACCGTGACACCCTCCCCAAGCTGTTACGATTCCCTTATCCCTTCTCGTCGAAGCAGTGGGCTGTCCTTGTACGTGTATGTATGTACTCGTATGCAGCCATGCATCCACGGCGGAGCCGTATCAACGCCTCTTTGACCGGGGTCCGCGAGCGGGTGTGAGAAGGCTGGCCAGGGGCTCCAAAGATTGCACGCAATGATCACCGCAGGTCCCTCCAATTTCTGCTGGCTGATGCCTTCTTAGTGGCTCCAGCACCTGGCCATCATGCGGCAAATGTTCCGTGCCCCGTCTTCAATTTGCAGAGCAGAGCAGCTCCCCAAGCTGTTTGTCTGATAGAAATACATACTAGCATTCAAGTCGGGCAGGTCAAGCCCGTCCGGTTCAGCTTCAACCAGCCTCATCTGCCTCCTCCTCTGCCTCCTCTTCCTCCGCCTCCTCTTCCTCCGCCTCCTACTCTCGCCCTGCTGCTGCTCCGTGTGTTGTCTCAAGCTCCCCCTACAGCATGTAAATTTACTTTCCCCTCTGGTGGTAGCGCATGGCCGGAGGTTGGTAGGTAAGCTTTTGGGGGGTCATCAGGGCGGTCGAATACGATTACGGGATCCTCTCAGCGCCAGGCAGTGCCGTGTTGCTCCGTGCATCTCGTATGCCCGGACGTCAGCTGCCGAAATGGTGTCTCTGGACAATGCAGCGCTTCCCTAATCGGGGGGGTTCGTCCACCGCAAGCACAACATGGATGCAGCGAACAAGTTTGATACTGTGCAAGCATATGTGCTACTGTCGTGCAGACACTGCATGGCACGGTGCCAGCACAGTACGCAGTGTTGCTCTTCCGTTTGTTGTAGATTAAGCGCCCAACTCACCCTCACCACCCATCAAACCAACTCATCTCTCTACTAGCATCTCCAGTCTGTTCTTATCTGCTGGGTCGCGTTGTACCGGCTGTTGGCATGACGTATGCATCCCTTTTCCCCATTCAGCCGTCTGTCCGTGTAAGTCGTATTACATCTACTAACACCCTTTGTGCTCGCACTCGCTCTGTCGCGTCCACGGTCCAGACCTGTCGACGAGGGATGCATCTTATGATATCAAAACTCCAGGCCTTGTAGCACGAGTAAGTACCTGTACGCGTAGTTAGAAAACGGTAGTGAAAACGGAAAGACAAGGCAGCAAAACGCCAATGGCCCGGATCATTCGTTCTGCCGACATCGTCCGCGGCTGGCGATTGGTCGTCCCTTTTTTTTTTTTCCCTCCCATTTCGTTGGGGGTGGGCGGCAAGGCGGGACCCAGCTCAACGGGCGGCAGAACGACGAGCGTCCCGTCACCGCCAAAATTTCCATCCTGGGACGTGTTATCAAGCCTCGTCTTTCTTTTCTCGACGGCCCAACGGAAATCTCGGCGACGCAACTGGCGGGAAGCAGCCTCACAAGCAGCCGCGGAGCTTCTCAACCGAGCCTCAGCCTCCCTGCAGCGACCTTGTCTCTCCTCTCGGCCGCCCTCAAATCTGCCCTGAGGCGTCCAAGTCCCGAGCTCGCGGCGCCCCTCCGTGGCCAGTTTGTCCCGCATTGTCCCACCTTGGAGGCTAAAATCTCGACGCAGACCCTGATCCTCCCTATTTGCTCCAACGCCGTGAAGCTGCCACGAGGGCTCTTGTTTTCCTCCTTTCCTCCATACCGCCAACAATGGCTGCCAAACAGGAGGAGGGCCTCTTTGCTCGTCAGTACATTGACTACATCTACGTCCCGGCCGGCCTTCTCGTCGTCGGCACTGCCATCGTCAAGATGGACTGGACGCCTTATGCCGTTCTTCTGGCCGTCGCTCTCGGCGTCTGGAACTACTACAGCTTCCGTGAGTAGCCGCCTCGATCACTTGCTATTCTCAACGCCCATTGCGCTTTGTGCACTTGAACTAATTGTGCCTCCTGCAGAGCTCAAGAAGGTGCTGAAGCCGGATGTCTTCCAGGAGTTCCCGCTCCAGGAGAAGACCATCATCTCTCACAATGTCGCCATGTAAGTCCTCGTCTCGCCAGCTGCTCCAAACAACGTTTCTCCGCTTTGTCTAACAGCCAATCTTTTTTTAGCTACCGATTCAAGCTCCCTACGCCCCGAAGCATTCTTGGCCTTCCCATCGGCCAGCACATCTCCATTGGCGCTCACCTTCCTCAGCCTGATGGAACCGTCAAGGAAATTGTCCGATCGTACACCCCTATTTCCGGCGATCACCAGCCTGGCTTTGTCGACCTCCTGATCAAGTCGTATCCCCAGGGCAACATCTCGAAGCACATGGCCTCCCTCCAGGTTGGCCAGACCATCCGCGTCCGCGGCCCCAAGGGCGCCTTCGTCTACACCCCCAACATGGTCCGCCACTTCGGCATGGTTGCCGGAGGCACGGGCATCACCCCCATGCTCCAGGTCATTCGCGCCATCGTTCGTGGACGCGCCGCCGGTGACAAGACCGAGGTCGACCTGATCTTCGCCAACGTCACTGCTCAGGATATTCTGCTCAAGGAGGACCTTGACGCTCTTGCCAAGGAGGACAGCGGCATCCGCATCCACTATGTTTTGGACAAGCCTCCGGAAGGCTGGACTGGTGGCGTTGGCTTTGTTACCGCTGAGATGATCAACGTGAGTTACCTCTTTACCCTCTGGCCGTCAAATGTGTCTTTCAGTACCAGAGTTGATACTAACCCCGACATATAGAACTGGCTCCCCAAGCCCGCCCCCGACGTCAAGATCCTCCTCTGTGGCCCCCCTCCCATGATTAGCGGTCTGAAGAAGGCTACGGAGAGTCTCGGCTTCGCCAAGGCTCGTCCCGTCAGCAAGCTCGAGGACCAGGTCTTTGCTTTCTAAATCCTCTGCAAAACAAACGAAAAGGGAAACTTTCCCGTGGCGCCGGTTTCATCGCTTTAGTAGCAACATGTCTTGCCTTCTGCCATTCAATTCCTTGGAGGAAGTACTTTTGTGAAGCAAACGATACACACGAGAACCACGAGAGAATGGTGTAGTTCTTCTACAATAGAACCGTATAATAGTCTTCGTCTGATGAAGATGATACAATGAATAGTGGAAAACACGGAATACCAGGGCTTGTGGGATATCTTTTGGATAGAATACATCACGCATGGCTATGAGGCACAAACCCTGTGTGTAATGTGCATCTATTGAAAAGGCAATCCTGCTGAATCCCCCCCTGAAACTAACACCTACATATCTCCCATCTAATCAATCCCATTCGCTAATTTCTTTCTTTTTTCTTCCTTTTTAAGACGGTAGAGAGCACAACTGCTCGGTCGAAAGCTACTATACATGTACAACTTTGTGTGTTTGGCTTGAACCAAAATGATACCCTTCTCCCCTCCCCCTAAACTGCACCTCCCACAAATACCAGTAATCAATCAAAGCAGAACAAGCAACGGCGAATCATCACTCGTCATCCTCGTCCCCCGCCGCAGCGCCATCATCCGCCTTTGCACTGGGCTCCGCACCTTCATCCTCGTCATCGCTCTCCGCAATCACACGGCCCCTGCGAGTTCTCTTGGGCTGAGTCCGGGGAGCATCGACGTCGTCGTCGTCGTCGTCGTCCTCGTCGTTCCTATCGTCGCGACGATCATCCTCCTCCCGCTGCCGCTCCCGCTGCTCCTGCTGCTCCTCGTTGTCCACATCCATCTTGTCGGCAACGTCCTCGTTGGCCTCGGATAGGGGCGTCTCGTCTCTCTCCAGGTTTCGCTCGGCACGCTCCAGAGCGTCCTCGTCGTCGTCATTGGCTTCCTCGTCGGAATCAACCACAATCTCGGCGGACTTGAACTTGGAGGACTCCCGCTTCGTGAGGCGGCGCCTCTTCTTGGTGTGGCTCTCCTCCTCTGAGCCCTCGTCCTCGTCCGCAGCGGCCTTCTTCTTCTTGGACCGCTTGGGCTTGCCCTCGCCGGCTGGGGCGCGTGGCGCTGGCTTACGCTTCCGCCTGACCTTTTCGCCAGTCTCTTCGTCCGTCGTCATCTCGGCTTCCAGGCGCGCGCGCTCCTCCTCGGCTCGTTGCTCTGCGAGAAGCCTATCGCGGGCGGCGATTGCCTCGCGTTCCTTCCGAATCTTTTCTTGGCGCTCGCGCTCCTTTTCCAGCACGGCTCGTCTCTCTTCTTCGCGTCTCCTCATCTCAGCCTCGCGCAGCTCCTTGGCGGCCAGGATCTTCTCCTTATTCTTCTCCTCCCATTCCTTCTGCTTGCTGAGAGCTCTCTCAAGTTGCTTGCGGAGCGTGTTGCGGGCCATGTTGGCACGCTGCTCAACGTCATGCTTGGGATACGGCGTTTGGGGATGGGCAGCAATCTTGTCAAGAGACTCAATGGCTGCTTCGAGGCCTTGAGATGCATCTTCCAGTTGTTCAGCCGTCCGCCTGTTTTCGGGAAGGGCCTGAATCATTGTCACGAGCTGGATCTGAACAAAGGCAACGTTGAACTGATAGTGTATCTGATCCGGAGCCACCTCAAGTGCCTATGAGTCTTATGTTAGCAAGGGTCATCTTTACGAAACGGAAAAAAACCTCAATGGCGATAAGCTTACCTTCTTGGCGCATTCGAGGGCTTTGATGTAAGAGTCGACATCCCGATCTGCCCTCCCTCGGTTTAACCACGTGCGGCCGAGACATGAAAGAATGACCGGGTCATTTGCTTTGCCCTCCTTGGACAGAGCAATCTCATAGTGCTCAATGGCCTTGGAGAACTGCTTCAGCTCGGCGTAGATGTGTCCCAAGTTCACATACAGGTGAGCATCCTTGACTGTGTCCTTGACTTGGTTGAAGATGGTAAGGGCGGTTTTGTAATCTCTCTTGTCCTCGACGAGAGCGATGGCAATGCCCTGAGCAGCATATGCGTTCTTTGGGTCGAGTGACAGAGCTTTCTCGAAGAACTCAACAGCCTTGGAATACGTGGCGCTTCTCTTCTGCTTTTCCTGCTCGGTTTCACGGCGCATTTCTCTGGCCTGCACGAGATACAAGTTACCCATCCCAACCAAGGCGTACCTGTCGTGCTTGTCGTAGTTTTGTAATGTATGCTTGTAGTGACGGAATTCATGGTCCTCTGCAATGTTGGCAGGGCGCTTTCGAGAGTGGACCTTGCCAAGATACCATCCGTAGAGGGCTCGGACTTCCAAATCGGCCGTGTTTTCTTGGTACAGCTTTGCCACGGCATCAGGCCCTTCCTTGTTGGGGTTCTTCCGGAGCTTGATGTACGCCAGCCGTGTGCGGGCATCGGTGTAGTCGTCGTGGCGGTTGAGCAAGCCCTCATAAACCTCGACAGCCTTGTCCGTGAGCCCACGAGCCTCGTAACTTCGTCCGAGGTTGAAGCTGATGGTCGTCACCAGGGCGTCGGTGTCCATTGTAGGATCCTTCTCGCCAGCTCTCATGCAGGCACCCAGAGCTGCTTCAAACATCTCACTAGCGAGCTCGTACTTCTCGGCTTGGAAGTGGAAGCACCCAACGTTGTTTAGAAGTTGAGGTGGGAGGAACTTGCGAAGGGCTGCCTGGACCTCGGCCTCGGGTACATCCGTGGGGCGCTCTGACTCTGGGATCTGTTCGATCTCGAGCTGCTCAACCTGCTGCAGACACTGCAGTGCCTTGTCGGGGCTGTCCGTTTCGTAGAGCCGGGCCAGGTTTAGGAGCACGGAAGCGTCCGGTGACAGTGCTTTCTTGGGATCCTTCCACGAATTTCTGACACCCTCTAGCAGAGCAATCGCCTTCTTCATTTCGGCGGATCTGTCCTCCTTGTTGTCGTTGTTCTGGCTGGTGAAGATTTCCTCTGCGTAGATGGTTCCGAGGAGAATCATGGCCTCGTGGTTCTTGGATTGCTGAATGATCTTTTCCAGTCTCAGTTTCGCCTCTCCCAGGTCATTCTTTATGACGGACAGCTGGGCAACGCCAAATTTGGCTGGGAGATAGCCAGTCTCGGTGCCTCCGCGAGCATCGTCAGCGCGGCGATAGTAGTCGCTGGCACGCTCCAAGTCGCCGTTATAGTGAGCCTTTCGGGCTAGCAGGTACCATCCGTCACTGGCAACGGCGTTGACATCCGTATACTGGATGGCTTTGTGGGCCAGTTTGTCTGCATTATCCCATGCTTTCCGAGAGAGGAAGTAGCTTGCAAAGGTAACACAAGTGATGGGGACCTCCTTATCGAGCTTGAAGGCCTTCTGGGTATATTCGATCATGGCCGTCTTGTAAAGCTTGAGGAACTCGTCGCTGTTGACCGGAACGTGGCCGCTGGCATCGAGGTAGTACAGGCCGAGGAGGATGTTTGCGATTTTTGAGTCGGGGTTGATTTCCAGACATCTCTCCCACGCCACTTTGGCATCCTCCTTGAAACCAAGCTGCCAGAAGCAGCAGCCAATGCCAATACGAGGATCGGGGTCCACCAGATCAGGCCTCTTCTGAAGCACATCTTGATATGCAGCCAGGGCCTCGGGGTACTTGTGCATGGAAAACAGAGTGCGGGCCTTGCCCATCAGGGCCAGCAAGTTCTTGCCCTGAGAGACTCGGAGAGCATCATCGAAGGCCTTGGCGGCATTCTTCAGCAGCTCGCTCTTCTCGGTCCCCAGGCCCCCAGCAGTCTTCGACGGTCCTTGTAGTGAGGCTCTGAGCAGGAGCAGGACTCCTCGGGCGAGGAAGATGGGCGGGAAGGATGGGTTGAGGCGAGCAGCGTCATTCAGGGATGACGTTGCAAGCTGGAGATAGTATTCTTTCGTCTTGGCTTCTGTCGCAGGAACGCCGTCCGGCGCCACGCGAGGCGCTTCTCGGCTCTTCCACAGGTACATCCAGCAGAGACAGCATATCATGCTGACCTTATCGCGCGGGTTGCTGCTCTGGATTGCGTTGCCACCCCGGATCAGCATCTCGATGGCGTGGTCAATCTTGTGCTGCTTGGCATACGCCAGCGCGACAGTCATCCAGTACGTCTTTGCCGCATGTTCGTTCTCGAACAGGGTACACAGCTCGGTGGGATCGTCGACAAGGTCCTCGAGATCGATCTCGACCGCTTCGTCTTCCTGGTCGCCCTGGACGGGGATGTCGATGGCGGAGGGAATGTCGGAGAATCGGACGCTGGCAGGGGCTTTCAAGGCATCTCCGTTCGCCGTGCCATTGGCGGCGCCGTTCTGAAGAGCCGCCATGATGGATGCTGTGTTGCAATGGCTGTCGAGGTGTCGGGGCTGCGTCAAGGTCGGGCGAGATGGCAGGAACGCGTCCGCCGAGCTGGTGTTGCGCCTCGGAGGTGACTGGCAGAAAGGCTCATCCGCCGTCTCTAGATCATGGCAGGGTCTGCCGGGCGACGAAGACGAATGGATGCGAGGTAGGGAGTTGAGCGGGTGGTTGCCAAAAGGCGTGCTATCGCGAGTCTTGAAGGTCCAACACGACGAGGCGAGCCAGAAATTCCATGTACGTACAGTGCCTTAGCTCAGGGAACGCCAGCGTGGTCCGTGCGCGCCGCGATTGCGGCCTGGTGGTTGGCTATTGGCCAGAGCCCGACTTCACTCTCACCACCAGGATACTCTTACCTTGTTACATCATTCCTGATCGACATATATTGGTGGAAACTCAACGTTTCTCTTTCTTCTTTCTAGTAAACCATGGGTTATCTCACCACTGATCGATGGATTGCTTTCCTCAAAAAGGGGAGTATGGCTGTACGGACAGTATAGCCCACACACTCTCAACCCCTGAAGCTGACACAGGGTCGCTATCTGCCTTCTTTGAGATGGGCGTGTTGCCTTTGGGCGCTGCTCAGGGCTGAGTTCCGGGCGATTTTACAGCATCTGATAGTTCTCCCAGAGTAGATACGGCCTGTGATGGCGATGACATATCGAAACTCCCAGGCCTTGCGAATAGTATGTACCTATCCTGAGGACGTTGAAGATGACTGGCAATTGGCCGAATCTCCAAATCAGAGAGGCTTCCTCCATAGGCTGCCTTTGTTTCCGTCCTCTTATAGATTGAGCGTCAAAGAAAATCCTTGAGGGTTGAGTTCTAAGGTTGCCTCGCTGGCCAGTCTCAGGCACCCAACCGTCTAAATGCAGCATGACCCCAAGTACTCAAGTACTAAAAGAGAGCCTTGGGGGAACTTGCCAGCCGCTCTGCCAGCCGCCAGCCGGCTTCTCTGAGCTTTTGGCGGTTAGGCGGTCAAGCAACATAAAGCCCATGCAGTGAAGAATCTGAAACTCCTCCTCCCTCTTCTAGCCGAGAGCATCTTTGTACTCATCCTTCTCAACACTCCCGACTGCTGCCGAGTAATACCTGCATGAGAATCCCAGGATCACCAAATCCCATGAATTTCCTACCTATCTCAAGCAGGTACACTTATCAACTGCCCTGACGTTCTCCGCCGAATGCGACTGCAGCTATGCAGTTGTCCAAGGGAGAAGAGCATGCTCAAGCTCGCCGGCGAGCCAACTCTTGCATCGGTTGGCACTGCCTCAACTCTGTCACGCACTTTGGCATCATCTTCTCCATCGTCGTCACCTTTCTCATCTTATCGGTGGTATGGATGTATTGCATGGGAAGGGCAAGAATCTTTCGCAAGCAGACCGAGGCACAGATCACCCCTGACCGACGACGAACACAACCACGCCGCCACACGATGGAAGACATAGCAAGACCAGTACCGCCTCCTATTGCGCAGCAAGTGCCAGTCTTCAACTATGCAATTCCTCAGCAAGCTCCGATGTATTTCTTCCCAGGCCCCCAGATCCCAACAACTCTGCCACTCGGCGTCATGAATGCTCATGTCCAGTTCCCAGCTCCCGTCTTTCGACCGCAAGAAGCACCATACCCCCGTCATCCAGGTGGCATGGCTTCTGGGTATCCAAAAGCGCATGAGCAGCACCAGGAGCAAGCCGAGCCAGCGGACAATGTATTTCCGTCGCCTCAGCCCACATGGTGGCAACGATTCTACAGGGCGTTTACTCTGCCCGTTGGGGACGCATCTACTGTGTCAAGTTCTTCGTCTCCAGAGCCTTTGGACACTCTGCAGGCTGCAGATGCCGATAACAAACCCCCGACTACCTCACCACGCTCCGATGGCCTCAAAGTGCGATTTGATGATCAGAGGGAGAGAAAAGAACTGCAACTCCCGATCGACGACCAAGACGATGTTTCATCAATGTTATGCAACCTCAACACCTCCAGCGACTCTTTGTCATCGATCCGGAGCGATGTTGCCACTGTCCACAGTGACGACTTTGAGATGCCCCGTCGACGCAATTGATCAGTCACTATATACATTGATGGTGGAACGATGGAAGGTCTTGAAAGGCGTATGGATTCTAACCTGTACGAGTATAGGAGGAGTGGTACGGCCATGAGGAAGGCCCATGAGTAGGCGCATTACTTCAAATGACGCCCACAATATAACAGTTGTTTCGGATCTTTGATCTCATAGATTCTAGTGAAGTGGAAAGACGTGGGCGCTCAGTATCTGGACAAATTCCGTCTTGCACACGTGTTCGAGAATCCAAGCACAGGCACAGGCACAGCATACCTTAGTACCTTAGGTAGCCTGAGGCAGAGCAAGATTTCGCCCTCGCAAGCCTGATATATGCAGTTAGAATCCATGGTATCTGTGACAGCCTAAACCGCGGTGACGTCAAGTCGTCGAGGAGACCATGATGTTACCTATCAAAATGCAATTCGGATGGCGTTGAAGCTCCCGCAAGAGGCAGTACCTCTAGGATGGTACATACCTGCACCATGGGCTGAGGTACCCCTGAGGTGACGCCTATTCCGGAAGAACGCAAACATACTACGTAAAGAAGGCTAGAAACGATTGAATACCGTGATATTCACTCATTACCTAGGTAAAAGAGAGTCGATGCAGTGATGGGCGACTCTCTTCGCATCTCATGACAGCAAAAGTCAGAGTAGAAACGTAGAGTCAGCCTGCATCGTGAGTTGCAGGGATTGGCGGCAGCAGTCCATGGGTAAATGCGGACAGCCAACCTCGGAAGCGCGAGGCAAGCAAGCAAGCAAGCAAGCAACCTTGAAGGTACGAGCGGGCAAGTACTCCGCAGGTATTTCGTGCGTTTGCCCGGGAATCTGCTTGCTTTTGCCTGCCTCTGCTCTGTCGATGCAGGTGGTCCGTGCGCGCGGTATCGTCATCAAGCTGGAAGGCTGGCAAGGCAAGGCTTCTTCGACCTCAGCGACCTGCCGGAGCTTCTCAAGCCAACGCTTCGCTCTCCGCTTCTGCCTGCAAACCACCGCCACAGCCTCCGACTTGTCTTCCTTAACAGCCTCTTCCCGCTGCTTTCGTTAGAGAATGGCGACAGCCCTCCAGGCGCTTTACCTGCACTCACCTTGACTTACGACCCCCGTCACTGCGGCATAACCGACCAGACTGCGCCCCGCAGCCACCGTCGCCCCCAGAAGCTCAAGGACCGTCCAGAGCTCATTCTGGCGATACTGCGCCGTTCGCTGCCGCTGCGCAATCCCCTCAGAGCGATCTTCGCACGTACAGACGCCTGTTCGAGAGCGCTACCATCATGTGGAACGACGAGGACAACAATCCCTATGGGAGCAGCTTCGATCGGCGGGATTCGCAGACCTCATCGTCAGCAATTCCGAGCTCGCCGACATCCAGAGACTGTAAGTCCACCGCACCTCGTCGCTCCAAGCGCTGCTGGGTCGCCTGTTCGGGAACTGGATGCGTGACTGGATGCGACGACAAGAGAGTCAGAACTAACGCGAGATGAACGCTCTAGACGGAGTTTTTGAGACCTCCCATACCCCTTCAACTGGCAGCGACGATGCTCATTCACCACGTGCGCCCTTCAGCCCTGGTGCCGGGCACGTTGACGAAGAGGACGTCTTGACAGAGGACGCGCCTCCACGACGGAAGCCAGGCGGTTACAATAGCCGCATTGAGCAGATTCTTTACGAAAACCCCAACATGCCCATCATGATCACTGACGCGGGCAAGAGCGTGGAAAGCGGAGGGAGATACATTGTGTACACCATTAAGACTGGGGTTCGTCGCGCTCAGCTCTGTTCTTTGGACATCCGTCTGACCTCCTGTGTTAGGATCTCGAGGTTCGTCGCCGTTACTCTGAATTCGCCTCGCTCAGAGAAGCCTTGACTCGTCTTCATCCAACGCTTGTCATCCCACCTATTCCAGAGAAGCACACCATGGCCGACTACGCTGCGAATCCCACAAGCGCCAAGCAAGATCAGCAAATCATTGATTTACGAAAGCGCATGCTGATGGTCTTTTTAAACCGCTGCCGTCGAATGGATGCCGTGAGAGAGGACGGTGTCTGGTGGAGATTCCTCGACCCAAACTCAAGCTGGGTACCGCACCCCCCTCTGTAATACCAAAATTTGTGCCTCGGCCGTTACTGACATGATGATAGAGCGAAGTCTTGCATGCCCATCCTGTCGCTTCTATACCCAAATCTGTTCTCAAGGCACCTCCGCTGGACCCCGCGAATCCCACACCTGCACACAACTTCCTCCCAATTCCTTCCAGCTCAGCAAAGCTCAAGACTCCAGCCGGCGGTCAGGACTTGAGCGCCTCCGTTCTTCAGGGTGGGAGTCTTGCGATTGAACGCTTTCCGGCAGATGCATCAAAACTCAGCGAGCAGGAACTTGATCCGTATTTCATTTCTTATGAAGCCTCGATCAAGGAGCTAGAACAGCTTCTGACAGGTCCCATGGAAAAAGTCAACCGCCGGACCCTCAGCCATCTGTCATCTCTCGCGGCAGATCTTTGCGAGTTGGGGTCGAGATACAATGCATTTGCCCTCTCGGAGCAAGCCCCCTCCCTAGGACCGGCCATCGAGCGGATAGGACAAGCCGCCGATGCGTCATACATTGCAACCGAAGAGCTATCGGGCACTCTAGGCGCAAGCTTTGCGGAGCCGATGAGAGAAAATGCTCAATTTGCAGGAGTTGTCAGGAGCGTCTTGCGGTATAGGGTTCTCAAGCGCGTGCAGCAGGATATGACAACTGAGGAGTTGAACAAGAAGCGAGCGTTATTGGACCAATTGGAGCGCAGTGAAGCCGAAGCAAGACGTATCGAACAGTATCTCTCAAACAGCCAACAAATCTCACCTCCGCCGAAACGATCTGCCAGCGTTCGGGAGCCCCCCACGCAACACCGCCGCGATGGCAGTCAAGAAGACACCGAATCGATAGACTCGGATTTCCCACCCACCCACGGCGACTTCCCGTCGGTGCCCCCATCTGCCAGTCAAGGTCTTCCCGAGAGAAGTGTCAGCATAACACACAGGAAGATGCCCAGCACAAACTCTATAACGAACAAGATCTTTGGGCCAATTCGCCACGCGGTTCAGGGAGTCGTCGACGTGGATCCCGAGCGAACTCGCCGTGACACAATCGGGAAGACGCGGGAATCTATTATCCAACTGGAACAAGCGCAGGTGGTCTCTGAAAAGGACGTCAAGGAGGCTAGCGCAAGCGTACTCGAAGATCTCAAACGGTTCCAGAAAGATAAAGAGGACGATTTGCGGAGATACATGGTAAGTCGATCGAACCCACCGCGCAGCCTATTGCTGCCGCGCTCTCGAGGCATTGATAGTACTGACGCTCTCCACAGTTGGCGTATGCCAGGAGCCAGATTGAATGGGCGCGCAAGAGCAAGCAGCAGTGGGAGGAAGCCAGGGCAGAGGTCGACAAAATCGATGAAAACTAAGTAGCCTGTTGTTTGAAGCAAGTGCATCTGCTGAAATACCTCCTATACGAGAGCTGAGGAGCTGGACCAATGGTTTCAACTGCTGCCGTCGTTTCTTTAGTCCTCGGTGCCCTCAGCGCCTTTCTGGGAGCGTTCTGTTCAGTACGGAGGTACGCTGAAATAATACTTGGGTTCAATGACGAGATGCCTGTTGTTAGATACCTACCTAGCATTAACCCTGTTATCCAATATAGAGGTTTGCCTTGCAGCAGGAGGTCCATGCCGGCTTCGTCGACTTTGCCGATACCCTACAGAAAGGCAAATTAAAAGCAACAAGACGACTTATCTACTAATTAGACTGAAAGACACAATTAACTGTTTGTCTCCTGTTTAAGCGACCCTCGAGAGATGCATCGTATCGCAGAGTTACTTTGCGCCAAGTGCGTTGGTCGAGAGTTCAACCGAGCAATGGTTGATACCAATGGGTTGCCTCAAAGGTCGTTGTTTGGTCACATCATGCCTTGATTGGCTTAGTCTGCCTACCTAGGTACTTACCAAGTGGACGAGGATCTGCCCATTCCCGCTATCGATAAGCCAACCAGTGCAAGCCCCGTTTTACAGCAGATGTAGGCTTCCAGCTATTACCTTAGCATTCGAGTGCAACTCTCCCCCAACACCAACCAACTTACATCTTAATTCATCACGCGAAGCTCGATGCTCTCAAGGTGTCTGGCTTCAGATGCGCCGAGGCTGTGTGAACACGAGGCCATCCCCCTCTATTCTTAGCAATTACTCATACGGCAATTTCTTGTTTTTAAATTCTTTGACAGTATCGCTTCCACAGCAGCGAATCGGCGCTTGACGCGCCATTGAACAGAGGTTGTTGGGAAGGCAAGCAGCCAGTGGCGACCGGCAGGCAAGCGAGTCATGGAGCGCAAACCAGATGGGCCGATCGAGTCAATCGACGAGCCTGGCATCAAAGCCGAAGGTCCTCTGGTACACACATTGCGCAGAGAGGTCGCCGATTTGCTGGGCAGGCAACAGACCAGCTTCCCCGGTGCCCAGCCCGTTAGTTTCGCCAGACAGCATCTGGAAGAAATGACCAAGCAAGAGTATGGCAGCCGCCACAAGACGGGCTTGATTATCTTGACAGGCAGTTGACAAGCTAACGCGCGCCTGTCTATCAGTTACTACGTCTGCGAAAAATCCGACGGCATTCGCTATCTCCTCTACCTGACCGAAGACGAGAATCAAGGGGAAGCGCACTACTTGATTGACCGCAAAAACGATTACTGGTACATCACCAACAAGAGCTTACACTTCCCCCGCGAGAACGACGTCAGCGCCTTCCACACGGCAACAGTGGTCGATGGCGAATTGGTCTGGGACAGTCTGCCCAGTGGAGAGAAGGAGGCCAGATTCCTTGTCTTCGACTGCTTAGTGATGGATGGTTACAAGCTCATGGATCGGTCTCTAGACAAGCGGCTGGCTTACTTCAAGGAGCGACTTTATACGCCCTATAAGAAACTGTTCAAAGACTTTCCCGACGAAAAACAGTATCAACCGTTTATTGTCGAGATGAAGCCTTTCCAACTCGGCTACGGCATCGAGATGATGTTCAAACAGATACTTCCTAGTCTGAAGCATGGCAACGACGGCCTCATCTTCACCTGCCGAAACACGCCTTATAAGCACGGCACCGACCCTCACATTCTCAAGTGGAAGCCCCCGGAAGAAAACACCATCGACCTGCGGCTCAGGCTTACGTTCCCAACTGTTGAGCCCGACGAATATGAGCGCAAAGAGGGCATCACCGAACCTTTTGTCGATTACGACAGCGTGCCGAAGGCGGAACTCTATGTCTACAAAGGTGACGGCCCAGAAAAGTACGAGCGCTTCGACGACCTCTACATCACCGAAGAGGAATGGGAAGTCCTCAAAGGGCTGAACGATCCTCTGAATGACCGCATAGTGGAATGCAATCAAGACGACCAGAGGAGATGGCGGCTTCTCCGCTTCAGAGATGACAAACACGAGGCAAACCACAAAAGCACAGTCGTTAGCGTCCTGGAAAGCATCAAGGACCGCGTTTCTGTCAAGGACCTCTATGATGCCGCTGGCCCTATCCGAGATAGCTGGAAGGCGAGGCAAGCACGGGAGATGCGTGCGCAACGATAGGATGGAGATCTTGCTGCTCCAACCTCCGGCGTGCCTCAACCGATGAGCGATCACCCCTCGGCTTCCCTCTGTGTTAGGAGGAAGTCGCTTGGAGAGCAAAAGAGGGCGCCGAAAGATCCATGGGTAGGCCCCCCGCAAGAAGGATGGAAGCCGCCAGATACGACAAGATTAGAAGCCAGGCCAAGAAATCCGAGGGAGCAATCTAGAGTAAGGGGACGTAATAGGTGCCGAGCAACACGGGGCAAGGGCTTCAATCAGAGGACGGGACACAACTCAAAGGGTAAATCCGTTAATTCGATGTTACTGATGGCTCAGCAGGGTAAGATGGGGAATAGCGGCGTCATTGGGGCAAGGGTTTTGAAGGAAGACGCAGGCGTTTGGACAAAGTTGCTGCCTTTTTTTCCTTTTCCTTCCTTCTAATGGAGGTCTGAAGAAGCATTACTTCTCGGTCCCTTGTCATCAAGGCTCTTTATTTGGGTCCATTATAGTTTACCGAGTAATAGTTTTCAGATATGTGCTTGGTTACCGATACAGCTGTGCGATCAATGAACGAGGAACATTGCTACAGTGACTTGGTTTGACGTGTCATTCCTAACTGCGTTAAACGTAACCCTTTGCTTGGTGCTAAACCGAGGATTAAACAAAGCATCCATTGCTATCGTGTTTGGCCAGCCGACCATATTTCAACCATTTGCCTGCAGAGGCTTACTCATGGGTAATGTCTCATACCTAGAAAAAGAGACCCTTAATCACAAAAAAGAAAGAAGAAAGAAAAGAAAGAAATCGCCTGGATTGGTCTTCTTCCATGCATATAACCACATCCCCCTTATCCTTGAGCGGTGCCCAAAGACTTGATTTCGTGAGACGGGGAATTTACCCACTGAGCGAGCCCCTTAGAGCATAGCCATGACAGCCGCAACCGCGACAACGAGGCCGGCAAGGACGCGGCTTCGTGCCTCCTGGCCAATGCTGCCGCTGCTGCCGGAGACAACAACAACGGGGATGGAGGGCACGGCGCTGCTGGTCGCGGTGCCGACGGGGACGCTGCTCGCGGCGGTGCCGTTGTAGCTCGAGAAGACGGGCGTCATGAAGACGGTGGTCGTGGACGTCGCCGACTGGACGGTTGTCGCCGTGACGGTCTTGATGAGGGTGCTCTGGCCAAAGGTCTCGGCGCCGGCCTTGGAGCTGTCGTAGGCGGTAGTACCAGTAGCAGTGCTCTGGGCGGGCTCGACGTAGGGCGGGGTGACGGTGACGATGATGGGAGAGGGGGCTGTGCCGATGGTGGTGACGGTCGTCTTGAGCGTGGACACGGCGGTGACTGTCACGAGGTCTGTGGCGGGAGAGCTGGCCGCGGGGGGGCTCCAGAGGTCGGAGATGACGACTGTGACGAGCGAGGTGACGGGTTCTCGCGGCAGGGAGTAGCTGGTCTGGATGGCCGTGATGGTCGATGGGTTGCCGGAGACGGTGGCATCGGGGAGGCCGCTGGTGAGGGAGATGTCCGTCAGGACGTTTGTCACGGTGGCCGGGTTTCCGGAGACGGTCACGTCGGGGAGGCCGGTCATGGAGACGGTCACGTCGGGGAGGCCGGTCATGGAGACGTCGACGTTGGTGATGGTGGACGGGTTGCCGGAGACGGTGGCATCGGGGAGGCCGCTGGTGTAGGAGACGTCCGTGTTGACGTTTGTGACTGTCGATGCGCCGGCTGTCACAGTCACGTCGCCGAGGACGGAACTGGACGCCCAGGGGTTGGAGGGGGCCGGCTGGACGGTGACGGTGACGGTGACTGTGGTGTCGATGGCCGAGCAGATGGGGGCCTCTGAAGAAGTGAGGACCGACGTAGTCTTTGTCAAGGTCTTGGTCACGATGGCGGGCGTAGAGGGCGTGATGATGCTGTAGATGGTCGAGGTGGCCGTCTCAGTGCTGCAAGAAAGGCATGGTTAGCAGACTTTATCTTCTAGCAGATTTGCTGAAGGCTGTACTTACGAAATCGGGATGCTAGTGACGGAAACCGCAGGGTAAGACACAGAATCCTGAGTCACAACAGCGAGGGAACCATCGTCAAGAACCAAGGTGAGGACGTGAGCAGAAGCGGCGGACAGGGCGGACTCGGTCTCGTTGCAGTCGGCAGCGCGACGCTCAAGCTTGTGGTCAACCACGGGGATGGCCTCAGCAGAGACGACAGCCACTGCTCCCTGCGCCTGATACGGTCTCTCCAGGCCAGCTGTTTTGTGGTCAGATGTATTGAGATTTGAGGCTCAAGGATAGGGAGAGAGACTTACCGCAGTGAGCGACCAAGACGGTGATGGCGAGGAGGCCAGCCACAATGCAAATGAACAAGGCAGCGCTCGTCATGATCTTCAAGTCGAGGGGATTTCCCTTCTTGACCTTTTGAGCGACGGTCATCTTCTTCTCAGGCACGACGCCGCATTCAGCGTCTTTGATGTCCTTGATGTTGGCCACTATCGAGCGGAGAAGGATGTCAGTTTACTTCTCTTGCTTAGGGGATTGTGACGAGGCGGGTGAGGGAGACGACTTACTTGGAAACCACTCTCTTGGATTGTGAAGTGGGCAGAGAAATGAACGAGACTGGCAATATTGACGTTAGAGAAAGACTGCTCTGTGGGCTGGGTGATGGAAGTTGAGGGAAAGGTTTGTCGGGAAGAGGAGCTCGAAGGTGATACACGCGTGACGATGGCACCACGGGACGGAAAAGTAGGAAGTTTTTCTTTTCTTCTCCCTGTTCCCTGCTGTTTCTTACCGATCGAGGAGCTGAAACGCTTCGAAGAGTTTGAAGTGAGTGAAGAGTGTTTGAATCGAACGTGCAAATGGAGATATATAGAGAGAGACTGGAACTGAAACGTGGTTGTGGGAAGTAGAAACGAACGAGCGGAGTGTGTTGTGTGAAGGGGAGAGAGAAGTGAAAAGGGCTGAGGGGTGGAAATGTGCGAGCTTAATGGTTTGTTTATTTCACCGCGGCAGTGAATCACACGGAGCAAACAATTCGCCGGAGAGAGGCGAGCCACCACGCGTTCTCAGAGCTATCTTGACAGCTGGTGAATTGGGGTTGGGAGGTTGGCTGCCGGACCGGCAAAGTGGTGAGTGGGAGTGGCAGCTGGGTATTCGCGTGAGTAACGAGCTTTGTTGCCTACCTAGGTAGTATTTGAGTGATGACTAGGTACTACTTAGTAGATATGAATGATGAAAGATATTAAAGTGACTGAAACATGGCATCAAAAGTCTCCCGATGTGCAAGTAGAGATGTAAAGGGTAACTCTGTCGAAACTGCAGCGATCATCGACCGTGTCGTTCTCGTTCCGAAGAGGAGCAGGGAGTGCCGAGGTATATACACCAAAAGATATGCATGGCTATCACAATTTCAGCTTCAGGAGGAGACAGAGTAAGAGAATACATTTTGCAACCGATGTAGACAAACAAGTCCGTGAGGGGGACATCAAGGTAATGGTACCTCTCTACCACTACAATATGAGGTATGGGTAGCAAGCATCTGCATGGATGTCCGAGCTGGAACATTTGCAGTCCATGAGATTCAGGGCGTCCCGTACAACAACCTCTGTCAGAGCCCGGGAGCACAAAGATGGAACTTCGGCCTTGTGTGCATACGTGAGCCGTGAAACAAACATGGCTAGTGAGACCTGCTGAGGGCAAAGAGCCCCAACAGGTGCAAACGAGGAGGTAGTCTGCGGCTACTGGGTATAGGAATGCTTGTGAGCTTGAACTGCCTGGTTGTGTACATGTAATCATAGGGTACGATGCTCCTGGAAAGCTGCATCTCAGCCGGTGATACTTGGCGGTTTGCTGCTGCTGTAGTTTCGAGTTGCGGATCAGACTCGGCAGAGATACTTTGCTGGCGTTGCTGATACTCCAGACGATGATATCTCTAGGCAGTCCAAGCCTGCTGCATCCTTGGTTTGACACAGATCGAGAAGTTCCGTCATTATATGCACATAAATTCTGGTGATTTCTCTTTGCCACCACCGGAGCCAGGAGACGCATACGTAAGGTAGGTATTCTGGCCCTATCGCCAATGGACAACTCAGAGGTTGTATAGAAAGAGATACTACGCTTCTCATACTTGTAATTTCGCAATACTCTTCAAGGACTTATGTCTTCGGCACTGACAATATTTTCATCTGTTTCTTGGGTATTATGCCTCCAATGTCACTATTTGCAGTCCTGCGAGGCGGAAAATAGGGGGCTCCTCAGGTGCTCGGATGCTCTTTGTGCCTTACCTATGCATGTCACACGGTCTCTCTACCTACCTACCTTACCTACACAATCACCCAGTCAATACTCTCATCATCGCTTTCAAAGTCTTCAGGTAATATCAGAAAAATGTCAGGAAATAGGCCAGCATCGTAAACAGAGTGGTAATGCGACTGCGAGTGACCAAAGTTCATGCCAAAACACGGAGCATGAAGAAAACAAACGTTTGGAGCATGGCGCAGAAAAGGGTACCTGCGGTTTGTATGCGGATGCCACGTAATCGCAGGTATCCGGCCTTATCGCACAGCTTCCAAGTTGAGCTGACGCGGGGCCACTCCGGATCATCTCCCATCGCGTCGCGTAACGCTGAAGCACTGAAGCTCCCCTCTAAACTTGCAGTTGCTGCTCTAGACAATCGCCATCTTGTGCACCAGCCGCCTCACGCCAATTCCAGGCTGCGAAAAGGGAAGAAAAAAAAGGGCAAAAAGGGAATCATCACGCCTGAGTCAAGTCAGGTCTGCCGACATCGGTCGCCGAGTCTCTGGAGCTCGAACAGCTGCTCTTCCCTCTCGTCTCTCTCGGCAACCCAAACAAACGTGCGATGCTGTGACCCGCGCACAGCAAGACGAAGCACTTCGCGACCAGCCTACCTAGGTAACAAGCAGACTCCGGGATAGTTTGTTCGCCGCCTCGCAACAGCAACACATTGCCATCGTCGCCGTCTCCGTGCCCGCGCAAACATGCCTCGTCAGTCCACGAGGAGACGATCGGCGCCCGCGCCGGCAGAGGAGCGGTCTCACGCGGCGGAGCTCGAAGACGAAAATTCCGAGGCTGGAGCTGAGATGGAATCCGAGCCCGAGGCGGAGGCAGAGGCGCAAGAAGCCGAGGGCGAATACGAGGGAGACCACCGGAGACTGCGCTTCAACGAGGAGCTGTCATGGCGGCCTGCGAAGCCCATCCCCAGCGCCACGCTGCTGGCCCGTCTCGAGAGGCTGTCCAAGGAGCTGGCAGACTTTGAGCAGGGCGAGGTCGATTTGAGCTCGCTCAGGGGCGTCGCCGAGAAGCTGGCACATCGCAACCTGCTGCAGCACAAGGATCGAGGCGTCAAGGCCTACACGGCCTGCTGTTTGGTGGATATCCTGCGGCTGTTTGTGCCAGACGCCCCCTTTACAGATGATCAGCTCAAGGTGAGCCAACCCAGCTTCGAGGCTCTCCTCCCTCTATCTTGCTTGCTGACTGGTTCTGTGTAGATGATGTTTGGGCTGTTTATCAAGGACATTCTCCCCAGCCTGCAGGACCCCACAAACCCATACAACAGCCAGCACAAATACGTTCTCATGTCTCTGACCGATGTCAAGAGCATTCTGCTCCTAACCGAAATACACGGAGCCGACGACCTGCTATTACGCCTGTTCAATTCCACCTTTGACGGAGTCTCTGCAAACGCCAAGGCCCCGGCTGAGGAGCAGGTTGCAAAGGATGTCGAGATCCACTTGACGGAGATGCTGGTCCAGCTGATTGACGAGTCTCCTGGCAGCGTCCCCGCGAGTGTCATCGATGCCATCATCAGCCAATTCCTGCGAGCTGCTCCTCCTGGCGGCGGCCGAAGCAAGGAGCAGAACGACAAGCAATCGACACTCCTCCTCAAGACAGAGCCGCCAGCCTATATCATGGCCAAGGCCATCTGTAATGCGTGCGCGGACAAAATGGCACGCTATGTGAGTCAGTACTTCAGCGACGTGATCCTCAATGCCTCTGGGTTTGCGACTGCGGGAAATGGCGCCCGCCATGGGGACGACTCGGAGGAGGAAGATGCACATGCAGGACCTTCAGAGGCCGATCTCAAGAGTCTTCGCCAGGCTCATCTTCTCATCCGAGAACTTTGGCGAGCGGCGCCTGCTGTGCTGCAAAATGTGATACCGCAGCTCGACGCCGAATTGTCTGCCGACAACGTTCACTTGCGGCTCATCGCTACAGAGACGTTTGGCGACATGATCTCTGGCATTGGAGCTGCTGGCCCTCCGCCGCCTCCTGTTCTCGACCCTGCCGCATACCCTCCTATTAAGCTGATGGATGATACCCCTCCGCCAGCCGCAGCCGAAGCCAACGTTCTCACCAAGCCCTATTCTCCGCAGTCATTTGCGCAGTCGCACGCAGCGACGTATCGCAACTTCGTTGGCAGGAAAAACGACAAGACGGGCACAATCCGCACAGCCTGGGTCACTGCTATTGGCTACATCCTTTCGACTTCTGCGGGCGGCATTGGACTGAGCACCCAAGAGGAGAGCGAGCTGGTGAGAGCTCTGGTCGACAAGTTGAATGATAGCGAGGAAAAGGTCCGGTTAGCAGCCGTCAAAGCTATTGAGCTCTTTGACTTCCGAGACATCGTCCTAAAGCTTGGCATCCTCGGCGGTGTCGAAAAGGAGGGCTCGGTTTTCGCCAGTCTGGCAGACAGATGTCGAGACCGAAAACCAGCCGTGCGTGTCGAGGCAATGGTTCTGCTCGGCAAGTTGTGGGCTGTCGGCGCTGGGGAAATTGCAGACGGACAGGAAGCTGTGACCGCTTGTCTCGCGGGCGTTCCGTCACGCATCATCAATGCCTTCTACGCCAACGATCCCGACCTCAACGTCCTTCTCGATCGTGTCATGTTCGAATGCCTGATACCCCTGAAATACCCCCTGATAAAGGGCAAGGGAGCCAAGACTGCGGCTGCGTCCTCGCAGGGCAAGGCTGCGGTTGGCCAGGCGGACCAGGACAAGATTCGAGCCGAGCGAATTCTCCTGATGCTCAAGTCGCTCGACAATGCGGCACAGAAGGCTTTCTTCGCCATGCAGGCACGCCAGCCTCAATTCGCCAAGGGTCTTGAGATTTTCATTCAGCAATGCGAGGCCTACAATGGCGGCGTCATTGAGGCAAACGAGGACAAGGTCAAGGCCGGCCTCGCCAAAACGATGCAGTGGTTCGGTGCTTACTTTCCCGACCCCTTAAAAGTTCGCGCCGACTTGCAGAAGTTTGTCAAGCTCAACGAACGGCGCTGCTACCAGCTCATCAAGTATGCGATCGAGTCGGAGAGTGACTTCAAGACTGTCAGGCGCGCCATTGCAGAGCTGATTACGAAAATCTCAGCAACCTCCGCCGCCAGTTCTCTGGACACCCTGATTCCCCTGCTATATCGATCCAGCTGTCTCATGTTCAACCGAAGCCACTTGGCAACGATCATGGACTACTCCAAGAGCGACAAGAACGGTTTCGCCGCCGTAGCACATCAGGTCCTGAACGACATATCACAGCGAAATCCCGACATATTTAAAGCCCACGCTGAAGAACTGCGGAAGGAGCTCATCCAGAAAGCACCAACCGAGTCCACCAAATCCCACGATGCCAGCGTCGTCGATATCCTCAAGGCCTATTCATCGTATGCCAAGCGATATCCCGAGGATATCAACCTTGACCGGAGCTTCACGCAGACGCTCATCAACTACGCTCTCTACGGCGTGCCCATCAAAACACCAAAGTACGCCGTCAACATTCTTCTGGCGAAGAACGACGATAAGAGCAAGGCGACAGCCACCAACCTATTGCGCAAGGTCATGGCCAACTTTAAGTACGAAGCACCTCATCTCCTCAACAAACTAGCCACCATAAGTCAGCTTGAGCGCTTGGCGCCGACTGTTACAGTGGATTCGGACCGGGCAATCAACGACATGATCATCAGGCAGATTCTGCGTGAGGTCCGAACCAACGCCACGGAGAAGGATCCTTCCTGGGTTGATGACGCCGACATGGATGAAGAGATCCAAGCAAAGTGCCTCTCTATTCGAATCCTCGTCAACCAAGCTCTGGCTACCTCGACAGATGCTGATGCCGAGGAACGGATCAAGCCCGTCTTCAAACTCCTCAAAACCTTGGTCGTCTCGGAAGGCGAGTTTTCCAAGGTCAAGGATACGCCCAAGCATCACAAGAAGCGTTTGAGGCTCATGGCCGGCCTCATGATTCTAAAACTCTGCACGGTGAAGAAGTACGACGATCAGTTCGACCATGCGAGTTTCAACAAGCTTGCCGAGCTTGTTCAAGACACCGAGCTCCAGGTGCGCCGTCGGTTCATGGACAAGCTGCAAAACTACCTCACTCGCGGCAAGCTGCGCGCGCGTTTCCTCACCATCCTCTTCCTCACAGCGTTTGAGCCTTTCCCAGATCTGAAGAACCGCGTGGAGACATGGCTGCGGTCACGTTCCCGGTACTATGCAGAAAATGGGCAGCAGATCATGGAGGCTCTCATGGGAAGACTCATCCCCTTGCTGGCCCATCATCCAGACTACACCTCCGACCCAGCCGACTTGGTTGATTTTGCAAACTACTTCCTGTTTTATCTTGCCGCAGTCGCGACAGAGCAGAACATATCGTTGATTTACAAGTACGCCGAGAGAGTCAAGCAGACACGTGACGGTGTCGACCCGGAGAAGAGCGAGAACCTCTACGTATTGAGCGATCTGGCGCAGACCTTGGTACGCAAGTACCAGGAGAGAAAGAATTGGAGCTTCCAGGCTTGGCCGGGCAAGGTCGGTCTGCCTACAGGCCTGTACACTGCTCTTCCGTCCAGCGAGGTTGCCCAACACATTGCAAAGAAGCAGTATATCCCGGACGAACTGGACGAAAAATTGGACGACTTGATTCGAGCCATGGACAGGAAGAAGGTATGGCTTGCGGCACTCCCTGCACATGGGTTAGACGTCGAATAATCTACTAACCCCTTGATTATAGAAGCGAAAGTCGCTCCATGAAACGGCAGACCATCCAGCAAAGAGATCCAAGACCCAGATGAAAACCGTCATCCGTGAGAAGCCAGGTCCCAAAGCCAAATCAGCCAAGGCTCCTGGCAAGAAGGCGGCAAGGCCCAAGGCGACTCCCAAGGCCAAGAAAACAGCACCCTCTGTGCCTGAGGGCGAACGACGCCGCAGCGGCCGCGCTCACGCCATCTCGACGTATACGGAGCGTGGGGACGAGGAGGACGAGGAAGAAATGCTGGAAGGGGTAGCGGAGTGGGAGTATGGCGACGATGACGAGGATGATGAGGAGGCATCTGAGCAAGAGGAAAGCGGCAACGAGGACGAGGAGGATGGCTCCGAGGCGGACAAGGCCGAGCCCGAGCCTGAGCCCGAAGCAGAAGAGGCTGATGAAGAAAACGACGAAGAATCAGAGCCGGAGCCGGCAGCCCCGAGGAGCAACGGGAGGAAGTCAACCGCCGCCGCTGCCGCCGCCTCCAACAGGGGCAAGGGGAAGACCCCAGCCCTCAAGGCCAGCGTGTTGGCGAAGACGAAGCGGCCGGCGCGCGCCACTCGAGGACGGCCTTCCAAGGGTGCGTCGGACATGGACGTGGATGAGGACGACGAGTAAAACGTATGTATGTTAGGGAATTGGCTGTCGTTTTTTTTTTTGCTTGGAGACGATTTTCGTTTGATACTTTCTGGGCCTTGTCGAGACGGTTCCTTGTTCTGGTCTTCCTTGTTTTCTTTTTTTTTTTTCTTTGTCCTTTCTTATTGAATGATATGTTGTTCGATTGATTCGACTGGTTGCGCTGATTTACTAAAGTGTTCTTCTTTTACTCTTGGCTTGTCTGTCTTCATTTCAGAAAAGAAACTTGTTCATATCTGCGGCCCTTGTTGCGTCTTTTACCGCGTTATGCCCCCTTCACACTGTCTTATTGTGTTCCCATCATTTGCATCCGTTATTTCGACATGGTACCAGTATGATTTGACATTCTTTGAGGATGGAAAATGGATGCGGCAGGGCGTCTTCTGGATCTTTGTATGTGATGCAGTAACGAATTCTCGTGTTGCTCTTCTATTTGCGTCATCGTTCCAAGATAATCGTGCTCTGTCCCTTAGTGTATGGGGGAAAACAAATGGTAATGGATGGCTCAAAGTGTAAAGAAGAACGTCTGCATGTCTCGTTTCTCCTTTCCCCTCCCACTACATATCTGCCGATCCTATCGAACAGGTTCTTTTTTTCGCCATGTATTCTGTCTGAGCGTATCATAAAGCGCCGCTATTCAAGATGTCCGCTTACAATGATTTCTCTACACCATCCATTAAAGCCCTTTCTTTCAATTCCTTCCCCTCAAACCCAACTACACGCCCCCCCCTTCTCCTCTCTCCGTCATGACGTTGATGTAGAGCCGCCACTCCCTTGTGCCGCTAACCTCTGCCTAACCTTCTCACGGTGTCCCGAAAACTTCAGATGGGCCTCGAATTTCTGCGCCGTCATGTCCGGGCCGGGCGTGTACAGCTTCGTCGTGCAGTCCAGGCAGCGGATGCGCGGCAGCCAGGCGTATTTGACGCCCTCCGGCATGGGCTGTGTTTGGACGGGCAGTTCCGTAACGGGGTCGAGGTGTGAGTACTTCATTATGGCCTCGAACCTGTCGCCGTTGGGATACTTTTCCTCGAGCTCCTTGAGGGACTGCACGAGCCATTCGGGTGGAGGAGGCTATATTGGGAGAAAACAAAAGATTAGTTTTGATGAAGCCTTGAACGGACATGTCCCTTCGTGGAGGTGCAACTCTTGGTGTAGGGCGAACTTACTGCTGGAGGAGGAGATTGGCCAGGAATGAGGGGAGGCGCAGGCAGACGGCCAATCTGCCCGGGAGGAACAGCGCCAGTTGGCTGAGACGCAGAGCCTGTTTGGGTCGGGGTCGGGACGGGCGTCGCCGACTTGGTCTTTTGAAGGGCTGTAAAGGTTGGGGTTCGGGTGTTGGAGGTGGAAGAGGGAGTATCTGGCGGCACGGAGGCAGCAGCTAGATCGCGGTAGTCGCCTCTCATGAGTCGCTTCAGCTTGTCCCTGCTGACCTTGAGCGTCACCAGCAGCTCCGGACGCTCTTCTGGTTCGTCATCGCGGCCGCGGCGACTTGTCCTAATCTCGTGATGGTGGCCTCCTGTGTCTGGCGTCTCTGATCGGCCCAGGTTCGCCATTCTTATCGTGGCAGCGGTTGCGGCTCCGCGCACGTTCCGTGTGCGACCCGTACCGGCAGGCATATTTGGGGGCGCCGGGGATTCGGGCGCAGAGTCTTCGCTTTCCTCGGACTCGGATATCTCACCATCACGAGCAGTCCGCTTCCTGGGAGGACCCGCCACCTTCTTAAATAGCCTGCTCTCCTCAATGCTTGCCGCAGCTCCTGGGAGCACCGACGATACGATGAGCGTGCGAATGGTACGCTGCCGTTCCTTGAGGTCGGGGAGCTGTGGCCCTCCCCTCCTGTTGATGGATCTCTTCTGCCGCCGCTGATCTCGGGAGAAGACCGTCTCGTTTCGTTCTAGGTCGGCCTCGCTCATCTCGTATAAGTAGGGCGCATATTCCTTAGCCTGCTGCTGCGGGCGGAAGACGGTGGGCAACGGCGTCTGCAGGAAAGCAGACACGAGGTCCGAATCCTCGATTGGCCTTCCATCGAAGGGGTGGCCGATTGTGTAGAGACTCTTCGTGAAGAGCTGTGACTGCTCGCGAATGCAGTGGGCAATGGCTGTGGTAAACTCCCCAGACAGGGAGAGATCTCGCGTCATGCGAGCCGCAAACTCCTCCGGGGAGTTGTTCGGGTTGTTGATCTCCCATTCGAACTGGTCCACCAAGGTGTGCTGCCCGATTGTAATGTTGAGCTTGACGAGGATGCGCATCTCGTCGTTCTTGTAGGCCGAGTAGGGGAGCTCTGGGTCCAGTGCGTCTTCTTCGGAATAGGCGAAGGGGTAAAAGTCGTTGAGCTGCTCTCGCATCTGCTGGACAACCTGCTCGTACACGGGTTGAGAAGCCGGGGGCTTCAAGCCCATGTCCTCGACCAGCTGAGCGGCAAACAGCTCGACGGCCAGCAGACGCTCGTGCAGGTTCCAGGTAAAGGTGTCGCGCAGCTTGATCCTGTCCCACTCGACGTCCAGCCTCAGGGGTACCAGGTCCTCGTGTTGCTCGGCCTGCTTCAGCATGTCCTTCCGGCTGTATTTGAGGGGAGGCGTGGTGCGGTGGCCGGGGCGAGGCTTCTGCGACGGATACACGACTCTCGAGGGCCCATGGTTCTCTGTGAAGCCGTTGGCGTAGCCGTTGTAGCCCTCGCCGTACAGCCGGCTGGGGGGGAACCACTGCTGGTACTGGGTGCGGACGGCGCGGTACTCGTTGATCATCTCGCGCATCTCGTGCGACGACTTCATGGTCTGATTCAGCTGCTGGCTGAGGGCGGACGCGGCGATGGCGTCGCGCATCGTGTATCGCTCGACCATGAGCCGGTCAAAGGACTCCTTGGTGCGCACGGGGATGTCCGCGGATGCGGAGGCGGAGGCGGAGGCGGCGTCTTTCGCATCGTCGGAGCCCGAGGCCGACGTCGTCGATCCTGGGCCGGTGGCCGGAGCCGGCATTGATGGCTGGACCGCGGCCATTGTCGGGGTCGTTGATGGATCTTGTCGCGAGCGCGGGCGCCGCCGAGTCGCAGCGGTTGCGACGGAGGGGGGTGGATGTCGTTATCGATACGGACGGCAGCGGCTGGGGCAGTGGCAGGATCGTGAGATGCCCTGTAGCAGCAGCTGGCTTCGGCTCGGTTCGACGCGGACAAGAAGCGTCGCTGCTGGCGAGATGCGGTTGCTGGGCTGATGTTTGGGTGGTTTGAGGACAAGATTCTAATCGCAGCAGCGCGAATGGCGATAATTGGTGCCGGGTGGGAACAGCTACCTATCTGGGCCTAGCCGCTGCTGCCGGGCGCGCTAGCACAGGAACCGAGTAGGCGATTCGGCTTACATAAGACACCGGCCAATCGTGGGCGCGCACGGTCAGATTGCTTACTCATGCACTTCAACAACAACCAAAACTCGAGAGAGTCGAGACTTGAGCAGGACTCGAGACGCCAATTGCTCGTTGGCGCTGCATGACGAATGGCCAGCTGAGCATGGTTTGTTCCGGAGTTCAACCGCTGGCCATTGATTCAGGACAGGGCAAAGCGTAAGACGAGGGCTGAGAGAGGCCTACGGAGCATGATCAATACCAACATGAGCCTCATTTATCTCGCCCAGTCTTGTCTTGTACTGTAATATACTTATAGACGGCAAACAGGTAGGAATATGCATGCTTATGGTACTCTGCACGACGAGTGTATTATCTAGGAGCTCATTTCCAGGCCATGGCCACGGTGTGACAGAAAACTTGCTGGAGGTAATCAAACGCACCAGCCGCAGCATGAGACATGCATCTCAACTCCAAGGCTTTGGGTGATACCCTGTAACAGCCCAAGACAACACTGCCATTGAACGGGTCTTACGTTGCTAGGCCAGCCAATCTAGTAAGGAGCAAGGAGTCCAACACATGACGGAGAGTAAGATTGAACGCCTCAGATTCGTAGCAGCTCGTCATTAGCAACGGATCCGCGGTCTCTCAAGCCTGTGACGTGCATGTTATTGCCCTAAGAGCATGTGCTGCGTGGATGATGTAACCATTTCCCCCAACCTTGGCACCATCTCCATGACCACTTTGTACACCAATGGTCGTCCCATTGCACCGCAAGTTGCCCGTATTTGGTGTGTATAGATCTCCAGTGACGTTCAACTACAGAGAGAGGGCTCTTTCGGACTCTGAGTCCAAGCATCATTGGACCTCCTTGGCCCAGATAGAAGATTGCTCTTCTTGTTTGCTTGCGCCGCTGCTCGATCCGGCGTCGTTCGTATTCTCGGCTGAAGCAGTGGAGGAGTCACTTCACTAGCACAAGTCCCAGCAGCCCACTCCGGCACCTCGGCCACCCAATCGTGAAGCTCGCTGCCCGGCAGAAGATGCTCGAGGCCCAGAGGCTGTAGCCCAGGTTTGCCCGTATAGCGCCCCCCCTGTAGGCGCTGTGCCCGCCTGGAGCAGTGCGTATGACTGCACTGGCATGCAAAAATGGCCCCCCCAAAGAGCCCACATGCGCCCCCCGTCAATGACCGACGTGCTGCGGATAAACCCCTCCAAGCCCCCGTTCCGGGTAACCTTGCGCACACCACAGCTTTTGCTTGTTTTTTTGCGACAGCGCCCCAGACCTGAAGCTTTGCTCCGACAACTGCACGCCTGGAAAAATACCAAAGAACTCGCCCGTGAGCTTTCACCAATTGCCCACCATGTCGGAGACCAAGGAGATCGGTACGTGCTTTTGCGATGCCTCGCCCTGCATCTGCGTGACGTGACGTGAAGCAACATCAACAGCAGCAGCAGCAGCTTCAACAAAGCTCTCTCCCTCCCCTCTTGTTTACCTGTACCTGTTTTGCATGCCTCTTGGGTACCCCGCCAAAGCCACACAAGCACCGCAAGCTCTCCCGCCTCGCCCAATAGCCGTCACGACAGCAGGCCGCACACGACCGCCTGTCTCCAGCGCCCGCCATGGCCTACACTCACGAGCAGGGCTAACGGCTGCCTACAGACTACTCCCTCAACAACCCCGATACTCTCACCAAGTACAAGACCGCCGCCCAGATCTCCGAGAAGGTCCTGGCTGCCGTGTCTGACCTCTGCGTGCCCGGTGCCAAGATTGTCGACATCTGCCAGCAGGGCGACAAGCTGATTGAGGAGGAGCTCGCCAAGGTCTACCGCGGAAAGAAGATCACCAAAGGTTAGCCTCACGAGCAGCAGCAGGTCCCGAGTGCACTTTGAAGGCTAACGACGACGTCTTGCGCAACATAAAAAGGCTTCTCCCACCCGACCACCGTCTCCCCCTCTTCCTATGTGACCCCCTACACGCCCCTCACGACCGATGAGAGCGAGGCCTCGATCGAGATCAAGGAGGGAGAACCCATCAAGATCCAGCTTGGAGCTCAGATCGACGGATTCGGATCCATTGTCTGCAACACCATCGTCGCTACCGACAAGGAGAAGGCTGCCGAGCCCGTCACCGGACGCACCGCCGACCTGATCCTCGCCAACCACTACGTCAACGAGGTCCTCCTGCGACTCATGGTTCCTCCTGGGCTCCTCGCTCAAGGTACCGACGAAGAGAAGGCCAAGGCTGCTGCGCAAAAGGCCCCTACCCAGTCCAAGATCACCAGCCTGCTGGAGAAGGTTTGCGATACTTACGAGTGCAAGCTGGTTGAGAGCACCACATCCTGGCTCTTTGGCCGCAACGAGATCGAGGGCGCCAAGAAGATCGTTCTGGCACCCGCCGAGGGCACCAAGGGCGAGGGCGTCCCCGAGGTTGGCGAGGTCTGGGGTGTCGAGACGGGCGTCAGCCTGGGCTCCGGCAAGGTCAAGACCCTGGACCAGCGCGCTACTCTGCACCGCCGAACCAACCAGACCTACCAGCTGAAGCGTCCCACCTCCCGCAAGATCCTCTCTGAGGTGCAGAAGAAGTTTGGCACCTTCCCCTTCAGCTTGAGGCAGCTCGACGACGAGCGCGATGCCAAGTCTGGCGTTGTCGAGTGCGTCCGAAACAACGTCTTCCGCCAGTACGAGCTTGTCGGCGACAAGGACAACGCCCCCGTCGCTAGACTCCTCACCACCCTTGGTAAGTCCTCATGGCCCATCCACCCGGGGAGAACAATGCGGTCCGCATGCTAGCGCAGCTGAGCTAACACGACAGCGCGACAGCCATCACCAAGAACGGCATCACCAAGCTGGGCGCCGCCCCTGAGCTTGACCTCAGCAAGTTCCAGACGGACAAGAAGATCACCGACGAGGAGATTCTCAAGATCCTCGAGCAGCCGCTGGCCAGAAATACCGGAAAGAAGAAGAGCAAGCCCAAGAAGAAGGCGGCCAAGGCTGACGGCGCTGCCGAGGAGGGAGCCGACGCCGAGGAGTAAGGCCTGCCTATGAAAGACTTGGATCCGCGAAAAGGGCCGCCTTTGCTTTGTAAATGGCTGCCCAGGATTAGGATAAAGCCTTATACTACCTAGGCAGAACATCCACCCGACGAAACAAAGGAGTCAAGAAGAAAAAAATTTATTCTGGCTTTGCAGTTTGTGAAAGCCAAGAAACGAAATTTTTCGCTAAACAGTCTGTTTAGGTGATGAGGGGATTGGGCTACGATAGAGGGCTCGTGAACCGAGGTAGTGAAGCCAGGCAGTATATAAAGCATCAAACATCAAGACAGAGATTCGTTTCGAGGCAAACTCCAGCCCCCAAAAATCCGGCCCGTGCACGTCTACATACACAAAAGCGAGAGATGCGACAGAATGATGTCAACAGTGGTTGCGATGACCAAGTGACATGATGGTGATGACGACTTCCTCATCATTACATACCGTAGGTTTTCGTTTCTCTCCTAACAAACTGAAAAAGGGGACGGGGAGAGGACAGAGTATGAGGAGGCGAAGAGGAAAAAAGAAGCGGAGGAGAAACTTGCAGAGAAAACTACCCGAGCATCGTGGAGTGCGTCGTCTCCCGCTGATCCGCCTCGATGCCGAGTGAGATAAGGTAACTTGGCATAGCCGCTCCTCCATGGGACCAGGCGAAGGGGGGGCACATGGAAGGGTCTCAACGTCAACATGGGCAAACATGGCTATTTTCGACTCGTCCCTTCCAATGGCCGCCATGCAGAGACAGCAGCCGAGGACGGCGGCAGCTCAAGCAGGGGGGGGTGAATCAGTCGCAATAAGAGCTTACACGTAGCAGATGTTTTCATGTACGGAGTAACTAATGCAAGTATGCCCATACCCATGCCACAGACCCGTGACTTGAGACCGAGGACGAGTGACTTGGACTCGGGCAATTTTTGACGATGAATGGGGTGGTAGGGGGAAACGGGGGTCCGGGAGGTGAGGAGTCGTAGGAGTAACAGCGGCAAAAATAAAGAGGAATGAGCTGCGTGAGAGAAGGCCAGAGAAGATGACGGAGGTAGAAAAAAAAAATTACAGAGAGGTAGGCAGAGATGCTTAGTAGTAGGGAGGTCGGAGGTCGGAGGGAGGCGTGCTGGCAGCTGTCAGAACGTGAGAGGCGAGGTGCAAGAAACGAAAGGAAAAAAAAAAGGAGGGCCGTGCAAACGTCGAAAGGCAGCTGCAACAGTTGCGCAGCCGAGAAGAGGATCCTCTGCATCACTAGGAATCAGTATAAAATCCATCCTCGAGCCCAGATTTTTTTTTTCTCCAGCTGCCAACGAACCCTAAGGCCGGAGCTCTGAATCGGTGGTGGGAAGGTGTTGAACCTTGGACGTGCCACTGGGTCGCCCCCCTTGTCCAAGAGCCTGGCCGCCTCCTCCGAAACTCATCCAGAAACCTGCAACCCACAGCCATCTTCCCTTCATCCCAAGCCACGCAAAAAGCGCGTCGGGAGCGCCCCCAAGATCAAAAATCCCATCAGCAGCGTGCCTCGACGGCGGATGCTATTGCTGCAGAGAGAAGTACTGATTTTCCCTTGCGCGGCACCAGGCGCTGTGACGCCTCTTGGTCGTCGTCCCTCTCTCTCTCTTTCTCCCCTACCCCCTGTCTGAAGCTTCGCCGAAATCCAGTGGCTGACCCGGTGCCCTTTTTTTTTTCTTTTCTCGCCTCGCAGGACACCCTCGAGAGCAGCGTTGCCCGTCCCGCGGCCAGGACTGGGGGCAACCAGCAACTCGACTCGCCAGGCCCATCGCCATGATTTCCTCCAACACGAGGGCGTCGCGGTCGCGCTTCTCGAGCCCCTCGCGGCCGCTCGAGGCCAAGGCATCTGCCGGCAATGAACCCAAGACGTTTATGCAGCGGTGGCTGGAGCCGTCGGTCCAGAGCAAGGCCAGCTTCGAGGAGGCGGGATTGATGCGCTACGGCGTGCTGGAGACCATGGCGCCGCTGGGGACGCTGCCCAAGGCCAAGAAGAACGGCGACGGAGGGCCAGGCCATCAGTCGGTGCGCAAAATCATCCTCCGGCCGTCGGGGACGTCACACGCCGCAACCCATCACGACGACAAGCCCGCGCAGCCCAAGGCTCGCCCCAGCAGGGCGCCATCGCCCCCCGCGCCCTCGACTCCGCCTCCTCCCGCGTCAGCGCCATCGCATCGGAGGCCACAGGCCGCCAAAGACGCCGAGGACGACGACGACTACGACCCCAAGGGAGCCTCGCGTCGCCGTCCCTCGCGGCGCGTCTCGCTGCCTGCCAAGCAGCATCAGCAGCAGCAGCAACAGCAGAACCCTCAAGCAAAGAACGTGGAAGAACCCAAGAGCACTACGGTTGTCATCACCACTGCTGGTACGCCAAAGGCCAAGCAGGCCGCTGCGCCAAAACGTGCGCACCCCCGCGAGCCAGAGGACAAGGAGTTTGCCGACCTGGTCGTCGAGGCGGCCGTGGACGAGGCCCTCATGCACTTTCGCTATCCTACGGCCTGGGCTCTCAGGACACTCTACGATGAACGGTGCGGCGACGCGGACTTTGTCGCCATGGTGGAGGACGTCTTCAAGCAGAGGGCCGACGCCGAGACCAGGGATGAATTCGCCCGGCTGATTGAAGTGAAGAAGCGCGAGGGCAAGAAGGACGACGCGGGCTGCTACTACTTCGTGCCCCCTTCTACCAACAGCAGATTCCCTCCGCACACGCCCATGGCCGCTCCCTACGCCAACCTGCTGCACCGTCACGCCGACGACGAAAAGGGCGAGGGGCGAGCGGCCAAGAGGAGCAAGACGTCGCACGCCGGCGAGACGCCTCGCAGCAAGAAGATGGCCAACGGCAGCAAATCGCACGGCGACAGCACCCGCACGCCGTCGCGCAGGCGTCACCGGCGGGACTCGGGCTCTAGCGAGTCATCCCTGTCGTCAGCAGTGAGCCTCTCGTCGCCCGAGGCCAGCGTCCACAGCCTGAGCCCGAGCCTCCAGCACGGCGCTGCAAAGGCTGCAAAGGGCGGCAGAGCTGGCAAGGCCGGCAAAGCTGCTGCTGCTGCTGCGCCTGGCGGTGGTGCCACGGTCGCTGACACTGTGATTGCTGCTGCGTCGACTACTACTACTACTACTACGGGGGACCGGTCCCAGTCGTCCCATGATGCGCCAAAATCTCGGCCAATCACCAGCACGCGCCGCAAATCTCTCGCCTCCGACAAGCAGCCCGTGTCCAACTCGTCGGAGCCAACCTCTCCCACACTTCCGAGCCGCACCCACGCATCCGCGACCGAGGCCAGCATGCCTGGCAGGGTCACCGGCGCCGAGCTGCCGCTCTCCAACCCGCCCAGCAAAGGCAAGCCGAGCCCCAAGGACGGCGGCAGCGCCGTCGGGCCCTCGATGCCTGCTGCTGACGACAACGACCTGTTCTGGGCGAGGCGCCGCGAGGCTCAAAAGGTCACCAACGGCTACACCGCCCGCGAGAGCTCCATCCGCAACGGTGACGAGGATGAGCACGACGAGGTGACTCCTGCAAGGCGGACCAGAAGGACGCGGACCTCCCTGCCGGCGGCTCCCATCAGCACGCGGGCCACGCGCTCGGCGAGCAAACGGCCAGGCAGCCACGCCAACAGCAACGCCAACAATGACGATGTCGATGCCGTCGCCGCCTCCTCGCCATTGGCCTTCTCATTCAACGAGGGCAGTTCTACTGTAGGATCACGAGCCGTGACGCCGACGAACCTGCGGCCGGCGAAGAAGCCGCGGACAGGCCTTCGAATCAAGTTGTCGTGAGTTTTTTCTTATTCCTTCACCCTTCACTTCTTCTCTCTCTGCCTCCTTCACCCCCTTCCCTACCCTTTTTCTCCCTTCTCTTTTTCTTTCAATTGTTTCTACGTTTCGCGCAAAGGAATTTGATCCCACCATTTCATACACACCCAGACGATTCTCTCCCCTCATGATATCATGAAGAATTTTCACCTCCACACAAAGGCCCATTGAAAAATCTCGGCATGATCCAGGCTCCTTCTTGGGATGTGCGTCGCTTGCGAGTGTTTGCATCTGAAGAAAAACATCTTTCGGCAGCCTTGTGATGAAAATCAATTTAATCACTCTCTTCAGCCCTCACGCGTCACGACCAGATGTCATCCCCCTCCCTACCTCACTCACCACCACTCCCCATCTTGAAACCGCAGCTCAACAGCCTCATCATGACAAATCACACTTTGCTAATCATCATTTTCCCGTGATAGACCGATGAAGAAAAAGGGCGGAACTGCCGCTGGTGTTCCTCGCTCAACTGGGGAGGCCCAGTCAGTAACGGTGAGCAACGGCGCACCAAGAGATCAGGTATGTGGCCATCGTATTTCATCTTATCTCCTCGGGAGAACTCTCATCAAGCTCTCTGCGTGGATCGGCCTCACAAACCGCAGAGTTCGACTTTGAACTCGAGAAAATACGCGGCCTCAGGGATGCAAGCGCTCTCTGCCAGCCCCCCGTTTCTCACGCACACAATTTTTTTTCTCGCACTGTCATCCGCAGGCCCTGAAATCGGGGCAAAGGCCACACTGGATGGAGTTATTGACTCTGGGGGCCACGACATGGGGCAAGGATCTCCAACCACGCGCATTTTAGTGGATGCGGTCCTTGATCCGCCCATGCCGCCGCTGCCTGGGAGGGGATGATGCAACGTGTAATACGACGATGGGAGGGGAGAGGAGCTGTGCTAACAAGGGTGGGCATCCTAGGGATCCGATAACGATGAGTACTGCTCTGCGTGTGGTAATACAGGAGACGTCGTCTGCTGCGATGGCTGCCCGCGCTCGTTCCACTTCGAGTGCGTGGACATGGTGCAGTCTGACCATCTGCCCGACGAATGGTATTGCAACGAGTGTCTTGTCCGGCGATTCCCCTCTCGCGTGCCTGTCTACAAGGGCGCATTCGCGAGCGCCCTCAATGCCTTGGAGAAGAGCATCCCTCGCGCCTTTAGCCTGCCCAAGAAGATTCAGACTCGCTTCGAGGGTGTCAAGGCTGGTGCTGATGGTGACTACGAAGAGGTGACGACGGTCAAAGCAAAGTAAGCCTTTCAATTTCCCCCTTGGCCATCCCGCCAAGCCCTTGGCTTCACTTCATCTCCGGGCTTCAGTAGCGAAGCCTCAAAGAGATCAAGTCGGCTTCTCCCCCATTGTATCTGTGACTGACAAATCTTTTCTCTCTCTCTCTCTCTCTGTACAGGAAGCGCTCTGGTTATGATGAGCTGCCAGACTTCTTCAAGCAGCGCGAAGACGGTGAGGCGGTGCTCTGTCACGCCTGCCAAAAGGCGGCCACGGAGATTCGAGCCATTATCCCTTGCAGCGCCTGTCCGTTGCATTGGCACATTGATTGCCTTGATCCGCCCCTGGCTATGCCTCCGGTCCTGAAGACGTGGCGATGCCCAGCACACGTCGACGATGTGTTGGGAGAGGTGCCTCCTCTGGCACCGGCACATCGCTTCCGCAAGCTCAAGGGCGGTCAAGTCATCACACCGGCCTTCAGCCGCGGCCTCAAGAACAATGGCCACATCGAACTCGACTGGGCCGATGAGCCCGAGGAGAAGGACAAGTCGGGCTGGCGTGACCCCGACTCTTTTGGCAGGACGTACAGGCTACAGGCCAAGGGAGTCATTCTTGACTTTATCGAGCAGTAAGTATACGGCGGCTTCCCATCTCTTGCTGATGATTGGATCTTTCTGACCTCTTTTGAAGGCTGCGCCATCGTGGCGCTGGATACGGCCCGCGTCAGGACGAGCCCCGGTGGTTGTCATACGCAGGCCCACCCCCATCCGCATGCAATGCAGACCGTCCGCTTGCCGGCTCTGCGTACGACCGCAAGGTGAACGAGATGCAAGCGTCCCTGACCCTTTTGGGCCTCAAGCAGAGCCGGTCCGAGAACATTGACCAGCTCACGGCTGCCCTTCTGGTAAGCACTCACCTGCGCTGTGGCCTTCCTAACCCTTGTCGGCCCGTACATCCCACTAATGTGTCTACCTACCAGTCTGCTGCCGACGACAACGTCCTGGCTCTCATGGCAAGAGGTGATGCGGACAACATTGCCTCTGGAAATCTGGTTCAAAATGACAGAATGAGTCTCCGTGCCATGCTCGCTCAAATGGACGCCATGGGTGACAGGATTCGCCACCTGCTCGGCGATGAAGCCCCGCCGGCAGCCTCAATGCCCAAGGCTGCTGATACGGGCTCACCGGCCGTTACCGATACTTCCGGCGTGGACACGTTTCTTCCCGAAAAGGCGGAACCCTCTGCACCCGTTGCCGAGCCCACGCCCCCTTCGACCGTGGATCATGGAGAGGGCACTATGGAACTGGATTGATCAATCATTAGGAGTTGCTATCTCGACCTTTTCTCTCCCGACATGAAAGCCTTCCCCGGCCTGATATTGGACGACGAGAAATGGTATTGCCGGCCTCGATAGACTGTTACGAGCGCCTAGCTGCGACAAAATGAGCCTTGTTTTGCTCGTTTCTTCATGAGCCATAGAAGACCTGGATTTTCCGTCACGGCTTGGCAGACAACAAGCATTGATGCGGGATGATCATCATCATGCCACAGGATTCTACACTTGCGCGCTTTTTCACCACATCTGAACTTTTTCTTTTCCCTTTGCCTGTTCTCCTTTCGCGAAAGAAAAACAAACATGAATCCAGGAGTTGGGGAGGTCCATTTGAAAGTTTGCAAAATATCATGACCCGTCCTCTATTTTCTTGCCTTTTTTCTCATGCCTACGACATTGTGCGGCTCGGTTCTGGTTCGATTATCTTGATGTCCGCTTTCATCGCCTCGTTTTCGTTTTTTATTTTCTCAACTTCTTCGCTCTTGAGAATTTCCATGTCTTCCTCTTTTTTTCTTTTTTTTTCCATACGCGAGATTTAAAGCATCTTGTGCGCGAGGCGGCAGGTGGACAGGGGACCGAAAACGACACAGATTGCGACAGTTGTTACTCAGTAGTGAGAGAATTCTCTTCTTTCACTCTGAATTTCGAATTCTCCTGCAGTACCAGCCTCTTTTTGCTGGCTGTCCACGCAGAGAAGCATTCGATGAGAGCGAACCATTAGGGGGCGAAGAGTGTGTTTTCCGTGTCGAGCCCCCTGGACTAAAGAGAATTAGTTGAAAGGGAGGGAGGGGCAAGGAAGCAAGGACAAACAACAACGGCGAGGAAAGAAAAGTATGAGAGAGAGAGTTCTGCTGAGTGAGGGGCGAAATACAGCAACTCACAGAGAGAGAGAATACAGAGTGAGAGAGGGGGTTGCAGAACTTTTAGTAATAATGCATTATGCAGCTGTATCATAGCCTAAAACATGCCGCGTACCAAATTTTGGTGATGGGGCGAGACACAGAGAGAGAGAGAGTAGAATGACTTGTTGCATATATCGACTGCTAGGTTCGTCGTGATGCCTCGCGTCGAAGCTGATCTGGTTTCTCGGCGATAAGTCATATCCTCGTGATGACACACGATGCACACGGAGAGCCTTTCTTGGATATATTCAAGCATTGGTGTATGAGAAGAGAGAAACTACACATTTAACATTGATCATAAGGTACCACGCAAACTTCTTCATGTCAGCCGTCAAACCTTGCAACAGCCCCCCCCCCCCCCCCTCCTCTCTTTCTCAGCTTTTTATCAAGCCAAAGACAAGAAAGAGAAAACCCATTTTGACAAGGAAAATAGAAGTAGGAAAAACAAGTCAATAGCTAGTTTAATCTCACTTTCGTCAGGTCCAACCAACCCTTCAACATTATTCACGCAGAAGCGAATAACAAGCTGGTTTTGTATCAAAGCTTTTCCTTCCCACTTCCACCATCATCTACAGCCACCGTTCGAACAAGACATGACAAGAGGAGAAAAAAAGAAGAAGAAGAGACATCATATCAAAGGCCCCCTGGAAGAAACAACAAGAAAAATAAGAAGAAGAAGAAGAAGGCAAAGTCATGAGCCGTCATCAATCTTTGCCCCTTCCTTGTTCGTCTTCAGGATGGAGGCATCCATCCACGGGACCTCATCAAACAGCAAAGCGGACATGAAACCAGTCCAGCTTGCTACATATAGTGAAATATCAAAGAGAAGAAAAGAGGAGAGTCTTGAAAGAAAAGAAAAGTGAAATTGAAAGAAGGTAAAATAGTAAGAGAGACTATTGTCACAATGGAAATCAGGAGAACCGATCTCATCTGACAAGCACTCCCTCATCATATCTTGCATCCATCCGGTTTTTGTTTTTTTTTCTGGGTTTCCAGCATAATCAATTCCAGTCATATCCGTAACCGCCCGTAAATGCATGACAGCTGAAGAACAGCAGGTGAAACAAAATGACGTGGGAAATGCCTCGTCTGTCTCATGGAGGAGGGTTGATTTGCGGCTCGAACGTGGGAGACCAGCCCAGCACTCGCTGCTGCGATTAGGTCTAAACAGAGTAGCTTGAGTCGTCATCGTGTAAAAGGGAAAATGCTCGATGCAAATACCAGCAGGCCTCTGCACCTTCGGAGGCACAATCTCGTTGAGCCAGTAGATGTCTAGACCAGCCCGCTGGAGGCAAACGCTGATGCGTGGGTCTCTATCGAATTTCAAGCTTCACCAAACTCCGAGCATGGCAAGAAACAAAATATTCCTTGCATCAACTGACCGGCTGGCTGCAAAACAACAGCATATAAGACGGTAAACCTTCTTTTTGTTCTCCATCGTTTTTTTCTCCCCCTCCCCTTGGTTTTCACCTTCCAGCCATAACAGTGCCATCATGAGTCATCATCATCTCCAAAAGAGGCATTGCGTTCTCTAAGAATCCAGGGGCTAGTAGTTGTTGCGGCCCTGTCGATTCGAAGACGAGGGACGTGCGCGGCCGCGTCTACCGTTGCCCTGCTCCTGTTGTTGCATGAATCCCATGTTGGGCATGCCTCCCATGTTTCCTCCGTAGGGGTAACCGCCAACCATGCCAAAGCCAGGAGGCGGAGCATAGGGTGGCTGGCCTCCAACAGGTGGCTGCATTGGGCCTCCATTGGGCATGTTTGGCTGGCGGTACTGATCGATGGGCTGACCAGGATAGCCACCGTACCCAGGCTGCATCGGCGGGTATGGGTAGCTCATCTGGGGATTGCTGCGGTTCATCATGCCCTGAGGATACTGAAGCTGCGGAACGGCCATTGCCGGAGGCATGGGTCCGTTGGGCCCGTTGTACATCATGCCTTGGTTGTAAGCTGGGTACGGGGGGGCGCCGACGTCGACATTGTCGCCTCTCTGCTGGGCGTCAAAGTTCGCAACACCACCAGGGGCGCCGTTGTAGTAGGCCTTGTTGGCTTGGCCACCCTGCTGGCCGTGATGTCCGTTGGCCTGTCGGGAGTTTGGTCTCTGTCGCTGTTCCGCATGGGTGCTGGCGTCTCGGTTTGGCCCAGCCGTCCGGGTGGAAAGGCCGACCTCATCCATGAGCCGCTTATAGCCCTGGTTTGCCTGGGCCTTGATTCTGACCAGGACATTCTTGACGTTTTCCGTAACCTCGAGCCGCATAGTCTCCTCGAAGAAAGGTGTCGTGAGAACCTTGAATATGAACGTGGCTCCGCAGGCTTGGTCACTGAGGATAGCCTCGAGGACCTGGTCATTAGGAGAGAAGAAGAGACGCTTCAGGATGTTGTCTCGGGCCTCGGTCTCGTTCTTCTGGTTGATCACCTTGAGCACCGTGAGGTAGGCAACCTTGTGGGTGCACAATGGTACCAAGTAGGGGATGAGCCGCGGGGAGAGAACGTGACGGCGGTTGGCAAAGGTGCAGGTGTCGAGGAACCAGGTCAACAGGAGAGCGCCGTTTGCGTTGGTGGCCAGCTGAACGCTGTGCAGCGCAATGGCCGCGGCCAGCATTCTCTGCTGATCCTTGGTGGAATGGTGGCTCTCCAGGCAGGCCCTCATGGCTCGAGCGCCATAGCGACCCTGCGAGATCTCCCACATGCGGGCGAGCATGGTCTCGAAGATGAAGTCATTGTAAGGGGCACCAAACTTGAGGCATCCCTGCAAGACGTAGTTTCCATACTGATCGAGGAAGAGAGGGACGGTGTAGGGCCGAAGGCTCTCTACGATGAGCGAGAGCTGGCTGGGCGTCTTGCACACGTCAATGATCTTCTGGGCGGCCCACGTACCGTTCTTGTGAATGCCAATCTCAGCCAGGTGAGGCGCAATCTCGGCGAGCATTGCATCCCTCATCTGGTCGGAGGAGTGGTCGAACAGCTTCTGGACGACCGTGTTGCCAAGATAGTCGGACGAAAGCTCGGCAATCTCTGGCAGCATCTCGTGGGCAATACCTTCAATCTCTGCTTGCGAAAGCATCTGGTTATCGATGCGCTTGCGAATGTCCCTGAGCTTGGGAGCATCGTGGACCCTTGTATGGGTTGGCTCTCGAACGGGCGGAATCTCCTCCTTGTAATCGTCGTACTCGACTGCCGACTGCAGGCTCTGGGAAATGCGAGCCCGATCCTCCTCGGTGGCGCCAAATTCGCCGACGATTTCGAGGATATCCTGCACCATGTCCCGCAGAGGAGGCAGCGTGGGTGTGGCGCTGTTGAGCGCTCCGGCAGCGGTCGAGGTGCTGTCTCCCGGCCCAGCGGCCGAAGCTCCCTTTCCAAGGTCTTGGGCCTTGCCAAAAGGATCCGGGCTGGGCGACGGGAAGGCTCCGTCGTGGCCCGGAGTGTTGGAGGCAGAGGGAGGCTTTGCAAAGTTGATCCGGATGGGACCCGCGCCAGGGAAGATTTCCTTGCCATTCATGCTGGCCTTGGCAGAAACGGCGCTCTCGACTCGGTCAAAGTTGACAAACCCACAGTTCTTATGTGTGAGCACACGAGCAGAGAGGATCAATCCGTGAGACTTGAACATTTCGGTAAGGGTAGAGGTGGTGGTGGACGTGGGAATGCCACCGAGCCAAAGGGCGCTGGTGGGCCCATCGAGGCCCTGCTCTTCGGGGTTCAGATGACCGGCATTGCGGCTGTTGGACCGCCCCAAGTTCATGCCAGCGACGGCCTGCGAGATGTCTTCGTACTCCTTCTCCTCCTGCAAGCGGATCTCGGCCTGGGGCATGGAGGTGGTGACGGCGGCAGGGTTGCTGTTGACATAGGATCCTACCAACCGGCTTCCTGGCGTATCCAGGACGCCGGCCGTGCGGGCACGCGGCCGGGTGGCCTGGGTTGCGTAGGCTCGGACGGCCATGTTGTGGTTGTGGATTGCTGCCTGGGTGGCGGCAATCTGGTCCTGCAGCGCGGCGTACTGGCTATCCATGGGCATGTCGTTGTCATAGTCGTCCTCGTCGTCAGCATACTTGTCCTTGTTGTTGACGGAGTAGGAACGGAAGCGGCTGGTCTGTCGAGTCATGTCAAACTGGGAAAGGTAGGAGGGCGTAGCAAGCTGAGCTCTCGCAGGCTGTGGGGTCTCGGCAAGGCCAAGGTAATCCAAGGTTCTCATATGCACGTCGGATTCACCGCCGCCCTCGCGGGAGAATTGAGACTGGGCGGGCGAGCTGGGGCCGTTGGAACCAACGCTGGCGATGCTGGCAAGAGTAGAGCCTCGTTCGCGGCCCAGGCCGGAGGGGTTCCAGCTGCTGAAGATGGAGGGACCAAAAGGCGAAGCCGATGTTGGCAGGTTGGCAAAGGGGCTGCGCTGTGGCATGGACCCAGCACGCAGCCGGGAGAGAAGCGTCGAGGTGCCGGGGCCGGTGCTGTTGCTCTCAGGCTGCTCAAGGCCGGGAGACGGCGACTTGTTGAAGGGGCTCTGAGAGGGCGTGACGCGGGCAGACTTGGCAGGCACCCCAGGCACAGCCAGAAGATTGCTGCCGATTCCTCCGGGAAATCGCGAGGGCACGGTGCCAGCTCGAGCACGTCTAGTTGGGGGCATGCTTTCGGGGGTGGGCAGCTGAACAAAATCTGGAAAGCCGTCGGTGGGAGACTCGGGAATGTTCTCTCGGAGAGGAGTCGAGTTTCCGCTTGTCGGGGGTCCTCCCCAGGGATTTATGGGAAGACCTGGGACGCCCTCTTGGGCTTGAATCTCGCGAGCCCTAAGAAGAAAATAAGATTGACACTTTGGTTAGCTCAAGCTGATTCTTCAACGCCACAGAACTTCAACTTTTGAAATTGGGCTTCGGGGCTGCTCTAGGCACATGGAGGCTTGGGGGGGGAAGGCGGAGCTCTTGCGGGTGCCACGAACCTTTTGGAAAAGAGCCGGCTAGAGGCCGACATCTCGTGCGACGGAGAACCAGCCCCGGATCGCGCGCTGCTGCCCATGAGGCCGCTCGAGTTCATGCCGCCGGCAAGGCCAAAGACGGACCTGGACGAGGCGGACAAGGGATCGATTGGGTTGTTTGTGGCAGACGGAGAGTTGGAGCGGTTCTGGCTGGCAGAGTGCGCGGAATAGCCGAGTGCCAAATGGTCGGATCTGGAAGCGGACATTATCGATTATCCAGGTGGCCGCATGGAAATACGGCGGTGGGAAATTATTCTGCTTTTTCTTCTCGGTTCGCTCTGAATAGGGTTGCACTAGTATTATTTCTTTTTTCTTTTTTTCGAGTCGAGGAACGCCTCTCGTCTGGTGAGGCTGCGATGAATGGCGGAGCTGGTGCTGGTTCGAGGCTTGGTGTTGAAGTCAATCGGTCAAGGGCAAAAACAGGCCAAGGTGACGTGGTGGCTTCCACCGAGCAGCGCCGAATGGGCAACGACAGCAGCCCGAGAGCTATAAAAAGGAAACGGGCGGGAGAAAGACGAAAGAGAGAATGCAGCCGACAAGTGGCGGGTGGAAGAAGAGAAGATGCTGGAGCCTGTATTACAAGATGATGCCGCGAGCAAGGAAAAGAAAAAAGAACAGCGTCGAGAGAAACAGGAACAGGAACCGGAAGAGGGTGGAGGCACAAGAAGCCCGGACTGGAGACGGTTGAGGTGGACTGGATGAGGTGCGAGGATTTGCGAGCTGCTCCGCTGGCTCGTGTGCTTTCGTGTGCGGGAAGTCGGGCGACCCTGGACAGCTCCAGCGAACTTTTTTTTTTTAGCGAGGAATTACCGCCCGGGGGGCGTTGAGGTGTGCAGTGCAGGCTTGGGATGAGGGCAGAGGCAGCGCAGTGCTATGTATGCTGAGAGACGGTATTAATTGGGATAGAGGGAACAACAGACGATGCAAGAAGAAGCAGAGATGCAGTTCAGTGTACACGCCGCATTGGAACGCTCAGGTCGAGGCTGAGGCTGAGGTCGAGGCTTGGTTCTACAAAGGGGGGAGAGAGTGAGAGACTCCAATTGAAAGTTGCGAGAAGTCGGCGTTGCTGCTGCTCGCGGCGATTGGCGGTGGTCAGTTTTGGGGAGTCCAGGAATCGGATGGAGGTCGCCGGTACCTGCGGGCGGAGTAACTGGCGCTGGGTGGGAAGAGGTCTGGTCGAACATGTCAGAGGTGCTGCACGTTGGCGGCGGGGTGGCTACATGTACTTTGCCGCTTCGTACCGACCGACGCAGCGACCATCGATTGAGAGCCACACGGTGCAGTTACGAACAGCTTCTCTTTGTTACCACTACGATTCAACTCTCTCAGCATCTGCTCAGATATATGACTTCCTAGAACTGTATTAAATGGGACAACTACTAAATACAGTGTTAGCAAGAGAGAGACACAGCAAAAGGAGGACAGTCTGCATCTAGAACCTACTCGGTAAGGTAGGTACTAAGTAGGCAGGTACCTGGTGGTGCGTCAGCTGTCGTCGTCGTCGTCGTGTCTCTCTGGCTGGTCTGCTCAACACAATCAGGTCACCCACCGACTTGCTTCTTCCAGCACAGCGACAATTGGCCTCAGTTCTGGTCTGGTCTGGTCTGATCTTGCAACCGCATCCTGTGTGCGTCGCCCTACCCCTGAGATGTTGCCGCATCGAGCCTAGCCACCAGCGGAAGCGCTACGAGGGGGGGGGGAAAGGATTCAAGGCTGCACACACACACAACACACACAACACACACATACGCCGTGATGGAGTGACGAGAGAGAGGACCTCGAGAGGCCATTGAAACGTGGAGAGCCAGTTCCCAGGGCCAAGGGTTTGCTCTGCCAGATACTTCGTCCCTGCTCTTGGATCGAAATGTCGACAGCTGAAGGTTGTCCATGTTGCTTCTTTGCTGTCATTTGCCGTCTGACTACCTACCTACGGCGTGAGAGCTGCTGCTATTGCTCATACTACTGTCCGCCTCATGCATCCTGCATGTAGGGAGGGCCATGGTGAGATCCAAACAAGCCAATGGCTTCTCCTCGTTGCATTCCGTCTCCTTTTGCCTCGCACATTATTAGGGGCGTCTCTCCCATCTTCCACAATATTCTTCCGTCCCTCATTCTCCCAACAACTTCTATCCGAGTGCTTTCAGCTGATTACGGAGCAATTAGCTGAGTCGAGTCCTATCCATTGGATGTGTCCTGACCTAGGTACCTACGTTACAGCAGGTACCAGCAGCACCACCAGCCCACAGACCCATTCCGCTATCGATGTGTGTCACTGCGGGCTCACCTCTCTCCACTCCCACGATTTTCGGTTGACAACCCCCTCCCGTGCCTTGGGGTTTGCTGTCCTTCGCCGAATTGTTTTTTATCATCTTTCTCGTCAAGTCACCATCCAATGTCCCGCTTGTCCCGTACTAGTATTATTGCTTGGTCTGAGTAATATCTTCACCTTGTGAAACAGCGTACCTTACAAGGTGTGAAAGCACCGACCTACCTAGGTACACGCCTACCGAGATGCAAAGACTCACCATCTCCAATACTTGATCTCAGCCAAGACCATATCAATGGACTCCCTATGGGAACTGCAATCCATGGTCCAAGCCACAGTAATTGCCATCTTGTCCGCAATCATCATCTTGAAATATGCACAAGTATTCACCAAGCACACGCAATGAATCGATCCCAGATACATCGGACCAACATGCTGTCGCACAGCAGCATTCTGTATCGACCTACATATATCCGTACCTCAGGGAACGTGCCCATGTCTCCCGCCGCCAGCTGCAAGGGACAAAAAAAAAACATGTCACAAACAAATACCTAAAGCACAGACTTCTACATGGCAAATGCTGCTCGTCTTCCGTCGCACGTACCTGTTGCTTCCTACCTACCTACCTTACCTTACCTAAGGTAACCAGAGCTTTGGAGCAAAGTACCCACACGAGGCATGTGCAAGGACTTGGGATGTTTTTCTACATCACGGACCTCGGGACAACGTCTAACTCAAGACAGTGAAATACGTCTACCACTGTAGTTTTAACTTAGCAGAAGAATTTAATGAAACCTTCCAACCCAGTAACAGCAGGTTCATGTTCCTGCACTGCAATTACTAGCCAAGAAGCCTCTCAGATCGCAACACAACCCACCTTCAACCCGCCCATCACAAGCCACGTACCTATAATACAGTAACACCTCCAAAGACTCCAACACTTCACCTCTCACCTCCCAACCACACACCAAAAATGAAATGGTCAAAAGTAAAAAGACGATCCCCAAAGGTCCAACCCACATTCTCCCGCGAGTCATCCCTCTCCGCATCGCCCCATTGGCCATCGTGTCACCTTTGACCCTCTCACCATCGACGACCTTGCCGCCCGTCCCCCGCCAATGACATCCTCCTACGTGGTCCCGACCAGTGATCTGCTATAATCACACTGAAGCAGCTTTTCTGAAACGAAACCCGGATTGGACCTCTTTTGGTAATATGTATCGCTTGGAAGTGATTAACAGCCCCTGATATGCGCATCAAGAGACGCGTTGATCCATCACTTAGATAGGTACTTACAGTAGTCATGTAGAAAGGGCCAAATCGCAGCAAAACAACAATGCCCAAGCCAAAACTTCATTACAGCACCCTTTTATTCATTCTCTATCATGTAAATGTACATCTACAAAGCGTGAAGCCGTGGTAGCCACCCCCGTCGTGAAAAAAACAGTCGTTCAGGAAGTAAACTAGTCCCCAGGACTCGTCTTTCTATCCAAGTCCCTGGAAAATCCCCGTGGGCCTCGTCTCTCGATTAAAGTCATGCAGATATCTTAAAAAAAATGGGGGACCGCGCAAACTCGCAGGCATGCGTAGAACAAGAAGTGTGTAGAGCAAAGTTCAACCAAATAGAAAAAAAGAAGAAGAAAAAACGCCAATGCACCAGAAAAGGAGAATGATTCTCAAGGCTTCACATGGCCAGCCACTGCTCGTCCAGTAATGGCACAGCAAGGGGACGCGGAGGCCATCAACATCAGAGAATTGACAAGACTCTTCTTCTCTTTTTCTCACTCATACTCGCGAATTCAGCACTGCTCCGTTTATTTCGCATTGCGCTTGAAAGCCAAGAGCTCTGCCAGGCTTGCAAGGCCGCTGCCGTGCTGGAGGAAGTCATGAGCCAAAAGCTCGTCCGCAGACGCTCGACTCTTGACGTCGACGCACAGGCAGACGGAGAGGAAGGCTTTGAGCTCCTTGCTGAGCTTCTCGGGCTTCTTGAGGCGGGGTGTTCCGTTGGTGGCGATGAGGTACAGGGCCTTCAATGGCTCCTCGTTGAGGTATGGCGGCTCAGACTCAATCATCTCAATCGCCATGATGCCCAGAGACCAGATATCGACCTTGGGGCCGTATTCTTTCTGCTTGACAACTTCCGGCGCCATCCAGTAGGGCGTTCCGACCATGGTCGCTCTCTTGGACTTGGCCTCCGTCAACTTGGCACAGAAACCGAAATCAGCTGTACAATTGTTAGCATCCATTCAAAGCCCATAACTAGGGGTGACGGAAAAGCATACTAATCTTGACGTTGCCTCGGGCATCCAGCAGAACATTGTCACTCTTGATATCACGGTGGATGATGCTCTGGGCGTGCAGGTGCTGCAAACCGCGGCAGGTCTAATGATTGTCAGCATGGCCATCAACACACAAGGCACCGATGTAGGGAGCATACCTCGTGGCAAATCGTAGCAATCTGCTCCTCGGATATTGAGGGGTTGTTATCAATGACATCGGTCAGGGCGCCTCCTTCCATGAATTCCATTACCACCCAAAGTTCAGCGTTATTGTTTCGGAGGAAGGCATCGAGGAAGTTGACAATGTTCTTGTGGCGGTTGTCCTTCATGACCATGATCTCATTGACAATCAGCTCCTTTCGGGGCTGGTGAGCGAGATCCATCTGTTTGATGGCCACCTGGGCCCGGGGACCCTGTTGGCGAAGGAACTCGCGAGCCACGCCCACGGCGGTGTCTTTGATCTTGGCAACATATACCGAGCCAGAGGCACCCTGACCGATCTTCTTCTGCTTGGAGTAGGAGAGGTTGGGGTCTTCTTTGGAAACAGCCTCCTTGAGCTTGGCCATGACCTCGTTCTCGGACATGGTGGACATGCGGACATCCTGCTTGCGCTCGGCAGGGGTCTGCTTGGGCGGTGCCGGCTCGGCCGGTTTAGGCTCGCTCTGCGCCTGGTTCTGGTTGACCTTGGAGACGTTGAGGGGCTTGACAGAGGCGGGCAGGCGGGCTTGTTGTTGTTGCTGGGCTGGCGGCTGCCTTTGCTGGGTCGCCTGGGCACCATTGGGGGCTCGCGAGCTTGGGCTCTCGTTGCGCTGCGCCACCGGAGATCTGGGCGCGGAGCTTGAGCTGGACTGGGGAACAACGGGGGGTCGTCCGGAGCCCGCAGTCGGCGGAGCGGGTGCCGGTCGCTGAGCCTTCAGACCGTTAATCTGCTGGGCGGGCTTGGGCGCCGGAGGAGCTGCCCTGGACGGGTTGAATCGGTCGGCAGCAGATGGGCCACCGGAGCCACCATAGCCACCGCCAATCTCTTGCTGAGCCATGGGCACCTTGTTCTTGGGCAGAGACGCGTTGTACTCTTCCATCTCGCGACGTTCTCGCTCCTCCGCCTCGCGCTGCCGCCTTCGCTGTTCCTCTCTGGCGGCGTCGGCCGCTGACGTGTAGGTTGGTGACGAGGTCTGCGCCTGCTGTCGCTGCTGCTGCTGCTGCTGCTGGCCGCCAGGGCTAGGACGCGCCTGGCCACTGTGGCCGTAGGGAGAGCCGGCGCTGCCAGGATGAGGCGGGCGAGGAGGTGCAACGCCAGCGCCGCCGCCACCCATGCCCATCGGCTTGTTCTGCATTGCTCCGGGCGGCACGCCGCCGCCAAACTGGTTATCATTCTGCTTGGCCAGATCGGTGGTGTAGAAGTCGAGGACTTCGAAGACGGCCTGGGGGTTGCGCTCATAATCCTCCTTGGTGATGGCAGAAGAGTTGAGCAGCTTGGACCATTCCGGCGGCAAGCCGACAAACTCTCCAGTCTGCGGGTCGAAGCCGACGTGGACGGCGTGGGCGAAGTTGGTCGGGTTGCTCACGCCGCCCATGCCAGGGCAGGCGCCGTATATGATGTCGATCCACTCGTACAGGTCGTCCTCGGTCTTGACCTTGATGTGAAGCGCCTTGTTGTTCTGGCCGTCATCGTCACCAGGGCTGTTGGACGAGCCGTCCGCTCTTCGCTTGATCTCGAAGATGGTGCCTGCCGCCTCGACTCTGCCGACGTTGACAACGTCCTTGAGGAAGAGGGTGTAGGCCACCTTGCCGCCCTCTGTCTTGTGGAAGTCGATGGACTCCTTTCGGAGGATCAAGTACTTGTTCTTCCAAGGTTGGAAAAGGTTCTTGTTTTCCTTGATCGATGCCCATCCCTCCTTCCTGACAGCGACGCCGCCCATTCCGTCCATGTTGTTCGTCTGCTGGCGAGCAATGGGGAGAGAGATTGTAGAGCCCGTGTATGTAGACGTCGCGGTGCTGCGGATTGGAGAGATGGCCATGTTGGCCATGCTTCCCGGAAGATTAGGGTTAGGAGTCAAGTTGAGACGCGGTCTGTCGGGAGGCTGGGGGGCAGGGCCGGGGTTCATGAACTGGTTGGCCGAATAAACACTAATGGCAGGTATGAAATCAGCATAAAGTGTATCGTCGACGGCATGTGTGGACTTGACATTGAGTGCTGCTCAGCAACAGGACAGGCGAGGAGGGCGAGGGCGAGGGCAGATGGGGGGGGTCCCGTGTCGAAAAGGGTCAAATTGTAGATTATACTTATGAAGGGGCTGCTTTGACTCGAGCGACAGGGTCCTCCTGGGGGGGGAGACCGCCTCGCGCAAGAAGCACACCCATCCACAAGCATCTGGCGGTATAGAAGCTCTGGCACCCAACCCCAGCAGTTATTGGGTCGTCATGAGGGGCGGACAGCAGACGTGGGACAAGTAGCCTCTGCCGACTCCCATCTCGCTGGCCATGGCCCTGGACCGACCCAGCGTGCTTATGGAGAACGGAGTCGTGCCCGTGACGCTGCAAAGTGATGTGCGCGAAAGTGACAACGTACCTGTGCTGAGCCATGCTGAATTATATAAAAGACGAAAAAACGCAGCGGAGAATCGCTCTGGGTATCCTGTTTAATGTTGTCCTTGTCTAAGTCGCTTGTGCGCTTTCCATGCAAGCAGTACGGTATGAGTGTTATGAAAGGAAGAAGACGGAAGAAAACACAGCCTCGCCCCTGGTCTGGTCGGCAGAACTGCGAAAGTGTAATATCGAGAATTATGCGATGAATTGGGGCCGCTTTGCTCTGGATGTTCTCGCTGAAGGCGGAGGGGCGGGTAGGAGAGGAGAGATGGAAGTGAGCGTCAAGTGAGGCACAAGTCAAGAGACGAGGCGGCACTCAGATCAGATGCGCGCAAGAATCGCACAATGACGGTCGGTGGGGATTATCGCGCGCGTGCAGGACGCAGCTCAAGGCCTCTTTTGTCAGGGACCAGCTTCCCAGGGGGGGCCAGGCGGGAATAGGTAGGGAAGCGCAGGCGAGAATCGGGGCGCTGGTGGCGTTATGGGGAACTGAACCGGAGTCTCTTCTTCTGTTCCTGATTCTGTCTGTTCCCGTTTTCCTCTAATACCGCTTTGACGCAGACGAGGCTCCTGTCAAAAAAACAAACGCAGAGAAGGGGGGAAAAAAGGAAGGGGGGGGAAGAAGCGAGACCGCACGGCGAGAGAAGCGAGGACGGGGTGGGAAGAAGGAGATTTGAGGCGACACGAACAGCTGGGGTCTCTTTGGCTGAGGCGTGCTGCTCGGGGCTCGACCACTCAGGAACGAGGCCTATAGGCAGGTACTTGCTGTGTTTGCGCGCTACCGGTGCCGCTACAGCGCCCTGGCCCAACCTTGGGGCTGACCTCGGGCCTGTGGCTCCTCGACGGACGGCGGCTGCGGCTGCTGCTAACCTGCAGCTGGCGCCTGTAGAGGTACTCGTACGAGTACAAGTACATCCATGCTCCTACCGGCCGGGACCATTGACAACCTCGATCTCCATGCAGCCACGTACCGTGACTACCTCTACTGACTACATTATGCGTCAGGGTCAAGGCTTTGCTGAAGCAATACATGTACCAACACCTACTACGAGTACGGCCCGTGAGTGCGACGAGGAATCTAGGCACTCGCAAAGCCAACAACCACACGGCGAGCGTCCCAGTACCGGCGCATGTACAGTACGAGTACAATGCATCACCCGGTCCTGGTGAGGACATGGAGAAACAGCACCAGTGTGGGGAAGGTCGCGACGAGGCCCAGCGCGGAAGGCCGCACCCGCCACAGCACACAGAGGTCGAGAAAGTGGGCAAGTGGGTTGGTGGACTGAGTAGTAGGTACATGTACCTGGTAGTAGTGGACGAAGAGGTGGGGCCATTGCCAAGCAAATGGAACCAGAGCAGCTGCTGCAGTGTGGATTCAATTGCCGCCACCAGTCGAGGTGAGGCGCGAGGAACGGCGACAGAAACCCCTGAGGGTTCCATTGGTTTTTGGGTGCAGGTGGTGGTGTGCCCGTTTTAGGGGGCTTGCTCAGAAGGGGCTTCCAGGGGCTGGACGTGCTAAGCTGCTGCAGTTAGTCGGGAATGTGCGGCTGCAAGCACCCGACCTCAGAGGTTCTTGTACGGGCTACCTTAGGTAGGTACTTTCATTATAACAGCCGCTAGGCCCTAACGCGGTGCTGTCGCCCGGACCAGGTCTCTCACCTGAAATCACTCCATGTTACAGAAAACGCAGCCGGAGCGGGACACAAAGGACCGGCCAATTTGAGAGGGAAGGGGGGACATGGCCTCGAGTTGGTGATGACAGGAGCATCTGCCAGTGATTGCAGACTTGGATGGCCAAAGGGCCAGTGCTCAATGATCCTACCAAATCCCAAATCCCAAGCATTGATGACAAGACATTAGCTTGAAATGTGCCTGTGCCTGTGCCTATGCCTATGCTTGCGCCTGTACCCGTCAAAGCTCGTTTGCTTCATCCGGCTCATCGCCTAGGTAGTCCAGCAATCTCCCCGTCTGGACTAGGCATGTACAAGTAAACACAGACCAATCATCCAGGGACCAAATGCATTGGGATGGCGATACAAACTGGATGCCCACTGCCGACTACTACTACTACTGGCACATGCCTCGTATCACACCAACACCGGGGGCGTTGCAGATGCCAATAGAATGCCTGGCAAACGCTTTCCAACGGCGGCTCCCCCTCCGTCACGGATGCCTGCATCTCTCCTGGAAAGGCATGCATTTTGATGTGTCTCCAAACCCCCCCATCTCCATCCAAACTTGATCCTGTGTTTCAAAAACCCCGCCGCAAAGGAGAAAGATCCGCCATCAACACGGGAACTTTGATGTCTATTCCAAACTTCACCTGTCAATCCTTCTCCAATACATTTCCCAATTTGTGATGATCCAGGTACTCGTACATCACACCTAATGCCTTACCTACCTACCGTATTTTGCCGTCGGAAAAGTACATACACACGCGCATACCAAAGCTCAATATGGTATGAGATAACGCGCCTTGAAACTCACTTCGAAGGAATATATACATAAGATATCTTTGCCTCGAACCTACTACTTCTTGCCCCCACATGCACCCTGTCAGCCCGGAGCAGCTCATCCTCCTCATCCAATGTTTCATGCGAACGCAGTGTGACTGCTATTAACAGACAACCCAGGTGGGCTCGGTTTTCTGACAAAATACGCACATGCCTTTGGACGCAAAGGAAACAATAATTCTCCTCCTGTGACGTAAATGAGAAACAAACAACCTGTTGCCTCAGGTTCTTTCGAATTGTCACCTTTTCTCCTCAGCCATTCATCCCATTCATCTTGATATTCACTGGCAAATCATGTCCAAACAGAATAGACAGGGGAGGGTGGTAATCAAAGAAAGGGGGGAAACCCAACCCAACGAGTCAGCAGCCGGCTCCAATATCTAACCCTTTTTCTTCTTCTCCAGAATTTCAATGCGACCAATGTCATGAATGCAAGAAAAAATAAACCCACGCCAGGGACGACCCGTCTCGCATCCAGTATCGTTTCATGGCATCCACTCACTCTTTGTGATGCTCGTAGCAACTAAAATCGCGGGATAGAGTGCTACACAGACATGCATACAAGGCAAAGGCAGAGATGCACAGGTAAAGAGATTCGACAACAGGCTCGAGAGGCTACTGGAGATAGAAGAGGGGTCAAAGGAGAAGAGTAAGAAGCAAAGTGTAACATCGCTCTCTCATTGTTACTCGGTTTGCGTGCATGCGTCGGGTTACGCGCGCGCAAAGTGAAGAAAACGTCAAACGCACCTTACATACTACAATAGTATCTAGGTACCTTATGCAGGTATCTGATGAGACACGTGAAAAGGCCGAGGAGGAATCAAGAAGCAAACACTCACGGCGGTCGTTTGCCAGAGCGTTTGGAGCGGCAAGGATCCCTCGTCGCCCTTTCATCGCACGGATACTGTCTGGCCTTGCCCAAGTCCGAATCGATATCGCGAGACGTCAGTGTAAAGTACTGACCTAGATACTGCATCGTGCGATTTACAGGGTAAGGTAGGTAGATTGTAGGTAGTTCACATTCGTTACGCAAGACTGCCCTTGTCATCGCTATCGAGACGTCGCCCGCAAACTACATGTACCTTAGTACTTGTTCCATTTCTTTTCTACTTCTAGAATCTTTCCGTCTGAAGCATTCAAATCTTTCTGAACATCATGTAATCAACTCTTGGCCGAGGCATCTTTTTCTTCACCTCAAACCATTCCCATCACAGCCGATCCTATCTATCGAACGGCAACATCAATCTCCTGCCCCTGGAACTTGGGGAGCTCCGTCTCAATCTGCGCCCAAGTCTTGCTTCCGTCCACGAGCGCTCTGATGGCATCCAGAATCTTGTCCTCCTCAGCTCGGACCTGGGTGGTCGAGTCACGGTCTCTCAGCGTGAGGGTGCCGTCCTGGAGGGTCTGGAAGTCGACAGTGATGCCGAGGGGAGTGCCGAGCTCGTCGTTTCGGCTGTATCGCTTGCCGATACTGGCGGAGGAGTCGTCTACGCGGCTGGACACGCCGAGGCTTCGCAGCTTCTGAGACAGCTTCCTAACCGTGGGCTTGAACTGCGGGTTGGACGACAGAGGCACCAGGAGAACCTTGGTCGGGGCCACGGGAGGGGGGAAAGACAGCACCTGCAGAGGAAACGAGTTAGTGAATGAATCAGACAGGTTATCTAGGCGAGAGAAAAAGAGATATGAGGGACAATGGTCACGTACACCACGGGCTTCATCACCACCCTCGCTGGCTCGGGTCCAGAAGTTGTGCTCGATGAGAGAGTACAGAATGCGGCCGATACCAAACGACGGCTCAATGACGTTGGGCGTGTATTCACGGGTGTTCTCAACCCGCTTGCGGAACTCAATCGCGACCGTGTCCTTGTCAATGACGGCCTTGCCATCGGCAACACCCTCCACATCCAAGGTGATCTTGCCAGTCTCAGCCAGCTCCTTGGCCAGCTTCTCGCGCTGCTCCTGTGTAGTAGCCTCCAGGGCCGTCTCCACCGTCTTGGCGTCCTTCTTGAATAGGGGTCCAAACTTCTTCTTCTGGATGTCGATCTGCCACTCCTCAATGACTCTGGGCTCGTCGAGCCGCTCACGAACAATCAGAGGAGCGCCAGTCTTCTTGGCGTGGACCGACAGGTCGTAGGCGCTGCGGTCCGCACAGCCAACGCACTCCACCCAGCCAGAGGAGGTCAGCAGCTCGGCGTCCCAGCAGTCGCAAGCGTAGTGGGCCATCTCGTTGGCCATGTGCTGTCGGAAACGCATCTTGGACAGGTCAACACCAATCTTCTCCATGAAGAGGTGGATGCGGGCCAGGAAGTAGCCGAGGGTCTCGTTGTCGACGACGCCGTCCTTGACGGCCTGGCCAATGGTCATCTTCTTCGTTTCCGTCTTTCCGGACAGCTGGACGTGGCGGTCCAGCAGGACGAGCTCGACGTGCTCAACCTCGTGGAAGCGGTGGTGCTTCTTGCCGCCCTCGGGGTCGACAAAGTGCTCAATCTCGGCCATGAGGAACTCTCGCACACGCAAGAGACCGGCACGAGGGGAGATTTCGTTTCGGTATGACTTTCCGATAGAGGCCGAGGCAAAGGGCATCTGGGACTGGTTGAACTCGAGGAGCTTGGCAAAGTTGAGGAACTGGCCCTGAGCAGTCTCGGGACGCAGGTAGCCGGGGAGGTTGCTGCTGGGGCCGATGGACGTCTGGAACATGAGGTTGAAAGCCACGGGGTCCGAGGGCAGCACGCCAGTCTCGGGGTTCTTGAGGTCGTACTTCTTGATGAGCTCGCCGAGTTCCGGGCCGTCGTAGTTGTCGATCTTGGCAAGCACCTCCTCGTACTCCTGGACGACGGCATCGTCGAGCTTGACGGCGGCGGCCGACTTGGCCTTCTTCTTCTTCTTGGGGTCGACCTCCTTCTCCTCCACCTTCTGGCCGCGGGCCTCCTTGTCACCCTTGAGGCGAGCCTCGAGAATGGCCTCGACGAAGTGGTCGGCTCGCAGGATCTCGCCGTTCTTGGGGTCCTTGCACATCCAGTCGGCGAACTTGTCGACGTGGCCACTGGTCTTGAGGACGTCGTGGGGGGTCAGGGCCGTGCAGTCCACCTCGAGCATGTCCTCCTCGAGGACGAAGTGCTTCCGCCACAGGTCGACGATGTTGGCCTGCAGGGCGCATCCCGGCGGGCCGTAGTCGTAGAGACCGCCAACACCGCCGTAGATCTCGAACGAGGGCGTGTAGAACATGCGCCGCCGGAGCATGGCGTCGAGCACCACCTTGTCGAGGGGCTGGCCCTTGAGCGTCGTCGCGGACGAGGACATGGCGCCGGTCTTGGGGGGGTTCTGCGGCTTGGAGAGCTGGAACGCGCAGAGCGTGGAAGAGACTGACAGGTTGCGACGGCGCAGCGCTGCAGCAGGTCGGAATCGGGTTGCGCGCGGGACAGATGCGAGTCTCTGGCGGGCGAGAGTTGCTGAAGACGAGAGCAGCAGCTGGATTGGCTTCATCCACCCGAGAGCTGGGGCGAGGATTGTGAGAAGAAGAAGAAGAGAGGCTGCGAGTCGTGCAAAAATATGGACTCGAACCGCACTTCTTCTATTTTTTTCTTGTCTTGCCTCTGGCACGGAATGGTTCAAGGTGATGATGGTGGGGTTGAAGCCAGATGGAGGGGAAGAGGCGCAAAAGTTTGTGCGTGTGACTCCAACGGTCGAGGCCCACCGGGATTCAACCAGCAGCAAGCCCGAGAGATCTTGCAGTGGCCGATTGACTCTTTTTCAGCCCCCCCGGCTTCGGCTGCCCTCCGCTGGAAGCACGCTAAATAACAACAGCGGTTGATGTTAATACAGCAGTAGGCTTACTTTGATATCAGACTTCTTGTAAAGGGAATGCTCAAGACGATGTATTACTCATCTCTCATATCATTGCTTCCACTAAGCCAATATGTGAGGATGGCCGGTAGTGACTCAACTTGGAAATGCAACCATCGTGCAGCCAATGACCAAGCCGAGGCAAAACACGACCTGTCAAGGTGAACATCAAACTGCCATTTTACCCAGAAACCAAGAGGCTAAATTCCATTCTTTTATACGCTTGACCAAGTCAGACGTCAAATCTATCGCAGGCTTCATCCAATTCCCCCTCTTTCTCTCTACACGGCAGGCGAGCGCAACTCCCTCGTCGGCGTTGCAGTGCCGCTCTCACCCCGGAACAGACCAATGTGTGACCTGTGTGCAACATACTCGCTATCCGCATAGCCCAGAATGCCTCTAATCTCGGTGCTCTGATGGCCCATGATCCTCGCGATTTCAGGCGCAGCGTAGTTGACGAGGGCTCGCCCAACCTCCATACCCAAGCCCTCCCAGCGCTTTCCATCCGGTCCAGGAGACGAGCGCCGGTTGACGACGACCAGCCGGACGACTTCTTGCTGGGCAAAGTTTCCCTCGACGTCAACTACGCCGACTGGAAGCAGGCCGGCCTTGGTAAGGAGGGCCTTGTGGGCGCCTTCGTCAATGTACAGCGTGCCGTGCGGGTTCGGGGTATGGAGGAGCCAAAAGTGGCGGTCCCGGATTGGGTCGCTTGAAGCCAGAAATCGTGTGTGCAATGGCGGCGCCGGCCTCGTGTCCGCAGGTTCCGACGAAGCCATGAGGTTCAAGGCAATGGATGATGATGATTTCGTAGGCTGATGATGGAGGTAGCGAACGATGCTCAGGACGTTGCCAGGGTTCGACGACCTGGTGATGATTGTCGTCACGCCCGCCGACGTCCCGAGTCTTGCGGCAATGATCTTGGTGCTCATGCCGCCTGTACCTAGGGCTGATCCGGCGCTCGAGACTGTTTTGACCGTTAGCAATTGTAAATCAGAAGAATAAAGTGTCGAGAGCTCAACGTACCATCTGCCTCGAGGGCCGAAATATCCTCCACGATTTCAATGGGCTTAGCATCGGGGTTGCTTCTTGGGTTCTTGTCGTACAAGCAGTCGACATCCGTCATGAGGAACAAGAGATCGGCATGTATCATGGCCGCCGTGATCGCTGAAAGGGTATCGTTATCGCCAAACTTGATTTCGGAAACTGCAAGGGTATCGTTTTCGTTGACAATGGGGATGACTCCCATGTCCAACAACTCGTTGACTGTGCTTTGAGCATTGAGATAGCGTGTTCGCTAAACGAAGTAGAGGTCAGCTCGAAGACATTCATCTCCACCACAAGGGCAGTGGATTGTATCATACATCCGCAATGTCATTTCGTGTGAGCAGAATCTGGGCCACTGGCTGGGCCATATGGGCAAACAAGCTGTCCCAGAGACTGATAAGCCGACACTGGCCGATTGCTGCTAATGCCTTTGAGCATGTTAGAGGGAAACGAGTCCAATTCGTTGCATTGGGAGTAAGGAGCCGTACCTGTAATTGGGCCAGATGCTTGGGACGCTTTGCTACATCCATGCGTCGAAGACCGACTCCAATGGCACCAGAGGAGACAATGACCACTCTATGGCCATCTTTCCTCAGTTTGACCGCCGTGTCGACAATCAGGGTGAGGATTGGAAGAAGAGGTTCATGAGTGTTTTCGTCGACAATTGAACTCGTGCCTTTTGTTCACGAGTCCGTCAGAGTACTGCCCCCATCCTTCAATGACCTCTGGTCCACCTCCAGGCATTCATTCATTGTACTCACCCAGCTTGATGACAACCGTCAGCGGCTTTGGCCTCCTCATGGCCGATACGCCGTCGTCTTGGTGATATGAATGTTAGTGGGATGAGCTGCGGAGAGCTGCAATACCAAAGACAACACGTCGCGAGCAGCAACCAGAATGAGTTCAGAAAACCAACAAGAAACAAAATGCAGTATGGACACCGAAGAGAAGCAAGACAAGAATCAAGGAGCGCGTTGCAAGTCACCCAAAACGCGGCTCGGCGTCCCGGGGGGCATCAAAGCACTGAGACACCATGGATCGATCGACATAGATATAGTAGTATGGACAAGGCCGTGCTTACTCTGAGTAATATCTTCAGACATTTCTGCCAAACCTGTTTCTCTCCCCCCTTGTCGCAGAACCTGTGCTGTAACCTCGTAAACGCAGTTGGTGCAATGGAATGAAGCAATGAAGATGTTGATCGATCAGTTCATCGCCTTTTGGGGAGAATGATGGCTTGACAGTGACATGCGGAAGATGGCCGATGAAATTCAGTAGTAGTCGCCGAGATCGCGGTCTCCCCCCTTGGAGTTTCTTCCAATGAAAGTGCTCGGAATCGAACAAGGTACTGAGGTACGATACCTCTTTGTGCTCTTAGCAGTACCAGGTAGGTACAGTACCGGTAAGCTTGCGATAAGATAAGGCATCAGGTCGGGCTCCGCAAAAGAGAGAAAAAGCGTTCTCACCGCCCTGCGCTTTCTGTCAATCCCCGTCGGCAGAATCCTGGACGACAACAGAGAGACTTTGGGATGAGGTGAGGCAACACCATCACATCATCCACCAGCCGCATGAGAAATTGCTCTCCTTGTCTCATCCATCAGTCTCACTAACTTATCTATTTCGAGATCAATTACACACTAAACCCTTGCAGCGCCAATCTCAACCTCAGCTCCAGATACACACTCTCTTCCCCCTCCCTCCTCCACAGCAATGGCACAAGACGCATCACCAACCGCCCCAGCTCCGGCTCCGGCTGCATCCGCCTCCACCGCATCCCCCGCCCCCAAAGAAGTCGTCAACGATCCCTCCCGAACCGGCTTCGACCCGCAGATGAAGTGGTGGATGAACTACTTCCGCATCCTCTCCGGCCAGATGACCCCCGAGGGCCAGTTCCACTACCGCGAGTGGCGCTACAAGGTCCACGAGCAGCGCGACTGCAAGCGCTGCGAGGACTACCGCGACTGGCTCTTCACCTACTCCCCCGTCGTCCGCTTCCTCTCCGGCAAGATTCAGGACCTCAACGGCAAGCTCGACGCCTCCAACGTCCTCTGCCGCAGGTGTCCCGCCCGCCTCGAGGACGACGGCCAGGTCCATCGCCAGTCCGGCGGCTTCAGTCCCAACCACGGCATCTTGATCTGTGCGAATGAGATCCGGGACCGGAAGCACTTGGAGGATACGCTGGCGCATGAGATGGTGCATGCGTGGGATCATCTGAGGTGGAAGGTCGATTGGACGGGCGATAAGGACTTGAAGCATGCAGCATGCACAGAGGTCAGTAATACTTGCTTTGCTGGCGGACGTGCTCATGAAACGTCCATCTTTCGGTACCAAAGATTGACAATTCTTGACACCACAGATTCGTGCATCGATGCTCAGCGGAGAGTGCCGTTGGAGCAGAGAAGCCTTCACCCGCGGCCACTGGTCTCTTACCCAGCAGTTCCAAAACTGCGTTCGGTCGAGGGCCATTCGATCAGTCATGGCTCGACCGAGATGCAAAGACGACGTGCAAGCGACAAAAGTGGTTAACGAAGTCTGGGACTCGTGCTTCTCCGACACAAGACCGTTTGACGAGGTGTACAGGTAAAAATCCGAATGCTTTGTATTTGTAGACCCTATGATGTACGATAAAACCGCCTGGCACAAGCGCAGCTCTGCGTGACACTCAGCTTGTATGTAACTTGCAATGTAATTAAAAGATACCCCAAAACGAAAAGACTAATTCGACTGACTCGCTGTGTTTCCCGCCCTGTAAAGACCCAGAAAGAAGTAAAAAGATAAACGGATAGGAAACTCCGTCGACTCCTCGTGATTATCCCATATCAATCTCACAAACCCAACTCCAGAGACCGTTCAACTCTCTCACAAGATTTCCAAACTCAGCAATCGGAGACGTAAAACAGATCGAGAGTATGTGTCAAGTCGCAGATTAGGAGTGCTTCTCGCGGTTGGTAGCTCGCTCCCCTTTGACGCAGTGCTTGATAATCCAAGGATGGCGCTGGACCTCGTCAAGAGGAATTCGATTCTCGGGGTCAAGGACCAAGAGCTATTTTGACATATTAGCTGGCTGAATACTTTGTTTAAATTCTTAGAGGGGACAATCGGGACAACTCACTCTTGAGATGAGATCAGCAGCCTCGGGGCTGACAAACTTGGGAATTTGCATGTCCGCACGGGCAATTCTCCGCTGCGTCATGACAGGCGTATCTTCAAAGGGAGCCTCGCCGACAAGGAACTCGTATGTCAACACTCCCAAGCTCCACAGGTCGACCTTTTCGTTGTAGTAGTTGTCCGAAGAGCCGGGCTTGATCATCTCCGGGGGCAGGTAATCGAGGGTACCGCACAGCGTCTTGCGCCTGCTGTTGGGGGCGTGCACGCTCCAGCCAAAGTCGGAGATTTTGATTTCCCCGTGGATGCCCACCAGGATGTTCTCGGGCTTGATGTCGCGGTGGATGACGTGCTTCCGGTGAAGGTACTGCAGCGCAGAGGCCATCTGGGCGACGTACTGAGCCGCTTTCCACTCGGGGAACTTGGTCTCCTTGCGCAAGTGCTTGTAGAGCTCGCCCTTTCCGGCATATTCGAGGATCAGGAAGACGCGTTTGCTGTCGTGGAAGTGGCCGTAGAGCTGGAGGATGTTGGGATGTCGCAGGTTGCTCTGGATCTCGATTTCGCGGCGGACTTGCTTTTCGACACCGCCTCCGGCCTGCAGCTCGCTCTTGTGCAACACCTTGAGGGCGCAGATAAAGCCGCTGGTGCGCTCCTTGGCGAGGTAGACGCGGCCGAACTTGCCCTTGCCCAGTGGTCGTCCGATCTCGAACATGCCGAGATGGAACTGCTTGGGTGCGGCGGGCTGCTCGGTAAGGGCTGGTTTGGCCTCTTCGACATCCTTTTCCTTTTGCTTCTGCCTCTCCCTTTCTTTCTCCTTTTCTCTTTCCCTCATCTCCCTTTCTCGCTCACGCTCCCTCTCTCTGTCTCTCTGTCTCTCTGTGTCTCTCTCCCTCTCCCTCTCCCGCTCCCTCTCCTTTCTTGCCTCCCTTTCTTTCTCCTTATCCTCGTGAACTCGCGACGAGGCAGAAGCGAGAGCCTTCCTGGCGGGCGAGGCAGGGTTGATGGGTCTTCTCGGTGCTGGTGCCGAGGAATAAGTGGCAGATGAGACTGCGTTGGTCTGCGACTGAAGCGCTACCTTGTAGACGTTTGCCCGAGCAGCACTCGACGCTGAGGTCACCTAAAGCCGGACATTAATATTGAACCCCCACCCAAGGAGTAGATGCAGTCCGTGTAGAGGCGCTGCCGTACCTTGGTTTTGGAGTACAGCTTGGTGCCCTCGCCGAGGTCGTTTTCGTCCTGGACGGACATGGTCTCCAGCCGCGTCTCCAGCGTGCGGACAGACATTTTGCTTGGTCTGCTGCTTGAGTGACGGGCTATGCGATAGCAATGTTGTGCAATGGAGCAGCGTCGGCAAAGTGTGTGTGAGCGCTGGATGTTCGCAGGTATGTGCGTGTAAGTGACGAGTGAGTGTGAGTGTGTCTGCGGGATGGCTTCCTCTCTTGCGGTTGAGACGGGGGTTAAATGCCTTATATACCTGATGACTGTTGGTCGGGGCTTCTGGTTGCCAGGGCAACGGGCGGTTAAGGCGAAGTACATGTAAGCCACCATGCCCTTTGCGTGGCTTAGCTAATGCCAGATGCAGATCCTTGGCGCCAATTGAGCATGAGAGTTCAACCACAAACTCCAAAAAGCATCTCTACACATGAGAACCAAATGTTTAAGAAAAAACACAAATTCAGCCACTGCAGAAACTTATTCTACTTCTGGTCTGTTGACAGCTTCATATTCAATCATTCACTTGCCGCTTCCGGTTCGCTGTAAAGCCAATCTCGGAGGTCTTAGTTGTTCCTCCAACTCCCCACTAAAAGAGGTAGCGCCTCATAACTCCAACTTACAAGCAAGCAACCAACTTATTGCCATCTCGAACCTACACCATCAATCAGCCTTCAAACACCACCGCCAAACTCAAGTGGAAAGCTGTCCACCAGCTTCCACCACCACCACATCCACCACCACCACCACCACCACCACAACAACAACAACAACAACAACCCACCCATCATGAACCACGCAACGCCCCCCAACGAGCCCTTCTCCTCGCCCTCCGACCTCGCCCTCGCCGCAGCCACAACCTCCCACACGCAGAACCGCTTCCGCATCTCGACCCGCAAGCTCCCCATTTCCAAGTCGGCCGCCATCGACGCCCTCGAGAAGAAGCTCGGCATCCCCGTCCCCGAGATGATCTTTGGCGACAACCTCGTCTCCATCACGCACACGCCCTCCAACTGGACCCTCAGCTTCAACACCCAAGACGCCCTCGACGCCGTCGACAAGACGGACAAGCACATGCTGCGCGTCGCCTACGCCCGCGACTGGGAGAGCACAAGAGAGGAGACGACGCAGAACATCAAGGAGGTGGTCAAGCCCTACGACTGGAGCTACTCGACGGCGTACGCCGGCTCCGTCGCGGACGGAGGCGCCGCGTTTGCGCCCACGGAAAAGCAGATCCCGATTGAGCTCCTCAAGCGGCGCGACCCGATCCTCTTCTTCGACGAGGTCGTGCTGTACGAGAGCGAGCTGGACGATAACGGGATTTCGCTGTATAGCGCAAAGCTGAGGGTCCACGAAAAGCGCATGTTGTTACTGTGCAGGCTGTTTATGCGCCTGGACAATGTCCTGGTCCGGTTGCGGGATACGAGGATATACGTTGACTTTGAGACGGACGAGGTGCTGCGCGAGTACACATCAAAGGAGGCCAGCTTCAACCACGTCAAGAATGTGAGTGTTTGCATGGTGATCCTCGATTGTTTACCCACATACTGATCACTTTCTGATGATAGGCGCTGAGGAGAACCGGGCGGCTACCGGATGATGTAACCGTCGCTCTACGGGATCCCAATGCCTTGGATCCATTCTTGAACGTTGTCGAGCACAGGATAGAAGCGGTATCGCTGGCAGGGCAGCAGTAATCGGATCGGTGCGGCTAGCAAAAGGAAAAGGCGAATGAGAAAAGGCAGTGGTGATTTAGTCCAAATGTAAAAAAAAGGCGCGAGGGAGCATCGCATATATGAGGCATGAAGGCGTTCTGGAATTGGGCTACGAACCCTAGGATATATTCTCAACTTTTGATTCAGTTTCTGTCTTAAGATAAAAGGGAGCATAGAGGCTACCCAGCAGCTCTCCTTCTAAAAAGGGGGGAGAAATGATGCAACAAGATACCTACTAGACCATGGATATCAACAAGTGGTAATACAAAGCCATCCATCCGTGCAACCAACCAACCAGCCAAACCAAACCAGCGCCACTTCCTCAAAATAACCCTCAACAATGCGTGAAAGCGTAATAAACAACCACAAAAACAATGCCCATTGCCTCGAAAAAAAAAAAAAATAATCGTGGCACACAAATCAAGAGCATTTCCAGGCATGAGCGGCGACTCAGAAACCACGTCCTAAAACGAAATCATCGCCCATCCTGCGGCGAAGACGGCTCAGCCACCTCCTCAAAATCCAGCTCCCACTTGTCCACTTCCTTGAACTTGTTGCTCGCCTGCTTCAGCTCCTCAGTAGACACGGCGTCAGCCGAACCTCTAGTCGCATCGTCAAATGTGTTATCCGCCAGAGGAATGAACCTGCTGCCTCCTTCTTCGTCTCCCTCGTTTTCGCTTCCAGTGCCATCAACGTCGGCATTCTCCTTGTCCGAAGAGTGGCGGGATCTGTGTCCGTACGACGCAGGCCTGGTTGCTGAGGCTGTGCGCTTGCCGCCCCGAGAAGCCGAGCGACCTTTGGTAGGTGGCCGGCCCCTTTTCCGCCTGCGCGCGGTCTGAGTGTCTAGATAAGATAATTCATCATCCTCGTGCCCCAACCCCGACGTGTCGAGCTCCTCGTCGCTCTCCAAGCCAAGCGGATCGCGCGCCTTCTTGTATTTACGCTTGGGCAAAAGGCTCGTAAGGTCAGCCGTAGTCATCTTGGGGGACTCTTGCTGGCGCTGCGGCGGCCGCCCGCGCGGCTTGCCAGTCTTGGCTGTGTCGTAGTTGGGTGAGTGTGTCAGTGATGGAGGAGAGGACATGTCCGAGAGGTTTTCGAGGCGTGTAGGGGTGGTGACGGAAGGTCGGCGGCGCTTCTTGGCCAGTGTCCGGATATCTGGCCACACATCTGGGCCTTCCGAGCCGCTGCTCGCCGGCGGAGCTATGATTTCCTCTTGGTTGACTGGTGTGACTGGGCGCGGAGGGAGTCTCGCCGGGAGGTCTCGTGGCAAGGACATCTCTGAGAGTTCCGAGTCACTTGTCTCGTCAACCTGCTCATCCTGAGAAAATGGGGGCGCATCCGGCAACTCAGACGAGTCACGATCACGAGGCTGCCTCGACGGGCCCGGCTCTGTCCGTGACACCTTTCCAGGCCGTCCTCTGCTCTGTTGCGTATCCAAACTCTTGCGCTTCCTCGTATTTGAGGATTCGGCTTCCTCTGGCGATCTCGGTTCTTCGTTATCCATGTTGCCCTGCGTGCGGCGCCTGTTGTTCAACGGAGTTGATTCAGCCTCCGGCTCAAAGTCATCCTCGCTATCCGCTTCCGAGTCTTCGATCGCCAAAGGCTCCTGCAGAGGTACCCTGTTCGCCCCAAGAATACTCGGCTCCCGCGCACGCCTCTTGAAGAGCCCAAGGTTAAAAGACGAGCCAACCCTCGGGGTATTCCCAGTGCGACTGCTGGGTCGAATGGGGGGATCGTTTCTGCCAACAAAACTGGACCGACGCGACTGGGAGCGCAGCGCGCTATACGACATATTTGAAATGTCTCCCGAGAGCGCCGAGCCGGGAATGTTGCCCTCCGCAAAGCTGTCGTCCAAATCGCCGAAAACGCTGTCGCCCAGATCCAGCCCGCTCGTGTCTCGTGGGTTGCGCCCGGGTGTCGCCATCGTCGTCGTAGTCGCCGCAGTGAAGCGTCCGAGCTCTATGGAGCTCCGCGAGCTTGCGCGCGCTGCCGGTTTGTCCCTTGTCATGGTCGCATCTTCGTTGGCGAGCGCCTCGTCGCGGGTGCGGGTTGTGGCCTGGATGGCGTCTTCTTCGTTAATGCTGAGCCGTGCAGCAGGGACCGGATTCTTCCTCGGGCGCCCTCTGGGGCGTCCCCTGGTCTCTGGCTTGTGTTCGACTGCTGTGCTGGGGCTGCTGCTTGCTGGCTGTGCGGCGGCTCTGGCTGCTCGAGCTGCACCACCGCGTCCTCTCCGGGGCCGCGGCATTGCAGACAGCAGAGAAGTGCGGATGGGAGAATTAACGCTGTAGTATGGTGATGGAGTCTTGATGAGAGAAAGGTCACAATAGATTTGTCGTTTTCTTCTTGTCTGTGTTGTCGTCTGATGACAGGTCGAGAACGCACAAAGCTGAAAGGATGCTTTACTGCTATCGCGATACCATGATGTGGGATAGGCAACAATGGCGGAAAGTGAGGGTTGAATTTAGCTTAAAGTCTTGACGCGTCCTGACGCGGGTTGAAGTGGAGGAATCGCGAGGCTGACAGCTCAGGTGGGGCACTGCTTCGCGAAAGAAAATAAAGTGACGTTTGCTATTTTCCCAGCCTCGTCGCCTTAGTAAGATCTACCGCAGTCGGGCGCTCTACCAACGATCAACTCGAACACATCCACAGCCGACTTCTCAATATTCTTTCCCTTTATACTGGAGATATGCAGTTGTATCATGTATATTTCAAAGTCAGAGATTTCCCAAAACATCCTATCCAGTCAGTTGTTGATATATATTGTACACGGTCTTGAACAGCCAGATTGTTGGCCCATCTATCGTCATGATCATATGCCAAATATGTAGTTATACAGTAGAACCTCCTCAAAAGCCTCTTGTCCATCTAGATGAGCGCCTGACCCATAAACATGCTCTTCTTTACATCAGCAACAACGTCTCTCCTGTCATCGTTGCCCACAAGCACAATGCCTCTTCCTCGGCGGCCCATTCTTCCGGCACGGCCTAGACGGTGGATAAAGTCGATCGTAGTGTGAGGAACATCGTAGAGAATGACGTGTCGAACAGCAAGAGTGTCGATACCTCTGGACGCCAAATCGGTCACCACCAGGACCTTGACGTTTGCCAGGGATCGTTTCCGCGACGGGTTGGGAGGCGCAATGATCCGCAGCGGCTCGGAAGTGGTAAAGGTCTCGAGAGTCTCGCCGTGACGCTTCTCAGGAGTATCTCTGTGCAAAGCCTGAGCATCGATACCCTTTGAGCGAAGATACTCGGCAACCTGCTCCGTCTTCTCTCGCTCGTTGACAAAGACTATGATGCGGCGGACGTCAATCTCGTCCTTGACCAGGTTTTCGTGCTGCGAGGCCTCTCGTCCGATTGTGTAGATTGCGTCGGCGCACGCAAGGTCTTTGTTGTTGCGGTAGGGGTCCTTGGAGACGTCAATGACGCCGAGCTGGACACGTCGGGGGATGGCGTGCAGGTTTGGCGTCGTGATTCTGACCATTTTGGGATAGTTGGTGGCCAGGTAGTTGTTGAGCTTTCTCGGGATCGTTGCCGAGCAGCAGATGAGCTGTTTCATGGAGGGCGAGGCACGCTCGACGATGCTGGAGGTCACGGAAGAAAAGCTTCGATCGAAAAGCGAATCGGCTTCGTCAATGATTACATGGGAGACTCGAGAGAGGATGTTGGGATCGGAATCTGCAATCGAGGCTAGCAGATGAGGTGTCGAGATGACCAGATCGAGTCCCTTTGGTCCGTACAGGTTCCGCTGAATCTGCTGGGGCTTCAGGTTCGACGACAGTATCTCCGTCTTGAACTTGACGGCATGCGACAGCTTTTTAGCCACCAGCCCAACCTGGTGAGCCAGCTCCGCTGTCGGGACCAGCACGACAACCTTTGGCCTGGCCATGGTGGGATGGGGCTCCTCAAAGGGCTTTCCTTTAAAATCCGCGGCCTTTTGACGCTCCTTCTCGATTGCGGCCCTCTCCTTATAAGCCTGGATTTCCGGATCCTCGGCCTCGGCCCTCTTGAGCGCATCAATGGCCGGCAGCAGATAGGCAAGCGTTTTGCCCGATCCAGTCTCTGCCGCCAACAAGAACGACGACTGCCTCTCCTGCTGGGTCCTTGGCTCTCCCGGCTCCTTTTGCCCCAGCAGAGCGGGAATCGCCAGCCGCTGCACCGGCGTCGGACGAATGTCGACCAATCCCGCAAAGACCTCGTCGACGATGGCCGTCTTGAGTGTAGGAAGAAGGTCAAACTGCTCAAACGACTCGAAGCTCTGCATCTTCTCTTTTAGCGACGTGCGCTTGCTGTACGAGACCGACTCCAGTGCCCGCTGCATCTTGAGCGCCTTTCGATCGTTCGGCGGCCGCCGTCTGCTGTCGTCGCGAGAGTCCTTGCGATCGGCCGAGCGAGCTCTTGACGCCGCACGGCTGGGGTCAACATTGGCTACGGTCCGGTTCATGCCGGCAAAGGGGCCTGCGACTCTCTCTCGGCGCGGCTTGCGGTCATCTCGACCCAGACGGGGCGTTCTGTGGACTTGGTCGGCGAGGATCATGCGCGAGGGCCTGTCCTTGGCTCGGTGGGTGAGGGAGCGCTGGCCCAGACATGGCTGTGGCTGCACTGTTGGAAGAATTGAAGAGGTCAGTGAGGGCTGAACAAGAGGCCGACTCCGGATCGTGTGGACACAGCGTAAGCAGACCGAGTTTGCGGCTGCGCGACGCATATTGGAGTATATCTCGGCGTGGTGAGTGCTTGGTGTTTGTTGGAGGGGCTGTAGAAGCTTTGCAACTTTTTTTCTTTATCTCGCTGATTGTCGCTGCTTATCGGCGCGGGTCGCATCGGCAGTGCTAGCGCCGGCCCCATTGATGAGCGGCACTTTTGGGCTCCGTCCTTACGATCTCAAGACGGAAAGGGGCCAGTTGATCTTTTTTTCGAATGCTTTCCATCTGGCTTCGATGAATTATTAGTGTCAAGGATCGCTTCGTAATGATTGCAGAAAGGTTCGGTGAAGAGATTACTTCATTGTTAGGAACGAGGTAGTAGCGGGAAAAGGAGACAACGGTGTAAAAATATTCTAAATCAGTGTCGTGTAGTGACGGCATGCCCATCGTTCCTTTGCTACAAGCATAGTAGTATGAAGAATATATAGAGATCTGAGAAAATATAGATGAGAAAATGATCAAGGCCACTGAAAAGTGGCCGCTTGCCAAATAAGAAAATGCATCCTATGTATGGAGACTGGCATCATGTCTCGCCCTCCATGTCCCGCGTTCCGATTTTATAGACTCGATTTGCTCAATCACATGCCCATGCTTTTCCACAACCTAAGCTCCTTTCATCATGAGGTGCTCGCCTTGCTCAATCGCGGGGCTCTTTGCACGACCAAAGCCGGCGCCGTTCTTCATGTAGCCGCCCGTGGCCACTGGATGGGAGCCCTCCTCTGGGCCCGGTGTTTTGGGCTCTTCGGCAATGGAGCCCAGTGATACAAGGGACCTGTTGCGACCGCTACCCGTTGACATGCGATTTTCGCGCCTTCTTGCCGTGACTGGGCTGAGAGAGCCTGCTGACAGGAGGCTATCATCAGAATCCACGCTGGATCTTCTTGCGTCGAGTCGAGGAGACGGTTGTGTATCATCAACAATGGCTTGATCCTCTGCCAGACTCGATTGGATCTTGCGCAGAGTGCTGAAGATGGCAGTCTTGTCGCACGGAAACTGCTCGATGGTGGGATCGTTGATGTCCACTTCGTCAATGTTGTACTCGTCGAACCTGGGCTTTGATGATTCCCGCCTCAGTTTATCATCGTCAAGAGCTTCGTGATCCAAGGCATCGTCCACAAAATTGTAAGCGCCAAAACACTCGTGAGCAAACAAGGGGGTTTTCAGTTCTTCGTCAATTTCGCTCTCTCCACCGGACCTGCTGATTGGAGGGGTCGAGTCGTCTTGCTATGCCGCCTGTTAGATTGTTACTGTGTTGGGAAGAAGAAGAGAAAGTGTGTGGATAGGATATCTAGCCATACCTCATCGAGTTTTGCAGCTGTATCTGCCACTTCGGCTGCAACCGAGGCCACTTGCTCGATGGGGGTTGAGGTCCGTCGTTCCCCTTCCCCTTTGAGCTTGGGCACGTAGCTCTTGGGCATTTTCAGAACGTTGTTGCGGTTGCCCATTTCGTCCGTGGCTGGAGGAACATCCAAGTGTCAGCTTGATAACGATGACGATGATGATGGTGATGATGACTGATGGTGATGATAATATCGGAAAGACGACGGGGCGACTCACCGACGGCTCTATTCTCGTCCACAAGCCAGGGTCCCTCTCTGCCAGCCCTGAACTTGAACTGATACTCCCTCCCAGGCTCGCCAAACACGCGCGACTCGAAGAAGTATTCGCCTCCGTCCTTGCGAGAGTAGTCCATCTCCTGCAGACGCCATTCCAGAGACTCAAAGTTACCCGCCAGGAACACGGGAGGCTCAGTTCCTGGGCGGTGGAACGTAACGGTATAAGGAACGGCGGTTGACGACATGGCGATGGTGGGAGAAGCTGGGCGACACACGGTGGGGGTCTGTAGAGATGAGGAGCTTCGCAGTAGGTTGTACTTTGTACTTGACGCCCGCGCAAAGCTGTGGTGTTCCAATTGAGGAGCGCTCAGCAGGGGGAGGGGGGGTGAGCTGTTATGCGCTGCAGGATTCAAGGCACCGCGCCACTGATTCAGTGGTGGTAAGTGATAATGGAAGGGGAGCTGCTTGCTGCTTCTCGTCGCCTTGCATACGGCAGAAGCAGAAGAAACAAGGGGTCGATGGGCTGATCAGCCTCTTCTTATGCGGGGTTCGGGTTCGAGTTTCTGTTTCCTTTGCAAGGCTGGAGGCCAAGCTCCGAGAGGGATCAAGCTTTGGGGATGGAAGGGGATGGGTTCGACGGGCTACCGGGCCGTGGACGCTGGGTCATTGGCTGAGGCAGAGGCAAAGAGGCTACGGGCAGCTGCCTGGCAGGTTCCCTGCTGGAGAGAACCGGGAGAGAGGCGGTGATGGAGGGCGGCTCTGGATCCCGAGCGGCTCATGGAATCGTCATGGCTGGCGAGTGGCACCTGGCAGTGACGTGGGCGTCGCGTAAGGCGTTCGCGTACGGCCTAAGAGGTATCTAAAGGCAAGCCTCTGGGCGAAGTGAGCGGGCAGTTGACTGGCCTGATAACACAACCACGTACATGCGAGTACATTGTATGCGGGAAGAAAGGGCGGCATTGTGCTCAACGCTTTTGCAAGAGGTATTTATTTCGCCCATCTGCATCTGTTGTCGCCTTTTAGTCACGCAATGCAATGCAGCGTTTCCGTGAGGTAACCAGCCGGGTAAAGCCCAGCATGTCGAGAGGATGCCTGCACGAACTGCAAAGGTCTTGTATACGACGCACTGCTCCGTTGCTCTGCGGCAAAACAGCCGGGGCTCCAGGTTCCTTGGACAAGGCGGGACGCTGCAGGCGGTACCTCGGCGCAGGTACTGCCCAGGTAGGCCTAGCGGTGATATCATGGATTTGGGGTCGGACCAATCAGAGGCGATGGCCGCTGTGCGGAGAAGCTGGTGCTAGAAACGCTTAGCCTGATGGTTATTTGATGGTTCCCCAAGGTGGGCAGATGGACAGGTTTGACTGGTAAAAGCATATTGTGAGGAGACGCCGATGGTGATAGTAAGTACTCGTATTATGTAAACGCCAAGTCGCGAATGTTCTAAACACAAGGGACGTTGTTTGTATGCATCGACGGGGCCTTTACCCCTTATGTATGTGAAGCGTGGTAGAGAATTGATATTCTAATAATCACTCAAGAGGGCATCCTATGTCTAATACGAGTGATGTATCATTACTTAATAGGTAGTCAGGGGATGTTGCCTCAGTGTAACGAGACGCGACGTCATGTGTCATGCATCGTCGGGTCCCTCGCACCTACCCTTGTACCGCCATGGGCGGGCGGCACCTTCTAGCCCAAACTGGAAGTCAACCTCCAAAAAATACTACGCCAAAATTATCCAGACCTCATTTTTCCCCCCAGCTGTGTATGTATTGCAGTCCTACGCTGTCCCCCATCACAGCCGCTCTTTTGCTTGATCTGATAGGCACACAAGCGGCATCTTCTTCATCTGCGCCCGAATTCATTCGAAAAGTCTCGGTTATGTCGATCCCCCCGCAGCTCATCCGGGTCAAGCGCAAACGGGACGACGAGTCTCCCGTCACTTTCCTCCGTCAGTTCCCTCGTTGACTTTGACATCGTCACTGCGCCGCTTGTCTAACATCATGCAGAGCTTGATGAAGGGGCCAAGCGCCATCGCAGCGATCGCAATTGGGTGTATCAGCGACGAGAGTCCCAGGCCTCACCGTCAGGCCCAGCCATCAGCCGCAGCGATGGCCAACCCGTCATCCACGTCTCGCAACCCGAAGATCGTCCCTCGCCCATAAAGAGACGCAGCGATGGCCCTATATCAGGCTCAACAAGCGATGCAAATCGATCTGCCGATGGCCAGCTTCCGGAACAGCGCAAGTTTCATGTCTCCCGGGCGATGCTGGCGCAGGCGTCCGCCGCCCCAGGGCCGACCAGCTCGGGAATCTCGAAGCATGTGCGGCATGGACCAACGATCTTCGTTGAGCGTACGGGCCGTAAAAAGGTTATACCAAGATCCTCTCGACAGAGCCTCGTCATCAGAGATGCCAAGGATATCATTGCAAACGACCACGCTCAGGAGACGATGGCGGTCTCCAACGAGCACGTCGAGCAGAGGCACCTCAAGAAGCCTGGCATTGCAAAGCGACGGGATCCCTCCCAGGAGCCGCCAACTCGCCACCCTCTCCCGCAGTCGCTCATCAACCGCCACACCGACGACATGGACAAGATCACTGCTGACATGAATCAATGGGTATTGGACGAGATTGGTGCAAACTTACACGCCATGGAGGCTGAGAAGAAGCAGGCCGAGAAGCCCAGATTCAGGCCCAAGGCCCCAGAGAAGAGATATCAAGAACGCCATCCAGATGTTGCTGCAGCGTCAGATAGTCCGGCCGGGGAGACGGCAGATATTCGCATGGTTGATGCGAGTGAGGAAGAAGGGGACGATGCGGACTGGATCATCGAGGAGTATGTGCGCATTCCCGCTCACACTATGGGCGTCAATGTGCTACCTTCAGATGTCGGCCTCCTAGTCTTGGATGGAGAAGAAGAGAACATGCTCTTTTACGGGCCGCCTCAAGATGAAGATGATGAATATCCGGAAGATGATGAAGACGAAAATGGTAAGCCACCGCCACACAAGACCTTGATCTATACGAGACAAAATCTCACCATTGACCTCTCACACCAGCGGAAAACTACTACACGGCGGATTACCCAGAGGATGAGGTAGATACCGAGGATGAGTACGACCGCCACGCCTACATGTACCGCAACGCCAACGCCTCAGACGAGGAAGAGTTTGACGACAACGAATACGACAGCGACGAAATCGCCATGGAAGGGGAAGACGACGACGATGATGACGCAAGGATGGATCGTATTCGAGAATTCATGCAACGCAACGCCACCTTTCGATAGGCTGTGATAAGACCTTGTCTGTCTCTTTCGTCTGTTCCTTGAGCATCGCAGATTGACCGGACGCCATTCGGCACACCCCTTGTTTCTCTGCCGTTCCTTACTCGCAGCCACCTGCCAGATATCGAATCAAAGGCTGCCGAGCATCGTCATCAACCTCGCCATTGTCACCATCGCGATCAACATTCCGTCGAAAAGCTTGCTGTCTCCCACGAGGTGGCCCCTCACCTCCTCGGAAGAGGAGCTCACAAACATGTAATGGGGCCGTATGACGACCGCCTATCATCACCACCCGAGCCTTCAAGATGACACCCCCCAAACCCCCCACGTGGCCCGGCTGCGGTTATTTGCCCCTTCCTCTCTTCATTGCTCGGCAGAAAAAGAGATCGTGATGGGGTGTGGAATCATGTGCGCGGATAACGCAGAATGCCTGCTACGACCCCCAGCCAACGAAAACTGCCGTTGTACACATATTTGCTGGATATGTGATGTACGTGTACGAAGTACGTTGTGTATGTCTGCGTGTGTTGGGCGACACATTCCTGCATGCCCCCTGCCCACCCGTTTTCGACACGCTTTGTATGCTCACCGCCCTCCTGCTACTCCTCCTCTACCTCGCTCTCTGTTGATGATTGGAGCTCACACAACGCGCTTTGGGGCTGTGGCGGGAACAAGAAAAAACGAATTCAGCAAGCGTTAGGTCCTCACTCGGCCTGTTTGCTTCTTGGGAGGAGCTACATACATGCCTATGCAGAAGTTTCTTCCCCCCCCTTCCCCAGCCCTTGTTGTTTGTTCAACAACGAGAGGATTGGTACACGACATGACACATACACACACCCTCTCCGGCACTTTCCATTTGTGGAGGCTCTCATTGCAAATCATGGACTGTGGAAGGGCAAACAACAGAGTTCAGTCCAATCCAGTCCAATACGTGATGGCGTTTGTACGTCTGCCCAGTCATTCCTTCGGAGATGTTGAGTTTGCTTGCTCTCACATCCTATCAAAAAAGGAAAAGAAGAAAAGCCTGTTAGCTCCATCCAATACCAGAGAATATCAACGGGCAACGAAGAGGCGGAGAGGAGAAAACGGGGTCACATGCCCGCTGCTGGTACCCTTTTGTCAACGAAGAGGCGAAGGGCGCGTGCTTAACAAAGTACATACTACGGCCGACTCTTCCGCGTCCATACGCACAAGCAAAGGAAGCCGGATCTTTTGACTCTTAGCTGCTGGTGACCTCCCAATGCTGTGAGACGCAAGGGACAGCTCTCTGCGACACGCGTACAATGCAGGGCGACCCAAATAGAAGAAACTAGAGTTACGCAGAACTACGGACGAGAGAAAAAAAGGGGAAGGGTGCGTTCGAGCTAATGTCAACTGAGTACAGAGTAGAAGGCAGTAGAATCACGGTCAAGAAGCAGAACCATTCGGGTAGTAGATGTACCAAGGTAGCTTGGTTGTGTAGATTGAAATATACCAGAGAAAGAAACATCATGATATCTCGCGGATTCTTTTGCTCACACGCGATTTCCCCCATCCAAAGAGTAGCCAGGTCCAGTGAAAACGACCAATTTTCCATGCCCTCGCCCAGCCATAAGCATCATGACCTCCTCATTAAAGGCCGTAGATATATGCAAGGAAAAAGAAAAGAAGCAAAAAAGCAAAAAGTCATGACAAGGCTCGCAAGACCAGCCATGAGAAAACCAGCAAAAAGCCAGTAGCAGTAACAAGCAATAAATACTAGTACAGGGGAAGAATATATGGGTGAATAAGAACAGATCAAAACAAATCTGGTTGCAGAGCAACGAGGCGAAGAAGTAGAAGAAGAAGGACAAACAAAGCAAACCTCAGGATGCAAAAGAACGCTCTCCTCCAATGCTTGATGCTTGAAATCCGTGCCCTCATTGAAGCACGAAAGACTTCGACGTGAACGTAGAATGAAGAAATGGTCAAAAAGAAAAGTCGTGTATGAGTCTTGTCGTAAAAGAAGGCCGTGGCCGGTTGACGCAAGGAGAAGAAGGGATGTAATGAATGGTGGCCGTCTCCGCTTGGGAGAGCTATTAGTAGTACACGACCATACTCTTTTCTTCCGCACGAGAGAAAATTTGGGTCATTGCTCCCTCTCTCTCAGAGATGGCTCCTCGCTGTCTCCCCTTCTGTAGGGGATAGAAGGTTGAAAAGGGCGAGGCGTCGCTCACATCTTGAGGCGCCTCTGCTCCTTTCTTCTCCGTCGCTCCCTGCGGTCTCGGAGCTGATGGAGACGTTTCTTGGCTATAGCGGAGGAGTCGGTTAGCATCATATGTAGATATACGGAGCTTTGGTTTGGTTTAGACTCACCCCAGTCCATACACTTCATCTTTGTTTCGTCGTCTACCCAATCGTAAAAGACGGCTCGGTCGGGGTACCGCTGGGCAAGGCCCATGGGCTCCATCGGCCGGTCCTGGCTGTCTCTCTCACGGCACTTGATGCTGACATGTCTCGGCTCCAAGTCGTCGTCGTTGTCAAAGATGAGATTACCATCTCGATCCCAGACGGGGATGCGCTGGTTCATACGGTAGTACCAGGCTTGAAGGCCCTGGACAGTCCGTTCAGGTGTGCGGCCAAATCTGTCGGCGAACTCCTGCTTGATGCGTTGCCACTTGAGCTTCCTGTCGTGCCAGGCGTAGATGATGAAGTCACCCTCTTCTTGAGTGTACTTCTGGTTGATGTGCCGCCCTTCGCTATCGGGGGGTGGGCTAGGATAGCCGTCCAGTCTAGAAGGGCAGAAATCGCTGCTTATGGCGTAGTTTGGGTACGCGGGCTCATGGATCGAGAAGGCCAGCATCGATGGCAGAGGTTGGGGGAGTATGGAGCCACGACGAAGGCTAGAGAGAGGCGAGGAGGGTGGGAGGCTAGAGAGAGGCGAGGGAGGAGTCCAAGATCGTGTTGACCCATACGATCGTGCGATGGCGTCCACACCCTGATCGAACTCCCTGAGGCTTGGCAGCTTGATGGGAGGCGGGTTGGAGTATGAGTTGAGGCGAGTCAATCGAGGCAGCGGGGAGCACTCCCGGGAGATGTTACTTGAAGCAGCCGAGAAAGATCCTGATGAGATGTGTCAGCTGTCCCGTGTTGAGTAGTGAAGAGACAAGTCTGGCGGCAAAGGGAGCAGCACATACCCTCTGGCTTGACGATGGGGCTCGCTGAGGTTGAGTCAGGAGGGGTTTGTGGGTGGAGGAGAGATCTTGGAACGGATGACAGGTAGTCGGTAGACAGCTTCCTAGGGAGGAAAGCCTCTCTGCTCGTCATGCCTGCGATGCCCAGCATGTTGGACGTGGCCGGGGAAGAGCCACGGCTTTCGGGACTCTCTTGCACAGGGAACATGTTCCAGAGTGACTCTCGAGTAAGGCGTATAAGACAGCAGCGAAAAAAAAAACGGGCGAGCTCCTGGGTACTGAAGGGCTGTCTCTGAAGACAATGGTTGAATCGACAGAGGCTGCAGTTAAGACACAAAGGCTCAAGTAGGACGAGAGGGAGAGTGCCAGCAGGTAGATGTCCGCAGTAACGAGGGATATCGACTGTGACAAAAGGGTAGGCGAACAAGTCTTGGGTGAGAAGGGAAAGAGTGGATAGATTTGAGGATAACACTGAGTGAAGGTCAACACGAGGAGCACGGTCTTCTTGTACTTGCTGCGCTTTGCCTTGGAGTGTGTTCAGACCCTGGAAGATCAGGCCTGTGCCACGGCCTTGGATCAAGGCGCTTTGCTACTGCCCATGACCAATGAATGGATTGGCCGTGATGGGCTCCAGTGAGGGCGGTACAAGTCACTCCCACTCCTGTCTTCTTGGAGGGGAGGGTCTCGTCGTTTCCGCCCTGGCCTCAACCCTGCACACGAGACAACGTCCAACACACACAAGGTGTGCCCTGTTCCAGTGGATCACCGCAGAGTCGATAAAAAACAAAACGGTACATCCAGACCTGCGGCGTTTTGAGAGGACAAGGGTGCCAAAATTGGCACCACCTCTGGGGGGGGGGGGGGGGGGGGGGGGGGGGGGTGGTCTCCATCAGAGGCGGCTTTGTACCCGCCTATGCTCTGCAGGGTGAAGCTGTCTTGGAAGACCCCGAAAGACTCGGGAAGATTGACTTCCTAAGACAGATGCGGCGTGGCAACATGAACCAATGCGCCTCTAAGGCAAGGCTAGTGCCGAAGGGCTGAGCTGGGGAGGTGAACCGAGGGCGATGACAATAGGCAAAGAGATGAGAGGTCTGCGGTACGTGAAAGAGACTGAGAGGGCCGGAGTCCGTACGAGTGGGCAACATGTCCGTTGGGCCAAAGTGATTGTGCGGTTATGGACGAACGCCCATGCTGTCAAACACAAAAGGACCATCCCGCCAGGTGTCTCCTCCGCAAAGGTATGTAAGCCACCTGTCTTGGGAACGAGATGGCGTGTTTCCCTCAATCTTGTCCCCCCAATGGCGAAGAATCCGGCAGGACGCATGGACAGGTTGTGGATATTGTTAGGAGCAGAGAGGGCCCAGGTGGCATTGAAGAGATCTCCCAATAGCACCACCATGATGTTGAGCATATCCACAGCTTGTGTTGGTCGAGCGTGCATGCTAGCAGCCATCAAAGGTAGCAAGCAGGCGGTGCGAGACGGATCCTCGCCACGAGGCGCCACCCGCACGAAAAGGATGCAGTAGCAAGGACTGCCTCAATACCTCTTTTGGCACTGGCACCCCATCCTCATCAGATGTATTTCGTCGGTGGCCGTGCAAGTCGAGGTCGTATCACAGGTACGGCCATCATCTCGTCCAGGGAGGCTGCATTCAGATGCCGGCTTGCCACTAAGCTGGGGGATTTGCACCAAGATTGACAGCAATCTGCTGCGTGGACCAACAACATGGCTTTGGGCACGTTCACATACACACACAGTGTCAGACGACGAGCTTTGGTCACGGCTTACATGCTTGTGCAGAGCACATCGTCCAAAGGAAGTCAACCCAGGAGGTCGGAATTGCGTGGAGACTGCCTCTGCCCAGAGACACAACAACACGACAGCCCATACCAAGCTGGACTCCATGATGATACAGGTCGGCCGCATAAGTTTGCAGCTCAAAGACCAGTCTAGACGGTGGCGACCAGCTCACACAGAGAATAAGCAACATTCGAGACCGAGGATTTCACATGTCTAATTGGGCCACAGCTGGCCGGCATCTGGCAAGCAGGTGAGGCGTGGCAGCTGGTAGAAAGAGTCGGGCGTCGATGCCAGGCGGCTTTGCATAAAAACATCTGGACGATGGAGAGCAGGAGGGCCAGGGGAGCAGGTCCAGGTTCGACGTGGCTGATCCGGGGCCGGTGTAGGGAAGGCCGAGCAAGATCTGAGAAGTGACCTGCTGCCGCTCCCGGGGGGGTATGTCACGGCCAAGTCAGTGGTGGACTGCCAGCAGCTGGACGCAAAATGTTCCAGTCCCAAGTCTCGGCGGACCTGCCCACCCAGATTAGCGTAACCGGTTCTTTTTTTGCTTCTTCCTGCAGGAAGATGCGACGCCGGGTTCCTGTATGTCTGGGAGCAATGAAGCAGATGCAGGGCAGGGCGCCAGAGGGGGGACGGCAGCTATGGAGAAGTCAAGAGGCCAGTGGCCATCGGCCGGAGCCCAGGACCAAAAGCAGTGAAGAACGGACCTCCTTGCCTCGCGGCTGAGCCCGGCGTGCAGTGCCGGATGAACTTTGGGCCTCTCCGCGACGTACTGGTTTGACGAAGAGGGTCAGTGAAGGTATTGGTGGCGTCCCTTGGTCTTTGGCCGTGCCCATGCCCGGCCCCGACTCCCATTTCGGCGGCGCCCTCCCCCCTCTCATACGAGACATGCGGCTCCGTCTGGCCATCCTGATAGCATTCAACAGCGTTAGTATCCGTTTCTCATTGTCAACAGCATCATAATCATCACCGGCTGCGTTGGGCCGAGACGTTGCAATGGCGGTTTGAGCAGCATTAGTGCCAGCTGCTGTGGACAACAGCTTTGCAAGCGGTGGCATTGTCAGACAACGTCTGCTCTCACAGGCCGTCAAGGGGACGGTGCTTGGCACTAAGCGGGCGAAAAAAAAGGAACGACGGGGCGAGGGAGGGCCGAAAAAAGAAACGAGCAAAATGTTACAGAGAGAATTACTGTGGCGCGGGCGCCAGCAGCGGCGCATGAGTCGACGAGAGGGAGTTTTTTGGCCTGCAATCGTTGCTTTTTTCTGCGTATCGAGAGGAGGTTGTGTGAGGAGCAATCAATCTCTTGGTCATCGGCTGGGCGCAAGGGAGTGAAGGAGGAGGAAGGAAGATGGAGAGACGTGAGCCAATCAAGGCCCCGGTCGGCGCTAGACCCGATGCGGGGAGCGGGCATCGAAACAGCCATCATAGGCCTCTGATTGGCCGAGGCGCCCCTGCTCTTGCATTTGACCGGTGGAAAGCTGCAGCGGCCGGGGAAGGAACAATCAAGGGTGCGGAATGCCAGCGATCTGGGGAGAACTTGGCCGTGGACTAAGGTACCTCTGTGTACGTACCGTTTCGCAGAGGTGGCAGGTGGTCTGCAGTGACGATTGCCTAAAAGGCCGCTGTACCTTTTGTTAGTACCGTCGGATATCTCGAAGCAAACACGACCTTTATCCGTCATCTATCTAAGAAAGGTAGGTAAGTACCGGGTTGTTAGGTATGTACTGATATGTATGTAGATCTGGTTGGTGATAAGCGGGAATCAGGATGATGATGATGCTGATGATACGTCGAATTGCACATACCTACTGTACAAGAACAAGTACATACAAACAAGCCCCAGACCCGGTAGCAGACCGACTGAGTAAGATCAACTGGAATTGATCCGCTGTCGATAAGCTTTCAGCTCCTCTTATCCCCCGGTCCAAGGCAAGACAAACCCTGAATCAAAAGACCCTGTCAGCATCATATAGTAGGTACTTTGACTCAACCCGGTCCCCATACGAACAAACGCGCATAAACCACTGCTGATCTCCGCTTCCAGCTCTTCAGGCGGTGTCTTGGGGGGGGAAATCTAATAAACCAGATCCTCCCTTCGACCCTTCAGGGGGGCGGGGAAAAGGGAGGAGAAAAAGAAAAAAAGAAATCAACAAGAAAAAGAGGCAAAGAGGCCGAAAGGGAGCATCAGCGTCAAGCGTGAAGCAACAGCCACCACCACCACCCTCCTCCTCCTCCTCCACCACCACCTCCACCAGCAGCAGCAGTCGATCTTCGGCAACCGGTTTCGCTTCCGGATTGCCGCCATGTCTCAGCAACCTGCGTTGATGGCTTGGGACCGGTGAAGCTCCAGTGCATGCAATCGCCCCTCTGCGCCTATCGGGATGTGGTGCCGCATGAACAGAAGAGCTCCGCTTGTGCCGGCTTGCAGGCAATTGGGGGGACCAAGTTTCTGAGTCTGAGTCGGGCAGCATGGAGTCCCCCCTCTGCACACACACACACAAGTTCCGAACCATGGACGCACATGCATACGATGCCTGTATGTAAGGCTCCCAAAGGGTGATATGAGCCCGTGTGCCTATGTGTTGTCGTGGGCCAGCCATACTACATACATACTTACGCACCAACCTATCAGACTGCCATTTGCCTCCTCCAGTCGATGCCGGTGCTGCTGCCCTGCAACAGTCTGATGCATCTCGACGGAGCACGATTACATGCACATGATACGGAACTCCCAATTGCAACCTGCAGATCCGTCGAACTGCTGCTGCTGCTGCTGCTGCTGCTCGTAGGCCCGATACAGAAGCAGGATTTCGCCCTGAGACCGGACTAAGCCAGACGCAGGCCCTGTCCTTGTTGTCGCCTTTTGTTTTCTCTTTTTCCAGGAGCGCAGGTCTCGTGCATACAAGTATCACACACTGCAGTTTTACACCGGTGCTTGTACGTGTACGGAGGACAGCGAAGAGGAATCGTCAACACCAAGCGAGGTAGGTACCTTCAGTTGGCGCCGCCTAACCTGGAGGAAATGTCCCGGCACCTGGTCAGTTATCGAGTCCACGTCAACTTGAAGCGCTGCGAAAGTGGCCGGGGGCCATCACGTAGTGTACTGTAGCACTGCCTTATTTGCAGACCATACTGAGGCAGTGGAGGTGCGAGCACCTTGCTGTCGTGGCACACAACGCCTCGAACTTGGAAGGGTGCGTGCCAGATAGTACGAGTAATCCGTACGTGATGTCCTGGTGCTACATGCCTAATGCGTCTCTTTGATACCTTACGATAGTCGTCTTATGATTGAGAAGCACACGCAGAAGCACATGCCATCCTACCTATCAAGACGGCTCCCTTTGGCAAACTCCGCTCTTACACTTACACCGAATATTCGTCCTGCAGACGCCCAAGCATGCAATTCGATCCTACTATATGCGTCCAAAGGGCGGAGCTGCATCCTCTCTCCGCCATCGATGAGAGATAGTAGCTGAAGACATGCGTGGCGCTCATCATACCCGGCTGGGAGTGAATTCAAGGAACGGATAGTGCAACAGATAGAACGAAGAAAACCATCAAGATAAAAAACAAAGAAAATGACACATTCTCTTGGAGACACGGCAGACAAAGCAATAGTCCTGAGCCAAGAGACACCGAAAAAAAAAGAAAAGAAAATATTCACATACTACTAGCACTACCTTTAGCCTGTTGACTGACGGACAGAGACAGATCTCAGCCACCTTTTTTTTGCTTGTTTTGCCGCTACTTACACAAGGGAGGATGAGGTAGGAACAGGACCCTGTTGCAATATAGCTAGACCGAGTTTTTCCAGGTTTCAATAATTCGACGCCAACCCTACGTGCAGCCGGTGGTGGTCTTCAAGGACGCAAGGAGCAAGAAATTCTGTCAGCTATCACTTTTTCTGGGACGCACATTTCATCAAGTTCAGCTTAACAAGTATTATTGTGCCTCCTCCTCCTCCGCCTCCGACGGGCCGGGGGGCCGTCGTCCCGGCCGCCGCTCACAGGAGCTCAGCTTGGAACTTGTCCTTGGCGGAAGCACAAGTTGCGGAGAGTTAGGTGGACTGTTATCAAGATATGTCTTCTGGCGCCACTCCTCATGAGGTATCGCGAGGCTTGCCATCTAGATAGGCTCAAGATGATAAGACTAATCCTGGTACGCAAAAGTGATGGCGTGCGTGCTGCCCTCTTGGCAGACAGGTATAGATTGTCTGTTTGTTAATCTGTAGATGGTATCGAGATGCACCAGTACCTGGAACTCCTTTCAAGAAGCGCCTACTCTTGCATCATGACCTCCGTCGCTGCATTAGAAGGTCCTTCAAAGAGGCACAAGCGGTGTATGTACATCACAAGTGCGCACCTCCTCGCCGCATAAACGTCCTGCCTTATTACTTCATAACTCCATCCCCTACCGTGAAAGAAACAGTCATAGCGACGCCATCACGGGGGATCGGCAGCCGAGCAACGCCACGTTTTGCTCAAGCCGCCCATACCGTGAAACCATTTAATAAGACAATGAAACTATTCCCCTCTGTGAGAAAAGAAAGAGAAAGAAAAATGAAGAAGAGGCAGGGGTTGAAACTGCCTGTGAACCATTGATTGATCATCCAAACGTCCGTGGTATACGTGTCTCTCCTCCTCTTGACGGCGCTTACACACCATCCCGAATGCCCATCTTCCTGCTCCACACATTGCAATATACATCGAGGCCATCAGGAGCATCGATGGGGCTCGATAATCTCCTGGAGTGGGAATATCTTCCTTTTCTTCAAGCTGAGCTGGACGTCAGACCCAGTTTATCTTCGGCAAAAAGCAACGGAAGCGGGAGATCAGTCACAAGGATGTCTCCTTGTTTCTCTAGATGCTCGGACTCCCTTTTCCCCAAGAGATGGCCATCTCACCGATACCCCGTACCTCGTACACAAGCGTCGTCGGAAATCATTTCGTGGCGTCGTCTCCCTCTCTCTCCCTACATCAAGCCGCCGGTGGGGAAGCACTTGGCCACCTACTACGGACTGCTCCTCCGTAAATTGAGCTGGATACTACATATTGACTAGTACCAGTCATAATAGATGGAGGTACCCATTTGGCACATGAGACATGGCCCATCAACTGGCCAGGGGCTTGCAAGAATTGCAACACGGCCAAGACGGCCTGTGCCTTGAGACTACTGTCGCCAGTTCACGACGGAACCATTCGTCCGGTTTCCGAGTGCCAGCGCAGCATCAGATCGTGCCTTGGCTGCCAGATACCCGTACAGAGGGGAGGGCCCTGACAAGTGAGTAAGCCGCTCCCACTGCGGCGCAGGGGCCAGGAGAGGGTCTGGGGAGGAGCATCTTTCCGACTCGGTAGGGCTACGATCCGAAGCTCAAATTCCTAGGGAAGGGTCTCCAGATGCGGTGTAAGGGATTGGATGTATTACATGGACGAGAAAGACGGTAAGGTACACTTGTCAAGCTCGGTGATTTGTTGTCTGCTCTGATGTTCTGAAACCGATCAACCCAACTGGTGAGCTCTGGCCCAACGGGGCAATCAACAAGGCAAGACTCGCAGGTTGTACCAAGCACGGCCGTTCTGATGATCCTGTCGTTCCTTATCTGGGAGCAATTTGCCACGCGGTGTGATTCTCGTGACGAAATCTAATAATACTCTGCAGACAGCATGCATCACGGATGCTCGTGAGCCCAAGCAGAACGTGACAGCCCCGGCAGGGCCTGGATGTTCGGTGGCTAGACAGCTCTCACAGCTTCCTCAAACCCTGCCATCTGTACTTTGTACTCCGTAGTAGCTGGCTCGCAGCTGCAGCCCAATCCTCAACTGGCTACGTGGATTGCTGGTGATTCCGAGCTCCGATGGGCATGACCAGCTTTCCAGCTTTCCAGCTTGCTACTACAGCTTGGACTCGGATGCGTCTGGACCCATAGATCCCGTGTCAGGAAACTCTTCGTCTCCTGAGAATTTCCTACAGCCAGCAGATCAGCATAGCTCACGGATTGTTGCCTTGTTTGTCTGCTTTTCAGCCCGTCGATTTCGTACGTACCAGCCTCGTTCTTCGCCACAGGTTAGGAAGCTACAGTCGCTGTTGGCTTCACATGACCAAGCTCCAACAACAGCACGGGGGTTGGGCTTGTTCTCAGGCAAAGTTCCATCTCCTCGCGGTCCTTGTTCATCTTGACTGATAAGTCTCCGACGATAGACACTCAGCCCGCAGGTAAAGGCACGAAAATCATCCGCGTCCACCGTTTCAGGGAACCTTCCCGTCAGGATACGGCCCAACATGATGACCACGGCGGCGTGAGTGCACAGTACGACGGCTCGCCTATATTCAGCGTCGCAACGATCAATGATACTCTGCATCGTGGCCGTAAGCCTGGCCTGCAGCTGAGCCAGCGTCTCGCCCCTCCTGGGGGGATGCTGAGCCGACACGTAGCTCTCGTCAAAGGCAGGGAACAAGGATTTTAGTACCGACGGTGAGGCTGGGCCGGGATGCTCAAACGGTGCAGAGCCGAACCACTCGCAGAGGCCATGCTCAGGCCGGATCATGGTACAGGCAGGACTGCTGCCGCCATGGCGTTCCTTGGAGCACCGTTCCCGCTGAAGCTCAACAAAGGGCGTGATCGTCTGCAGGCACCGGTAGTAGGGACTCGAGTACACGGCCTCTACCGGGGGTTCGACCGTCATGAGATGCCGGCCAAGTTCCCACGACTGCTCAACGCCGTGGGCGGTGAGGGCCGGGTCCACAGGGATTCCTGTTGGTGATGGGATCGAAGCTGAGTACACTCCTGTGGTGTGGTCGACGGACCAACTAGACCGGAACTGGCGTTGACAATAGCAACAGTCAATACAAGAAGCACTCAGCCTCGTGACGCCATTGTCTGCAGTGAACAAGGAGGGGGGGTGTGAGAGGATCAAAATTCAAGGGCAAGAGGCGCAACACTTTACCCCATGTCGAACGACGTAGATTGTCTCGAGAGGCATGTTCCTTTTTGCAGGTATTTTTCTCCTCTTTTGCCTTGGAACGGAGAAGCCAAATGGAGGTGAGGAAGGGTGACAACGAAATGAGGAATTATCCGTGCTGGCGTCTGGTCGTCTGAGTATCCGTCCTTGTATGCGAGATGCTGCACCCCGAGGCGGAATCTAATCTCGGATCCGGGGTTGCTCAGGCCATGAAAGAGTCGTAGTTTGACCACAAGAGCCCCTCAAGCGCACATACATGGACAAAGCGCAGTCTGCACTTGGCGATACGACGCTCTCCTCGCTGGACCTCGGGGCTTTTTTTGCTCTTTCTCTTACCCAGACAACCAGACTAGGTTCCGTGGGGGCACCAACCAGGAATACCTACACACCTGGTTTTGCGGTTGGTGGGACGAGATTCCGCAAGGCAAGCCTTTCTCCTTTCAAGATAGCCTCGATGCCTATTCGCGGGCTTGGTGGTACTAGTAGCATGAGGCTGATGATGAAGGAGTTTTTAACCAAGATCTCCAAATGAGGAAGAGAGAGAAGAGGGGGGAAGGAGGGGGGGGGGGGGGGGGGGGTTGTGCCTGTTCCAGCCATTTGGCGGGTGCCAAAGTTGCGCTGTTCTACGGATGAAGATCGGAATGCCAGCAGTGGATACAATCAAAGAGTCGACGTTGGCGAGGAAAGAGAGAAGAACAATCATCATTGCAGGGCACTTGCGATGCCGCACAGCTACAGAATTGCCATGTAATTCAGATGTACCGTCCCGTACCTAGGTACGACACGTACTAGGTAGATAGGTACCTGACTCCTATCACATTGGAAGTGACGAGGCGCATGAGGCTGTGTTACTTCAGAAGCAGGTGAGCCTTTCCACGCGTAATACTGGTAGTAGGTACCTACTAAGAAGCATGATGTGTAAGGTATTAGGTATGTGTAACTGTCATCAAGAACGCACCTTAATCAGGTGTCAAGGAGAGCACTAAGCACCTCACTGCAAATCCTCCGCGGAAGCACGACTAGATATCCCATCAAATAGCAGCAGAGCGCCGTTTCCAGGAATACCTGGATCCGAACTCGATGGACTGAAGTCGATGTACCCACTAAGGTACGAGCACTGTACTCGCATGCTTGTAGCGCTGTTTAACAGCAAATCCGAGTTATGGGCAGCCGCGAGCTACTGAGGCATTGCCGTTTCTAGTAGACTTAGCCGAGCGCCAGCGGTGACATTCCATTCATTGATGAGCAAGGAAGGCAGGACTGGGAGCCGTTGGTTTTCTTCAACACTTCACAACTTGAAGATTTGTGGCGTTTTTAGAGGCATCTCGGTCCTCAATTGAATCCTTCAAATCTGCTGCACTTTGGTGGCCTGTGCTCAGGGAGCCTCAATGGGATCAGTGAGTGTCTGAATCATGTGTGATTGTGCGCTTCTGACTTCAATAGGTACTATCTACCAGCTCCCAACATCTGCCTCCTGCGCCGACATCGTGAGTGGTCACAAGCACGGAGCGTCCGGAGATGCACCCGTTGAACAGGTCCAGATATCAGAAATCGATGACAGCGAATCGTCAGCTTCACTCTCAAATCCCAGTCAGAATCAAGTCAAAGCCAAGGAAAAGAAAAAGCAAGCAATGACACCTTGCACTCGCTTGCTTCACCGGTCGCAGGGATTCTGCAGCCACTCATGCGCGCAACAACAAGGGCATGCAACGCGAGCTTCTACTTCATACATGGCATACAATAGTTACTGCAATGGTCGCTATGTACCAGGTGCCCTCGGCTGTCCTCTCGAGGCGACAGAAATCTTCACGGCAAATCAAATAATCGGAAAGCAGCAGCACAGCTTGCCACACACACACGCCCGCACATGTACATACAGGTGCATGCGTACACGCATATACAGACACACAAGTATGCGCATATACAGACAGGCATGAGAACCAAGTTGCCAAGGCAGCCAGGAATCTGCATCTGCATCTGCATCTGCGTCTCGTCTGCATCCGCGTCTGCATTGCATACTCGTCGCACACACGTGTTAACCTCCTTAGGTATCTCGTCCACAACGAACCTTCTTCAGGCCATTGGGCGAGGGTATACAAGACATGAGACAAGAGCTCTCATAGATGCTGTCGATACAAGTCCTTGCAACAGGGTCATGAATGTGACGGTGCGAAGTATGTCAGCTACCGCAGGTGCAAACACATACATGATGCGGAGACTGGGAAGAGACGAGGGCCTCCACGCCGGTCAAGAGCTTTATTATCATCAGCCGCGCATCTGCACCTCCTACTGCATCCCTCCATGCAACTTGCTCGATGCTGCATTGCATCTACACACACACTTACAAGCACACTCGCACACACTGCCCGGTACCATCACTTCATCATCGCGTCCCATGTTCCAGGGCAAAGGACAGCGCAGCAACAGCAACAGCACAGCAAGATGGCACCTAAGCGAGGTGCATACATGCTTCATACATGATTCCAGTCCGGTCTATGGCCAGTTGCTTGCTTTGTACTTTGGGCAAAGAAGCAGCCCCCCCTCATCCTGTCTCGTCTCTCCCCAACGCAGAGAAGCCGACGATCGACCCTTGCTCACATCAATCGCTCGCTCATCTTCTCTCAATGGCAATTCTGCGACAATTTGGCCAACACCATTCGTTTTATTCTACGTCTCATGCTCCACACAGCCAAGATCTTGTCGCCGTTGCCGTCAAAAGATCCAAGGTAGTATACAGTGCGGCCCCCTGCCAACGCATGTAAGTGAGTTGTTGTCTCCCATTAACCTCAGCATGGCGAACTTTTCCTTTCGACGGCAAAAGTACCCGAGAGGAAGAGAACAAGTCTCGCGCCTAAGATAATAATAGGAGGACCAGAGGAAACTAAGGCAGAGCCGGCGTTGGATAGAGTTGTCTGTATCCGTAGTGGCCCCGGAGAAAGACTCGGGCCCTCCTCACAACCACGTGGGATCTGGATCCAAGTGCGTCCCCTAAAGACGGCCAAGGCGAGGAACTAGTTTCCAGTTGCACTTTGGTAGCGGATTCATGCTATGCTACTGTGCCTATTCATTGAAGATTCACAGCTTAATTGTTACCCTAGTCATTCGTGCCTTAGTTGAAATGGTCAACGTGGTAAGTCGGAAGCACGCCTCCTGCAGAGACTCTTTCACCCACGCTATCCTCTGCTGGAAAGGGGGGGTGGAAGGGTGTGGCAGCAGAGAGTCGATATCTTCCACATGGAGTAAAAATAGAATAGAAAATACTTTGAACCCATGCGTCTTCGAGAAAACATTGGCTTTTTGTGCCCATTGAGACATCAATCAGTACCTAACGGACCATTGGGTAGGTATGAGTATGTATCTCACCTAGTAGAACGCAAGCAACCTTACCCTCCTCACCAAGACCGAACCCAATCCGCCACACTTCATCCTTCTCTCACATACTGCAGCCAGTCCTGCATATTCCAGACCTTCACAATACGAAGTTGTCTCTCCCCTGCATCAATAACTGCGCCTGAAAAACAAACAAATCAAGCAGTAAGATAGAAGAGCGTACGGTAATAGGTACGGAGCACCGTCTCCGTGGCTCGTCTCTCCGTACATTACACTCTACCTTACCTATCTGTAGGTATGTACGTTGCAGGCAGCTGACCTGACCGCCAGAGGCCCGCAGAAAAAACCATCCCAGAGACGGACTGACACATGGCAAGAGAGAAAAAAAACAAAGCATCATCATATGACAAGTATTCTTGCATAAGAGAAGAAAACAAATCTATCTGCATCAGACTAGGAAAGAAGAAGAATGCAGCTTGCTTGCAGGACAGTTGTAGACGGTGCTGGCAGTTCTAGATCGGGCCTTGCTTGGGAGGAACAAGACATGTGTCCTGAGAAGAAAATCCCGGTTTCAACGTCATATCTTTGGGCCCAAAAGGACGGGGAATTTGGCCCAAGGCCAGCGAACATCGTGCCATCGTGGAGAGTGCCCAATGTCTACCCGCTGCCAGCGAGTTGGATCTTTATTCCAAAGACGGAAAGGAGTAGTGAAGTGGAAAAGCCCAAGAAAATAGATTGCCCAAGATGAATGCCCATCGCCCACTCCGTAATCTCCTGTAAATGTTCTACCCCCCCAAAAGCATCAACACCGGTGCCGTGTGGCTATCTGAAAATGCGAGTAAAGCAGAGAAAACCAAAAGTATTGGAAAGGGAGAAAGTAGAGTAGCCAAAATGGTCGATACAAGATGCTCCCTTTCCACGAGGAGACGGATAAGATGTCCAAAAATAAACATTCATGAGGTGACAGCATGTACCCGTGATGAGTATCGCCGGGACATCACATCACGGAGCAAGAGCCCAAGGTCCTCGCCCTGCGGCGGCCGACAACCCCGCCGTCCTCCTCATCCGCATGAAGAGCTTGTGCATGCCTTGCTCTGCGCCGGCGCCTTCGATATCCAACTCCCCCGACGCCAGCTTCTTCGTTTGCCTGCATGTAGTCTGCCCACTTTCTCTCCAGCCGACCAGCGGCCACAAAGTCGCCCCTGAGAACTCTCTTCTGGTGCTCGTCGACGGTCATCTGGAAGCCGTAGAAGCACTTCAGGCCAATGCTCTCGGTCGGGTACGTGATGCCGCCGGGCTGGTCTGCGGCCGGCCTGACCTGAGCATTCCTGAACAAGACTTCCCGGATGCCTGTCCAAGTGACGTTTTGGCAGTCGTATACTGCTAGCCGTAGCGTTACCTTGGGACGAACATCACTCGTTGAAGCCGGCTTGGAACGCTTGATGACCATCGAGGCAGCTTCTGCCAGGACGAGATCGCTGATTTTCGTATTGTCCAAATCAGCACTCTGCAGCCGTATGCACTTTTGCATGACGGGGAGCATGCCAAGGTCTCCAATATTCTCGCAGTAGCTCAGAGAGAGGTGCTCCAGATTGGCAGCACACGGCGCCTTGGCGAGATGCTCAGACAGCAGCGAGTTGGTGATCTCGTCAAGATCCTCCAACTCGAGGAGGGTCAACCTCGGTGTTGAGGCAAGGACGGGCTCAAGCGCTGCGTCGGTCAGCGACTTGCATCCCGAAAGCTGCAGGCCTTCCAGGTCTGGAACCACATGGCCAACTGCCTTCAACCCTGCATTGGTCAGTCTGATGCAGCGGCTCAGGTCTAGGTGGCGAAGCCGACGAGGCGGAACCACAGGATGACCGGTGAGGATATCAATCTCAGGATCAACCCCATGCATCATGATCTTCAATGCCTCGTCATTGAGCTCAAGACACCCGCTGAGAACCAGTCTCTCAAGTCGATTGGTGTTATAAATCGACTCTGCGGTAGCAAGACAATCGAACCCCTTTACCTCGCCAGCACGGAGGTCCTTCAGCTTTGTGCAAGCGTCGATGATGGCCTTGATCCCGCGAGCCTCGACCTTCTGGCACCACGAGACATTGAAGCTCTCCAGCTGAGGGCACGATTCAGCAATAATCTTGCAAGATGTGTTTGTCACCGCCGCGAGTCCCGTCAGGTTCAGGTTCACCAGCTTCTCGTTGCTTCTGAGTAGATTGTGAAGCGTGTGCTTTTGGAAGTTCCGACAGCCTTCGAGGGTCGCATTCATCAGATTCTTGCACGACTTGACAATGACTTCGGTGCGCTTGTAATGCTCCACCTGAACGCATCCTCTCAAGTTTAAATCTTTGACGAAGGGACCGGCGGCAGCAATGATGCGTGCCAGTGAGGCAGCAGGGATCTCCTGGTAAAACTCAGAGGCATCGATTGACGTCCACAGCTGCCCGTCAAAGCAGAAGCTGTAGAACGATTTGCTGACTCTGGATATCCGCACCAGCTCCTTGGGCCGCAGATATGCAAAGATATGGACCCGCACCTCGTGAGGGATGTTATCCCAGAAATAAAAATCCTTCTTTTCCGAACCTCTAGCTCGTCCCTTCAGCTCGGACGGCAGGGAAGAAACGGTGGGCGAGCTGTGGGCAGGCCCAAGGGCGACTTTTCGAATGGCCGGCAACTTGTCGACACCATCGTCCTCTTCCTCTTCAACCAGCAATACTCCTTTGCCGGCTTGAGAGTCAAAGTACGAACCGTCTGTCGTGGCCAGGGGAGAAAGCTGAGGCGTGGGAGACCTGCCGCTCGGGGATCCCTGCGAGGGCCCGGCTGTGGATAGACTGACGCAGGACATGGAACCATATCGGAGGCTGTAGGGATTGCTGACCGATCTTGATCGTCCCAGTCCGGTGAGGGACGGCGATGAAGAGATGCGCTGGATGCCACGGAGGATTCGCTGGCGGTTCTTACCCTTCAGGGGCACGTCAGGTGGTGTAGGCGGAGCAGTGCCCTCATCAGCGGGCACGGGAGCGTCTGCTACGACGCCCAGAACTTCCGCCATGGCTAACTAGCGGGATTCGACTGATTCTCGTGTTTTCGTTGGACGGATTGCGATAGTACTACTACTAGTAGTAGATTGTTTCCCCGGAACTTGCGTGTTTCTCCACCCAAGGCGCTGTCCTTGCAAACAGATCCGAGGGCGTGCTCTCTGAGAGAGATATGAATCGCCAAATCTTCAGCGAATCTAGATTTTCGTATTGTAGCGGTTAAAGTTTGGTGAAGAACGGAGGGCAACGAGGCAGGGGCCTCGTGTCCGCCTGGAGGGAGAGCTTAAAAGGCCGTTGAGGCTCCTGTCAAACCATCCCTCGACCACCAGGCCCTCGAAGATAAGACTGTATTGATCGCTATCGGGCGGGTTCGACGACTCGACTCGGTGGCTGGAACCAAAGAATGGGCTCGTGGACTCGAAGCAGCGGCAATCACACAAGACGTCTGCTCAATGCCGTCGTCGAGGCACGCGGGATGTTGCAACAGAGGTCAGCCGGGCTGCCAGAGACCAAAGCGGCCGCGGGGGTGGTCAGCGTGACCGCACTGGGCTCACGCTCGCCGTATCGCAGTCCAGAGGGCAAACAGCAGAACGGCATCCCATGCCCACCCGAGCAGCGAGGGGGGCTGTTGATCACAGGAACGAGGACAAGAGATAAGAAGAGAGCAGAGTATCAAAAGAGAGATTGAGAGGAGAAGAACGAAGAGAAGAGCAACGTAAAAGGCTTCAGAAAACCCCAACGTGGTCGGTGGCGTGTTGGACGCATCGTCGCCCGTCAGGGAAGAGACGGACGGCTCAGGTCAAGCCCAGGCGAGGGCTCCCCCACCCCACCTCGGTCGCTAGTATGGATGGAAGTAGCAGTAATAAATGATGGAGAATGCACACAGTTCCGCCTAGAAGCAGAGGCAGAGGCACAGGCTGTGGCTTTGGGAGGGATGGCGTGGGCGCTGGTTCCGGAAAACCGCCATGGCCTCCATGGCTGACGAGCGCAAGTGACGGATGCTGGCGCATTACTCGCGGGTCTGATTGACTGAGGATGGATCGAATGAATGGACGGGCGGCTTCTCAATGTTCGCAGCTAGCGCCCAACAAGGTGAAGCTGGGGTATATCGATAAGATACGGCCGGGGCCACGGCCAGCGCTAGCTCCAAGCGGCGGTTAGCGCTGCATGGAGACCCTGCTTGCTTGCCTGCGGCAGCGCAACCCCACCTGTAATTGCAGCGCTACCGGTCCTCTGTGGCCCCTGTGTGCAGCGCTGTCGAGTGCTATGGATTAGGTACTGTAGTACTACATGTACTGAACTGGGCTGCGATAAGATTGTGAATGGTGGATGGATGGGATTTGATGGATTTGATGGCTAACTGCAACACTACCTATACCTACATGTACCTTAACTCATCGCATTCAATATGACACAGATTCGATTACCTGCAATATGATGATGGGAACATCTATCACTACTACGAACTATGCGCTCCAGCCATGTCGCGGTCAGTGCCGACATGCAACCACATCTTGTGGCACTCAGGACGGTCGGACCAGCCATGTGACGATCGCGTTGCATTCGGAGATGCCTCGTGTTATCCCAGTCATATATCGCTCATTGCGTTGAGCCGGGTGGCAAAAGGGGCAGTCAGAAGGGTGCCTGAGGATTGGTCGCGAGACGACGTCAACGGCGTTAGCAGACGCTAGCACTTCATGGTGAAGGGGGCTATCATATCTGCGTCAATGTGAGATTATTTCCTTTTCCCATCTGTACCGGCAAATCAGAGAGACCTCGCTGGCTGGATGTATGTAGTACATGTATGTTGCCTCCTTAACATCGCATACCCGCTGGTAATACCCGGTAGCTGCAACCCCCAAAGGCTGATTGGGGAGAAATTCGTCAACGGCCTCATGCGTGCAAGTCGGGCAATAATACGGCATCAGCTACAAAAGATGCCGAGGGGGAGCATTGGGCACAAATGTAGTGGCATGTATGAGCGATAAATGCTGTGTCGGGGACCAATGCGTAACATAGTTATACAGTGGGGTGTCAAAAGTCTGGGTACAAACGTAATTTCAGGCTACCCTAAACTCTGCTACTATATAAGAACTCTACTATTTTACTATATAAATAGTTATTTAAAAAAAGGAAAAAAATATCTTTATATAAATTAAAGGCTAAATTAATATATTTTAAATTAAAAATAAGTAATTAACTAATAATTATATAAATATATTAAATTAAAGTTTATATTAGGAATTTTAATAGAAAATTTATACTATATTCTTAAAGCTTTATATAATAGGCTATATAAGATATATATAAATAAAACTTTATTTATAAGTAAATAATATATAATATTTATATTTTATATATTTAAAATTATATAATAATTATTAATTATTATATTATAATAGCTTAAAGTATATATAAAAAATAGCTAAAAATTCTACTTTATATAATTAAAAACCTAGTTAATAAAAAAAATCTATTTTAATATTTTTAAATATATATAAATATAAAGATTTTAATTATATTTAAAAACTTTAAGAAATATAAATATTAAAAGCTATAAATAGATTTTTAAATTCTTACTTATTTTACCTTAACTTTAAAGCTTAATAACTTATTAACTATTATTTATTCTTATATAAAAATAATATATATATAATTTTAAGTAAAACCTTATATAAAAATAGTTTTTTTTTCTCTTTAGCCCTTAGTGTTAATTAATTATAGCTTTTAAAAAAGTGTGGGTTTTGGTGTAAAAAGGCGTTTGTACCCAGACTTTTGAAACCCCACTGTACCTCCAGTGTCGCAGTGACGAGACGTTGGGCTCTCTTGGGCTGATTCCAGGGTACCTTACTTGCAGCATAAGGTACCTACCCATATGTGCCTTACCACCCAGATCTAGAAGCAAACCACCTCTGGGGAAGGTAACCCGCGGGTTATCACTAGGAATCTCAAGAGGGTTGAGATCTGAAGCCATATGATGGGATGAACCTCAATTCCAACCTGGATGAAGTTTCCCTCAAGGTTGTTCAAAGATTGTCACTGGTCACGATGCTCAAAGTGAACATATCGGGGAAATGACCATGTGTGCAAAGCCACCTCCAGCCCTCGGCAGCCGTCCGCGTCGGCTGACCACAGAGCATGTCTTGGGCCATCTCTTCTGCCTTTGGGCAACATGGGATTGTCTAGTACGTAAATCAGGAACTTGGGATATGCGAGCCGAAGTGCTAAGATCTTGTGTAGCAGCTGATCATAGGAGCCTTGTCCTGTGCTGGCAGCTAGGTACCTACCTATTACTACCTACCTAGGTAGGTAGATGTACCGAGCCCGGACTACACCTCCCGACGATGAAATCCCACTCGCATATTCTCCCTCAATTCCACCGCCATCTACGAATGAATGAACAAGACCCGGGTTGCAGGGCATCGCATACATTGGCCTTTTCTGTAAACAGCAAAGTGTGGCTGACTTATTGCTTGGTGCCGGCAAACTTACTTTCGCGAACTAGCGAATATGAGGTTTGAGGTTCGGATGAATGTAAACGATCTCATACGTCGACCTACGGAACACGTCCTTTCTCTGGCTGGGCAGCTGAGAAGAGATCGGATGCTGCCCACCTGGCCAATCAGGGACCGTCACCTTGAAGCTCTTCCATCGAAGTCGATCTTCATCAACTGGCGCTGCTCCTTGCAGAATATTGACCTGCATCTGAGTTGGGACGCAAGGTTCAAGTGGCGCCATCCACCAAGTAGATTTGCGTCTACGTGCATGAGGGTTCTCGATCTTGTAACAACAGCAAACATTGTTGAAATGTCTCGTTCTCGTTGGTAGTTCCCAAGGACAGAGGTCGAAGACTTGGAGGGATAAAAAAACATGAGATTGAAAAACAACGAGAGCAACACGTGTTTGTGCTGCCAGACGAACGAGGAGCTATTCGTTGCTAGCGGTCTATTAGTCGTTGTTTTAGCAAGACTCGCCGTTACGCCGCCAATACGCCTGCTATCAAATTCTGCGTAATACTATTACAGATACTTGACCATACCGCAGAAGTACCTTACCGTCTCTTAGTACCTACCTAGACTACTAGGTATTACCTGAAGAAAAACAAACGTCAACGACTCCCGGAGCTTACAGGCAGAGAGGCCCGAGTAGAAGACACAAAACACCTCGACCTCACCCTCAAATCTAGTGCCTGGGCTCAGGAATACCCACGATAGGGCGTATTTTCGGCTCTTCATGCGCCAAATCAGAACCTCCACCTCCGTCATTGGCATGCGCACGAGTCTGGCAGATATTTCGTAGGTCGTGATTTGTGGGCAGCAGTGGCTCCTCCAGCGCCTTTCACCCCTCTCGCGCCGCTGTAACTTTGCAGTCGTAACCCCTCGCGCCAAATCGACCACCGCCCGGGTCGCCCAACCGCAGATTTGCCAAATCGTCCAAACCGACCTCAATTCTCTCCCTCGTGGTAGCAAACCTCGTCGTCCAGCACCGCCGAGCCCGATCTGAGCGCCTGGCCCGAATCCCGCATCTCCCGCCCGCGGCACTTGATTCATAATCTCTGCTTTTCCCACGGCATCCGCGCTGCTCCGAGACTTCAGCAACCCTCCCGCTCCAGAGCCCGCCTGTGCCTTTCAAGCCGGCCTGTCGACGAAATCTCCATAAACTCCGGTTGAAGCCTGGCCAAGAGGCAAAGGACAAAGCAATCGCTGGCGAGAGAGCAGGCTTGATCTGACGCCTCCTCACCCTCTCGCCCTCTCGCCCTCTCGCCCATTTGCCTGGGGCCCAGCTCGCGTTGTACAACCACTCCACCGTAAAGAGGCGCGCAAAACTGAGGTCTACAAGTATGCTTCAGACACATGGCGGCCCCCAAGACAACCGTATGTGACGACTCTTGAAGCCAATCCGCACAGAGCAGCGTGACTGATGCCCGTTCGACTTTCAGGCACCGACCGCACCACGAGGGATGACGACAGAGGGCATGACCGGCCCATGCAGGCTCTTTCGTTGCCCAAGAACCGCAGCACGGGAAACCTGCATCTATCAGCTGACCCGGCCGATCGCAGTCGATACCGAGCCTCCTTTGAAGCCTCGTCGGCCGGCATCGCGGACCATGACTCAATCACCAGGTGCGTCTCTTGGCGGCGGCGGCGGCGGCATTCGTCGTCGACTTGCCATACAACACGTATTTGCCCAGCAGTAGAAGCTCGCGATTTTGTTTGCTGACCGCAGGCTCCGGTCAGACCATCTCCGATCACCGACCACGAGCACGGCTTGGGTCTCTCTGGCCTGCGCCGCATCCGACAGCAGCATCCTCCCTCCCGAGCGCCAACCCTGCCCAGCTCAAATGCATCCTCACGCAGCCCTTCCGTCGTTGCGCTCACCCGCTCTACCTCCATGACCGCAATGCTCAGCAGCTACAGCACTCCACCTTTCGCGGGAGCTCCCAACTCCCCCAGCTTTTCCGAAGATTTGTCGCGGTTTCCTTCCGAATCTTTGCACTCCTTCTCCTTTGCGCATCAGTCAGAGGACTTTCTGCACAACCGCCAAAATGTCCTGAAGCGATCCCTCGAGTTTATGAAGGACCGCATGGGCCTCTCCATGACCTCGACCCAGGCCGGTCTTGCCAGTGCCCAAGCCCGGGTTACCGGCGATGTCGACGCGCAGCACATGCTCGAACTTCTCGCGCGGGCACAAGTCATTGGCGCTGGAAACCTACCGAACCCTGACCCTTCATCTGTTGTTGTACCGCCATTGACTGGCCCGGCAGATCTGTCTGCCGAGAATGTGTTTGAGAAGCAGTTTAGCCCTAGAGCGTCCATATCAGAATCGACAACGGCGCCCGATGCCACCCATGCCTCTTCACAAGAAGGGCTTTCTCGACGCAACGAGACGTCCTCGGTGTCCGCCGACGGTGCTGAGCTGCGAAAGACTACGAGTGCCGATTCAAAACTAGAAGACTCAAAGAAAGGTCACGTTAACGATGACGGAGCTACCTCAAAGCCGCCAATTCCCAGCAGGCCGACGAACTTGAAGCGGACCATGACGGACACCCAGGGCATGGCTTTGCAAGACAAGCTGTTGGACACAATGTCCCAGCCGTTCCTCCCCGGCGAGCCCTTGTATGAAGAGCCGCTGGTCTCCCCGGTATCGACAAATCTGCCGGCCGCACAACCCAAGAGCTTCTCCACTGCCATCGGCCCTGCGGTACACGGACATACAAACAGATGGGTGCCAGCCGCCCAGGCAATCTTCACGACCGAGGCGAAACCACCCTGGACGATCTTGGCGGCCAACGATCTCGCATGCCTGGTCTTTGGCGTAACAAAGGCCGAGGTCCGGAAAATGGGCATTCTCGAGGTTGTGCAAGAAGAGAGGCGGGCGTGGCTTGAGCGGAGGCTCCTGCAGCTGAGCGATACGGACCTAGATGAGGACGACGATAAAGCCACTCCTGCTGCTTCTGCTGCATCCGCGTTGCTGGGCGGCAGGTCAGGAATCACCGCTCAATTGCTCAGCAAGCCCAACTCGCGAACTCCGCCATCTCAGGTGGCATCCCCGAGGCGCGCCCAGACGGTTCACAGCGGAGATCCAAACCCACCGGCTACACGCACCAGCGGACACCATCGCAACAACCTCTCGCGTGGCGTTTTGCTGTGCGGCGACGTGGTTCCGATCCAAAAGCGTAACGGCGCCACGGGATCAGCAAGTCTCTGGGTGAAGGAAAAGCGCGTCGGGCTGATCTGGGTGCTTGAGGAGATTCACGAGGACGTGGCGTATATCGTCCTGGATGAGGAGGGCATCGTGCAGTCTGTTACTGGAGCGACTGAGCCCATCTGGGGCTTCAAGTCGATAAAGCCGGGCTTTGACGTGGCGAAGCTCATTCCTCGAATTCCGCGCCAGGGAATTGACCCCAATGAGGGCGAGATCGACTTCGCCCAGACCAGTCGGAGGCGGTACTTCACGTGCCCCAATTCCCACAAGGCGAACATCCCATGCGCCATCGAGCAGGTCCGGGGAAAGCTTGAATTACGCGTCTCGACGTTCCCCCATATGGCCGGCATCGTTGTGGTCGAGCCGGAAACACTCAAGATCCGAAGCTCTAATTCCGTCTTCTCCGGGGCGCTGTTCGGCTACGAAAAGCCCGATGGCATGCCCATCTACTCCCTCATTCCCGACTTTGACAAGATCCTTGCTACTCTCACAGAGGAAGACGGCCTTCAGCTACTCGACGGCATGGTGGTCCCAGAGCACAGATTCCGGAGAGCAGCAGCGTTCTTCGCCCTGAAAGAACAACGACCCAACGCCGCCGCGGCCTTTTTGCAGCCAGAGGGCATACCTGCAAGACATCGGGACGGCTCCGAGCTGAAAATTGACGTGCAGATGCGTGTTGTCGAGAGCGAAAAACACATTGATCTGGCTGAGGACAGCGACTCGGACACGGCTGAAGGGGGCGATAGGCGAGCATCCGTGTCCCAATCAGAGCTGGTTTTCGCCCTCTGGATTACGTATTCCCGACACCTACACACGTCTGCCCTGCATCTAAACATGGAATCTCCTGATGACTCGGTGGTCATAACGCCCCCTCACCAACCGTCACCAGGCCAGACTCCTGCCCACACCCCAATGGAGATACCTTCAGACTCCGACGAACCCAAGGTCGAGGAGGTCAAGCAGCCAATTGTCGAAATGGCTGCTGCAATCCCTAAGCAGATCAAAGAGGTCGCGCTCGACGCACTCGATGCGGCTGCGAAGCTCACGGGCAACGCCAACCCAGAACCGCCCAAGGAGACTCCGCAGCCAGAGAAGGCCGAGGAGGATGGCGCCAAGCGCAAGACCACCATTGACGACTATACCATCCTTGAAGATATGGGTCAAGGAGCTTACGGTCAAGTGAAACTGGCTCGACATAAGGTAACGGGCAAGAAGGTGGTGTTGAAATATGTGACTAAGCGTCGTATTCTCGTCGATACTTGGACTCGGGACAGGAAGCTTGGAACCGTCCCCCTGGAGATCCACGTCTTGAACTATCTACGAAAACCCGAGTTTCGACATCCCAATATCGTGGAAATGGAAGGCTTCTTTGAAGACGACGTCAACTACTATATCGAGATGGCTCCTCACGGCCTCCCTGGCATGGATCTATTCGACTACATTGAGCTTCGTGCAAACATGGACGAGGACGAATGTCGAAGCATTTTCGTTCAGGTTGCGCAAGCTGTCCACTTCCTTCACACGAGGGCTCAAGTCGTCCATCGCGACATCAAGGATGAGAACGTGATCCTCGACGGCGCGGGAAACATCAAGCTCATTGACTTTGGAAGTGCAGCATACATCAGAAGCGGCCCATTTGATGTGTTTGTGGGCACAATCGGTAGGTTTCTCTCCTCCAAATTTTCCTCCTTTTCCCAACTTCTCCATATATCATCGTACCCAGATATTAACACATTCTACAGATTATGCGGCACCAGAAGTCCTAGCTGGAAAACCCTATGGTGGCAGGGAGCAAGACGTTTGGGCTCTCGGCATCCTCCTATACACCATCGTTTACAAAGAGAACCCTTTCTACAGTATCGATGAGATTATGGACCGAGACCTGCGTATCCCGTTTGTCATTAGCGAGGAGAGCATCGACTTGATCCGCTGCATGCTGAACCGGGACGTTGTGAAGCGTTATACTATAGAGCAGGTGGTTGAACACCCCTGGTGCAAGGAGCATATAAGCAAGCAGAAGTAAAGGGGAACTGGGGAGAAGGATGAAGGGGCATTGTCAGACGACTTTTCTCGTGGATGGAAAAGGAAGGGGGAGGGGTTGGCGGCATATAAGGACCCTGGACTGGTCTTTGATACAACACGTTTATACATCTTTGGCGATGATACCCATGAAAAGATACATACAAATAAATATTCCGGGAAGGGGGAAAAGAAGGAAAGGAAAGAGGGGAAGCATTGTTGTTGGGGCAAAGTACGGAGTTGATGCATACTATTGACGGGAGACGTCTGTCTCTGATATGATGGTTACTACTTTACGACACACAAAACACAAGTTCATACGCAGTTACAAAATTAACAGAGGCCAGAGAGACTCACGTCTGACTGGGAAAAGGAGGTGCATGATTTCACGGTACGGATCGTCCTTTTATTCTTGGTTTCTCGGTTTGTTATGGGCTTAATGGGCATCATATGAATTCAAATAGCGCCTTTTCCATTATTGAAAGCACAACGCGATACTCTCGCATCCAGTGGCAAAGCAACATGTGCACATCTCAAGAAGCTTGATTGCATTCATCAGCATCTTTTGCACACCTTAATGATAATTCAGCTCCGGATTCGCCCTGAAACTGCACCGACACCGACACTCGGGCACAGGACACTCGGCATGCCTCGCGAACCACTCCCTCGCGTGGTCCAGATGCAGCACATGCTCGCACCTGAGACAAAACGTCGGGAACCTGCTCGCCATGCGCGTCTCCTCCCGCTCCTCGGGCCGGTCCGACCGCGGCACGCCGACGACCTCGTAGCAGAGGATGCACCGCGGCAGGTGCCGGCCGCAATTGGGACAGCTGACGCCGGCGTTGATGCTCGTCGCCAGCATGGGGTTGCGCGTCTCCATGGTGGACGAGGGCACCATGGGCGCCGCGGCCGCCTTGTGGTGGTTCGCCAGGGACGTGCTGGCGTCGCAGTAGACGCAGCGGAGGGCGATCTGGCGCGACGAGGGCTTGAGCGCCGGGACGCCCTCGCGCTTGGAGCGCTTCGTCGACTCGACCTCGAACTTGGTGCGCTGGAAGAAGAAGCGGTGGCGCTGGAGGTAGGCCCTGTAGGCGTTGCGCCAGGCGCGGCAGCGGATGTCGTCAATGTATCGCGGGGCGCAGATGGACATGACGAGCGTCGCCGTCTGGAAGTCGTTGAATTTTTCGACGTAGCGGGCAAAGATGTCTACCATAGTGTCGGTGATGCCCGTCAGGCAGATGGCCTCGATATCTCCCTCTGCCACGGCGCGCGTGACCTGCTCGTTGAGCCAGGCAGTGAGCTGCTCGTCTGAGAAGTTGCGGAACGCGACGTACGCCCTGTCGGCAAGGGGCAGGGACGGCTGGTTGGCGATGATGGTCCAGTCGCCCGTGGCTATCAGGGATGATATCGCCCGAAGGTACGGATCCGTCTTGGACGCCACGGCCTCGTCAATTTCCAACCTCTCCTTGGGCAGCTGTCTGCCTTCGCGACCAATGAGCTGCAGAGCCAAGGACACAAAGAGCAGCTCCGGATGTGACTGGCTGGCCTCCTTCAGAATCTCTATGGCCAGATTTGTATCGCCCCTGAAGAGAGCGCGAGAGGCCGCCATCGTGTGGATGCCAGCCGGATATTCCGGGTCGGCCTCCCGGTCCAGGCCGCTGGGATCGTGATTCTGGTCATCGCCCCAGCCGCAAATCTCAAGGCACAGCTGGCGATGATGGGGCTTCTTCGTCGCGACTCCGTCAAACTTGGGCAACTGACGCTTTTTACAATATGCGCCGATAGATCGTTCCCATGCATAGGCATCGGGAACGTGGGCACCTGGAGACAGACGAGTGGTTGGATTTCGGCCTATTTTGGACGGGGAAGGCTGTTAGAATTCCACATCTTCAGAAGCGTCAATGCTGCTGCTCACCGAGATTGTTCGTCCATATCGCATGCACTCCCAGGTAACTGAGATCCATGTGAGAGAGCATTAGGGCGCCATCATCTGCGGCTCGTTCTGCATCTATAGAGATTGTCAGCGAAACAAAGGCAATCGTATGACTGCCATGGGCGTGCTGTGAGACTCACCGCCGATCCAGTCCCAGACGAATCGTTTCCAGGGGTCGTCAGATATCACATTCCTATTGGTGACAGCATCGAACAAATATCTCTCCTTCGCACGGAAGAGCTTGACATGGTCCACGACAACCTGGGCTTCTCTAGGAAGCCCGGACGCGGACGCAAGCGTGCCGAGGAGCGCTTCATGGATTTCCGTACAAGATCCGATGCCATTGGAGCTGATCAAAGCCGAGCCAGGTTTGCCATGATTCAGCCGCCTCACGTCGTTGGCGTGTGGCCGGCCTTCGGCAAGTGAATCAGGAACACCGGACTCTTCTCGTACATAGTTGCGTAGGCTGCGGAGCTTCTCTGCAATTGTCTCGGCTTTTGTGAATGATTCGGGCAAAGGGGAAGATATTTGATTGGTAAGCTCAACAGAGATCGATATTGGCGTTTTGGGATCCAGAGTCCTTTCAATGACGGACTCAATGTTCACCCTGTCCGGTCCAAAAATAGCAACTTCGGACAAGTTGTTCTCCAAGATAACGGGGGCCAGCATCTTTGGAGCCTGTGCGGCCTCGAACCGCATCAGATCCTGGTACGGCGTGTTCTCTAATCACGTTGTTAACACAGTCAAAAGGACAGCATGTGCTCGCAGGATTCCGCCATACCTTCAAGGCCGCGATGAGGAGCTTGCCAGGGTACGAGCTTAAAGATGTGATCAGCCGTACGACTCGACTGCTCCAGGATGTCAAACCCGCCGTTTGCCCGCAATACCAGGAGCCTAGGTCTCAAGGCGGCCGAGCCCAGCGTCACCCAGTCGAACGAGACAATTCTATCATTCTTTCTAGAATTGTCGCGATAGGAGACATCCATTTCGTGGGAGCGCTGTACCTTGAGAAGCTCAGGGCCCTCGTGCGGTACGGCATCAGACGACGGAGACTCTTTGTTGGTATCTAGGACCTTGAGCTGCCCAGTTCGAGATAAGACAGCTAGCAGACCACGGTGGTCACGGCAGTAACGGAGAGAGCGTATCAGCGAGTGCTTCTCTTCAGCCATGGAAGAATCAGAATCAGTGTCAACGACGGTGTCGAGGCGCAGGGCTCCACCCCAAGGCAGGTCGTCTTCTTCAACCGCCTGAGCGTATGTGTGAGAGGCTACGGGGCGAGAGGTTGCTCTCCGGTCCCAGATCATCACTCCAGGGTGGTCGAGTGCCGAAGATGCGAAATAGTTTTGGTCAACATAGTCGATTGCCAAGTTGTTATTGCACTTGGTGGGAAAGGTGATGACGCCATTTGGATCTTGATGCGAGACGTGAGCATGTGGTCTACTCGATAACGCCCTTAGCGACTCTTGAAAATGACGTTATTACTCACCACGAAGGTCATGTATCCTGACGCCTTGGCCCTTGATGCCGGCCACCAGCACTTGCGGGCTGTCTTCGAAGAACTTGATGCTCGAGACTGACACGCTTGGTTCAACCCTCTTGGGTTCCGAAAGGCTGCCCCAGTTGTCAGGGAACCCTTTCCCAAGAGACGTCACGGAGGACAGGCGGTGGACATCCCATATCTGAAGACTCTGATCCATGCGGACGCGGTCCAAGCCTACCGCCAACAGGCCAGTTGTGTTGAAAGAGACGGCCTGGCAAGTCCGTGCCATCTTGAGGCCTAGCTCGACGTACGCATTGGAGCTATCATCAATTCTCAAGAGGTTGACAATGCCGGCCCCCGTTCCAACAGCCAGCAAGCTTGGGTTCTCGGGAGACCAATCGTACGTTGTGAGAGGGGGAAAGTCATCGTGTCTGCTGACTTTGGCATAGTCGAACCTCCCTGCGCGGGCGTGGCCAGTGGGCTCGTAGAGCTGGACAACGCGATGTTGCAGGTTGATGTGCACGAAGCTGTCAATGGAGGCCTTGGGAGACCATTTGACGAGTCCTGGCTCTGGGCGGTCCATTCTGAGATGCTGCGAACGCGAGGACGCCTCTTCCAACTTCCAATGTCGTCAGAGTGTTATACCGCAGGGCTGACGCGAGATTCTTTGCTCTTCAAGCTGTTGAGATCACCACAATGTTCGAACAGCGAGTTTGTGTGGCGGGCGATGCTCAAAGCTCGGGGGTTGACGCGACCTCATATCACAGATGAGATTGGATTTCAAGCCATGGCCTGGTCAAGCAAGGCGAAAGACGGATCCTAGGGTGACGCTTGGCCGGAATTACATCCCGGGATGGTGGGAGCTCAAAAGTGATGCTTCGATGGGAAAGATCTCATCGAGGGCTCATATGAAGTCACTGAAGCGGCGATATTGAGGCGTCACCTCGGTTCGTCAGCGGAGAGCAAGCTTGATTCATGAAGCTGCAGCAGTTGAATCAGCTGCGAACAGAAGCTCTGGGGAAAGCTGGGAGAGGGCAATAGGCGGCCCCTGATTGGACAGTCTGGTGAGTGCAGTGACGCTAGTCCGGATTGACCCTCCGCGCCGATAAGATAAGAAAAAGTATGGTTCCTTCTAGAGTCGCTTCAATTCAATGCGCCTACAGGTGGGAAAAAAAAGTCGATTTGCGACAACAATCAGCGAATATCGAGTCGAGAGGCGGCGTCACTTGTGCCCATATACTGCCTACTAGTAGTATCATTTGTTCCAATCTCCGAGCAGGAAACACAATTGCTTCCTGCTATCCGCCGTCCGACACCACTACCGCGATACATCAACACCGAGAGCGACTCCCAAAATGGGCACCAAACGGCAAATCGACGAGGTCGAGTCCCACGACGCGAGTGGCGGCCATGCAGCAGCTGGAAAGAGGCACAAGTCGTACGTCGGCCGCAAACGCCCGGCACAGGAAGATTCGGGGACCAAGAAGCGCATCCGGGCCATCGAGAGAAGCCTGCGGCGGAACCAGGACATGCCGGCCAACGTGCGGATCGAGCTGGAGAGGGAGCTGGCGTCGCAGAAGCAGATCCTGGCGGACAAGCAATACAGGAGGAAGCGCAGCGCCATGATCTCGAAGTACCACCATGTTCGATTTTTCGGTGCGTCACAAGACTTGCAGGCTACGGGCTTCTTCTGCTGTTTCTTGCCTTTTACTAACTTGACTTGCTCATTGTTTAGAACGGAAAAAGGCTTCACGGCTGGTGAAGCAGCTGAAGCGGAGGCTGGAGCAGGAAAGCGACGCCGTCGAGGCTGAAAAGATACGGCACCACCTCCACATTGCCGAAGTCGACGAAGCATACACTCTCTACTTCCCCCATATCGAGACGTACGTCGGCCTGTACGCCGCCGCCGCCAAGAAGCCAGCTGAAGAAGAGACCGAGGAGAGCAAGATTGCGGCCGCAAAGGCAGCTCTGGAGGCGGAAAGGCCGCCGATGTGGAAAGTGATTGAAAAGGCATTGGCCGAGGGACCAGCTGCGTTGGAGAAGATACGCGACCGCAGATCACCAGACGATACTGGGGAGGTTGACGACACACAGCCACCAATCAGGCCGCGACCTACGGCTCCTTCAGGCACAACCGAGCCACGACACAATGGCACCGCCCGACAGCCTCGAGAGCAGCAGCAGCAGAAGCAACATCAGCAGAGGCCGGGTAAGGGCCCGGATACGTCGTCATCGTCTAGATATGGCGACAAGGAGAAACAGCCCACCAACCGGCGGGAGAGAAGAAGGCTAATGCGGGAAGCGCAAGAGGCCGCCAATGACGAGAGCGACGAGAATGGGGACGGCGGCTTTTTCGAGGGCCTGTGAGGCATGAGGGCATGCGACTTGCAGGTATCATTATGCACACACGGAGGGGAGGAGTGAGGTGGTATCTGGCAGAAATGGTGATCCCGTTGGGTTTCGTCTGGACTGAAGCGATCTGCATTACCTGGTAGTTTTGGTTTTATTCAGTCTCGCAGTTGTAGCTGTAGATAGTCATGGCTATGGTCCATGTCGCGCCGCATGACAAGCCGCGGTAGTACTAGATGGAAGCAATCTTTAGCGTTTATTCGTCTTCTTCCATCAACGGCCTCCTGCAGAATCCCCCCTCCATGAACACTTCACCCTCATTGGGAAGCGCTGCATTTGCGCTGTTGGCTCGAGGTTGGATCAGACTTTTCTGATGAAGCGCCACCCCAGCTCACAGCCGAGAGCCCCTCACCAGCTCAGGCCAATCACCGGGATCCTGAACCCAGAGCTTCACTACGCCTCTTACAGCCTCAAAGTCTTTCCCTCATGAGCCGCGGGAGGCCGACCGACGACGTTGCCCACCTCTGCTGTTTTTGGCATCCAATCTAGCCGATATCATCGACCTCATTGATTGTCTCTCTCTCTCTCCCCCCCCTCTCTCTGTGCTTCAATCCTTGGCCGTGATATTTATTATGCGCCGTCCTCCCCGTCCTCGCATCTCTGGCTTGTCTCCGCAATTGGCATCAGCAACAGCAGCTAGAATACAAAGAGCAACCATCTCGGACACTTCAGCCATCACCTCCAGACGCACCCGCACCCGCACCCGCGGCCACAGCTCCAGGCTCCTCACCCAGAAGCACCGCCTTTCATCGCCATCATCATCCCGCTTCTACTCCGATCTGGCCTCGCTCATCGAATCCGCTGCCAAAGAAAGCAGCAGCAGCAGCATCGGCATCAGCAAAGCCCCCAAAGCCACAGCCATGTCTGCGCAGAGCTTGCCCATCCCCTGGGACCGCCTCAAGCGATGGATCGCCGACCAGGAAAGCGCACAACAGCAAGGCCTCGAACCCTCCATGACCAAGCCGCAGCTCGCGGCTCTGTCCCAGATCGTCAGTTTCGTCGAGGGTCCTGAGCCGAACGTCAGTGACCGGGATTACGTGAGCCTCCTCATGCGTGAGCATCTTCCTTCCCACATGAGATCAGAAGCAGTCTGAGATATTCAGAGTGGGATTGTGTCTGACGGTCATCCAATGTTATGCCACACAGAGTACACTCAAGTAAAGAAGTATCCTGGTCCGACCTTTACAGACCAAGGGCTGGAGGTCCCCGTGGAGGGAAACTTCGTGATGCGCTGGAGGACGACTTGTCATCTCGAAATCGCCGGCCAGATAAGGTCTTTTCCCTGTGAAGGGTATGGCCTGGCCGAAGGCGAGCAGCCGCCGTTATTTGGGGCCAAGAAGGTTTGTCAAACGCTTCAGTCCTTGCTGTTCTACACCAACCAGCCATCCGGAACCGTTCAGAGCGAGAATATTGGCTAAGCAATACGTCTCTCCAGGCATCAAAGCAATATGCTGCCAAATACGCATTGGAATATCTCCAGTCTCGATCCTCGGTCACAGTCCCCCTCCCCTCCACCTCCAAGTCAACCTTCGGCGGAGTTACCATTCATTCAGCCGCCCCTCGTGCGGCAAAAAACCAGAGCACGAGCGGCAGCAGTGTTGATTACGACCCCCCTGCGTCAACCGTGCCTTCAGGAAACGGCGGCGGCGCGCCTCTGATACCACCGCTCTCATCACGCGTAGACGTGGTCGCCGAGACGGAGGAACCTGTGTCTGGTGCCCACCATGAATCGGTGAGTCGCGACAAGACGGACTTTTATGGTGGGAAGCTGCCTAGCCTCCTGGAGCAAGTCGCCAGCGAGGCTAAGCGCCTCAACTTTGGGTGTCCAGAGTATAGGACTTATGAGGACCCGAAGAACAAGGCATTATTTGCTGGTCATCCCGTCTTCGCGAATGGCGGTCGTATGCCGCCGGAGATAGGGCATGTCGCGGGGGCAATCTCAAGGAATGTTGCCAAGGAGCAAATCGCTACGGCGTTGCTCGACTATTTCAAAACCGAGTCGGACCGGAGGGAGGCGATGCAGAGGGATTTGGTCATGGGCACCTTTCGAGGGCCTCCTGCAAAGGACGTTTGAGATGTGATGCCTGACATTTTGGGTTACTAGGATTGGTATGAAAAGGTGGACTTGGCATGTTGTATAGCCTGCATTGTAAGCACTCATTATCAGGATATGATGAAATTCATCCGAAGCTGTCATGGAAGCTTTATCTTTTATACGCAAGAGTTACGCTCCTGGTCGCTCATATATCCCTCCTCTTGGCCTTCACTCTCTCCCCCGTCCTCTTCCACCACCTCTTCCACCTCTCCTCCCACCTCCCCTAGGCCCCTTGCCCGATGGAATCCTGGCCTTGATCCCCTCAGGAAGGCCCGCCAACCTCTCCCCATCCTCCCAAAGCACACCGACATCAATCTTCCGCGCCGTAACCTTCTTGAAGAACCGCGTGCTCAAAACACCCCCCTCTCCACCCTCCGTCAGCAACACCCCATTGTCGCTCCTCCACCACTGGATCCCCTCCCGCAAGCTCTTCTCGACATCAATCTCAACAATCAACTCAGCATCCTTCCTCATCCCGCTCACGGCGCCCTCCTCAGGCGTGCCCGTCGAGCAGTGGATGTGATTCCGCCCCATGACCTTGAGCCCTCCAGACTCTTCAATGGCTGGCCAAAAGGCAAAGTACGTCCCGTGGACGACCTTGGGGGGCACGTTGCCCGCCTCGAGGGTGATGGGCTCGAGGTGGGCGGAGGATTCAATCTTGATGGAGTGGCCTTGGTTGGCGCGGATGAGGTAGTGGGAGGGCGTGGTGCTGTCCTGTGCTGACTCGACGGAGATGGAGGGATTAAGTTTCAGGGTGAAGCGCTGCTTTTCGTTGGATGCGACGACGTCTTTGATTTCGGCAAAGGTGACGTTGAGAGACCGGAGAGGACCCCATTTCATCTGTATGATGAATCCATGTTAGTTGAGAAAACAGTGCATGCTTCACGCTCGCTCAGGTCAAAAGATGCCCACTCACCACCTCGTCAAGTGCCGCAAATCCCTCTGCATCGAGCTGGATGCCGGCATTCGCAGCCTGATGCCTCAATAGCCTCGACAGAGCCTTGGACACCAGCACCTCTCTGCTCTGGCCGCCGCCGCCGCCTCCTCGACCACCTCTTTGCTTCTTCTTTCCGTCTGCGAGCTTGTCCTCTACGGCGATATGAGCAGCGACATTTGAGCCGTCGTCCTCAAGAGCGCTCATTTTGTCACCGGCCTGTGAGAGAAGTGGTATATTCTCCGTCCGGTCGTCTATGAGACGTGAGAGGGTAGAGGTAGTGAAGCTGGTTTGGCAGTGAGAAAATCCTGGCCGCTTTGGGGAATGGTATTTTGCTATGAGCTTTAAAAGTGAACAGCTGTGCCGTCGCTGAAGGAACTGATGCGACAAATGAGGCTTTCTGGCGACTTTTGCAAATTGATAGCTGAAGCTGATACTCATACAGTCTTTTGTAGATGGTTCATCAATTGAGTGAGTCAAGTTGGGGGACGTTTTCAGGTCTGGTAACGGTCTGGCCCGGTTTGGGTCGGCGTGACTCAGCAAGGCGCATCACCAGCTTCGCCTCACCTGTGTAAGTACATGTACATACATCTCACTCGTCTTCACCGAGATTTCCTCATTACCACACAACACAGCATCATCATTGACCGAATGCAAAGTGCCTGCACGGGCACTTGAGGCCTGAATACTCAAAAAGTATGCTAATCATCTGATCATTATGTCTGTTGACTTGACAGGCTACCTATTCATCATGCATGCCATCTCCTCAAGGCATCACAGCCCCCCTCACGAGCCAAGTTGGTAGCTGTCCATCTGCTTCACTGTCATGGAGCCCCCTAGAATGTGAGTGAATCAATGTGCTCCTTGATGAAGTCATAACTCTCGCTCCTGAAATCATCCTTCAAATGCCAATTCACGATCTCATTATACCACAAGAGCTCATTGTTCTCGGTCCACTTGGGCCATTGGTAACCCACAAGCAGCCCGACATTGGGATCCAAATCGTGCACAAAGTTGATGTAATACGTCCGACCGGAGAGCGTGGGGAAATACGTGTTATTCCTGCCGAAGAAGACGGCCGTGTCCGATCCGTGCTGCGTGCCAAAGATGCCGTACGGCCAGTTGTACGACGCCAACGACGACCAGACCGGCAGGTCAGGACGGTTGGCGACGACGTTCTCCAGCGTCAATCGCCGGACGAGGGTGAAGACGATGTCGCCCAGGATGGAAGCGAGCCTCTTCTTGCCCGGGTAGGCGATCCAGGGCACGTACTCACCCCTGCGGTACGGGCTTCCGTCCTCGACGAGCTCGCTGTACGTCTCGACGAACTCCTTGACGAGGCTGCGCTCGGCGTTGTGGAAGTACAGGCTGGAGAGGTAGTCGGTGATGTTGTCCGTGGACCCCATGCTCTGCGTGAAGACCTGGGCCCAGCTGAAGATGGTTCCCTCGTCTTCCTGGGACCCAAAGATCATGGGCACGGCGTGGAACTTGCCCTCCCGGGCGAGGACGTGAGGGCTCGCCGTCAACACCTTGCCATCCGGCCTGGGGAGGTACGAAAGAGCAAGGGACTCGTACGAGATCAGGCCAGGGACCGAATTCGCTGCTGCGGCGAAATCGTCGTTGGTCAAGTTCCGGAGACAACCCAGGGTGTCGTCGCTGCCGTCGCATCCAGCCTTCTCGACGACATGCTGATACACCGCCTTGCCCTTTTCCGAGTCGACCGGATCGACGGGCGTCACGGAGCCCGAGTTCATGATGGCGGCGCGGAACAGAGGCTTGTCGTTGTATGTGGCATCGCCATCATACAGCACGAGCTGGTCCCAGACGGAAATGGAGCCAGCGGACTGCCCCCAGATGGTCACCTCGGACGAGTTCCCGCCAAAGGCCTCAATGTTATCGGCCACCCATTCGAGCCCCATGCGCTGGTCAAGCAAGCCGGCGTTGGCGCTCCCTTCATTGAGAATCTCCTCCCCAGGCATGAACCCCCACCCGCCGACGCGGTAGTTGACCGCCGCGAAGATGAAGGGCTTGCCGAAGGCGACGCCCGTCTGGACGAGCTGGAGGGGGTCGTTCAGGGCAGCCGACGTCCCGCCAATGAGGAAGCCGCCTCCGAAGATGTAAAAGAGCACCGGCAGAGCGTCGCCCGGTTGCGTGCCCTCGGGACGAGTGATGGTGATGGTCAGGCAGTCTTCCGACTGGTTGTCCTCCGCTGTCGGGAGGGGGAGCGATCTTGCCAGGGTCTCCTTGACAACGGCCGCCTCCGGGGGGCTCTGCTGCGTCGGAAAGCTGATAATAGGGCCCTGGGGACACAGCTTCGCCTGGCCCGTGGCGTTGAACGTGCCTAGGGGAGTAGAGAGCTTCTGCGGCGGCCGAAGGCGCAGGTCGCCGGTTGGGGGATCTGCATACGGGATGCCCTTGAAGCTCTCAACACCGTCGGCTGCGCTGCCGATGATGGTGTCTCCCGAGGGGATGGTCACGCTGACATCGGCTCGGGCCGCCAAAAGGGAGGGCGCGGCAGCCCCTGAGAGGGGGAGCAGGCCCAGGCTCAAGGCCGCCAGACTAATGGCGCTTTCCATCCTTTCTCCTAAGATGAAGATGAAAGCTCAATGCTATGAAATTGTATAGATAGTTGTTGGCAGATGGAGGCGATGGACTTGATTCAGTCAATGAGAACGACGGCCAACGCTTCATCCTTTATATAGCCGACGAGATAGTAATATCATGCAGTATACCCATAAGATGGCCCCCCTTTCCACATCATCAGATGATGTCTTCATCAAAGCGGTCAATACTAATACTAATATCATTGACAGCTCAGACTCTGTCTCAGCCAGCCACTCTCCTCCCTCTCCTATCCGCTCCCCCCCGACTCATCAACACCTTACTCACATCCACCCAAAGCAATCCCATGTCCCCTCCTCAAACACCCCTCATCTACACATTCAACATAATACCAAACCGGGCTACTCGCACTCACTCAAAACATCCAACTAGAAGCTTATTTCATCTAGACATACTTTGTAGAACATGGGATGCAATTCTTACTTATACACAAGCAACCCGACGGGCATGCATGTCTGAGTCCATCATTCGGGCATTTACCATCCCATCATCTTGGCATCGTCACCTCTCCGAGACAAAAATCTTCCCGCTCAAAGGGATAAAGATCCGCGGAGGTATTGCTCTGGAAAAGAAAAGCTTGTGAAACAACTCTAGGCTGTTGTGCGACGAGATGTCTCGGCAATTTCCTTATGAGATAATAACTACGACGCACGACCTCAACAGAAGCCGTTCTGACTGCATCTACATCGTCACGTCAAGCCTCGGTGAAACTAGATCTGCAGATTCACAGGCCTTTTCGTCAAGATATTACTATATGTATTGTCAGGTCATGACATGTCATGCTTTCACAAAAAAGGGGGCCGTAATGTATGCGATTCAAAGAAACAGCTGCTGTCCTTCATCTAGGTAGGTACATGCCCATTATGTCAAGGCATCACATCATTCAACAAGACTCAGAAAGCTGATTCAACAACAGGCCGACAGCATGAACTCGCGATTAAATAGAAATAGCTAGTTTGATAAAGACAAAAAGCACACACATTGATGCTATATGCTGCTCACTCCCTTCCGAGAGCAGGATAATAAACCACACGCACAGCAAAAAAGCGAAATTCAGCAATCCAGCAACTAAAAAAAGGTATTTGTAACTCTTTGCCCTCCGTTTTCCCAAAAAGACTTCACGGCCTGCCCTTCCAACCAGAACTACGACCTCAAAGAAAAATCAGCACCAAGAGAAAAAGAAAGAACAAAACCTCAATCAATCAGTCAATCAAACTCCTCTCTTCGCCAAGTAGGTTTCGTGTGGCCATGGCCACAACACGCCAGCCCTTCACAAGAAAGAAAACAAGATAAAAAGCTTTTTAATACGCTCAATGGAAAGGAAGCAAGCAAGCCAGGTGGTACACACGACTTTGCTGTGAATGGAACATGCAGAATGGAAAACAAAGAAAACCGGGCCCCGTGCAGGAAGTCGAGCAGGCCGTCCGTCATGAGGTCGTCAAGCCAGCGGTTCAGAAAGCAAACGGGGTGTGGCATGTAAGTTGGCGGCTGGAACAAGTAAAGAAAATATGAGTGAGTGACAAGTTTGGCAAAAAAAGACACAGATGGTCAATTGATGAGAGACAATGAGACAGAGACAGAGACAGAGAGAGAGAGAGAGAGAGATGGTGAATGAATTGAAATTGAAGATTAAACAATAACAAGAAAGAAGAAAGATGACGCTCGCAGATGGGTCAAAATGAATCAAGTATGGTACAGATCATGAATCTAAGCGTAGGGTCGTTGAAGGTCATCTCAAGCCATTCATGGCTGTTGTCGAAGAGGCCGGGACGGTGCTGGTCCGTCGAAATTGCAGGCTGCTAGTTCGATTCTGTAGGGAGTGATAGCTAGAGGCATGGTTTGAACCATGTTGTTGGACGGATAGATGTCGTGAAAGGCGGTTTTCGCTGGGTCTCTCGAGACCACTTTCGCCCCCATCGGCCGCGGGCCTCTCCAGGAATTTTCTGGTCGTGGGCGTGGTGGATGATGTAGACGGGACAGTCAAGCGAGAAGGTTGTAGAAATCGTCGTCGGCTAAGGGCTGATGGTGGCTGTGGCGTGGTGCTGTCGGGCATTGGGGTCGCGGCATCCGAAACGTTGAGATACTCTCGCGTCGCAGCTCTGGCTCCGCCGTTGACTTCGGTGATGGCCCGAGATGGAGCGCGAAACCTGGCTCCCTCGTCCTCCTCGCCAACGGTGCCCCGACGGTTACGGACAAGGAATGAAGTTCGTCGGCCGCCCTCGTCAGATTCGTCGCCTGCCGCGCGTCGGCGTAACAGTGCCGATGTTCGCCGGCCATCCTCTGGCTCCTCCGCCACAGCGTGGCGAGCGCGCGACACGATAAGCGACGCTCTGCGGGATATGGATTCGTTGGGGGTTGTCGGGGTGGAGGCGGAATTGCGAGGACTAGTCAGAATGCTGCTCCCGCTCAAGATCATGTTCCTTCGCTCTTCATATTTAGACGTGGCTCTGGGGCTGCTGATGACTTGCGTGGCCTGCTCAGGCACGACGCTGGAGCGGCGAGAGACCGAGTAAGACTTTGCGCTGAGCATGGTCGGGGTCCTCGGGGGTTCGGGCTGAGAGTTAGAGTTCGGGTTCGGGCTAAGCTGCGTGGTCACGACCTGCGGAATGCCCGTCGTGGGGCGCGAGGTGCCGCTCTCGCCAAGGGCGATGCAAAGCTCCGTCAAGCTGCGGCAGACACTGTCCGTTCTGCGGCGGAGCTGACGGTCTGTAACACCAGAGCCACCTCCGACAACACTGGCAGAGCCCGATATAGGACCAGGCTGGCCTGGCTCACCCATCATGGATGACAGCGCAAGGGCATCGTTTGCCGCAGTCTCAAGTGCACGGTAGACGTCCGGGCTGAGCATCTGTTTGATCTTGCCAAGAGCCGAGTGCAGGTTCGAATGCGCCTCTCGCTGTGACGAGGTGGTGCTGCTGCCAGCATCTGTCTGGTGTCCGGCTGCCGATTTCCTGGGAGAAAGCGACATGGTCGTAACTGTCGTTGTCGCTGTCGGCGGCCTCTCTTCCGAGGCTTTGATCACTGCGGCAGCCGAGGTTGGTGGCAGCTTTCCTGTCAACTCGAGGCGATGGATTCTCGATTTCAGCTCGTCCAGCTCGTCCCAAACCGTGGATGGCGCATTGGTTGACGTGGTCGACTCTGTTCCTTCCGCCAGGTTGCCAGCGTCGGCACCATCTTCCTCATCGTGCATCTCGAATGACCGCGTCAGAGGCGAGGGGTTGTAAGTCTTGGTCTGGTTTTGAACAAGCACGGTGGCCTTGTGCGTCGATGAGCGCGCTGAGCTAGAAGCCGGGCCGTCAACCACAGATGATTTTCTTCGGCCGTACAGAACGCTGTCCACGGCCTGGTCCGGGAGACCTGTGGATCGGGGCGTCATGGGCGAAGGCCGTAAACCTGAGCTAATGGATCTTGAAGGGGTGTCTTCGGCGTCGCGGGAGGATGCGGTTCTGTCTCTGAGCTGGCTGCGGTAGGCGCTGCTTCGCGCGATCTCGCTTGTTAGTTCATCTTCGTATCGAACCGAGCGGCTACGCTCTCGATCCTGCTGATCAGAGAGCCGTCGGTTGATTGAAGAGGGAGGAGAAATTGGGTAATAAGAGGAGACGTTTTGGGAAAGCGGGCGACGACTGCTGGTGCGATCAGCTCTGAACTGCTGGAAACCACGTTAGCCAATCGATGAAGGCCACATCAACCCGACGAAAGGGCGTGTCTGCAAAGACAGAATGACACTGAGGTATACACCAAGGCTCAATCCAATCCGAGGAGATAGAAACAAAGAAAGGCAGGTCTCGCCCAAACATGCGAAACCAATGAAAGACAAAAGATTGGTCCTGCTTCTGCCTTTCCACGTTCTTTTCTTTGAATCTCTGGAAGATTTCCCTCACTTACCGAAGTAGATTTTGTGTCGTGGGCATTGTCGGCTGCTGAATGGCGCGCTGCCTCCTCGGACGCAATCTTCATGAAGACATCGCCCGTGTCGTCGCCGTTCGTGCCGTGCCTAGACGTCGGAGGACTTCGCTGGTCGAGGAAATCACCATCCGAGGCGCGGAGGGTGTGGTCGTCGGTCGAGTCGACGTAGCGATCTTCGTCGTAGGAGTGAGAACTATAGGTCATTTCGTCGATGGAGCTGTGGCGAGACCCGGAAGATCGGGAGGCCCGAGAGGGCGGGACGCGGGAGGTAGTCGTCGAGGCTGTGCTCTGGCTTGCAGTGACTGCGCCGTTCACCGGCGGCTTATAGGAAACAGGTCGGCGCTGCAGCGGCTTGTCCTGATTATCATCTGAAGGACCCGACGAGGGCGGCTGCTTGGAGGCCGGAACGTCTGGCAGGTTTCGGGCCCGCAACCTCAGACCGAGCGGCTTGGGGTCGGCGGCAACTCGTGTGGTGGGCGACACTGCGTCTTCGATGGCCGGCTGGCGAGCGCTGAGTGACGTTCGCGGGACGTCGGGCGTCACTCTGCCGCTAAGATTCGAGGTGCGTGACGCCGGTAGCCGGCGGGTGCTCTGCTTGAGCGACGATGTGCGCGCGATGCTGGAGAGTTTCGCCTGCGCAGCTTCGTCGGCGAGGCCGTCAGGGAAGGACACGGGACGTCTGACCCTCCGTTCCTGCTCGACGATGGTCTTGACGGACGTCTGGTACGAGGCTCGAGGGCGCAGGCTCGGGCGCGGCGGCGGCGAGGTTGGCTTCTCGGGCGTGGGCAACGACTGGCGATTGCGCGCGGCGGCAGAGGAGGTGAGGACCTTGCTGGGTGCGTCGGAGCGCGTCCTGGGCTCTCGCCGGTCGAGGTGCGAATCGATCGAGGCCACAGGGGGCGCGAAGCGTCGGGGGGAGAGCGGCAGCTGGTGCTGGGCCTGGGGCTGTCTGGACGAGGGCGAGGGATGCGCAGCGTTCGGGGCGTTCTTGACGTCGGCAAGGCGAAAGGACGGCAGCCTGGAGGAGCTGTGGCTCTGGCGGTGCGAGTGCAGGTTCGACGAGGGGCCGGTGATGGAGGGAGGCGCTGCACCTGCGAGTGTTTTGCCTGGCAGGCCGGCGGCTGTGGAACGAGCCGCAGCGAAACTAGCAGTCTCCGTCATCTTGCCTGGCTCAGGTACCGGTACTGGGCGGCTCAGCGTTGGGTGGTGCTAGCAGCGTGTACATGGACCGCAGGGCGTCGCGTCGCTCATCAGCCACAGCGAAGGGGGGAAAAGCAAGGCGATGGGAAAAAGCAAATAATAAAAGCAAGATTGGGGAAAATTGATGGCCCGTATTCAGTCAGGGCAGGGTCGGCCGCCGTCGGGGGCTGCAGCGTTGGAGGCGAGCAGCGGCCGTGCAGCATCCAAGGCACGACAGATGATGACCGCTGCAGGCAGCTCCAAGCTTGCAGGTTCTCTCTCTGCTGGTGCCTCTCAGGTGGCCCAGAACCGTCCGTTGCATGGAGCAAGTCCAAGGTATGTGGTGTCTGCGACAAGTTGCCAGTCGGTACCCTCTGGCGGTCGAGGCTGTCTGTACCTATTGCTCGCAAGGTATTGCTGCAAGGTGTGCGCTGGAGATGTGCAAATAGGCGCCCCTTGCTCTCATAGCATGGCCGCCGTGCAGGGGTCCGTCGCAATCGCGAGACAGGCAAGAGGAGAAAGAAAAAACGAGACAAGCGAGCTGAGCAGGCGCCCAAGCCGCGGAGGAGCGCAGATGTCGCCGTCTCAAGGGGGGGAAATACTGTAATTGAAGGGCCCGCCAGCTACCCGCTGCAAGCCGAAATCGACGCGTTTGAAGTTCCTTGAGCGGTTCGAAGATTGCAGGCGTCACGTACTGTACACAGAAGCGCACTCAGGAGCACAGCCGGCAGCAGAGGAGAAATTCGGGGCGTGTGGAAATAGAGAAGGTGTAGAAATCACGGTGAGCGACGTCTGGAGGGAGGGGAACGCGAGGGGGGAGCCTCTTGCTACGAGGGAAATGCGCAGTAGCGGCCCTGGACAGTCAACGACATGCAGCATGAATTAGGCTAGACAGGCATTACCATTTCCCCTGGCACAAGAGGGCAGAAGAACCAAAAAAAACAGTGGACATTGAAAGGACTGCAAATGGGGCGGAAGAAGCGTGGCATGGCATCCAGGGCTGGCCTGTCTCCTGGGGTGGATTGATGCTGGCGATGTGGGCTCGTGTTGGTTAGCATGACAGGCGAGATAATGCGGCCACCACTAACAGCAGTGCCGAGAGGACGACTGATCCAGGGCGTAATGGTAATACTGCTACTACCACTCAAATCCATACGGTACTGTAACTGCTTGCAAGCATCATGACAAGAGGCAGAAGAAGCGGAACTCGACGGCAGCCTTGAAGACAGGGCGTGTATCCGATGCCCCATCTGCTCGCGTTGAACGGCTGAAGATTAGGTATCTATCTTGCAGCATCCATCGACTTGTGCGAGGCAGTGACACCTAACGATGCCACCTCTTCAAGACAACCTCCCTCCAGTAATACTATACAGAGCGCAGACGCATCAGAAGCCGGCAGAATCACTTGCTACTCGTATGCATGTCAAACACCAAGCTGGATGATTCGGCTGTCTTCTCGCCCGTCGTGGGGCCCCTTCTGCGCTGGCCAGGCCAAGAGCCATGCATGTCCACTGCGTTCCGGCCTGTTAAATAACGGCACATGCACCAAGATGGAGCCGGAGGCAGCAGATGCTGGTTCCACGGCGGTGATCATGGGAGCAGCAGGCCACGCAAAATGTGAGATTCGACCGCTGCCGTGCAGGTTCGATAGCGCTGCCCGTCTCTCCCGCCAGCCAGCCAGCCAGCCAGCCCTCTTTTTGGTCTCCATTCCCGCTTCCCACATCCGTATGTACGTCTTCCCCAAGGCGCGGCAAGGCAAGGCAAGGCAAGGCAAGGTAAAGAGCTTGCGTCTGTCCGGGACGACGGGCGGTTCGCGAATCAATCGAAGTCCCGGGATGATATGGGATTGGACGGCTTGTCTGGTCAGTGGCTCCCAACGGTTCATGCCCTCTTTTTTGATGCTGGGCAGGGGCTTGGCTGGAATTGTGCCGCACCACCACCTTCAAGGAATAATAAAGGGCGCATAGAACCTCGCTTATACGATCAAATAATCAGGCATCGACCTAATTTTGATATGATTGTATATACCGTATGTACTATCGTATTGATGGCTCAATGTAGGTAATGTCGGCAGAGACCAGCCTTGACGGAAAGACGAGGCTCGTGAGAGCCCGATTCTGCCCTATACTTGTCCCCAACCTCAAGTTGTCGCCTTGTCTTAAGAACTAGGCGGCGGTGCCTGAGCCTCCCTTCCACGTCTTGTGCTTCTTCCTCATACTCCCTTGGCTGCCATAACCACCATCCGTGATCGGTATCTCTTCTGTGTCGTAGATACCATCTCAGGGTTGATTCAAAGAAAGAGCAAAAAGGTGCGCCAAGGTTCCACTGCAACATAAGCGGGCGCTGCCCAGCATCCAGAACCGAGCCGCGTGAAACGTCACGACCACAAGGTTATAAACGCCATGGGGGCGCCATTGATTGCGGTGGATCTATTATCAGTTCCCCGGCGGAAAATGGCGCTATTCCGCCTCGGTGATGTTGAAATCCCACGAGGATCGAAAAATACAGTAGTGTTCAGGTCACTTGCGAGGAAGCCGCTGCAGGTCATCAATGAACAACGTCCTTTGGCTTACTTCGGTGTTATTATTTGCCAACGTTGATGCGGCCGCTCTGGAAGCCGGCAGATTGCACTCCGTTTCAGCTGGGTCTGGAGAAAGCAAGGTAGTACTTCATACGAAGTACTGCCGCGAATGAAGCAGGGCTGGTTCTGCGAATCCTGGTTTCATTCTACCTCAGGTATTCGATTGATAGTAGTAGCTTGCTAGGTGGTAGACCGACAGACTGCAAACGCCTCCATGTGCCCAGGAAATAAAGTACCGAAAAGGGTTTCATCCCGAACATGGAACAACAAGGGCCATCAACCAGCGTTTGCGTATCAGGCTTGGCGAGGGTATTCGGTTGAACTGTTCTGTTCTCGTAGCTTTCTCATTTGCGAGTACTACTTGTACATCGCGGAGCAATACCTACTGCCTTACCTACCCACTCAATAGACACCTCAACAGGCAACATACACATTCTCGCCTTATCAGGTACCTTAGGGAGAGACCATCTCATTTTGTTCTTGACAAAGGGGCTGGGCTGACAGTCGCTCCGGAGCATCTGAATTGAAATTGTCGAATTTGGTCAAGGAAGGGGACACCTTGTCCGACTTGTGTCTTGTTCGCCGCGCTTTGCCAGAGTACGAAAAGAGTATTATCCGTCCGTCCCCAGGTTTTCCAATGCAGAATTGCTTTTTCTTCGACGCCAATCTGGAACGATCCGATCGCCTGTGCGCGCTCTACCTTATCTGTAACACGTACCTAGGTAGGTAGGTAGGTAAGGTACAGTAGTAGGGAGCAGTATCCGTCCAACTGCATCCAAGCGCTTGTGCAACCGACTTCCCATAACGGATCGGTGATAAGAACCTCATTGTCAGACATACCTACCTAGGTATATTTGTATTGACGTTGGCTTTGCTGTCAACGGGTCGAGCTGCCAACTGAGATGCCTGAATGTGGAGCTTGTTACTGACAACTCGGACTTTGTTTGCCTGCATCATCTCACGAGCGCGCTCCGTCCAATTTTGGATAGTACCGCTCGGTGAGCGATTCTCGGTCAGAGTACCTTAGGTACCTAGGTATGAAGTAGGTCCAAGTACTCATCAAGCACTCACAAACACCATATAAACTCCGTCCCACCTCCCTTGTTCAAGAATGACGGCCTATAACAAGATGAGCTTTGAGTCATGTTCGTGTCGTTTTCAGGGGTGGAATCTTCTCGTCAAATATTCTCGAATTGAAACGGGGGCAGCATGTCGGGGTCCCTTGCGGACACTTTGCACCGATGAAAGCCAGCATGGCGTTACGCCTATTTGGTTGTTCTCCCCATGACACGGTGCTTTCGCCTTTCATTATTACTACCTTCTGGCTGTCTATTCAAGTCCGTGAGATTGATAGCATCCTTCTTGTCTCCAGATACTGGAGAAACTCTGAAACACATTCTCAAAACACGGCGGCGTTGAACAGACGTCACACTTGAGGAGGCAAACAGGGTTCGCGTTTCATCACCTCTTCGCATCCTGCTAAGCGATGCTCGACAATGTTTTAGCGGCGTGTGCTAGCTAACATGGACGGAGATCGTTGTGTCATGCAATTCCTTCCGATGCCCGTCAATGCGTGGCAAAGAAGCTTTCTCTCCAGCTCTCTCGGGCTGGATTCTTACAGTGTTCCTGATGTATTACATCATATTACCCTACATCTCATTGCTTATTGCCGTAAAAGACGTGAAGCGCACTGGGCTTCTGGTATTGGTGTTACCCACCACCATCTACCTACACAAAGCAAGCTGTGCCAGTATCATACATACATTACCTAGTCAGACAAAAGCCACTTTGTGCTACCGACAGTCAAGACGCCTCGTCATCATCTTCCTCTCTCACCTAGACTGGGACATATGTAGGCACGATTCATCATGAGGCCGCCACGGCGGTGTTTTGAAAGCTCGCCTGGGGGAACCGCGTTTCACCCCCATGATGTCGGTCTTGGCAAGGTCATTACTGAGGTCGGTAGCTTATTTGCACCCTGGACTCTGGTTGCATGCTATAACCAATCGCGTCTCAGGCCCCTTTCGGTCCACGTGGTTTCTTGATGCTCGGAAATGAAGGCAAACAACTCGAAGACGGCGAGTAGCTCGTGACAGCGGTGTCGACGGTCGACAATTGTTCAATGGCCACGGTGCCAATGCCTTGAACTTTATGGTACCTTAATTGCCGCAGTAGGAGCTCGACAGTGTGGAGAGGACGGACATGCTCGCCCTCTCACGAACATTCTTACCATCTGACAATCTGCAGGTTCGTGTTACAGCTTCGTAGCAAAATGCTAGTGGCGTGCAGATCGGCGGAATGAAATTGCGATGTGCTCTTTTGTGCACCAGCCCTCTGTTGGCCCTGCACCGGCGCTTTTGCTCAAAGGCGGCCGATTGATTGCTGACCGGGTTGATGCTCGAGAACTTGGCGTCTTCCACTGGGGTTGTACTCGTACATATGGAACGGCTGCTTGCCTTTCGGACATGGAATGCTAATCCCTTGGTGTGCTGCATTGAGAGAACAGCAGCCAAGCCATTCGCAGAGGATGGGAGCCCATCTCGCCCATCCAATCCCAACCAACTGAACCCTTGCGGTGCCTTCGATTTCTCCACATAATGCACCAGCTGCGTTCCTTGATACTGCACGATGCTGCTGCAAGTAAGGCGGAGGACGGGAAGCAATCAGGTCATGGCGACATGGTTGGCTATTTCTAACTCCGCTGACCACTTTAGCCAGGACTACCACACGGCCACGGTAGCGATCTGTGGTGGCATGTTACCGAACGGGCGGTCATGTGAGATCTAATCGAGACCTGATGGATACTGACTGACTCAAACAGACGGACTGACATGGCCGGCAACCAATGCTGAATAGCATCTATATCATCTATTTATAGGCAATGGGATTTCTAGTCGTCAGCGTGTGGCTTCAACTAGGCTCGTGTAATGGCTTTGCTTGGGTGCTGAGTGAGAACGGAGAGACGAGAATATGTGAACTTGGGCCAATCACGCCGAGACAGAAATTCTGGTGCAACGGAGTACGGAGTAATACTGGAGAATATGACTACCTCCTGCTGCCGGCAGTCTCAGACCTGTAGGACACTGCTGTCAGTGGCTATCTGATACGGTGTCTGCAGCTACCTTGAATAAGGTACATGTAGTAGCAGCATCTATGGTTTAGAAGCCGGGGGAGGACGGAGAGCGTGGCTGTGATATCGATGCCAAGGTCAGCCAAATGCGTGTACATACACGTAAAAGAATGCTGTGCTTGAACTGACATGCCTATGCCTTGCTGCGTCTTTTTGACATGGGCAGATGTGCGTGAAACTCGGAGACGTGGCTGATCATACCTATCACGTCCACATCGCCCCTCACCCTTGAAGGACCTCGAAGTTTTTGACTGTGATAGATTCGAGATGAGGTCATCATCGCTAGATATACCTTGCCAGACGAACGAAGACGCATGACAAGATGATCTTGCCACTTCAGCTGCCTCTGGCTGCGTTTATTGGAACTATTGGCCCTCCGTGCCCGCAGCCGTTTGCCATACGGAGTCACCGTCCCCATTTTCCGGGAGGCAGCGCGACGGAGCTTAATGGCTACGGGGCAGAAGACGGAGTGGGAAGGGGGGAGTAGTAAACCGGAGACCCGAAACAGCTGGGCAAACGGAGCAACTTCATATCAGAAACAGGAACGATAAGTTCAAGGTGAATCCCGAGAGATGAAAGAGAATCGAGAGAGGGATAGTGAGGCTACCTATAAGCAAGGGAAGAAGAACAAGAAGAATGCGACAAGCACGAGAGAAAACAGACAGTGTGTAGCCCAGTGCAATATACTCGTACGAATAGTCCACGCGGGAAAGGGCAGCAAGCAGAGGCGCCTTCTTTGAAAATTTCTGGCCTGCTGCGCTGCGGAAAGACATGACGGGGCCCCACCGAGCAGGGCCAAAAATAAGAAGTCGCGCTGCACGACAATTTGGGCGCTCGGCCTGTGATTGGCCAGCTGTTGGCGCCTGGCGGGCTGGGCAGGGCTATATTTAGCCTAGGCGCTGTTTCGCACGCAATCCCTGTCCTCCGCTCAACCACTCGAAACGAGGAGGTGGGGCTCGACCCCTACGGGTTAACGAGCATGTACGAGTACAGGGACTCCAGGGACGCCCAAGGACCTGCAGGGAAAACCGCTGGACGGACTTGGTTGGACGAGAGCGGCGCCGTGCAGCGCGCAGCAGGTCATGCTGGCGGCGGTGGTACTCGAGACGTATGCGCAAGATGCTCAGCAGGTTTTCTAACCTGTTTCCTCTGCTGCTGAATGCTTACCTGCAGCCCGTCGGGCGGCTGCGCGAGGAGGCGGACGAGGTGCGCAGACGGAGAGGGACCAGTAAGGCACAGGTGCAAGTACAGGTACACGTACAGTCACAGGTACAGGGGCAGGCACCGCCTTGGTTCGAAGGGCATGCAGCTCATGTTGCGCCTAAGCAGGTTCCAGTTGGTAGCGCGTGTCTACTTTTAGCAGTCAACTCCAGTGCAAGGCAAAAGGCAGCAATTGATTGCCAGACACGCTGTGGAGGGCGAGAGAAACGAGCAGAAAAAAGCCTTTTCCATGCATGGGCAGCATCACCCAAGGACTCGGGGCAACTTTCAAGGTGCTTTACCCTCAGTTTCCCGCAGGCATCTGTGGTAGCGCCGTCGATGGGCCATAGGTAGCCTGTACTTGGTCTGACGGCGCCGTTGCCGTGGTGGCTGAGCGGCGGAACCCTGCCCTGGATGCCGGACAAGGTCACCGCTACCTGGCGTCCCGTAGCGTCGATAGCAAGGCGCACCTCGCACCCGGCGCGAAGTACCGGTACGAGCACCTACCGTACAGAGCGCAGCGCAGCTCAGCACATCTCAGTGAGGGGACCCGACAAGTGATCTAGACATGGAGAGTAAGCGCTGCTTGCTGCAGCTGGCCCGCCCCAGTGCCCCTTCCAGCTTGAGGCTACCTCAGGTACCTGTACCGCTACCGGGTGCTAGGCACTGCTGCTAGTGACCTGGAGGCTCCCCCCCAGTCGCCGTTTGTTCGCTGGCGAGCCTCTCAAACACCGTCACGCCAACGCCAAATTCTAGACTCTCTCTCTCTCTCTCTCTCTCTCTCTCGTCTTCCAACTCTTCTCTTCTCTTCTCTTTCTTCCCTTTCTCGCAACATCCGCAGCCCTCCCCCCTTCCCGCTCGCCCTCGCGCAGGATCCGGCATCTGCACCCTTTTGGCGCTGCCTTGTTGTCCCTGTCCTTGTCCTTCGCCTTGTCCTTCGCCTTCTTCTCTTCCTCCGCCGTCGCATTTCGCCCTTCGCCCTTCGTCTTCTTTCCTGCTCCAGCGGCTATCCCGTCCCTCCCACCTGCATGTGGCCGTCCGCTAATTAGGCGCCGTTCTTGTTTCACCTCGACTTTTTGGTGCCATTCCTTGCAGCTCCCTTTCCCGACCCGACTCGATTTGGACCCTCGCACGCCTCATTGTCCTGCCTGTCGACCATCCGCGGCTGTTTCTGTTCTTCGTTTCTCGTCCTTCGCCTTTCTACTTTCCTGCTCCTCCCGTGTCGACTTCTGGCCCGCTCAAACCCGCCACAAACACCCAGTGCCGCGCCTCAGCTGCTTGCGTCCGCCGGCTGATACGACGCCTCTCGGGCCACAATCCCGACCGCTTGGTCCCTGCCAACTTCCTTTCTTGTATCGCGAACTGTCAACCTCCGGATTCAGCTGTGCTGTCCATTGACTACGTTCTCGACCTCAATCTTCATTTTCCGTTCTTCGCATTTCGCCACTCCGTTCTTTTCGAAACCATTTATGCGAACGCTCGCTCTCTTGTCCATCTTTTGACGCTTCTTTCTCTTTCTTCCAAGCGGCATAATATCTTCGAACGAGCCGCTTCACTCCTAATAATCCAAGCTGCTGCTGTAGTCGGCGCAATCACGCAATAACGCACGTGTCAAGTACCGGGGGTTCATGCGCGCGCGAGATTCGAGCCTCTGATACAAGGAAAGGGCAATTTCTGTTCGGAACCATGCCCTCAGCCGCCGCGCGCCAGATATACGAAGACCAGATACCGACCTTCATGTCCGTCTATGATCTAGAATCCGAGGCCATGGCAGACCGGGACACATTCACCGTGGTTGGGTCCAAGTTCCTCGAGGTGGCACCCAAATCCTCATCGCAGCCGCATCTCCAGGCCTGTCTTGCTCCAGATCAAAGCCACAAGCATCGCGACAGCACTTCGACACAGACATCAGAGTCCGATGACTCTTCTCCAACCACTACGTTGTCCACCACGGACTCTTCACCCCTCTCAGACCCGTCGCCATCGTCGTCACCGGATTCTCCGCTCAACCTGCTGCCGCTGGGTAATTTTCACTCTGCAAGCTTCAGTGGCCCTTCCAACCCAGTTTCGTTGCTCAGCATTTCGGAGGCCAGCGCATTGGAGCGTCCCATGACGTCTCCAGCTCCGAGGAAGCCGAGGAACATGAAGGGTCTCTCCATCCAGCCTCCGACGGCAGCAGCCTCATCCAAGTCCATGGTGTCGAAACCTTGCTCGCCTTCCTTCATCAAGCCCTCCATTCCCGCCATGAAGAGGAAGCCCAGTCTTCTCAGCCTCAAGACCAATGCTTCGGATTTGATCAAGCAGACATCGTTGGAAGTGCCGGCATCGCCAGGCATGCCTCCCATCCTGCAGCGCCGCGCCCTCAAGCACTCGACGTCGTCGCCGTCCTTCCCGTCCTCTACCTCTCTGAAAACAGCCACATTTGGGCCCGCGGGGGGAATGACCTTTCCAAAGGTCTTGGAGCGCAATGAGTCAGGGCTGTCAGAGTTCTTGCGGCCCATGAAGTCGAGCATGAACTTGACCTTTGATGCTGCCATTACCGAAGAGGACACTCCCATTAAAACCCAACTCGCATCTCGAAACGACTTTGACGACCCCTTTCGGGAGCACGAGAATAATGAAGACCAGAAAAGTCCAGGATACCCTGATGGTCCAATTGCCATTTACGGCGACAATGTCTATTTGTATCTGGAACCTACGGCCGAGGAAGCCTCTCGCTTTGATGTCGTCATCAACGTTGCCCACGAAGTTCGAAACCCCTTCGAGGCCAAGCGTGAGGAGGTTAAGCAAGAGCAGGCGAAGCCATCATTGCACGGCCCTTCCGCTCGTGGCAGAGGAATTTCGTCCAATCTGAGCCCTATTCCGGATACGGCTGCGTCAAACTCCAGCTTTGCTACCGCATGGGAGTTTCAGCCTTCTGACGGCAGCAGCCCGATGGACACGGATATGCTTACACCCACGACGCCAAAGGCCAATCCTCTCAGAAGGCCAGAGTACATTCACATTCCATGGGATCACAACACCGATATTGCGCCTGATCTCATGCGCCTCTGCGAGACCATTGAGAACCGCACAAAGGAAGGCAAAAAGGTGCTTGTCCACTGCCAACAGGGAGCTAGTCGTTCGGCGAGTCTCATCATTGCCTATGGCCTCTATCAAAACCCCGACTTCAGTGTCAACGATGCGTACCACGCAGCACAGGCCAAGAGTCGCTGGATCAGCCCCAATATGAAGCTGATGTACTCGCTGCAAGATTTCCAGAAGGAGCTTTCGAAGAAGAAGCGCTCTCCGCCAGGCTCTGGGCCCTATCGACCTCGCAGTGGAAGGAGTCCGTCCAAGCACCGATTGACCCTGTCCGCCGACGCAATTGAGATGCCTTCCAAGGAGCCGCACACCGCACCCCTCCCAGCCGAAAACGGCAAAGGTAGGCAGGGAAGTGAGAGCACGACTCCTCTGAGTCTCCATCCTGGCAACCCGAATGACCTCGAGACCATCTCCCCGGGCCCTGCTTCGGCGCCTTTGACATTTTCGTGGAGAGACAGTTTCGAGAAGCCCCAGGCAGAGCGCATGGAGCCGGAACACAAGAAAGCCAAGCAAATGGAGCCCATCATCAATGAGCCAGAACCAAGCCCTCGACAGTCAAGAACGGACTTTCATCCGCCGCCATCTCCTTCACCTTTCAAACTCCAGGCCCCTCCTTTGCGGCCAAAGTCAGCGCAAGGACGGTCGAAGCCAAGCTTGGCTCCTCTGGGCGGCCCTAGGCTGAAGCCGACTGCATCCTATTCGACTCTGGGTGCTCGGGACTATTCGTCTTCGTTTCCCATGCATAGTTCCAACGACAAGGCTGTTCACTTCTCGGCCATCTTCCCAGACGATGCCCTCATGTCTCCCAGGGACCAAGAAATGGCCAACAACTCCACGGGAGGCTTCCCGTCGATTGCTGGGATGAGGTTTATCGAGCGACAGGAGCTGCCGCAAAATCTTTTCTCCCCGCGGCAGACGGCTTTCAGCCGGGATTCCTTCTTCTCCTTCGGGAGGCCAACTCAAACCGCGGATCCGCGCAGCCCGCCAGCCAAAGGCGAAGCATCAATCATTCGGTCCATTGACGACATCTTATAACCGGCCTTGACCACGCTCTCATGACATCTTCGAACATATCTCTCGCACTATATATCCATACAGAGCACATCGGCCTAGAAGGAAAGAGTGGCAAAGCCTGTGTCTTTGGCTGAAGGATGTTGTATAAATGACTCCCGACTATCCGCTGTCTACCAGCTCCCGTGATATTTCCATCGCATTTTCAGGCGTTCAACGGTGTACAACAGAGCTATTGATCGGCATACGCATTAGGGAAGCGGGACCAGTCGTCAATTCCGGCTTGGCTTAATTCCGGCCGGTTCATGCGCGGCTCTAAACACCTGCGTTCCTTTCCTGCGTTGTCGCTTTACTCTCCTCTCCTCTCGACCACGCTGTTACCCGACTGAACAGCTCGCAGACAATTCCCAAGCTGGTCGTGGTTGGCGGTTGTGGTTGGCTCATGATACTTGTGGGAAGAGAAGAGAAAGAGCAAGCCATGTCCTCTCGCACATATCATCACCAAAAACTTGTTTCATTTAACCATGTAACTATCACATTTTGTCTTTTTATGTTTTCTCTTGTGTCTATATCTTCCGCTCGCTTTTTTCTTTCTCATCTTTAAAGGACAGGCTGTTGGATAACAGCAAAACTTGGGTACGTGGTGGGGGAAGGGGGAGTACTTGGTTTCCATCTCGTTTTGTCGGCATTTGTTTTTTCTTTTTCGTTTATTTCCCATTTGTTTTTTTTATGTCGCCCCCCGGGATTTTAGTATACACACAAGGAAATCAAAGGGTAGTATAATATCTCCCCAGAGGCGGTCCACGTTTTGGAAGAAGCAGGTCTTCGGTGAAGAGCATTGAGAGAGGGGAGGGGCTGGGCTTGACAAGTCCTTGCCAATGATAGAGATGAAGAGACAGAAGGAGAAAGATACCACGGGAAGAGAGGCAAAATATATGGATACCTACCTTAGGTAGAATAGGAGAGGAGAAGAAAGAAAGAAAGAAGAAAATACACCAAACCGAATTACTATATCAAACGCACATCACCCCTACTTCTCAAGCCGTTAATCTTGACTCCCGTGTTAACTCGAATGGTCTATTTGTATAAAAGCCCGCTCCCGTATATCAGAGCTACTCTAAGAGATGCCAGTAAACGCCATGATGTATGAAGTGCACAATGAATAAAACAACAAGAAGCGACTACCCAAAATGCCAAGAGTGTTGTATATATGTACGTGTGGCCTCCCACCCTGTCGAGCAGTGTTCCCAAATGGATAGAATATATGTACCTTTTCAAGAAGAAGAAAGAGGCAGAAACCTGACTTCTATCACGGTCCGTTAACTCCCCTTTTCTTTTGCTGTTTTTCTTTTCTCTTTTCTTCGCTCAAGAAGACTTCTTCGCCTTGGCAGCCTCCTTGGCCATCTTCTCCTTCCTGGCAATGACCGCCTCGACGCCAATGCCGCCAAACACGAGGCCGACACCAAGCCACTGCATCTGCGTGAGGCGATGGCCAAAGGCGACGACCGAGAGGATCATGGTGAACATTTTGCGCGTGACGGTGACGGTGACGAGCAGGACGGACGAAAAGGTGGATAGGGTATAGACTAGAAAAAAGAGTCTTGTTAGCAAGGAGGGTCAAATCACGCGAGAAGGGCGAGATGAAGTTTGTTGGCAGACGTACAGATAAAGACTTGACCCAGGGCACCGCAAGCTGCAAAGCCCAAGACGTCCTTCCACACGGCTGGGTACTTGGTCACAAACTCCAAGGCCGCATTCAGCTCGCCAGCACTGCCAGCAACGTCCATGCCCAGCCACTCGCCGATCCCCGTAGACACGAGCGCAGGGCTACCAATGAGATACAAAGACGTCACGACGGTGCTCATCATGTTGTTGGCGCACATCATCTGCGGTCCGCTAAATGGGCGAAACGTCTGGAAAATGTAGTCCTGCGTGCTGTTGGTGAGGCCGTCAAAGAGGAGGTTGATGCCCAGCAGCAGCAGCCCCCAAGAGACGTTTGCCTCCTCGGACCGGGCAGACTTCTTGTGCTTGCGGCCCGAGTGGAGGGTGAACACGGCTACGCCCGTGGTGACGGCGGCAACGACGAGGTACTTGTAGATGGGGTAGCGCTTCCGGAAGATTGTAATGTGGAGGAACATGACAGGAAGGAGCTTGCAGCTCTTGGCAAGCAAGAAGGTGATGTAGTCAATGTGCGCAAGACTGGCGTAGCCAAAGGGGCTGGCCAGGCTGTTGGTGATGGCGACGAGCGCCAGCGGGCCGAGAATGCTGCGCGACGGGAAAATGGGCGGCACCGATGCGCCTTTCGGAGTCGAAGCAAGGAGATAGACGAAGCCGACCGCGGCGGCGAACAGCGACTGGATCGTGTTGAGGAAGACGGGGAAATGCCACACCTCTGGTGCGTCGACCGGGCCGTAAGCCTTGGTTGTCAGCTTCTCCTGGAGATACGCCCAGGTCAAGCTTTGTTGCGCGCGCGCGCGCGCAAAGTTAGCGAAAATAGTCCAGAGAGGAAGAGAGAGCATCGCGACGCCGATTGCTAGTGGGCTAAAGAACTTACAATGAAGCGTAAATGCCCGCGACTGCAGTGACAAGCTGGACCAAGCCCGCCTCGCCCTTGCTCGCATCTTGCGCCAATGTAGACGGGGCCGTGTGCCCGTTCGTCGCCTTCACCTCCTTTCCATTGGCATCCTCCCACTCGGCAGACTGCTTGTTGAAGAACTCGGAAGACGACTCGCGCTTGACGGCTGGCTGCTTTGAGCGCGCCATGGTTCAAGCAGAGACGGAGAAGCGCGTCGTCGAAGTGCGCAGAACAGCGATGCGGTCGCGATATCGTTGGTTGATTCTTTACTGCTGGGAGTAGGGACGAGAGGCCAAAAGGCAGAGCAAGTAAAGGAGCAAAATAGTCAAGAGAGACAACTAAACGAGCGAGGGAAGAAAAGGGAGTGACGGCGCCAATTGTGCCGAATAAGTATGAAGGCGAGGGTTTCAGTGGAAGACAAAGTTGAAAAGTTGACAAGTTGGCTTCATCTCGCAGCCACGGCGCGCTCTGACGTCTGGGGAAGGAGGGACCCTGAGGCTGGTGGAGTGCCTGCCGCCGCCTGCCGAACGCACACTTTCCACTTCCGGTTAGAGCCGATGCTGGGAGGCTTACTGCCGGCAATGTTAAAGTGGAAGGCCATGACCAGGATACTATCACGGACTACGAACTACGACGACACACACGGCAGCTACACAGGGAAACCAAGTCACAGTCAAGTCAGCTTGCGTCCAAATATATTTCAGTCTCTTGCACAACGACTGACTAGATGCACTATTATCTAGACATCCCCAGTCCCAGATCCGTTTCATGCGCAGAGCATGCCTTTCGTGCATGCCGCGGGGTATTGCCGATTCCTGCTTGAAGAAAGAGAAAAGAGAGTCGTCATCCACGGTCAGGGAGAACGGTGACAAGGGTAGAGGGCACGGGTGGGAGATGATGTGGTTGAGAGAGTCGGTTGCACATATCGGTCGTCGCGCAGCGAGTGGTGAAGTAAGAGGATTGGTGTGGTTTTTGTTGCTTGCGTAAGAGTATTGTGGTTTCGGATTTGCGGAATAAGGATGGTACAAGGGATCGCGGAGCGAGAGTCGAGGAGAGAGTGAATGTGACAGTGGTGCCACCGAGAAGCGAAGTGGTGCTTTGGGAAGATAGTGCTCGCAAGGAGCACCGGCCAACCCACACAGCGCAACTTCGACGCGGGTGTATCGATGCCATCATCTCAGACGTGGGTTGAGAATATGCTGATGGATATTGAGCCTGCGCAGCCACAACCGTTCTGGGCGGTGGGGCGCAGGGAGAGAGGCGTGCGAGTCAAAAGGTCGAGGTAAGAAATATTCGATAAATCCTTGCGTGGTACTCGGAGACATTGAATGAGTCCTGCCCGCGGGGATAATGCTCAGCTGCTCTACACGGAGAGCAGTGGCCTCATCGACACGAGAGTCGGCCCACGCAGTAGAGATGAAATCGTTCTGATGGCGGGCCAGTGGAGATAGAAATGACACGTGAGAAAGCATAACTGGGGATAAAGAGGGAGAAAGTGAAAGAAGAGGGAAAGAGATGTAAAGAAGGAGGAAAGGCAAAAACAAACAAAACAGAACGGTGGCTGCGTTGAATGCTTTTTTTTTTGGCGATGAACCGCAATCATCAATAATCCTGTCCCTGTTCCAGCGGGGGAAAGAGGAGCCTTGCGGCAAACCAGATCTGGACGCCCTGAATCCGCCAAATCCAGCCCAAACACAGCTCATTCACAAGTGGTACGAGAAACATGAAGCAACAGCCAGCGTGCTCATTATTAGAAAGTCCTTGGTTTACTCCTGGTCTTGCATCTGACTGCGACGCATCTTCTCAGCCTCGAGGTTTTCATAGAGTAGGAACAGCGCGGACTCGTTGGCCTTGGCGGTGCCCATGATGGTGAACATGCGCTCGCCTGTCTCGTCGTGAGGAGCCTATCGTGTGTTAGTCGCGACTCTGGACATGGCAAGAGCTGTGGCCCGATTTGCTGATGCTTACCTTTGCAATAGAGATGCGAGCTCCGGAGGTCTTGCGGATGTCGCTAATCTTGCTGCCGCCACGGCCAATGATACATCCAACCATGTCGGCGGGGATGCTGATGTTCTGAGTCTGGATCTCCTCACCGTTCTCGTCGTGAGTGGGAGGGCCGCGGGTCGCAGCGTCGGAATCAGAGCGACGGCTGAATGGCCTCGAGCCGCCGTTGCTGAAGTCGGCTCCGTTGCCAGTGCGCATCACGCGAGGGCTTCCGTAGTCACGACCGCTGCCGTTACCGTAGCCGGAGCCGCCCAGGCTTCCAGAGCCGGACGACTGAGTTCGGACGACAGGGTTGTAAAGCACAGTGCCGGTGCCCCGCTGCCAATCATCGACAAGGCACTTGGAGATCTCCCAAATGGCTCGCTGGATACCCTCGGGGGTGCCCTGGACTTCGACGATGCGCTCGGTAGACTGGGGCAGCATATCCTTTTGCGCAACCATGCGGACGCCGGAAACGTCCTGGATATGCTTGATCTTGAGGCCTTGTCGGCCGATGATGGTGCCCATTTGGTTGTGGGAGATGAGAAGCTTGATGGCTATTGTTTTGGGGCTCAGCGTTAGCAAAGGTCCCAGCATAAGAGAGTAGAGAATACGTACGGTGAGTTCCGTTGTTCTGGACGACACCACCCATACCGACGACGGGTGCGCCCTCAAGGAGGGCTCGGGCAACAATGGCGTATGCGCGAGAAATGGCATCGCAGCCGCCGGTGATGGTGAGGACTCGGTCATGGACGCCCTGAACAACCTTGCTGACGCCAGCCTTTACGCCGGTCTCATCACGGAGATCAGCGACGTTCTTGCCGCCCTTTCCAATGATGACACCGGCTTCCTTGGAGGAAACAATGGCGCGCAAGGTCAGCTGAGCCTGGGCATATTCTTCGTCCGTCTTAGGGGCGAGCTCGCCGTCGGGGCCGAGTCGCTCGTCCATCTTCAACTGGTCCATGGAGTCGACGATGTCGCCGCCATTGGGCGAAAGGATATCCTGGGAAGCTGCCATGACTGCTGCGTGGGAGGTAAAGGCGAGGAAGGAACGGAAGAGATGGGTCGGGTGAGGTGGAGGTGTGGTATCAGAGCGTGTTGCCGAGATGAAAAATGTCTGGCAAATGATTCGTCAGTCTACTTTCGATTCAAATCAAGTCCACCTGAGCCTCGATAGAAGCCGCGCATGGAGACGCGCGCAGAGCAGGACCGTCTGTGACGCAACGTGCGTACAGGCCGTTGTTCGTCTGCTGGTGGCAACATGCGGAACTGCTGCGGCGGCAGATGATGCAAATGCAGCCGCGTCCCGTTGCTCAAGACGGAATACAAGAGCGGTAAAAAAGGACTTACCGGATGAACGTCAAGAAGCCGGAAGCTGTGCGAACGTCGGGAAGATGAGAGGGAGCGAGGCTGGCCGTGAGAACTTGGCAAAATGTCAAAGGCGTTGCCAGACTCTTTTTTTTGTGTGGTGCTGGCAGGGATTTGGCGGGGTCAAAGAGGCGAGTGGGTGGAAGCGGGCGATGAGAAACGCGACACGATGCCGGAGGGCAAGGAAGTGCGCAAGAGGAAGATGGGAAGATGGAGGTTGAAGGGGGAAAACCGTAGGTCGGCGAGGGTGCGAGGAAAGGGTCGGGGCGGGAAGAGGTGAGGAGTTGCGAGAGGGAGGAGAGAAGAGTGAGAGGAAGAAAAAGAGACGGACGGGGATTGAGACTGGAGGCAAAGGTGAAGGAGAGAGAGAGCGAGAGCTTCTTGGAGGGGGAGCCGAAGAAGAAAGTCAGGTGGGGAGGCAGAGCGGCAGCGGCAGCGGCAGAGGTCAAGCAGGGCAGCTGCTGCAGCGCTGCAGCAGAACAGCCAGAGCCACCCGCAGCGCCACTAGGGCAGTCCTGCTAGCGAGCCACAGGCGCTGTGCTGGCCGCTGGCGCCGCTGCAGCTGTCACTGCCGTAGCCGCTGGACCGCTGGACAGCCCGGCTTGGACCTGCTCGACCAAAAGCGGACAAGGCAAAAAAGAGCACGAGGCGAGAAGAGCCAGAGCCAGAGCCAGGCGACTCAGTGCGCCAGGAACGGTCATGCATGTCTCTCAAGTGTGGCTTGAGACTGGAAGCAGCCCCTTCCCAGGTGAAGATTCTGCGTCATCAGTACCTGGGAGGTATAGGCATACCCGGATATAGCCGTGAGGGCACCTGCGGGATACTTAGGTAGGTAGCGGCACATCTCTACGCCCATACTTGGAGATACTACATTGCTCCTGAACCTTCAAACCCTCCAGCCTCCTGCTCTGTCTTCAAGTTCAAACTTGTGTCGTTTGTTGCCAGGGGGGCCGCCATCTGTGGCGTACCTGGCAATACCTGGCCTGTATGTCCCTTCAGTTGGTGTTTGCCTTCCTGCGTGTAGCAGTACCTTACGTCAAGGGTCTGTTCCCGGAGAGTACAGGTACCTTATCGTTTGCCACACGAGCTCACTGTGCCAGTCAAATTGTGCGCCTGGTGTGCTTGCCTAAAGCGGCAATGAGGCAGAACGCCCCCCGGATTCCGCACATCTTCACCCTCTACGAATTATAACAAGTGTGCCTGGCAATGCTTTGGAACAGTTCCAGAATGTGATAAGCTCCGATTTTCCGTGAACTCATAACATCTACAGGCTGACAAACGCACTTTTTTATAGGTAGTGGTCAGCCGCGAATTATTCCCCTTTCGATGAAGGCAGTAGTCGTCTCTCTCTCTCAGCACTTTCAGCCTACAAGTATGGCAATGGAATAGCTCTTCGATGCTTTGATAGAGCATCCTCACTTCATTCAATCGGGATAAGCTTGCTGCGTGGTTCAAAGCTTAGACAACTACGTGCGCCCAAGCAAATCCCGATATCCAGACTTATTACCGACCACCTACATGCACGCTGCTGCTTTGGCTTCATGCACTGCAGCTTACTACAACCCAAGGAAACCCTTATTACTGATCTGGCGATGGCGCCCTCATCCCGTCAATCAGCGTCCCAAGCTTGCTGAGCTACTGCCGGCCTATGCGGACCTAGCGGTGACATATGTTGAAGTAGTAACTATTCTCAGCTGCAGAGCTTACACCTGATACACCAATCATCTTGGGGAGACTATTTGCAGTGCCGTGCCGCCAAATCCTCACTGCACACATGCTGCCTACATGTAGGTATACATGCACCTTATGGATTGCCAAACGCGGGGTGATACCGCGCTTTCTCTGCCCAATTCCGAATAGCCACTGCTGTAGTGCCTTGTTCATACATGTGCGTGGTTCCCCCTATCCATTCTCGACCTACCTTACGACGACACCAACCCGTTATAACCCGGGGCTGTCTCGAAACCAATGCTACTGCTGCTTCCACTTCTTCCTCGTATTCGTGGTCAGGTGCACCTCTTGATGGATCAATAGGCAGTCCTTACTAGGTGATCGATCTAAATTTCAGCTCTATATGGCTCTTTCTACAGATAAGAGGAGTAAAAAACTAAACAACTCGACTCGCCCATCAACGCTGACGCAATTTCTGCTCGTGCTGTGTCCAAAAGTTCTTGCAGGCTCTGTGGCCCCAGTGCTCAACCCACCACTCCCCAAAGCTGTCTTCAACGTCGTAATCGACCTTTGGCACCCTCTCTTCCCTCTTCAGCCCGCATATTACGCAGGGCTTGGGCGCCGTCGGCACCATCTTGGCCGTCGTGACCTGCATATTCTCGCTCAGCTCGGGGACTTTGAGGCCCAGCTTGCCCTCGGCGTTGGCAGCCGCAACAGCAGACCGCACGCGTCCAACGTATTCTCGCCATACAGCCACCACGTCTGCTGCCTCTCTGTCTTCCCGGGCCGATTGTGTCTTATCCACGCCCGCGAGCTTCATGCCCTTGCTGCCGGCAGCGGAGATGGACATGCTTTTCGCCAGGATCTTGTCACGATGCCACCTGTGTTTGCGGCCGGCAATCACTCGAGCGGCAGTGGTGGCGAGGAGGATATAGCCCTGGAGAAAGTGAATTGCTTTGGGATTGGACAAAACCTGCTGTTTGATGGAGGCACTATGGCCGGACATTGGCTTGAAGAAGGCATTCGCTGAGCTCAAGAGATCGGGGAAAACAGATAAGATGACGGATGGCGGAGGAACATTGGTCGGAGGAGGGTCGTCATCGTTTTCCTTCATGGCAGTGGATTGACCTTCATCGCCAGCGCCCCAATCCCAACCTTCAGAGTGATCAATGCTGGATCTTGCCTCCTTCTTGTTGGCGAGTGCACTAGGCGTATCGTCCCAAGCGTCCCAATCATCATCGAATGCCTTGGCCCCGGAAGGTGTTGCTCTATGTTTAGTCGTTGGCCATGCCGTAACTGGAGTTGCTGATTTTGGTGCATCACGCGCCTTCGTGGGAGATTTGGCGGATATTACACTCGTCTTGATCCCAAGGTCTGGAAAAGGGTTTCGCTCCTGGAAAGATGGCGACTTTGGCGGGTTCGGCAGTGTTGTCACCGCCGCCCCAAAGCTCAAGGCTCCCAGAGGCTGGGGAGGGCTTTGTCTGTGAGTGACTTGAGTGACTTTTGGGGCTGATGGCTTCTGCGGCGGATTGTCAAGGGAGAGCAGGTCCAGTAATTGAGCAGAATTGTTCGAAGGTGCGGGATTGGCAGTAGAGCTTTGCTTCGATGGCGGAGGTGCCGGTGCCACCGTTTCAAAGTCACCAAACTCATCGTCATCGTCATCAGCATCCGGTCCCTGGAGCTCGAAATCATCGGCATCGAACAGCACATTGGGATCCTTAGGTGCCAAGTTCATGGACAGCCTTGAATTGCCCTGTGCCGAACTCCATGAGAAGCCGGTGCCCTCGGGCTTGGGCTTTGGCTTTGCTTGGATGTCGACCAACGTATTGGTCATGATGTCGAGAGTAGGCGCTCGGAAGGGCCTGTTCACAACATCAGGCTGTTTAACTGGAGAGGCTAAACTGCCAAAAGGGTCGGAAGGTTTGTTGATGGTAGATGCCGCCGGCGTAGGCTCCGCCGTCTCGAAGTCTCCCCAGCCATCGTCATCGGCATCGTTGAATGCCTGCGATGCTGGCGCAGCTTGTGAGACCGCTGTGGACGCAGGCCAGCCAACAGCTGCGGTCGGCTGAGACTGGACGGGGGGCCATTTCTCAATTGGTGACGCTGCTGCTGTTGTGAAATCGTTGAAGCCAAAGCTGAAGGGATCCTTTGCCGCAGGCTTATTCCACGTTTGCTGGCCAGTTGCGGCCGGTGGAATCGGTGACTGGTGTCTTTGCTGCTGCTGCTGCTGCTGCTGCTGCGGAGGTGGCGGGTTGCTGTTGGCAAATTCGGCAAACAGATCAGCCGACATGCTGACGGATATCAAGATGCATACTCCTTCAACTGTGACGGACGAGAAAAAGACGAGCAGCTGCCTCGTGGTCACGCTGCACAGGCGAGACGCGGTTCTATCATATGCGAGCAGTTCAAGTTGTCGTAAGGTTAGGGAGCATCATCGAGGGAGTGTCCTGTACCTTTTTGGGTTAAGCGGAACACGCGATGCTTGGGCTCATGTACTGGGACCTTGGCACGAAGCGTCTAAACCTGCCGGTTCAGAGCCTTGCTGGTGCCTTCTAAGGCGCGGCATCGGGAGGCCGGGACCCGCCCACAGCGATCCGAGGCAGCTGAGCGTGCGTGTACCTGTACCTGTACTGCGTCCGCGCCGGCAAATGCGGGGCGATGGCGATTGACTTCCGCAGCCTCGATTCAACCCAACCTTGACTGTTCTCACCCCCTCTAGAGTGAGGTCGCGACCTGTGTAATATTCAAGAACCGGCCAAATTCGATGCAACTATAGACTCAAAGCAGAGCCGGAAAGGAGTGTGCCCTCTCGATGAGTTTGGCCGCCCAGCCTTGCCCGCCAGGACTATCAGCATGAGGTCGCTCACAGAGACACAGTAAGTTTAGATATCCCACAATTTGAGTCAATGGCCGCCGACTGACTGCTCCTGCAGAGCGAGATGGCAGGCAACACAGGCGCACTGCGCAAGCCTTGATGACTTACGGAATGCCGTCCGCCATAACGGGCCCTCGAGTCCTTGTTTATCGGGCTGCCGCTCCGTCTGCTGGAAGGTGAGTGGGCTTACACGTGCCGTCTTTGTCTGGAGATGGTGGTCTGACGTTGACGCTGATGCCATCATAGGTCTTTCTTTTATCCAAAGACGGTGAAGATACCAGGTCAGGTTGGCCTCAGACTCTCCGCGACAAGAGAGAGCTATACAACGAACGCCGTGACCACTTTCTCAAGTTTATAAACCACCCTGAGGCTCTTACCGAACTCGCCATTGACCCTTTGGCCGATGACCCTAAAGTAAGTGGCTTCCTTCTACTCATTTGGGCTTCATGGATTTTAATCGCTCCAAGTCTCCTTGGAATACTGTTCGCGAAGATGAGGTCATCAGAGCAGAGATCCTGCAAGACGTGCAAAGGCTTCCGGATGAAGCAAACTACCATGAAGACTACATGCAGCGCATGATCCTGGACATCCTTTTTATCTACTGCAAGGTGAATCCCAGCAGGGGAGGCTATCGACAGGGCATGCATGAGGTCCTGGCTCCGATATTACACGTTGTCGAGCAAGATTCCCTAGATCGCACGTCAGTACCCGCCAGCGATGCCGAGGATAGCGTTGACGAGCTGATGCTCGAGGCCATTGACCGGTCATTCATCGAACATGACGCCTTTGTCTTGTTCTCTCAGTTGATGGAGCACGCTCAGTCGTTCTACGAGGTCAAAGATGTGCCAGACCCTAATCCGCCCACTGACGGTTCTTCCCAAGCTCGATTTCCAGAGCAAAGCTCCGCCATTGTCGAGCGAAGCAGATTCATCCATGAAGTCTGCTTACAAAAGGTTGATCCCGAACTCGCCGCGCATCTCACAAGTATAGAGATACTTCCTCAGATCTTCCTAATGTGCGCGACGACCCATTTCCGGACCCTTCATAGACTGATGCTGACCTGATTGATAGCCGCTGGATTCGGCTTTTGTTCAGCCGAGAGTTCCCATTCAACCAGTTTCTTGTGCTTTGGGACACAATTCTGGCCGTTGATCCTTCGTTAGACCTGATAGACCTCATTTGCTGCGCCATGCTACTGCGAATTCGTTGGCAATGTGAGTTTCTTCTTCGGCTCTGGAGATGTTGTCCTGACTAATCTGACCGTCCATATCAGTGCTAGAGTCCGACTATTCTGTCTGTTTGCAACTTCTCCTGAAATATCCACCCCCGGACCAGTTGCATGGGCCTCAGACATTCGTCGACGATGCGCTCTATTTACGTGATCATATGAATGCAGCCGGGGGTGCCGCCTTGATCAAGAAATACTCAGGAAAGGTGCCCAAAACGCCAAAAAGCCCCGAGCTTGCTGAACGCATCGGCTCGCCCTCTTCCGGATTGGAGTCTCTTCGCAGAAAGGGCTTTGGCTTGAGATCACCAATTCGTTCGCCATCCAAATTTCTTCAGCAACAGGGTGGAGTGGAAAACATGATCCAAGGCGTGCTAGAGAGAGGTGAAAAGCTGGGTATTAACCAAGCATTGCGAGATGCTGTGGGAGAGATCAAGAGGAACATGCAGGGTCTAAACGAAGGTCTCTCTACGCCCCCTTCGAGAGCCGCCATGGCCGATGATGGCGCAGCCAAGGCGCTGGCTGTTATGCAGAGGCGGAACGAGCAACTGGCAAGCCTCCTCGAAGAGACTGTCCTCAGCCTCAGGGCGCTGTCTCTGTCAAATCTCGAGGACAAAGCTAGGAGTCTTGACGTGATTGAGGTGGCAGCAGCCAAGGTCCAGTTTGTGCAGATCTATCTTCAAGATTCCACCATGGACATTCCGACGATAAACTCCCCCACGGCTGAAGAGACGCCAGCTGCGGCTGCGAAAAGAGAAGGAAAAGAGGTCAAGGGGGCCCCGGCAGCTGGAAAGGAGAATCAGCCTCTGTCACCTGTCTCTTTCAGCACAAATCCGTCCGCCCCAGGTCCAGGTACAACGAGCCCAGCTCAGTTGAAGAAGCCCGCGGAAATCAAAGACCCGCTGTCCGACTCAGTAGAAGTCACAAGCAAGGATCTGAAGCAAGAGGGCGTGTTGAGTGAGGTCAGCCTCAATGCTCGACCGGCCGCCCCCATACCTGCCAGATCGACTATAGCACAGTCTTCATTTTCCTGGATGCTGGAACCTGATGAATCGGGCCCCCCACAGACGCCTCCGGCAGGCAAATCACCTGCCTCTCAACAGAAGAGGCGTGGGAACAATGCGAGCCGTGAGAAGAACGCGTTCCTGTTCGGAGAGGTGCCGGCAGAGGTGGGCGAGAGAGATCCTCTTGGATCTGGCGATATCTTTGGGTTGGAGCCTATTGAGAGCACACAGCGATCGAAGGAGTAACGATGGAATGGTAACTATACATTTTGCGAATTATCCATGTTTTAATATACGAAATGACACACAAAAGAACTACCAGACCTGTCGATATTCACGATAAGTCCCATTTCCGTTGCTTCCGCCACAGTGAGGCTCGGAATCCTGCGGTTGCCTTTCCATTCAATGGCGCTGCTTATTGTTGGGCACAGTATACCATTTTCCAAAGAAACTAGCACACTACGGTTTATCGAAGGCTTCAGTGAGGTAACTTGGTTTTCTTTTCTTTGATTTAGTCCTAGATACCTGAACTAATAAGGTCAAGTTCATGTGCAGCGAAGCCCGATTTTGCCCACAGCCTCAGCTACATAACCAATCAACAAAAGAGCCAACAGGACCCTGCCACTTAGAAGATGCTTTCTTTTCCATTTTTTTTTTACTGCTTTGGTTGCCAACACAGGGAATCGCTTATGCGAGGTTCTGGTTGATGTAGTTGACAAAGTTGCCGATTCTGGTGTAGACACCAGGGAAACCGGCCTCAGCACAGCCGATACCCCAAGAAACGACACCCTGGAGGACACCGTTGGCGTCAACGATGGGGCCGCCAGAGTCGCCAGAGCAAGAGTCCTTGCCGCCCTGGGTGAGGCCGGCGCAGAACATGTTGTTGGTGACACTGAGCCCCTGGCTGCGGTAGTCGGCCTGGCAGGTGGAGCGGGCGACGACGGGGACGGAGACCTTGTTCAGGCGGGAGGGGATGGAGTTGGAGTTCTCGCTGGTGGTGCCCCTGTTTTTTTGGAAGAATGGTTAGCAAACTCGGATTTGACGCCAGCATGTCCCGGCTATCAATGATGATGATGCTTACCAGCCAGCGGTGGTGACGGTCGAGCCGGCCACGGGGTCGGAGCCCTGGGCGGGAAGAGTGGCGTAGCCAATGGTGGAGCTCTCGCGGATAGGGCTGGACAGGTGCCAGACGGCAACGTCAAAGTCGGTGGTGCGGTCGTTGTAGGACGGGTTCACGATGATCTGGGAGACGCCGACCAGGGTACCGCCAGAGTTCCAGGTCTATCAGAGAGGAGGTGCTTTGGTTAGCCATCGCAGGTTCATGTCTTTTCGAGGACTCGAAACAAGCAAACTTACAAGAGTACCGGCGCGGACGCGGATCTGCGAGGCAGGGTAGACAACGGAGCAGTGAGCGGCGGTAACGACGGTGTTGGCGTTGACCAAGACACCACCGCAGAAGTGGCCGCCCTGGTTGGGGTTCTGCAGACTGACAATGTAGGGGAACTCGCCGAGCGAGGCGGCGGTTCCTCCCACGATGTCAGCGCCACGGGGCTGGATGGCGGCTCCCAAGGCGAGAGCGGGCAGCATGAGAGCTGAGACGACTTGGGAAGCGGGAGCCATTGCGATGGAGGAAAAGCTGCGAGGGATGATTCTTCTAAGTGGCAGAGAAGAGTTGACTGGTGAGCTGTGGTGAGATCTCCAGACGAGTTGAAGACGGGGGATCACATCCCATATTTATATACAGACTCCAACACGTCGATCCCCTCCCAAGGCAGAAAACGTCGTATAATAGACAATGACACCACAACAAGGCAACAATCGATCTGCGAGTTCAACCGTTGTCGTATCTAGTCCGCCCACAGCCCCGATGCTACGACACCATAAAACGGGATCTCCCCGAATTCGCAGACCGAGGCTCACAGAGTGACAACACCCCCATGCCGCATGAACACAAACAAAGAAGCCCGATCGAATCTCCTTCCTAAAGGATAGCCTGCAGCAACGCTCACACAAAGTTCCCCGGGGGAAAACTTGCTAGGGCATCTTGCAAAAGATCCAAGCTGAGAGAGTGTGTGTGGGATTGAACTCGAAAGAAAGGTCAATGCCAGAAAGAGAAGGCGAGAACCTTGACGGTGCAAATCACACGACCCAAATCCATCTGCTATCTCTGAGTGGCTGGGACAAGAGAGAGAGAGACGCGGGCACGTTAATTTTGAGGACCAGGGGGGGATGGATGGATGGATGGATGGATGGATGGATGCGCATGCAATGCAGCCAGATAACCGGATCGACAAGCAAGTTGCAGGGGAAGACGGGATAAACATAAAAGAGTAGTAATAATGAATAAGTGGAAATGATAATGATAATAAAAGTCAAGTAAGGTAGGCAGGCATGTTACTCCGTAGCAGTAGCAGTGTATGTAGTGAAACGAAGCATTCGGTGATAAGCAACGAAAGGAGAAAAAAAAGAGAGGGAAGCACGGGGGATTGAATGGAAGGGCCTCGAGCAGGACGAGGCTAGAGGAGGCCTGAGCAACCGGTGGCGATGCAACACGACGCCAGCATCATCGAGCCATCATCATCATCATCGAATCTCTTTCACGTTCTTCTTCTTCTTCATCAACAAACAGCAACAGCAAAGAGAAAGAAAAAAGACCAGCCCCCCCCCCCCCCCCCCCCCAATCTGGAACCTATCACGAACCGTTGCAGCGCCAAGAAGCAGGCCAGGGACGATCGGCCGGCTCCGGCAGTTTCGAGGGCCAAACAGCCTGCCGTATCCGTCAATTACTTCCGATCTCTTTTGTCTGGATCGTCAAGGGGGAGGGGAGGAGAGATGGATGGAAGAGATTGATTGATGGATGGCGTTTATCGCAGGCTTGAGCGGGTTTGGTGCGACCTTCTGGATTGAGGCGCCAAGGCCCGGTCTGCCGGTCTAAGCTTGATAAAAAGCATCAAAGAAGCAAATCAGGTTGCCTGGGGAAGAGAGAGAGAGAGAGAGAGTCATTGGGCAGGGGCATGAAGAGGTAAGGTATGGTATGGTAAGGTAGTACAGGGGCCTTTTTTTTTTCCTAGGTATGTATGGGGTACTTTTGTTCTCTTTGATGCAGGTTCGGGAGCGATAACGACAAGATACAGGAAAGCATGGGGGTTGGTTATTGTGTGTGTTTTGGGTACATGGACGGGCATGGAGAAGAAGGCGAAGTTGAGCATGGAAGGGCGCCGGCATGATTCACTCACGGCGGGCGCGGGGTAAATGTGCCCGATCGATTTGCGTGAGGGGACGCGTATCGACAGCAAGGACATGGTCATGGTCATGGTCATGGTTGAGGTCATGGTTGAAGACGCGAGGACAAGGTTGAGGTGAGATCTGACTGTTTGTTTGTACAGGCTTCCTGTGTCAAAGGGCCGGGCTGTTGTGCGACGAGACACAAGCCGTTATGGAGTTGGAGCCTTATCTGATCATGAATACGAACATTGAAGAGAACTGAATAGATTGATGAATCCCACCTCGTCCTCTCTGTCATACCTACATACCTTTTCAACTACTACCTACATCCAGAACTAAATACCACACCTTGGCAGATCCAAGGCAGTTCGACAAAGTACCGAGCAGCTTGCATCTCAACTAGCAAGGGCAATGCTCCGGTAGTGGGCACCTAAATAGGCAACTAGCAATTGAAGCCTCCTCGGCGGCAGACTGGCCTGTAGTAACACGAGTTATAGTAGTACTAGTAGTTATATATCGACGGGCAACGAAAATAGCCTCATGCGGAGAAAGTAAACAAAAGAAAAAAACCATGATGAGAGCATAAACTGGGGAACATGAAACTAGGTAACTATTGGGCGGCGTCAATTTCAGAAGTTCCCTTTTGCCGCTCATGCCTACAAATTAAACTACCTGGCCTACCTAGTATACCTTGCTCAACCAAGGACCCTTTGTGATAGCATTGAACGAACCCTCGGACTATGACTGGTACAAGCAGCAGCACTTTGAGGAGGAGTGGCTGGCTGGCATCTCGCTAAGGCATGGATGGGCGGCGATTAGGTCGTCGGCTAGCGAGATGTTGCCATTGAAGCATAATATTAAGATTACGCACTTTGTTTTGTGGCCTTGATAAGTGAGGCTAGTAGTAATAAAGAGAGGGCTCCATTACAATGCGAAGCAGATGTACTCTTGATGTTTAGAACAACAGAGAGAAGAGGGACTGTAGAAAGTAAAGGTCCTCTAGCAATTGGGCTCACATGCAAGTTTTGCATCTCGCAACTCTCTTTTAGCAGCCGAGTTCGGCGCAGGGAGTAATAATAGTCGTAAACAAACATCGATTGCGCAATCGTGCAGCGGCCAGAGGGAAAACCGAGAGAATGGCCTGAGAGCCAATCCCACGCCAGCGTTGCATCCGAGGCACTGCTGCTGCTGCTGCTTCTGCTGAACGGCGGGCGTTTTTATCAGAGATTGTCGGGGTTATACCAAGAAGAGAGAAGAAGGTATGTATTATTACGAGTCGCGTAAGTATGCCTTGACGGTATACCGGGGACAGGGGGGGTTAACAAAGCATAAGACGCAATTGCTTGGCGATGACCCGTGCCGAGGATCGAGTTGCTGCCTGGGCGTTGACTGCGTATCATTAGTAGTAGTAGGACTGAACTGAGTGAGAAATAGAAGAAGAAGGATTGATCATCGGAGGATTCATGCGTGAGTTGGCTGGATAGGAGGGGAACCAAGTGGCAGTGCAAGCAATTGGGTGGGTTTTGGATTGCTTGTGATCAACGGCTCATACGAAATGCTGCTTTGCACGTCTGCACTGACATTCTAGCTGTCATTGTTATGTTGTTGTCAGAACGAGGTTGCATCGACTATGTGCAAATGCCGCGGAAGTCAGTGACTCTCGCTGTTACATGTAGTATCTCCCGGATCTCCATCATCCTCTTGGCTGCCAAGGGCTTGGCTAAGCAGATATCCATGGCTACGTGTACGAATCTCCCATCAAACGGACAACCCCATAGGCAATCATGTCTACCTCCTGTTCAAAGACTTCTCCTTGACCCAAAACGTAGCAAGAAAGCACACGAGCCCAAAGCAAAGCGACGGCGCAAGGGACGCCATGATGGCAACCCGGTAGCTCGAGCGCACCTGTTCCGCCACCAGCGGCGGCAGCTCCTTGATCGCGTCCAGGCTCTGCCGCACTTTCTCCTCAATCTGCCCGGCGTCGTCGTCGTTGCCGATGCGCGAAGCCAGCTGCCCCCGGAGGACCTGCTGGAGCACCGCTGAGCTGATGCCGACGCCGACGCTGGAGCCGAGGGAGCGGAAGAGATACGAGCAGGCAATGGCGACGGCCGAGTCCTCGGTGGCTGCGTTGGCGAGGAGGGCGATGAGGATGGTGGTGATGCCTGGAACACGTAGACGAGGTCCATGTTAGTATAATATACGGAGTAGTATCACAACGCCAGACCTAGATGACATTCCGTCTGATGCAGGTAACAAGGCGTGGGAGCACGAGAGCACAAGAGACGAGAACGGATCAAAAAGGAAGACATGGACATACCACCGCCGTTGCCAGCGGCCGACACGACAAACGCAGCATTCACCCCAAAGAGCGAGCGGCGCCAGACCGAAACGACCAGGGGCATCATGGACAAGAACAGCACGCCGAAGCTGGCGACCGTCGGCCAGTAGAACTTGCCCGTCCGCTTGATGACCCAGCCGCCCGCGAGCGACCCCGACATGCCGGCAATGGTCGAGGGCACGAGCATGGAGCCGGTGGCCGTGGCGCTGAGGCCCTCGACGGCCTGAAAGTACAGCGGCACGAAGAACATGACGGCCATCTCGCCGGCCATGCCGCACATGTTGGCGATGTAGCAGGGCAGCAGGTCGCGGCTGAGGATGACGTGCCCCGGGGCAAAGGGGTGCTTGGCGATGCGCATTTCCACGAGCAGGAAGAGGGCGAAGAGGACGGGCGTGAGGCTGAGGGAGACGATGGTGATGCGGTTGGACCAGCCGAGGTTGGGGCCGGAGTCGAGGCCCATCAGGAGGCAGATGACGGCGAGGATAAGGGTCAGGGCGCCGAGGAAGTCGATCTGGCGGACCTTGGCCACCCAGTGGTCTTTGGAAGGGGTCTCGAGGTCGAGGATGAAGTATACCGAGACCCAGGCGATCAGGCACAAGGGGGCTTGGATCATGAATGACCTGTTGATCGCAAGCGCAACACGTTAGCCAACAAGGTTCGACTGTCTTCGGATACTCTTTGTCAAGAGAGGCTTCACTCTCACCATCGCCATCCAAGAGAATCAGCAAAAAGACCTCCCAGGGGCCCTCCCGTCGACGTCCCAGCAGCATACACCACGTTGATGTAGCCCTGCCAGACACCGCGCTCCTGCAGCGGCACAATATCAGAAAAGAGAATCGACACGACGGAGCTCATGCCTCCGCCACCGATTCCGGCGACCGCTCGGGCGAGGCAGAGCTGCGTCATGCTCTGAGCGAGGCCGCATCCCAGACAGCCGATGCCGAAGACGGCGTATGCAAACAGGAGGCATGCCTTGCGGCCAAAGATGTCGCTGAGCTTGCCGTAGAGAGGCTGGAAGCTTGTCAGGGTGAGGAAGTACCTGCAGTCTTTGTGTGTTAGAGGGTCCTTTGATGGTTCCTCCTGATGAGATGTTGATGAGAGTGAAGATGTGCTGCCTACGCTGTGGCGATCCAGCTCGTGTTGTTCAAGGCATTGAGCTCACTGCCAATCTTGGCATATGTTGCAACGGCCAGAAGCTGGTCGACGGCTACAAGATAGACCTAGATGATGGCGGTTAACGCATCTCCCCCTGCTAGAACAGGATATGCAGGTAGAAATTGACTGACGCCGACTCCAATAGCGGGAAATAAAATGTGCATCTTGTCAGCCATGGGATGCTTCTTCTTGGCAGTGTCCACGCTGCCATTCTCGGAATTGCCTTCATCTCCCAGGATGCCATTCTGTGTACGAAGCTCAGAGAGAAGAGGGGATGTCTCTGTTGGAGGAGCAGATGCTTCTGCGTTGGGGCTGGAGCTCGGCGACATGATGAAGCTGAGCCCAATTTTTGAGAGATTGCACCGATACTTGGAAAGCCCGTAGCTTCACTCCAGAAGAAGAGCAGAAATTATGATCTGGGCGAAGAATTTGAGACACGCTGCGATGGCGCAACTGTTGATTTGGAAAGGTGTTGTGCCTGGAGGAGCGACCCCTCGCTAGAAGAAGCGTATCAAAGCGTATCACAATCTAGTAGGCACCTAAGGATACAAGGACAGACGGTGACATTCGTTGGTAATCCGTGAGGATCCTTCCCGCCCGCATCTCGGGGTTTAGGCAGAAGTATATTCGACGGATTTAACAGACCATCGCCCTGTCAACACAAGGGCGTTGCCTTAGGGGAGAAAGAGAACAAGAATGCCAGCTTGGGTGAGAATGAGGAATCGAACCACGACGCCTGTTGTTAATAGCTATCCTATCTACATGTACCTACTGTTGATGGACCAACTGGCTCAAGAGCCTCTGTTTTCTTCTGGGTATTACGCGAGTGACATCCAAGGCGTTCAATGCAATTAGTAATGTCAGTTGCAGGCCTCATTGCATCCAAGTCAGGGTTAGAGACTGTCGTGATTTCCCGTAGCGCTCTACGAATATCAGGTGTCTTATCGGAGCTTAACCTGGAGAGAGAAAGATTGACAACGATTGATTGATTGTCTGCTATAATCCAGGTTGATGCACCCTTGTGAACTGCCTTACGGTATCTTATAAGTTCAAAAATTTCCTTGGGTTAATACTTCAAACAAATGCTCGTCCCAACCGCATGTAATGATCTTCGTGGTGCAGTGTACATACACATCCCGTTTGGGTCTCCAAGTCTGATCAAAATCCGGGGGTGGCTGAAGCTCAATTCCCAAGCGAGCAGATTACACGTGCTCTTACTGCAGAGAATGCCGAGGCCATGTGTGTCACTGAGGAAAGAAATGAGTTTCTCGCTTACTATGAGGCATGAAGTGCGTTAGAATCATCGTCTCATCTAGACTCCCGCCGGTACGGTGCTTCAGGCCACCACCAGGACATCCTCCATGTTGGAAGCCTTTCTTTTCCTCTTCTTCCCTCTCACTTCAATTTGTCAAACAACAAGTCCATCTTTACGACAAAGGCCATATTGTCCCATTAACGTATCATAATTGCAGCGTTACAAACTGTTGGTGCGTGGTGTTTCAGATGCGGCATGCTTGAATCTGCAATCTCCCGGGGCGTTGAGGCTGGTTACAGATTAACTTTACAGGGTATCGCGAAACAGACAGAGACGCAACAGTTGCCATTCGACGTGTGTCAGTCGACATTGGTGCAGAGCTCTGCCGTCCAGTCTTTAACGGATCTACTACCTAGTAATAGTATAACATGCATCTGCACCACCTCCCAATTGTCAAATCGAACCATTATCAACTTTGAAGCGGTAGGATGGTTCTTGTGGGAAGTCGGAGCTGTACTCCATTGCTTGTGGAGAGTGTTTCTGCGGGTAAGACGTTTTAGCATCAGTTGCGCCCAGCCATGTGTCGGACATTTGCCCGTGCGCACATGCAGTCTTTTTTCTTCATCAGGGCTGTTTTGCTCTTTTTTTCTGGGCTCCATGCGGGGGAGCCTGAAAATGTTTGACTTGTTCGGCTGTCGATCATTTGGCGTGTCACTGTATGAAGGTATCACAGACTTTAGTACCTATGCAGTACGGATACCAGTATATACTAAGGGAACAGGTCTCCATTCTACGTACCTAGGTACCTATGTCAAGGTGCAACATGATATCAATGGCCTTGGAAAGCAGCTCCCACATGTGACGACTGTTCAAATAACTTCATCATGTCAGTTGAGTCGCATCCAGAGCGTTTGAGTTGGATTCGGGCATCCAACAGGTACAACTGCCTGAAGGATCTTCAACCCAGCCATCGTGCGGTTGGTGGCGCAAGTTGGCGAGTGGCTAAGGAGAGACAGTCGTCTCACATTCTCAGCCACTGCCCCAAATGGACAGATGCTTGTTATTAAACTTGTCCAGCTATGTACTTGTAGAGGAGCGTCATTGAGCAGACACGAGAACAAGTTTGGCGTGTCGATCGTTTCTCCCATCATCATCTCTTTGCACGAGTCCCAAGAGTCTACTCCGGATTCTGTTAGTGCTCCCTTTATGTTTCTCTCGAATCAAACGTCGACGTTCTGCCCTCCCCTTGGCCGGCTACACGACGCTGTGATACTCGATAGACGTCAATACTCTGTGCCACTGCCTGTAATACCTATTATCTATTGTTCCAGCTCTAGAAGATCGCAGCCTCAATCCTTGTCCAACCTGCGACGACATCCAACCGCATTCATTCCAACCGCAGCCTTGGCCATTGACCGAGCAAGACAACTCGCCCATCAAGCAAAGGATACCTCCTCCCATGAGGCGAACACACCACCCATGCTCCGGTTCTAGAGAGAAGCCCCGTTTCATCGCCTCTCCCGCAGCTTAGCAGCAAGCCACAGTCGTATTAGCCAGGGACTCCCTCGGAATCCAAAACAACTAGGACGGCCTCCTACGTCTCAGCATCTCTGCCCTCTGCCCATGAATTGCCAAATTCCTGCCTTTCCACCCAATGCGCAATCCGCCAGACGCTGCGCATCGCCGCTACTCTCGGTTGAATTCTTTTCGATCCCTAGCTCCTTTGTCAGTGCGCTGATGCCGAGCCACGATGTTGCGTCCTTCCGATCGAGCAGCCTCTAAAAGCGGCACGTCTCGCTATTCCAAGGCGCTGCCTGGGGTTCCTGGGAGCGATGGTTACGACGACGACGACGACGCCGACGACATCAGCGACAAGAAGAGCGCCGACAGAATATCCGGGAGCAAAAGCAGCGATCCCGCGCACAGCCGAACCAACAGCGCATTCAGTCTTCCGGCGCGAACCTCGTCGCTCGCATCGCCGCCGCCGCCGCCGAAAGACCTTCCTCTCCCTCCGCTACCGACCAAGTTGCAGCTGAATCTCGGCGACAACGATTACAGCAAGTCGAATAAGAGCACAAATTCCAATCATAGTTCAATTGCAGTCGCCGCGCCCTCGTCCGTGTCCAGCACCACGGCCTCGGTGCCGAGTCTGCAGTCGCCGCCCTTGAGTGCTCGCTCTAACATGATGGCGATCCCACGGAAACCAATCGCAAACCTGCAGCCGCCGTCGGCGCAGTTCCTGGGCCAGCCGTCGCCCACGTTCTCCCTGTCGAGCATCCTGATGGCGTACATGGACGACGGCGACGACGAATCGCAGGCCGAGTCGCAGGGCATGGCGCAGTACGGCGAGAGGCGTCAGGAAGCCGCGACAGAATCAAATCCATATTACGGGACAAACAGCAGCAGTAATAACTCGAACTTGCCAATATCGAAAGGAGCAACGAATACAGGCACAGGCACAGGCACAGGCCCCGGAAGCGAGAGGCCAGCTGCTGCGCCTGCCAGCGCGCCATCCGTCGCCAGTGGCAGAGGCAGCAGTGGCTCACTGCCTGCTCGCCCCAACGCCGGCAAAGACCGCAACACGCGCCCAGCTGATGGCAACCTGAACACGGCTCCTCCGCCACCGCTCAAGGACCGCACGCCTCTGCAGAAAACACCCGCTGCCACTCCTACTGTTGTCACTCCCATCACCTCCTCCTCCGCACAGCCGCTGCAGCCGTCCGCCGACGCGTCTGACCTGGCCTCTCCGTCGTCGCCCCGGCCCGCGATCTGGAAGCGCCGTCCACATATGACCCAGGGCAGCAGGGAGGTTTCCGGTCTGAGGCTCGACTCCAGCCACGGATCAACCGCGGACACGCAGCCCCCTTCGAATGCATCCGTTTCGAGAGCAGCGCCAGAGCCAGAGCCAGAGCCAGTGCCAGAGCCAGAGCCAGGTCAGGTAGCAGATTCAGTACGAGAGCCAGTTCCAGAAGCAGCACCAGAGCCAACGCGAGAGGCAGCACGGGAGCCGGAGCCAGCTGCGGCAGAGACGGCATCGGAAACGGTGTCGACTGACAAAGCCGCGGCCCAGCGAGCGCCCCCGTTTGCCGGCGGCTTGCCTGGCCGAAACATTCGCCCTTCGCTGCGGCTCAAGGACCGGCCCGTCGTTGCCGCAGAAGAAGCCATGGGGGGCGAAACTTCCAAGATGAAGCAGATCAAGGACAAGCTGGCACCGCAGCGGTCCGACTCGCTGCTGTCCAATACCGCCGGAGCCAAGACTGGGCTGTCGACAGCTCCCGCCGCCAAGAGGCCGCCGACCCCAGAGTATCAGAAGGAGGAGGTCAAGGAGCCGGCTGTCGAGCCCTTTGTCTCTCCCGTGTCTCCAGCCTCGTCTCCCGAGGCGCCACGGGGCGCTTCTCCCGACTTTTCAAAGGGACTCCCGCCTAAGCCTTCCAACGGCGGCCAGCCGGTCACACTGCCCAGCGGGCCGAGACCCATAGCACGGAAAGCTCTGCCTTCGCAACCCAGTCAAGACCTCACAGCTGCCAAGAATGCATTCCGCCAGCAGCCGAATGCGAACAGTGTCGGTGCGTCGAGCAGCCAAGCATCTGCAGTCTCGGTACCACCAAAGGGCGATGCGGTTCCTGCAGCAGCATCTGCAGCACCACCTGCAGCACCTACAGTACCTGCAGCAGCAGCCCCTGCGCCGGTGGCACCCCCCAAAGATGCTGCATCTATCCGTTTGGTCCCTGCCAAAGACTCACCCGCGGTGCAGGCACAGCCTGCCAAAGAACGCGCAGATGCTCCTCAGACGGTGAAGCCTCAGCGAAGCATGCCTCAGTCGACGTCTGAAGCTCGGATGCCGCAGTCGGACGCACAAGGGTCTGCCTACCGGGGCCGCGATGGTACGGTGTACGCCGAAATGAAGACGGGCGGTGAGCCAAACCCCAAGGCCACGTATTTTCCCAAACAATCAGTTCCAGGCTTGATGAAAGACGGCGTCGCCAAGGCGAGACCGCTGAGCGATGCGCATTTCAACTGCTTCCAGAAACACAGGTCCATGGCTCGCCGCAGCAACAGAATCTGTCCACTTACGTGCCAGACTTGCGACAGGGCTGACCTCGAAGATCGCTGGGTGTGTGCCTTTTGCCATTTACGGATTTGCGATGCCTGCCGTCGCAGGCTGGACAGTTATCAACGAGATCTCCGCCGATTTGTCGATGCGTTGGCCGCGTCTGGCACTCTAGCTGGCCCATCTTCCTCTCGCCCTGGTACCTCCTTGGGGATGTAGGCGACGCTCTGATGCCTCACGTCTACTTAACTAAACTTCTCTGGCACATACTTTGACGATACCCCTTTTCCGCCCATTGGGCGAATTTCTCTTTCCTGACCTCTTCTCTAATATGTTGATCACCCTACAGGATGCAATGTCTGCCAGGGCGTCCGGAGCGACAAATGTCATCAGCGTTTTCTTTTACCCCCTATTCTATTGCGGCCTTGTATCAAAGCTACCCGTGGACGAGGGACTCCTGCCAGCCCCCGTTTTTCCTTTTCGATAACATTGTGCGACTCAGTTCTCAGGCAAGACTTGGAGACGAAGAGTATCTCTCACATGTAATAGTATTAACGAGAGGGTTGATTGGTTCGGTTGATTGGATCAGTCACTCGTTGGTTCAGAGGGAACGGCAAAAAATTTTCAATTGGCTTCTCAGGGAAATTCTTCTTGCCGAACCGCGCGTTCTGCGCAGGCTCTGGATTCATGTATGAGGGTTATGCTTGGTTTTCTTTCTTTTGGGGAGAGAGTGGTTCCAAATAGACTTACCTGGCCTGTCTTAGCGATTGGGGTAGTAATAATAATACAGGATGACATGATAGCGCTCATTGAACATGTGTCATATTATCATGTGCTCGGAGTTGGTGATGTTGTAGCCAGAAGTCAACGTTATGGACGACTTAACTGAGGTCTTAGGTACAGAAGTGAATTCGATATCAAGGTAAGGTATGGGATCGATGGGAGGCGAGTTAGCGCGGAGGTGGGAGTGCCACCAGCCACACTAACAAGCACCAGCCTGGCCCAAAACGGCGTAGCCAGGAACGGCAGTTGGGCTCAAGCTCTTCTTTTTCTGTCCCTGACATCACCGCCAGATAGGGCACTAACAGGGGGAATGTCACTGGCCTAAGCTACCCAAGCTGGTTGGGTAGCTCTCCGTCTTTCACTTGTTGTCTTGACTTGCCCATCTTCACCAACTACTGACAAGTCCTCTCCAGTAACGCGGCATCGGCCCAATGTCGTCGTCAATCCCTCGGTCGCGCTCAATGCGCTCGGCAACGGGCATCCCCTCGATCCCGACCCGGACATCCAGCTCGCGAGATCCCTCAGTGCCCCGATCATCCTCGCCAACCCGGCTGCCCAGCCTCAAGCACAGTAGCCGAGCCGCCTCGACTCCTTCTAGCTCCAGCAGCTCGGTGACGAGCCTCAAGAATACCACTGGCACTGGGAGCACTAGCAACAGCAACGGCAACAGCACCAGGGCTCCACCCCCTACCGGAGGCCCCATGCCGGGACGCCTGGCGAGGGCCATGACGCTGGCGACGACGAAGGAGGTGACTGCGAGGAAAGAAAAGTCAGCAATGACCAGCAAGTACCCGCCGTCGACGACGGTGACGCGGCCGTCGATCCAGACGAGGGGCCGCTCTGCGAGCATATCCATGGAGGGCAAGCCCAAGGAGCTGGAGCGAAGGTCAACGGGGCTCACGTACACGAGAGGTTCAAGCACAAATCTCGCTGGACCGACAGCGGTGGTGAAACCTGCTTCGTCGACTTCGAGGTCGAGGGACCCCATTCGGCGACCCGCGACGCCCACGGCTCAGCCAGGCATACCGACAACGACTCGCCGAGCAGTTACACCGACTGCCCTGCCTCGATCGAATACCTTTGCGGGTCCCGTTACTCCTCCGTCGACCAAAGAAAACACGCCCCCTTCAGCCCGAATAAGGTCTCCTTCGGCAGGGCCCTCCATCAGGCTGTCTCGCGCTGCCACGTTCGCCTTCTCCGGCCGGTCGAGAAACACGACTCGGTCTGTCACCCCGACCACCAATCTGTCTACGAATTCAGCCGCCAGCAGCCGAGCTGTCACTCCGACTGGGCTGCCAAAGCTACTGGATCGCCGAGCTCCCTCTTCCGAGAAGATGGCTTCTCGAAAGCCGTCTGCTGAGAAGGTGACGGTTCGCAAGCCTTCTACTGAAAAGGTAACGAGCAGCCGTAAGCCGTCACTGGCCACCCTTAGTAGGGTCGTGTCCAGGCTATCCAAGCCTTCCTCTGCCGGTACGCTACTGTCGTCGGACCAGGCGGCGCAACTCAAGCGACCCTCGAACTCTTCGCTTCAGCGGCCCAACTCGCCGGGCAAAACCCTCTCTGCCAAGCCCTCTTCGTCACATCTGACGCCTAACTCGCCCTCTAAGCTGCCAGCCAATATTGCTGCGTCGGCCGAAGTCAGCAAGCTTCAAGCAGAGCTTCTGCAGCTGTACTTGCTACATCAGGAGGCTCCGATTGTGGACGCCGAATGGCGCGCGAGTGCAAAAGAGAAACTTGGCAACCGGTTTGACAGATTGAGTGAGGAGAGTAGGGAGGTTGCTGAGCTAGAGAGTGCAGGCCTGGAGAAGCGGAACGTGCTTGCGCTGCGAAGATGGGGCAGTGGCGGCAGATTGGACGAGAAAATCCAGTCTCTCGAGTCCATCATCACGAACGTGTGGTCGCTGAGCGACCCGGGCGGCCGATATGCCCGCGTGATACAGCATTTTGAGATGTGGATTGATGGAGTGAGCGAGATGGAAGATGCCAGAAGCAAGGGTGCCGTTCTCGTCCAGGGGGACAACAGCCTGTTCATTGAGGATTTGGACGCCCAGTGGAAGGAAGAGCGCGAGGACCTCATCCGTCTTCTCGAGGAGTGGAAGCTGCAGCTCGGCGAAATAGATGATATGAGCCGGGACGAGTACTTTACCGAGCCGCCGGACGAGGACGAGAAGTCGAGCCTGGAGAAGATGCTGGATGGGTCGCGCGCGCTAATTGACGACATGCTCGCCGAGCTGAGGATCATGGAAGTGATTGAGCACGAGGCGCTTGTGAGGGAGGACGACTGGATTGAGAAGATGAATGCAAGTGACGACGATATCCGATTGTCGCGGGTGGGAGGTGCTTGGAATGAGATGTAGCGGGTGTGTGTGAGCTGTTTGAAAAAGGGGGGCGGGTGAACTTTTCCTTCGTCACTTTCTCTCTCTCTTTCTGTTTGCCTGATTTAGCCTGGTGTTGTGTTATTTCTGTTCATGGCATTCTTCGAATTTAACGATGTAATGATTGCGGCTATGGGAATACAAGCATATATGCGTCATCAGGACTGGACAACAAGAACCCGGCATCGTCATTCTCGGCATTTGCATCAGGGGCGTCACCATCTTTCTTTTAAACCAGCGTCATGTTGGGATCTCCTGCAACATTAGCATAGTCATGAGCAACCCAAGTCAATTGTTCGTTGGTTGATTCGCTATGTGTACAATGGGGGAGCAAAAGTCGATCGAATTCTTTTCCAGTGAAAGCTTCACATAATCTAAGTAACAATAAAAGAAGAAAAAGAACAATAGCGGAAAAAGAGAAGATAAGAAGAAAGGGAGACTCGGACTCCTCGGAGCCGGATCATGGGATATGGTAAAGGCGAAACAAACATGGAAGATGAAGGATATCATAAACTCCCCCGGGCGGGACGAGCTCCAACAGAGTCGTCGAATGCGGGAGTTGTCTTCCTATTCCTTGCGAATGCAAAGGGCGGGCCGGCGAAGAACCACCAGCGCATCCAGATGCTGCTTGCCCAATCCTGTCAACCCACGGAACTGAGCCATCTCGTTTAACCTGCTGTGGTGATGCATCATCGAATTTCGTATCCATCTTCCTCCATTTCCGCCCCTCGCGCCCCGAAATAGACACCATCTGCCGTCCACCAGATTTGCTTTTTACAAGTATGCCCTCCGAGGGAAAGCAACGCCCTCAACGGCCGCCTCGTCGACGAACCAGCTGCACCGGTCTCCCGCGGCCTCGTTGACAAGAGAGCAGGGCAGCCCCTCGCCGGCGTCAAAGATGCGCTTCATGATGTCGCGCTTGCCGGAGCCGGTGGCGACGAAGGCGACGCGGACGGCGTGGGTGACGACGGGCAGCGTCAGGGTGATGCGCTTGGGGGGCGGCTTGGGCGAGTCCTCAATGGGGGCGACCCAGGCGTCGGCCTCGCGCAGCAGCTCGTGGCCGGGGAAGAGCGAGCACGTGTGTCCGTCGGGTCCGCAGCCGAGCAGCAGCAGGTCGAAGATGGGCAGGCGGACCGAGTCGCGCGAGGCGAAGCTGGCGACGAGCGTCTGCTCGTACTGGTCGGCGAGCTCCTGGACGTCATCGAGGTGGGCCGTGTCGATGGCGTGCACGGCGGCGGGCTGCTGGTCGGCGGGCAGCTTGTCGAGCAGCTCCTTCTTGACGAGGGCGTAGTTGGAGTCTTCGTGGTCCAGCGGCACGGCGCGCTCGTCGGCGAAGAAGATTTCCCACTTGGTGAAGTCGACGACGTCGCCCGGGCCCGACGAGGGCGCCAGCAGGGCCTGCGCCAGCGTCTTGGGCAGCGAGCCGCCCGAGACGGCCACCTTGAAGACGCCGTGCCGCTCGATGCCGGCGTTTTGGCTCTGGATCACGTAGGCGCGGAGGGCCTGCGCGAGGGCGTCGGTGCCTGGGAAGGCGTAGAGATTGGGCTGTGTCTTGGGCATGGCTGTTTGTGCTGCGGAGGAGAGACGAGAGCTTGAGGCTGGAGAATGAGAGTGAGGAAGAAGAAGCTGAAGATGAAGCAACCAGCAAGGCGGGGTGTATGATGGCGGGGCTGATTCCGATGTCTTTGTGGAACAGAAAATCGAAAGGTAGCTGGGCGAGATGTGGACGGTGTGTGTGTGTGTGTGTGTGTGTGTGTGTGCGTGTGTATCTTGTCTATCCAGCTGGAGCTGTTTTGGTTGGTGTGGATGTTGTTTTGATTACGAGGTTGTACAAGAAGGCAAGGCAAGGAGGTATCGCAATCGCAGCAGCAAATGCCCCCTTCGAAGGTTCCAGCTGCGTTCGGACGGCGGGGTATTTTGCTCTATTTTTCCGGCCTTGGAAACGTGCAAGCCAAGCTGCGTGGGCGCGGGGGTCACCTTCCCATGTTATAGATACTGTATGTACGTAGTACTACTACAGCACAAAAAGATAAGATAAGGGGGCCAAAGGACCGGGCAACGAAGCTTTCCCAGGAGGCGTCACCACTACGAATGAAGGTTAAAACTGGAGCGATCCAGAGCCCTGGGGTTTTAAACTTTGTGGGCTGTGGTTTTAAGTGGTGGTTTGCATCTGGGGATCAGGGCTGTGTTTTCTTGCGAGAAGCTGAGGAGGGGGGAGGTAGTCTATGAAGTGTATGTACAGTACTCGTATGAGCAGATGTGCGACGCTTGGTCACCGATCTGCAGGGATCCCGCTGTCTGCATGCTACCTTGAGGCGTCGCGATTGGAGAAGCATCACGTCAACGTCAAGGCGAGGCGAGGGCAACGCTCCAAGTTCGTCCGGGCTCCGGCACGGCTGTTAGCGTTCAGCTACACGGTACTAGGCCAAGGAAGGCGCAGTAGAAGGTATGCAGGTAGATTTTGTGTTGTGAAGATGGAGGCATAATGCTAAAAGGGAGCTGTGTGCGTATTCCGTGGGTAGTAGGCAGGCATGTACAACTGCTGTTGAAGGAGCCCAGGTTTTGCTCTGCTTTGCACTCCAGGAGCACCTCCCTCTTGCCGGACTCGAAAAAGCCCGGACTTTGCTCCCAATTCTACAGCAAACCAGTACTACGGTATTACCTTACACGCTTCTCTGTACATGAGACCCGCGCCATCATTTCACGCCATCCCACATGGTGCACTTACAGCCACAATTGTGGCGTATCGGGCTGTGGCTGCCTGCTGCAAATGCACGAGACAGACTTTGGCAATTACTAGGTATGACGTAATGCTAAAGTCTCGGCGCAAAAGCTCCTTTTTGGCACTCTAATCCTGCACAGGCAGTGGCTACCTAGCGAATGTCGACTCGGCCTCCTCATAAATCGAACAAGGATTCCATTGAGATATGATTGATAACAAGACATATTGCGGTGCTGCTGCCAAGCAATGCCCGAGACGTGTCTTGGTCGTCTTGATCCTCGCAAGAGTGTCACATGCAAACAACAGCTTTGCCGCTTGCCTCTCCTCACCGTACCTTACCTAATACGTCTAAACGTCTATTCACAAGTTTCGATCTCGTGAAGAAGATGGTGTTCCAAACAAGCCACTCCAACTTCTGCGTCTGTGCCAGTGTACAGTATCGCCGTAAGGTACCTAGTAGGAGAATCAAGATGCAGTAGCACTCTTTATATACAAATGGCCCAGGGGCTGAGCAACTCCAACTGCAGAGTTCCGCCACAAGCACAGCTCGCTGGCGGGTCTCGTCAAGATGGTTGCAACCAGTAGACCAGAGCCAACACGACCCCGCTGTCTGAATGCGAATAAGAGGCGAATTTGGTGTGCTCGAGCCTCGAGCACCGGAGGCGAAGTACATGCCAATCTAGGCTTTCTAGCAGTAATACCTACCTCTGGTGCCTAGTCTGTATGCATTAGGAATCACTCTACTGCAGGGCTCTCTGTCGACAGAGTATTACAGTCTTCTCCTCCTCACCATATGGTGAGCACCGCGTCAATGTTCAAGACAATGTGCTACCTGAACTTATATAGAACGCTGAACCCCTCATGTTCGCAGCTCTTGACCATCCTCATCATGGGCACAAACTCTTCAGCCTTGTGAATCAGCTGGAATGTACAGCTAACCGAACTTGGTGAACTACCACAGCACAATATCTACTGTTGATCAGAAAATACCAAGTAACATGTCAAGCATGTCCAATACTTTACAAACATGCGCTGCTGTTACTGCCGGCTCGGCAGCCTCCAGCTCCAGGCTGATGCGCCTCTGCCTTAGTGTGGCCAGACCCTGAAACCAGCGACCAACAAAAAAATGTCCCGCTCGGGATTCAGGGTCCAGGTTCCTTTAGGTCAGGCCGAAAAGTTTTGCCTGCCTGCTACTAGTTCCAAGCAGTAATATTGGCCTACTCCCACAGAGCTGGTCTTCTGCTAGCCCATTCGCTGTATCGTCTCGGACCTCACTTGCACAAAATTTTCCATACTATTTTTTTTTCCTACAATTTTTTTTTTCTTTCTTATTTTATTTAGCATTTGCCAACCGGGAGTTTTCCTCCTGCTGCCACGGCTCCTCCGCTCTCAAACACACCCCTCCCCAGTCCCTGGCAATCCGTCCTTGGCCCTTCTCTCCTCCCTCGTTACTGGTCTTGACGCTCGTTTGTTCATTTCCCGAATCGCCCAATCACAGCTTGGGAACAACTTCAACTCAACTTGGAGATCATCTCCTGCATCTTTGCTCAAGAAAGTTGCAAACGACCCTCATTGGCTCCTGCCCTTCGGAAAGCGTTCCAGCGTGCGCCGCCAATTGGTTCTGGCCTGGTCGCTTTGTTCCTTCCCCGTCACGTCGTCCACACTCCGTCGGGAAGGAACCCTTGTGCTGCCCCTCCTGATATCAGCAAGTCTGGACCTCTCGGGATCTTGTTCGCAGCTGCCACTGGCTCCTTTGCTTCCAACAACCTCCTGCTAGGTACCATCTTACTAGGTAGCACCACCAGTGCCTGAATTCCCGCCTTCAATCTCCCTCCCTCAATAGTTGCTGTGGCTGTCCATCTTCGCCTCCAGCCTCGACTTCGCCCTGCTTCCGCCACTGGCCTTGTTCCTTGGTTCACTAGAGCCTGCAGCATCGTTCGATACTGGCATAAAGAGCTATACCAGACGCAGTCATAGTACACCCGAGCCTTGGATCTTGGAGGGCCATAGCCGGCAGTAGCATCAGCAGCCACCAACTGTCCTGGCCCAAACCAACTGCTTCTGTAGCTGTACGTCGTCACGGGACAGCTTCACTCAAGTGTCACGAATCCCAGGCCCTGCCTCTTGATTCGCTGCTCCAGGCCGTCCTCGTCCTGTCACCCGCGCGGGATTACCAGGCACCCCCCCCCTTATCTCAAGTCCTGCCTGCTCTCCCCCTACTCTCCCGTCACTCGGACGCCTTTGGATATTACGCCCGCCACCTTGCGGGGACACGGACACTGACAGGACGAAGACAATCCGCGGGTCCAGTCTTGTGCCATAACCCTTGCAGCCGTTGCAGCCGTTGCATTGATTTCCCGCCCAAGGGTTTCTGTGAGCCGGCAGCGGCCCATTGCTGTGGCAGATAATCAAGACCCGCAGCCGCCAGCATCTTCTTGGCCTTGGGTAGTCCCTAAAAGTTGGCATTGTGTATCGCCGTTCCCCCCCACAGCTTGGACTAGTTCTTGTCCAACCTTGCTGCGGAGGTAGGGAAGAGAAATTTGAGAACACGACGGCTTGGCTGCTCGCTTGTCTGACGCTTGCTCCAAGGTTTTCCGTGTCTTTCGCCATCTTTTGGTTCCAGCCCAACGGGCTTTCACCCAAAAATCTTGACAGCGTGTCATCAGGTAACGACGCTCTCTACTGTAGCCCAACTCGAGCGTGAGGCCAGGTACTGACGACCCTTTGTTGGCGGCTTTCTCCGCAGACACCGTCCTTTCCTCAACTATTCTCCGCATTTCTGCACCAAAGAGCTCTGGTGTGGCTGGTGTGCTGGTTTTGGCGAGACCGTGACAGCAATGTCTTCCCCTGATATAGATCAGGCCGCCGTCAACGAGACGCTGCTCGAGCGTCGTCAAGTGTTGACCGACGGGCTCAAAAGCCTTCCATACGACCTGGTCCTGTATCTCGAGCGTGCGGTCGTCTATGCAGACCTAGGATACCCCGATCTCGCGGCTGGCGATGCGTACCGAGCTCTTCTTCTCGCTGACGAAGTCCTGAACGACGGCTTCGAATTCCACGACCAGGCCAAAGAATGCTTGGGCAGATACAACGGAGAGCTGCTCCCAGACACTGTAGTCTATGGACAGCTGGCCGAAGAGTATCCTGACCTAGCCAACGGAACGCCCGGTGACCCGGACGTCACCTCTGACCAGTTGGCACGCCTGGCATCGACAAGGGCCTATCAGATACTGTCGCTGAATCTCTTGCTGTGCGGCTGCCTGAGAAGTGCCCTGCAATTCTGTGAGCGAGGCCTTGCCGCTGCGCCGCACAACGACACGCTGCTCCATACAAAGGGCCATATTGATACCGCGGCCAGGCAGAAGCTTGGCCGGGCAACTTATGAAATCGATGATTTGCCCGACTTTGGCCTTGTCCGCCGAGAGGTCTACCCATGGAATGATCATGAGCCAGACCGCTTCTCACCAGAATCTTTGCAGGCGTTGAATGACGGCCTAAAGGAGATGGCTCCCAAATGTGCTGTGCAAGTAGCAACTCTGCCCGTCCTACTAGAGGGGGACAGCGACACAGACAGCCTCGATTCCATCCCCACTTGCAAACAGCTTGGCGTCTTTGCTCAGGAGGATATCGAACCCGGCGAGGTTGTGCTGAGAGAGTACACTCTCCTCACAGCCAACAACCGGCACAAGGATTCAGTCTGCGATGCTTGCAGCTCCGAGCTCGCCCCTCTTGGCAGCAGCGAAAACCAGTCCATTCAATGCGAGGAGTGTTTCGACACTGTCTTCTGCAGCCAGGAGTGCTACGACCAGGCTCAGAGCCGCTATCATCCTGCCGTCTGCGACAAGGATGTGGACTCGATTGCAAAGGATCCTAGTGCGTTCGAAGCCGATGAGACGCTGCATCTCCTTCTACTTGCCAGAGTCCTGGCGATGGCTGTTAACGAGGATGTTCATCCACTGGACGTGCGGGAAGTCAAGTTCATTTGGGGCGACTTCATACCTACAGAAGCAAACGAGATTGATGTATCGCCAAACGCTGGCCCCCCACCGGAGTGGACGCTTCCCTTCTCCTTCAAGTACAACATTGAGACGCCGCTCCATATTCTGGAAAAGATGGACATAGACATCTATGCCAACCTGATGGAATATGATCTGTGGGTGCTCAACACGCTGTACGCCAAGTTTCGGGGAACAGCGTCGGCCCGCAAGAACCCCCGGGACGGAAGGCCTGATGTTGCGGCGGTGCATCCTTACTGGTGTCTCGCCAACCACGATTGCGATCCGAACGTCACATGGGAATGGAGCGGCCGTATGGTTCTCACGGCAAGGAAAGAGCGCGTTGTGGGCGGTCGGCCCGGGGGCATCAAGAAAGGAGAGGAGATCCTCAACCATTACTGCGATGTGAATTTGCCGGTGCAGCAGCGACGCGAATGGGCCCGAGGGAGCCTTGGCGGCTTGTGCATGTGCAACAGGTGCCGCACCGAGGCAGCGGAGAACAAGACGGCGGATACTGGATCATCGGCATGATGAACGGATGTGCCTGGAACTCCTACCGCAGTAGGAGAAGCATGCCGCGGATCCCTGCGCAGCCATGGCAGCCGTCCATCATGACCCTTAAGAAAAAGAGAAAAGGAGAAACAAGAGGAGGGCTTTTCGCTACGGTAGCATCTGCCCCGTCTTCACATTCGAGACTATGCCCAACCTGACTGTGTGTGGCCTTGCTGGATAATTCTTTGTGGTTAGTAGCGAGCCCCCCTTTTCGAATGTCAACGATCAATCGCGGGACTTCCCGTCAAGCATCAGAGCCTTTATCAATCCTCTCTCGCGTTCCAGCTAGCAGCCCAAGCTTGATTTGTACCCAATGCATGCCACGACCAGGATTTTCCATCAGCGGCGCAAGTGAATGGCCTTTATATGGCTGCGCATGCTTATCTTGCTCGAGTGAGCAGGGGGGGGGATCGCATATGTTGTATGACGCAAAGACAGGCTATGTACCTTGCCTACTTCGAACCTACAAGCACAAGTGTCTACTACTCTCCGCAGGGGCTTTTAGAGCACTCTTGAAAAGACAACGAGCAAGACGGTACGAAGTACGAAGTATCGATGGAGACAAACGACGCTGCGGCTCATGAGCCAATTGAGCACGGCCTCCCAAACCCCATTTCGCCTGGGACGCGGCACCCTGCAGGAGAGAGGGCCGGTCTAACAGAATCCGGATCTTCAGAGGGGACCACCCTGGCCCTCGCCTGCCAAGATTGGGGGTTACCGTCGGTCCCGCTGGCCGAAATGCGACCCGGTTGCGTTGGACATGGCACATTGACGCTTCAAGGGGGCCATTTGCGTTTTGGTGGACGGAGTTCCAGTTACATTGAGTGGTGGCGCTGTTATTGCTTCATATTGGGATTGATATTGAACGATTTGACGGGGATAGTGTCACATCTGGCCGCTATAAAACAGTTGGAAAATAGAACGAGACAAAAAAGAGCAAATCACGAACCAACGCTCAGCATAGGTTTTTGCAGACGGATACAAGCGCAGGGTGAGAACCAGGAGACGGAATTGAAGGTGAAGACGAAACAACCAAGAGAAAGAAAAACTGGAAGAAGAAGAAGGAAAAGAAAAAGAAGAAGTAGAAGAAGAAGGGGTAATGATGAGGAAGAGAAAACAGAAAGAAAAGAGTAAACGAGAACTGAAGACAAAACTGTCGATCAAGCCAAACAAGACAAATGCGCCGCCCCCTTGCCGTCCCAATCACCACCGTCGTTTAATGTGAGCTTCCCACTTCCCACCAGAAAGCCGGATGGACGGCCATCAAAGATGATTTACGTGGTAGTTTTCCAACCCATGTACCCTCAAACAAGACATCTTCCCGTTTCTTCTGTCTTCCTTGGCCAATACCAACCCCCCTTGTTCAGTACCGCCCGGGACTGGTGGGCAGAGGACGCGGCCCAACAATCTGCCTCCGGCCTGCGCCGATGCCCTGGGACCCCTTGTTCTGGCCGTCGCCGCCCGTGTAGCCGCTCCACTGGCTGACGTCCCAGCGGCCGTCGATGCCGCCGCCGATGCCGTCGACGCCGTTGTCGCCCCGGGCCATGGCGGCCGTCTCCTTCTGGGCCTCCTCCCACTCCTTCTGCCGCTGCCGCTCCAGCTCCTTCTCGCGCTCGAGCAGCGACTTGGACGCCCAGCCGCTCGCCTTGGTCTGTTCCTGGCTCTGGATGCGGCGCTGGTCTTCGGCGTCGCGCTCCTCCGTCGCTCCGAGCTCTCGCGCGTACGTCTGATGCGCGACGACGGGCTTCGGCGCGGGATTGCTCGCCAGGAAGCGATCTGTGCGGTTCTGCGCCGTGTCCCTGGGAGGAGACGAGTACTTGGCCGGGTCAGGCAGCGGTCGTCCGCCCGGAAGCGCGCTGGGGTTGGGCAGAGGGCGAGGGGACTTGGGCATCGGCGAAGAAGCCAGCCCCTCGCGCTCGTCCTCCTTGAGGTCGTCCTGATGCTGCTTCCACTTGGTATGGAGGACTTCGCGCTCGCCCTGCGACCAAGACTCGTGGCGGTTGAGCTGCGAGGTGTTGTTGACCGGTCTGGGGCTCCGCTCGCCCGTCCGGCCTCTCAGCTTGGCCGGTGAATCGGGCACTTCGCCGTCAGCAGCTCGCTCCTGGCGCTCGCGCTCATACTCGGCCTCGCGCTGTTGTGCCTCGCGGAGCCGCTCTCCAGCCACGTCAGCGACGGCCGCCTGTTCGGCTTGGTACTGGCTTAGGTATTGCCCATGCAGCTTGAGAGGGCTCTTGGCTCTGACGCGGCGGCGCTCTTCCTCGAGGCGAGCCTCGGCCTCGGCTTCTTCCTTGCGGCGCTTTTCTTCCGTCAGCTTCCACTGCCGCTCCTCCTCCTGCCACCGCTGCTTCTCTTCTAGAACCTTGCGGCGCTCTTCCTCCCTCTGTCGCTCCGTCTCTTGCTGCCATCGCTTCTCCTCTTCGGCGCGAGCACGGTTTTCGTCTTCGAGCTGGGCTTGACGCCGGGCCTGGGCCTCTTGTCGCTGACGTTCTTCTTCCGCAATCTTTTCTTTCCTGATGCGCTCCTTCTCAGCCAGGCTTGGTACCTGAGGCCCGGAGCCAGTGATCTGCCTGCGGGCCCCAAAGGCGATGCCCAAGTTACCCTGACTGGCGCCGCCCATGTAGCCGTATTGCGCAATGTTCCAAGCGGGGGCCGTCGAGCCCTCGTGTTCTCTCCTGCTCCAGGAGCTAACCGACTCGGGGGAGCCGGGGGGCTTTCCGGGACTCTGTTTGGTCGTCGAGGCATTTCTGGTAAAGGAAGCTCCGCGAGCGCGTGAAGTTGCCGGTGCGTCGCCGGTGCCTTGAGGTGTAACAGCGCCCGGCTTCACCGTCTTGGGCCCGATGGGATGAGGGAACTTGCTAGGGTTGGCGGCATTCGCGGCTCTGCTGAACGCGCCGATGCACTGCAGCACCTGGGCCGGGTCCTTTTGCTCGTAGAGGTCGACAGTGAGGAACATGTCGTGCTGTTGCAGGTTCAATGGCGGGGCCTGGCATGCGCGCAAGAAATGCGATATGTTTTCCATCTGGACGAAGGGCATGGCCGACTTTTTGAACTTGATGCCGGGGGCAGGAAGGACGAGATTGACGAGTCTGGTAGAGAATGAGAGAGAGAGAGAGAGGTGTTAGCACGCGACAGCATCAAGCAGCTCGGGGAGACAATGGAGGCGCGTGGCGCATGACGTACTTGCAGAGAGCGACGCCGTCTTTGAGACCTTCCAGCAGATCCTTTGACGGCAGCGATTCGCCGAGCGTCTCCTCGATCCATGCGCGGGCTTCATTGGCTGCGGCGGGCGTGTATTTCTCAAGGCGCAACCTGCGCAGGTCCTTGTCGAGGGACGTGACGGATGCCATGGCTGAGGGCAGTCTCTTTGTATAGGTAGAACTGCGTGCCCTTGGTATATTGGGGTTGATGTAGCTTCGCAAGGTGTTGCGACGGAGGGTTTTTGGACGTAAAAGGCCAGATACGAAGGAGAGAAAGTAAGTATGACTGGATGCGTATCGGATTTGTCGAGGGTTTGATGTCGTCACCAGGTCAGCGTCAGACGTGGGCGCAGCAGTAGTGAGTAAGCGGGAGGTCCGGAATGCAGTCGCAACAACAAGCGGGACTGGAATCTAGAGCATAGCAACACAATGCCGGAGGGCGACCAGCTTTAGGAAATATTAGAGTAGTATTGAATCGGTGGTAAGAACGTATGGAAAGGAGACAAAGGGAAGAGAATGGTGTTGCGATTTGCGCGCACACAATGCGTCAAATAAGGGGAAGAGGATGTAGAGACTATTAGAAGCCAGAGGCAGAGAAGCAAGGAGAAGAAGAGGAGGAGGAAGAAGAAGAAGTTTGGAAGGGAAAGACAGAGCTGCATAGAGCTTCAAGGGTTCAAGTACCAAGTACTGCTACTTTGGCGGATGCCTTGCGTCGTGAGTGGTTCCCCCCTCCCCCTTGGCCCTTGGCTGGTGACGCACGTCAGCTCCCAGGGCGCAGGAGCAGGCGGGGGGGCAATGAGAGAACAAAGGAAGCCAAAATTACAGTGATTACGGGGGGGTTCGATGAGCACGATAGAATGAACAAGTACCTCCTACTTTGGTAGGCGGGCAGGTTCAGGTACAGGCAGCTCTACCTTATGAGCCGTGCTCAATTGTATCTTGGAGCTGGCTATCAGGAGAAAGTTGCTATTTAAAGCACTTCTAGACGAGAATCTTGGGCTTCAAAGTGGGCAGATGCTTCGCTCACGGCAATGACCAGCAGGAGACGGGAGATGACTCGCATCAACACCCATGAGCCCCTCGTTTCGCTAAAGCAAGCTGCAACTTCAATGCAAGATTCACCATCTTAGCAGTTTTGACGGGGTTCCGGAACAATTGCGCGCGGATCGGTACGTACCTACTATTCCTCGAACCGCATGGAGGGGCAGCACCTTTGACGTGGCTGAAGGGTGGCGCCGCACAGCCACGTTGGAAACGCTCAACCACGTGCTTGACCAATCTACTACTACCTATGACGGCAGAGCTCTTTGGTCCTCAAGATCAGAAAAGAAAAGAAAAAAGTAATAAAGAAAACAACAACAACAACACCGTCGCCGCGCATCCTCATGCCATGACGCCAAAGCAGATAGGCCCTTTTGCCCAGGCGTGGTACAAGTGGAAGGCATTGCGCCTCCCCTGGCGGCGGCGCTTCCTCATCGGTTCGTCCCATTCTTCTTCTTCCCCCTTCACTAATACTACCTTACCTACCTACAGTACCACCACTATCATTACGTCCACCCTCCATCAAAACAAAACCTAGTATTATCTCTAACAAATCGAGGATCCAAAATTGTACAGGCTTCGACCTCCAAGGCAACACCTTCTGGGAATTCCGCCACACCCGCGGCGCACAAGACTCCGCCGAGCGCTGGCGCCGCATCGTCTCCTACCCGCGCTCGACGCACCTCTCCCAGGTCAAGGTCAGCCCCCAGTGGCACCAGTGGCTGCGGCACGCCCGCCGCGACCCCCCTTCGCTCGACGAGCAGCGCGCCGAGGCCGCGCGGCAGGAGAGGATCAAGTTGCTTGCTGCGCAGGCCGACGCGCGGTGGGAGGCCAAGCCTAGGGTCATGGAGGATCCGAGGGCGCGGGCGCGGGCGGTCCCGGCGCCGGAGATGGAGCTGAAGGCGAAGGAGAGGAGGGGCTCGCCTTTGGTTGAGGACGAAGAAGAAGGGGTGAAGACGGCGGAGGGAACAGCAGAGGCAGCGAGGACGAGCGCGGAACCTGCGCAAACGAACAAGACGGCTCCGAGCGAGAAGCCAAGACCAAAGACGAAAGTCATGCCCGACGTAAAGGATCCTTGGGCTAGAGCAACAGCTCATGGACCCGGCGAGAACTGGCAACCGGCGGCATGGGATCCCTCGGCCGCGAAGAAGAGACGATGATTTACGAACAGCCGGAAAAGGACAAACAACACAGGAGTGGAGGACATGACAAGATAAACGACAAACATGGTATCATCTGTATTATGAATAGGCCGCCTCTATGTACAAGTACCTACGGAAAATGGGCGGATAGACATGTATTATAAGCATCATTTTTGAATACCCGGCCCGGGAAGCCACCCTTGAAACGCCTTGCTTCCAGATCTGTATCTTCCGACAGTTTCTCTTGAAATAGTCATAACAAGCAACGCTCGACACGCCCCCATTCTTCCCTCGTGAGTTTCCATAACAGGCTTTAAAACAAAATCGTAGCTCAACGGCACGCCATTCAAACAAGATCGATAACAAGACAAGCATAAAGGCCCTCTGACAAGAAGAACTCACTCAGCTGAGGCCTCTAACACCTCCAGCAGGACTCGGATCCTCTCGGCGGAGGAATTCAAAACATTGAGGGCGTGTGAATCGCTGGCGTCGGCCTTTGTGCGCCCTGTTCTCTTCTTCTGCGCCTTCTTTGCTCGCGCCTCGATGCCAGTCTCCACCGCAGCCGCGAAGCTCGTTGTGTACTCGACCATGTCGAAAAGCCACAGCAGCTGAATCGCGCTCTCAACTACCAGAGACAGCTTAGCATTGTCCTCCAGACTAATAGTATTAGCAGGATGGCAGCTGTAGCAATGCTCTAGCATGGGCATCGTCAGGCTGCCCGTGGACTCGCCTTCCGGGTCCACTTTGTGAGGGTTCTTGTAGGACGACGGAAGCAGTTGGTGGAACAACAGCTTGATGAGGGTGACGTGCGTCGCAGGCAGCAGAGGGTTCGACCGCTGTGAGACGCAAAGCGCAAAGATATCCAAGGGCAGGACCTTGATACCGGCCGCAAAGTCCTCGTAGAGCTTGTCGAGCTCCGGCTGCTCCCGTCGTCCCCGTCGCTCGCGCTGGCTGGACAGCGCATGCGTAGCTGCAGAGAGCAGCTTGAACAGCCGCAGTCGTAAAGGGATGGACTCCACCATTCCCGCGTTGACCCCCGAGGCGTCAGTTCGGGTACGCTGCTTCTGGGGGGTCGGAGGCTCGGACACGCCCGACGAGATGGACTCGTCTTCGTCGAAGTAGTCGCCAAATTGGTCGTTGGCCAGGTCAAGCACCGCCTCGCGCTTCCGCTTCCTCCCTCGCTTGCTAGGCCCCTTGTGCTCCTTCTCAAAGACCTCCCGAAAGGACGACGACGAGACGCTGCCGTTGTAGGCAAACAGCGCCTTGATGATGGCCTTGTCGCCGGAGTGGCGCCCATCCTCCTGCTTCATGTACATGACCATCATGGACTCGGCGCGCCAAATGGTGGGTTCTTCGCCTACGCGGCCATTCGTCTCGTAGTCCTCCTGGTCGCGGCGCTCTCGTTCCGCCCAGTCGGCTTCCAGCACGTCCAGCATGAACTCTAGCCAAGCCTTCCAGTACCGCCATCGGTGCGGCATCAGCGAGCAGCAGTGGAATGCCCAGCCCACCGTGGACCAAAAGTCCTGGCCCTTGGCCCACACGCCGCCCTCGTTGGCGATTTTGCCCCGCAGATAATCGTGAGTGCCATCAGAGTCGCCATCAGACATCTCGCTGTCGCTACCACGGCCAGTATGTCTCGCTGCTCGACGGTCCCATTTGGGCATGGATCGGAATTGAAAGGCGGTTCGAAAGTCTGCGTGCAGCGGCCCGACTATCGCGAGGACATTTCGGAGGTATCCCAAGGCGAGGGAGGAGACGTCGAGATGCTCGGGCTTGTCGACACGCGTGGTGTGGAGAGGGTGAACGGCAAGCGTGCTGAGCAGCGCGAGATGGCTGGGAGGGGGGATGGGCACCGGCTTGCCGCCCGGTGATGCTCGTGACACGCCAGAGCCGAGAATGCTGTTGAGGAGGTTGATGGCGCAGGTATCTAGAAGTCGTCCAGTGTTAGGTTCTCGAGCTCTTGTGCGGCCATGCTACCAATGGGGGGAGGCGGATGTGCGCTCAGGTGCACCTCTACATGTGCGCATGCATACATAGCTGTTCCTCGAGGAAGATCTGGCAGTGCTCCTTCAGCTCGTGCGGGAGCTCTCGCGCCGCCCGATACGGGCACGGCTGTGTTTTCGGCGGGGTGGTGCTGGCAGTCGTCGACTTGGTGTTGCGCTCTGAGCCCTCCTCCTTGCTGGTGTAGAAGGACGCTGGCGACGAGTCGGCGCTTGGCTGTGATCGCCTCGTCATGGCCAGAACGACCCCCTCAGAGGAGGGGAGAATGTGGTTGGTTTGATCTTTGGTGATTGCACAAGCCGAGGCGGAGAAGCGCAGTCATCTAGCCCTTGAGAGGAGCAACACAAACAACGGAACAAGACGAGGCTGAAACGCTCGAGCGTGAGAATCGAGGGGAAACGCGATATCGACAAGAGAGTTGTTGGTTGGGAAGCGGGACCGTTTGTTTGGCTGGGGAAAAAAGGTTCGCCTTGACAAGACGCGGCTCCAAAACGTCGCGAAGCCCCTCCCAGTGCTAATGACGACGATATGCGACAGCTGCGCACTGTACCTAGGTACCTAGGTAGTTTTATTGCCTCTTTGAGGTTGATGCCAACACTTAGCGCAGAGCGCCGGCGCGGTACGTACCGAGACCATCTGCATCTCGTCAGCTTCCAATTTTCTGTCCTCCTCCTTGAGAAATGCCATATCTACGAGAACAAGCGTATTATTTGGCCATCGACTGCAGCAAATGGCAGTCCGTCTAGAGAAATCACCCTGGATGAATAGTCTGCGGTTGTAATGAGATAAAGGTAAAGGCTGGATGCCCTTTCAACGTGGACGGAGGATGACAAGAGAATTCACATTCTTGGGTGATGATATGGGAGCAATCACTTTTTTCTTCATTCTTCCACTATCTCTATGTACATGCTACCGTGGTATCAACAACCCATGCGAAATTGTCTGAAGAAATAAATCACAATCGCTAAGAGTACCGTGGCCGTTATATCGAACCCGTGGGATCGTGGCCCCCTATGATTGCGGAGGCATCATCATATGCTCCGCATCCCATGACCCACTTTTGCTTGTGCCTTCTCTATGCAGAGAACGCTTCTCTATATATGTATTATCTTAATGAGTATCCGTTGCGCATTGGCCGTTTTAAGAAATCGTAAAGGTATAATGAAAATCAAAGAGAAAAGGAAATTGAGCCAATATTTGACCGCCTCGCAATAGGAATCCTCAATAAACACCGAGGGAGGACATATCGGCAAGTGAGCATGTGTCGCAGTGACACTGCCAACGAAATGAGGACCGTGAGTGAAGAAAAATGGGGCTTGGTTGACGTGTTCAACCGATATTTGACTTATGAAAGAAGGGGAGTCGTCACAAGGAATCCATGGATCGAGCATTTAGTTTCCCCGGAGCGAGAAACGGCTGAATCGGCTGGCGCGACTGGCGCGACTGGCGCGGCTCTGCTCCCTCTGCAAGGCCCGGCTGTCACGTCTCTCCTGCTCGTGCTTTTCCACTTCCGCAGCGGCCTCATCCTCGGTCACTCGGACGTTCTTGGCCCGTATTCTCGCAAGAACCTCGGCGGCTTCGGCGGCATACTCGCACTTGGCGCGGATCTTGGCGCCGTACTTCCAGAAGAGGAAGGGGAAAGGAACGCAGGCCAGCGCCAAGAAAGCAGGAATGGAACTGGCCCAGTGGATGCCCAGGTCTTTGTACATGTAGCTGGTGAAGAGCGGGAAAGCAGCGCCAAAGAGTGATCGGAGGACGGAGCTGGCGGCCAAAGCCGAGGCGGCAAAGACCACATCTAAGGAGAGAGTTAGCAGTCTCTTCCCACGAAATGAGACGGATCAAGTATGGTTAAAACTTACAGGCATCAACAATGTAGTTCATCAGCGAGAGGAACACCAAGACGATTCCGGATGCAAAGAAGATGGTGCCGATAATGGAGACGATCCAATGGACGCTGGGCCCGTTGGTCCACGCGAACCAGAACAAGCCGATGGGGATGAGGATGGAGCCAAGGATGGCGGGCGGCAGACGGGCTTCCGCAGGGGCGATGCCGTCCGGAGACTTGGCAGCCGCTCTGATGTATCGGTTGTTGTCAAAGACGGATCCGACGGTGGACAGGGTCATGCCAATGGCAATGCCGACGAAGGCCAGGCCGCCAATACCGGGGCTCCAGCCACGGCCCTGCTGGAAGACAATGGGGAAGGCGGCAAAGCACATGTAGAGAGTGCCGTAGATGATGGCCATGTAGAGCGAGATGAGAAGGACGATGGGCTCCTTGATGAGGAGCAGCCAGGGTCGCAGGAGGGAAACACGAAGCTGGCTGCCAATAGTCTTGGGCGGCTGGCCCTCCTCAAGCTTGGAGATGTAGACCTTGCCAGTCTTCTTGCTCAGAGCAGCAGCGCGTTGACGGAGCAAGACCGGAGCATATGTCTCGGGGTAGGCCAGGGAGCTGGCAATCCAGACAACGCCAGTGAAGATGGCGATCAATCCCTCCACCCATCGCCAGCCCTTGGACTCGCCAAGGAAGCCACCTGCAATTGGGCCTGGTTCAAAGTCAGTAAAGCGTGCGTAATTTACTACTATCTTCGGCAGTTAGATTCTTACCGAGAGCAGGGCCCAGGAAAGGAGCCATGGCGAAGATGCTAAAGGCGATGCCTCGCTGTTTGGCCTGGAACAAGTCGGCAATGACACCACCGGCGTTCGTCAGGGGAGAAGATCCAAAGGCGCCAGCGAAGAATCGAAGAATGATGAGAGTGGCCATGTTCTGGCTTCCAGCAGCTCCAGCGCTAAAAGCAGCCAGGGCCATGTAACTGATGAAGAAGGTCTTCTGGCGGCCGTAGAGCTCAGACAGTGGAGCCCAAAGGAGTGGTCCAATGGCGAAGCCCAAGACGAACAGAGACACACCGAGGATAGCAACCTCGGAAGAGATATTGAACTCGCGAATGATCTCACTTACACCGCCTGAGTAGGCTGAACTGGCAAAGGAGACGGAAAGGGTGGCGCTGGCCTGGATGAGAGTAATGGTCCACTTGAATGAGTCCTTGAAGGTCATTGGATTCCATCTGTCTCCGGGAATGAACTCGACCAGATACGGCGACTCGGTGGTGCCCTGTCCGCTGTAGTTATGCTCCAGGACTTGCTGAGTAACTCCGGTCTGGTCAAGGAGAACTCTCCAGTGGCTGATCTTTTCAGAAGGGATTGCCTGTTGCTGAGCCTCGACATCGCGGTCCGGCGTCGTCACAGTGGCGGACGAGGTAGATGCCGATGAAGAGGAAGGTGGGTGAGGCGCTTGCTCTGGTATGGAAGCCTTGTCGTCGGCCATGGTTGCGACAGGGTGTGGTCTGTTCTTCGTAGCGAGGGTCGCTTAAAGACGGCGGAGCAGATGTGCCAACCCAAATCTCTGAATGTGTCGAGGAGAAGCCTGGATCAGAGTCAGAATATGAGAGGGTTTGGAACCGGGGGCATGTGCTTCTATGTATAAATGGGCAAGGTAGGACACTCGTGACAGTGGCATGTACTATGTATGGACATGGACGAGTAATCAGGGACAGGGATGGGGATCATTGAGCTACACACCTCCCTAAAATACAACCTAATCGTGTGGAACTCCGTCAGCGGGTAGCGGTGGATGTCGTCCGAGCCTAGTAGCTGAATCGTCCTGGCAAGTGATTCCACTCCGGCGGATTGACGGTGACAGACGAAGCCCCCTTTGACAATCAAGATAGGCCTAGACCGCCGGTGAGCCTCGGCAGAACGGCAGTGGTGCGAAGCTGTGGAGAGTCGAAAGACGTGTGCAAAGACGGGACAGAAGAGGCGAGTCAGGAGACAAGGCTGGCTGTCGGGATGGCTGACCAGGGAGGGAAAGGGCTCGGGTTCAGAAGTCGAGGTGATCGGTTGTGTAGGTGAGATAATCAGTAAGCGGCTGTTCCTGTGCCTGTCCGAAGCTCGATGCCTGCGCTTGTAGATGAGTAGCAATTTCGAGGATTGGACGTGGATGAGCAAGGTAGAGGAGAACGAGGTATTACAGTAGAGAGTAGGTATATACAGCGTCCGGAGCAGCAGCGCCGAATCAGGAGCAGCCGCTATCCTTATAACAAGAACAGAGAAGGAAGCCTAGAGAAGCAGAGCCGGGGCGTCGACACCAAGCGGACCTGATCTGAAGAGCCAAGCCACCAGAGCTGGGATGGAGGTTTGCCGACAGCTGCATGATCGGATCAGCAACGGACGCTTGGGCGGCCGGAAGTGGAAATAATGGGCAAGGGATTCGGGTTTGAACAGGATTGCGCCCAGGTTGGTGGAGATAACAGCAGCCAGCAGCGGTTATTTGCGAGCAGGACGATGCTAGGACGAGGGCAAAAGGCGCAATAGCATCATTCGAAGGAGGCAGGGAAGAGACGACGAGCAGGGAAGCGGAAGAACAGAAGCGAACTGGAGGTGCGCAGGCCAGTTAGTGCCCCAAGTGGAATAGATGGCATGATGAGCTAGACCATTTGGGGCTGCTCCGGGGATCCCTCGAGGCCCCACTCTGGCTGGTATCTCCATTCTCCGACCGCTAACTCCCCTGCTCTAACGCATTACAGGCACGCTTCAACTGCCCTACGAAGCACCAGCGTGCAAATGTCCGTGGACATGGACAATGTGTGAGAGGGAGTGAAAGGAGGGAGGATTTCGTGGCGCCACGGAGCGTCGATATGCGGGTTCTTTGCTTCGGCCGAATGCAAGTGCAGAGGGAGAGGCTCCCAGTTGAAGCATGACTAATGGGCGGCAATGACGTATTTTGCCGGTACAGTAGAGATACCGACAGGAGTTGGTGTACTCCATGTAGGTACGATGAGAGCTGGTAGATACCTAGGTACTACTAGCATGAAGCAACTCGGAATGATCTCGATCAGATTTCATGAATCGTCTCGGAAGTTCGACATGTTGCATCTGAGGCCATCTTGACCCAGAGGAGCCATAAATCAGCTCAGTGTCAATATGTGTAGGTAGGTAGTACTTCGTACTCGTTATTTCTAGGTTCGCAACAGGCAACGGCCCGCAAGCCACGCCGCCATGTCTTGCTTCGAAACATCTAGAGCAGCATCCTCTCTCAACGCTGCACACCACGTCCATCTTCTTACAGCCAGTCACAACATGCAAAGTCTGTTCCCCCCTAATATTGCTACAGTCCATACCTAGGTAACCATACTAGTACTCTGTAGCACAAAGGAGCAATATCTCCTACTGCTGGCGCTGCCTTTGCGCGCCTAGTATCTCCATACGAGTTATCGTACCCATAGCTGGCTTAGGTACCTGGGTGGGTTATCTGCCCACGGTCGTCGATTATCAATCGGCCTCTGCTTTCATGCGCATCACTGTGCAGCTGCACGCTCGCCCAATGCAACGCTCCAGGAAGATCCTTCACGACTAACTGCGGCCGAATACGCAACAAGTGTAGGCACTGTCCATACGAAGGGCGCATCCTACAGCTTCATGTGTACGACACCCTCTGTCTATCCCGTCCCTCCTTTGCGTGTGTACTTTGTAGTAGTATGTTATGCCTGATTTTCTGTGGCAATCGTGCAACCCAGGTCGCCATCCATCTTGAGGCGCCAAGGAGCAGCTGAGTGAGATCCCGCAATCAACTGGTAATGTATCTCAACAGGATGTATCGCAAAAAAAGAGAGAAAACAAAGAAAGGGAGGGCCGCTCCGACCATGGCTGTTCTTCCAAGTAATACTAGAAGCTGAATCCTCCAGCCCCCATGCCTGCCGTGTTCTCAGACAGAGAGTCGGATGAGGGCATCGTCGTGACAATCTCCCGTAGAGGAGACTCATCAATCCAATGTTTCAGATCATCACCAAACGCCACTGTAACACTGAAAGAGAATCGTGAAAAGAATCCAGCCCTTCGGCCACCGACATGGTACAATTTCCGGGGACCAGTCCCACCAACACGGCGCCGTGTCCGAAGTCCGTTCCATCTGGGTCCTGTTTGAGTTGCCGGGCGTTGGCAATGTCCCGTATTCGGGCGCCGTGTTGGGGATGAAGAAGCATCTAGATACTTGAACACTATCATCCAGATATGCGGCCGCGAGGCTTTGCTACTGGAGGCTATCGCCAATCACATGCGAGCAATCCGCCCGTTCTCGGCGGCTTCCTTCTGAGATACGCATCAGGCGTAGAATGCAAACAGAACGAAGCTCGGATCACGAGAGGGTTTCTAGTATCAGCCTGCGCTGGAGCCCTTTCGTAAAGTGCCCGTGAGCATAGCACCAAACCTTGATTCCATCATGTGCAGCTCGCGATGCTTCTCCAGTGATGACGCCGAGTTGGGGTGTAATCCAGAACTTGGCAATTTGGTCATGTCCATCAGTTCATACGTATTTCTCACACGCCCTCTCCGTAACCCCCTCCGTTGTTTATCGTGAACCAGGTACGTGTGTCGTAATCCTTCGCCCAGGACCAGAATCCCTCACCGTCTACCCCGTCCGTTGACCAGTTTGCGCCCCCCCGTGTTGTACGTACGCGTAAGTACTCGTATTACTCAGGCGACCAACGTTGAGCTCGAGTGAGGCCGTATTCCAGTTGAAACAAGAGACATCCGGTCTGGCAACGGAGTGCAAACAAGAACCCGAGTCTAAGATACCTAAGAGAAAAGAAGACCGGCTCACAAATCAACATTTCCAATCGTCACCATTCTCACAATCAGCGCGGAATTCCGAAGTATTCAGAAATTCATCGATCAAATCAATATCTAAATGAGCCAAGAGCTTCGTCACTCCTGCCTCGGAAACTCCATGGACTTTGTGCAGCCCATCCATCCCACTTTCCTTGTCCGGCCCCGTTTTTTCGCCGCGGCGACTAGGACCCGGCGGGGCACCTTCCCAAACTTTGTTTGGCACGTGGAGATGCTGCCCTGGGATTGAGCAGGACAATTGCGCTTTTGTGGGTCAATTGTCTCTTTTTATTGATTTATTCCATTTTTTTTTTTTTCAATTTCTTGTTTTTTTCTTCTCTCTTTTATCTTCTTTCTTTATCTGGACTTATCGATGGTTCTTTCCCCCCTCCTGCTGTGCAAATACGATACGATGCGCTGGTGTCATCGTTCAACAGCTGACTAATTTTGTCTCTCTCTCTTTTTTTCCTGTTCCTCTTTGTTCTTTTGTTCTTCATTTTTCGGAGTATTTCCGTGGGAGTGGCTTGGCCGGCACATGGCCCGTCCGGGTATCAATCAAGCCTTGCGGACAAAGCAAAGCGTCCATTTTCTGCCGATTCTCTGACCGATGCTGGTGTACCTACCCGTAACGAGCAATCACTCCAAGAGAAAAAGAGTCTTGCTGTCTTAAGGCTGATGCAAGGCTGAAGATGGTATTTTAGACCAGCATCACGCACAGTCGCAATGGTATCCTTGTCGCATCTCCGGAATTAATGAACGATGACGCTACTGTAGGGGGCACCCAACACCAACGCATGTACCGACGCAACGGAAATAGATTTCGCAAGAAAAAAAAGACAACCCTGAATGTCTCCCTCATTCGACCAACAATTAGTCATGCCAGCTTATCGTTGACCAGACGAAAGGGGTGGGAAGGCTCAAGGGTCCAGCGCAAGCAGAAATGCAACGACAGCTCGTGGTCTGACATACACACACACACACACACGCACGCACGCACGCACACCCTCCACTTACACTCGTTGTCATTTCCAGAATCAGCCAGAAATGAGATGCTGTCATTCCAGTCTACTATCTTTGAGTACTACAACTAGTACTAGTAGTAATATTACACTCTGGATTTCTTTGTCTTTAATTCATGCAGAGACGGGTCGGTCCATGAGTCACGTCCGTGCACTTCAATAGACTTGCAGCAAAAAATTCGGCTATCGTTCATGATACTATGATCCGAGAGCGAGCTTGCTGTGCCGAGGCTCACAGATCGGACACATCCGAAGCCTCTTTCCTTCAACAAATTTTCACGTTTCCCAATCTTATTAACTCGATCTTGGCATGATCTGACCATTTGTTAGCGTGTACATAAAAAAACCCACTTTCAGATGCTATACCAAACACACTCTTGGCAAACGCCGGACCGACTTTAAATTTCTCCCTGACACCACCAGTCTCTCGGCTTGTACCGAAAACCCAAAAATGAGCATGTCTTGTTGAGAAACGGGATCTTTTGCCATGTGAAACATGCCGACTTGTCTAGTGAGTCCGACCAGGACAGTGGAACTCCTACTGCCAAGGCGAAGAGAAGGATAGTATTCGTTTCCAGCGACGGAGTTGAGATGCTTCGCGAGCTCTATCGAATGTTGAAAAGAATCCACAGTGGAGTATCCGTACATAGGTACCTAGTACGAGTGCTCTGTGATTAAGCAGGTCACCATGAGTGTGCCGAGGTCATGCCATGTCATGTGTTTGTAACGCCTTTTTTGTTTGTGATGCAGGTTTAGAATATCCTCTTTATAGTCTCAGCAGAAGGCGGAGCATTTGCCTTGTTAGAAACAACAAATGTTGAAGCATCAAACTGCCTTGAAACAGAGGATCATCGGCCGAGGTTCACCAATAAGCCCTGTATGACTGCAAACACAGTTGTGAAGGCTCAGTGTAGCATAGGATTCATGTTTTGTCTGCTTATTTCTCGTTTTCCATCTGAATCCCGATGTGTCTTTCATCGGAACGCCGATTGCTAATGCTGGGTGCATATATACGTGATGACGACTTTGATACCAACATACCTTCTTAGATTTAAAACATCAGTGCTAAATTTCACTTGTCAAACCCTCACTGGTGTTCTTACAGTAAGCTAAGCTGGCGTTGTCTGAGCTTGACTGCAGCAGCAGCGCGATGGAAGTTTTTGGCAGACATCTTGGCTTCACAACGCCCCTCTTCAGTCCCACGACAAGATATCCATCACTCTTCATCAATCTCAAGGCAAACCACGCCGTCTACAAACAGTGCCTTCTCTCATAACTCACTTCCTGAAACACAACACCGGCCAAACATCGTAAACCATAAACACAGAAACACGAGCATGGTTATGGCCAGCACCTACTATATAGCCCGGTTCAAATCTGCAATTAAACAACACCAAAGTAGTCCAACGCCCATCCCCTTTTTTTACCTCGAACAATGGTAGATGTTGGCTTCAGCAGTGCCACAGCAAAGCAAAATGACCAATGGAACATGGTTGGGTATATCTATCACAACGTTTTGCGCCTAATCCCTACGCATCGCTAATGCCTTCCCACTCGTCCTCACCGCCGTCATCACCATCATTCTCGTCATCGATGTCATCCTCATCCTCATCCTCCTCTTCATCATCATCATTCTCTTCCTCGTCTGCCCCATCCCCTTTACCATCCCGCCTCCTCTCCTCATCCGCTCCACGGAGCGCAACAGCTTTCCCCGTGGACTTGAGCACCGGCATCCCAACAACATCCCGCACGATCCGCCCATCGTCGTCACGGAGATACGGTCCCTCACCACTATCCCCGCTGCCATCCAAAGACGCCACCCCTCCTCCTCCCACAGACTCATCATGAGCCCCTGCGTCGACTGAATCCCGCACAAACCCAGCGACGAAGAAGCCCATTACGCCTCTGCCGTCCCCCTTGTACGATCGTATGCAGCCCTCCGCAACCGTCTCGTCGCCCTCTGCGGCTTCCACCAGCCCCCGGACGGGCCAGTCCCTGAGGCCGCTCACCTGGTCCTCCCGTCGCAGGATGCGCCACCCCTTGGCTTTGGCAATGTCTGACGCTAGAGCTCGGATGACGACGCGCTCGTTCTCTTGCGAGTGGATCGAGCACGTCGAATATGTAATCTTCTTTGCTCGCGGGAACCGGAACGCATGTAGCAGGAGTGTCAGCTGAAATGCCGAGAGAGCCTCTAGCCGCGCTTCTAGGTCCTTTTCTGACTTGACTACCGTCTCGTTTCCGTCATCGTCGACCAACACGTTTTGTGCCTGCTCCTCCGCCTCGTCACGCCGCCTCTTCTTCTTGTTTGCATTGGCTTGGTTTGGCTTTGCCTTGCCACCACGGTTGTCCGCCGGCGGATCCGGGAGGTGCAGCTCTGGCATCGAATCGCGGCCAACGATGCCACTTCCCGAACAACTTGGGTCCAGCAGCAGAGCTCCCACGTCCTTGTACTTTTCAGACAAGGGATCAACCTGCAGGAAATCCTGCCCAAACCCAATGCGCGTAATGGGTTTCGAGCCAGCAATGTTGACCATCTTCTCCAGCGTCTTCGCCCTTCTCGAATCCTTCTCGAAAGCGAAAATAGTCTGAGGCGCATCTTCGAATTCCGGTCGATGCTGGTAGAGTATAGCCGCAAGATGCGTAGTCTTGTTTCCCGGCGCAGAACAGGCATCAATGACATCTCCATCCTCTGACCGCGGATCCAGCAAGTACGCCGGGAAACACGACGCCTTGTCCTGCAGGATGATCTTTCCAGACGTGTAAGCCTCCACTTTTGCAAAGTCCATGCCGGGAGAGACGGCCAGCAGGTTCGGCACATGGGGGTCAATGTAGATGTGCCTTCCGCCCTTGGTGACAATGTCCTGGATGCTATCGGCGCGGGTGTGTTTTGCAAAGGTCGTCTCTAGCTGTTCTTCGACGCTGCTCTTCAGGGCGTTGACGCGCACCCATCGCGGGTAGTTGGCCTCTTCGCCCGCAGAGGCCCTTTCGACTTGTTCTCGGAGGGCCTCTATTGTCGGGGCCTTTCTGCGTAGCCTCGCCAGGGTGAATTCTGAGCTGAGACGGCCTTTGTGGCGTTCAACTGATGCTCTCAGTCCATGGCTCTGGGGCAGTGCGATTCCTCCCTTGGCGAGTAATAGATCATGGACCAGTAGCAAAGCTAGCGTAGGAGTGAGCTAAAATAATAAGAAAAGAAAAAAGTAGAAGCAGAAAGTTAGCAAACTTGCGTTCATCACTCAACCCAACGTGGTTCATCTGAGTTCGCATCCTTCATATGCCAAAGGTGATCAAGAAGGAGACAACAGAATGCGTCTTACCTTTCGTTCCAATCTTAGTATATCCGCCTTCTCAATCACCTCCTTCAACACAGGACTCCATTTCGCAGTCTCCAGCACCAGGGCATACAGCTGTCCCGGCGGCGCCTTGCCCTTTTTCTTGCCAAACACTCGCGATTTCAAGCTTCCACCGGTATCTGATGATGACGTCAATATCTCTGCCGCTTCATGATAGAGCGACATGTTCCAAGCTGCAGTCTCTTGGAGTGAAGAGAGGCAGTCAGGGAGGTTCAGAAAAGAGAGGGAAAGAGACGGGGGTAAAGAGGTGTTTTAAAAGGAAAATGATGGGTGCAATAGAGAGAGAAGAGGTGTGAAACTGTAACTGAAAATATGGGATTAGCCGTGGTTCAGCCGTCATCCGGCGGCTCTTAGTAGTCTGCCTGCATTGGGAGTGCCTCTCCCGACGACTTCTAGTCTACCTACTATAGTAGCTCTGTCCTTACTTCAACTTCATCCCACCGAGCACTTCGTGTAAGTGTACAGATTGTGCAGACTGCCGCCGAGTACTAGTGGGTACCTGCAAGCCCAAATTTCTCTGTCCTCAGTCATCGCAAATAATCACCACAAAGGAAAAGCACGCTATCTGTCTTGAAAATTGCTTGTCAACTTTTTGATTTTAGACTCTATAAGACCCAGTCATTCATAGACCTCGATTGATAAATGCTTTCAAAATCCCTCGCGGGAAGGCTCCCTAACTGTCTTGCCAGATAGCGAACCCAAAGAATCATAAAAGTATATGATGCAAAAGAAAAATAAATACACGGAAGAATCGAAGTATATCCAACAAATCGCTCCCAAGAGTCCAGCAGATACCGTAACCCGCTGCTGAACAACCCCCCCAAATACCCTCCGTCCAGAGAAATCCCGCTACCGTAATCCCACAATGAATCTCATGCAACGCTTCAGATACAAATCACTCCGTTAAAAGGGGGCTCGACTCATCCCAAACCGTTTCGTGTACTTCGGTATACAGCTTTGCTTCCTTAGTTGCGCTGGCTGCGGTGGCGGTGGGCGTGCTCGGAGCGACGGGCCTTGCCAGCCTTCATGGCGACGGCGCCAGTCTTGCTGTAGACGCTGATGGCCCAGCTTCCACCGCAAATCTCCTTGCTGTTGCCCTCGCAGGCGACGCTGCACTGGGAGTCAGCGAGCTTGGCGGAGCCAACGAGCTCGTTACCGCAGTAGCACTGGCCACCGTACTCAGTAGCAGCGAGGGAGAAGCCCTTGCTGACGCAGTTGGCAACGCACTTCTCGTTGGTCATGGGGCCAAGGTTGGGCAGGACATCACCGCTGAGAACACGGCCAATGTTGTCCTGGTAGCAGCCGGCGTAGGTGTAGCCACCGACGGTGGAGGCAGCAGCGTTGTTCTTGGTGCCAGAAGGAGAAGCAGCAGCAGCAGTCACGGCGGGGGAGCCAGCAGTCACGGTGACGGTCTCGGTGACGGTGTGGACGTTGGCAGCGCTGCACTGAGCATCATTGCCAGAGCCGCCGACAGCGGGCTGGGAGGTCGCAGGGGGCTTAGACTCGATGGTCTTGGAGCCGGAGTCAGTAACCTTGGTGGTGGGCTGGGCGGCAGCAGGCTTGGTTGGGGAGCTGGAAGCAGGGGCCTTGGCGGGAGAAGAGGCGGGAGAAGAGGCGGCGGCGGCCTTGCTGGTGGAAGGGGAGGCGGCAGGCTTACTGGAAGAGGCAGCGGCGTTGTTGTTGGTGCCGGAAGAGCCAGAGCCGGTGCCCATCTGGGGGGCAGCGCCGAAGCTGAAGCCACTGAGAGGGTTGTTGCCGGGCAGCTTGGTGAGGGTGCCGGTGACCTGCTCGTCAACGAGGGGCTCAATGGTGCAGTCGCCGCTGTTGAGGCCGTAGAAGAGACCGGGGCACTGGTCCATGCCAGCGTCACCGGCGTCGCAGGTGTCAATGATGTGCTGGAGGAGGTCCTCGTCCCAGCCGGCCATGAAGTCGGCGTGGCCGCTGTAGCCAGTCACATCACCGGTGGAGAAGACAAAGGGCTGGGTGCCCTGGTTCTCGGTCCAGCGGCCCTTGTAGGGCTGGGTGTCGTAGTAGACCTCGAAGAAGATGTGAGGAGTGTGAATCCAGCCGGGGGGGCAGTCCTGCTTGCCGTTGCCGGCATCGGTGGGGTAGGCCATGTTCTCCTTGTAGTTGGTGAGGCCGGCGGCCGGGTTGTAGCACGAGGGGAAGTGGATGTCGAGACGGAGAGGAGAGTACATGCCGTCGCAGGTGACGTCGGGGAAGCCAACGCCAGCGCCCTGGTTGTTGGGGTCGACCATGCCGGCCTTTGTGCCGTCGGAGCCGACGGGGTACGAGGGCGGGTTGTAGCTGGATCGCGGGCAGGTGAACTGGACCTGGTTGATGGGGCCCTTGGACGGGTCGAGCTGGTCGCTGCCGGTGGCGGGAGGCGTGCGCTGCATGGAGTTGCCGGCCAGCATCTGCAGGCCCGTGGGGAAGGCCTTGATCTGGTCGTTGGTGGCCTCGAAGAAGTAGTAGACGTTGGTGTAGTAGACGTCGACGTACTCAAAGTTGCCCGTCTTGGGGTCGTGGAAGTAGAGCGTCGGGTACCAGTAGTTGCTGTAGTCGCCCTTGACCAGGGCGGTACTGCAGTTGGACTTGATCAGGTCCTCGCCGGTGGAGGAGAAGCCAAAGTTGCTGCCGCCGAGGACGTTGTGGACGTGGGTGGAGGGCACGCCCGGGTTGACGATGGGGTCGGCACGGGTGGTGACCAGGCCCTTGTTGGTGAAGCGCAGGACAGCAAAGGTTCGGCTGTCCTTGGCGGCGGCAACGCCAGCCATGGCGGCCACGGCCGTGGAGGTGGTGAACTTCATCTTGCGTGGTTGAAGAGAGGAACCGAGATTGTTGATATCCAAGTCAAGTTATGTATGTTGCTTTCGACGAGCTATGCAATGTCGCTGGGACAGGTTGTAAAAGTTGCAGTGGTGATACCGGAGCACCGTTTGAGAAAGAATGAGCGTGTATGTATATGCAAACCACGAGACAGAATGTCGAATGTCTGTCGCGGCGAAGGAATGGAAGATACAAGAGCGAAAGAAACGAATGCCGAGTGTATCGAAAGAGGCGATAAAGGAGAGGAAGTGCCCAGCAACTTTAGAGATGTAGGAAAGAAGCGGCCTGGAGAAGAAGGAGAGGAAGCCAAGCAGAAAGGAAGCCGGCGGCGATGAGGATAATATAGACAAACACAAAGACGAGAAAAAGAGGGACTGGGGGCGAGAGGTGAGAGTGAAGGGGAGGGGGACAAAGAAGGCAAGGCAAGGCAAAGCAAGGCAAAGCAAGGCAAGGCATGGCAAGGTGAGGTGAGGCCATCCTGAGCAGCGTGGGGACGAACATGCAGAGTGGGGCCGAAGCAGTTCCAATGTTCCCTGGGCTGTCTGGGGCCTGGCCAGAAGGGGAGCAGCAGGCAGGGTTCAGGGCCCGAGGCCTGCTGGAAGAGGCTGCAGAGCGCTGTGGCCTAGTGGATGCACGGCACTGCGGCGCTCAAGCTGTGCTCCAACTGCATCCATGATCCATACATGTAGGTATGTTTCAATGCAATGGGTTGGCCCCAAACCGGGCATTCAATACGCTCCCGCCCCAGCTGCCCCTGTCCCTGCCCTGTCCTGTCCTGTCCTGTCCTGTCCTGTTCTCAATGTGCTGCCCCTGGCGCCAGATGCTAGCCCGGCAAGCCACTGCCTGCGCGGCTACAAACAAACAATTCGGTGGAAACATTCAGTGGAAACGGTCTGGCCCAGCAAAGGGGGGGAGAGGGGATGCCTGTTGAGGCGAGAGGCCTGGCAATGAGAAATAGATTAAAAGAAATCACGGCCATATTTCGCATGAGGGGGGGCTGGACGACAAGATGGCGAATAAGCAGAGGGCAGCAGGTGGAGGTACGACCTCGTACCAACAGCAGCTCATGCAGGAGACATCTGATGTGTGAGTAACACTATTCCACAGTACTATTCTGAAGGCAGTTGTCCCGTTTTCCGAGTCCGTACTGTAAACGGGGTTGTGGCCTGAGCCGAATGAATCGTGTGAGCGTGATTGTGAGTGTGGTCTGGATCACCCGCGGATACCTTAGGTAGGTAGACGAGTGCGTGTCTGGGCCGTAAGCACTCGTGCTGCCTCCCTGCTTGACAAGAATTGACGGTGTGGCACAAGAGGATACATACTCAAGTCCCCGAGTCTCGGGAGGGCTGAGACGGGAGGAGGGCACGAGCAGAAAGTCCTACAGCGTCACACCAACAGCAGCCGCATCACCCGGGCAGTCTGTAGGTACTTGTCTTGTAAGTAGGTGAGCAATCAAGAAGAGGTACATATCCGTACATGCCTGTATAATAAGCACAGCGTCGTACGGGCAAAGATGAACAGCCAGTTTGGTTCTAACGCACTACTTGTACAGTAGGTACTTCTGAATCAGGTATCCCCCCTTCTCTCCCCCCCTCGGTGTTCGTCAGCCAACTTCCAACTCCGTCCTCGTCATATTTTCCCTTTTCACTCAAAAAGAACCTAGCCAGCCCCGAGTACAGAGTACCTGCATAGCCCAGTCAGCGCAGCACAGAAATGAAAGTGGCGGATACTACAACATCGTTTGGACGAGTGGAAACCGGGATTCCTGGGCTCCATCCTGGACGCTCCGTCTCATGGACCACTAGTAGTAGGACGCGGCTCTTGCTTTTCTGTACCTGCATAAGGGCCTCGGATGGAACCTGTTTTCCTGCCGTCTGGCTGCCTGATTGGAGTGATTCGAGGACGCACGGCAGCGGTGTGGGGGTTTTAGGGAGAGAAGCGGGAGAGTTGCGTGTTTCAAGCTCTGCAGGTCGTCTGCAAACGAAATCCCGAGGCTGTGAGTGGCGGAGGAACAAATGCCAGTGTTAATACCTGTTCAGGTCGACATCTACCTAAGGTTTACTTGACTCTAGGTATGTAGTAGAGGTAGGTACATGAGTTTACGCGAGTACGAGTACATGTCAAGGCACTGACAGATGGAGACTCGGTCTAACTGCTGGACTTCTCCTCTTTCGGGCTTCGCACTCGGTCAAGGCAGTAGGTACTAGTACTAGTACTAGCATGGACCTGTCAACCGCCGCCAACAAACAGCTCAACCTCACCGTCGGGTGCTGTCAATCTACTCCAGACCAGCTGTGGACACGCCTAATAATACCTGCTTTAAGATTTGACATTTTCAGGTGGTGCGTTGGCCGGCGCTTCGCTCTTTTCTTTTCTTTTCTTTTCTTATCCTTTCTTTTTGTTTCTTGTTCTTTTGTTTCTTGCTTATCTCAGCAATCCCGCCTTCCCCCCTTGTCTTAGACGCCCGCCCACGAACTCGGAACGCGAATCGAAAAAAAGCCAAGCAATGATTTGCTCGGGAATCCTTCTGTTCGGCCACGTTTCCCGCCGTGGCGGCTGGCGCTAATGTGCAGATCTGAAACGCCAGAATCCTGCGTGTTTTTTTTTTCCTTTCCATCTTTTTTTCCTGTTCTGTTTGTTTGCTTGGGCCGGGATCCGAATGCGCCGAGGAAACAACACTTTTGACCTAAAAGATGTCTACCACTACTAGGTAGATAGATGCATTGGATGCATGCATGCACGCACGCACGCACTACAGGGCCAAGAGAGGCGCGCGCTATTGCTTGTGGCATGCCGATGCACTTGATTTGCTATCGCTCTACGTGATGCCGTCACCTGGTGACATCCATTGGCGCTGCGATTGCGGTTGTATGTGTGTGTGTGTGTGTGTGTGTGTGTGTTGATGAAGCAAGACTAATTGCGTGGCTTGCAGAAAAAGGACGGAAAGCTCTGGGCATCAGCCAGCCATGTTGGCCCCCTACCTCACCCTTGCGCCCATCACAAAACTCTCCTCCTCCTCCCCCTTTTTCTGCCCTTTCAATCTTTTCTTTGCGAAACGCCTTTTTCCTGTCTGTACCTACTGTACAGATATGTAATCATAAGCCACATTCACCCTCCACGGCCAAGATGGGCCTCGCTCCTCCACATCTCCATACTAGATCAAACACCTGTCAATGTCATGTCCAAGGTCCCACAGCTTCGAGAATAGTCTGCATGTCACTCCTCCAGCTTCAACTGAACCTGCTGAAATTACGGATCGCCTGGCAGTAAATCGAAGCCCCAGAAAGAACTCAAGAGAAAAAAAAAAAAAAAAAAAGCCCACGGGTCCATCGTCGGTGGTGATAACCGAATCCTTCCCTTCTCTTCCTTCCCCTCTCCCCCCCCTGGTCTAGTACTCGCTTCCCCCAATTCCCTGCCTCGGCCGAAAGCAGTAGGAGGCGGACCAGGGCAGCCAATCGGCAAGGGCGCAGCGGTCATGCAGCGCCTGGTGCCGTTTCAGACAACGGCCCCCGTCATTCATCCCTGTCCCGTCCCACTGCTGCGGGCAGGGGAAAACTTGCCTTGGTGATGCCAGCAGCAAATAGGAGTAAATTGGGGAGAGTGAGGGGGGAAAATGTTGATAAATTAGGTATGTACTGTCAGACTGTTAACCACTACTAGCATTAGGTGACTAATACTAAGGTAGGTACGATAAGTGAGGAGCTCAATCAATAAGTATCAGCAGGAATTGCCCTTTTGGGCTTGGGTGGCACATATACCATAGTAGGTATTACAACCTGCTACACGCCGTCTCTTTCTCCCTTTCACCTCCAAAGTCATGGTATCACTGCCAATAAACCTCGCAAATGCTCACGCCTCAGTGTTTCCGATATACTACTACATAGTATGCGTAGAGTCCCCCCCCCCTTGGGCCACGAGTGCACGTCGTATCCCACCACCACAACGGGGGCATCCTTGATGACAAAGTCGGACTCGGGGCATCTCGCCTTTTACGTATCCATATGGCCCACAGAGTGGCCCGCGTCTATCTTGTATCTACCCAGTACTCACAGATGTCGAGCTGTGCGTACGACTGATGGCGCTTCAGTGCTAATAGTAGGGAGTTTGGCAATGATTGCTTCCAGGATTACTATCCATGGAGATGCCTGCCTGTCCTGCTGCATACTACCTAAGGTACCTTACCTACCTACCTAGGTAGCAGTGGGCTAATAGTACCTTACTGTAGTAGTACTACTACTAGTACTTTCGCGCCAGGCAATGACACCGGATGCACAGCCGAGAGCTCCTGTCCTGGTGCCTGGCCGTAGCCGCGCCCCCTACCAGGTTGGACGAAAATGTCAGGCTCGGGGCGAAAGAAAACGGGGTAAGCCAGGAACATGACAGGACAGGACACGAACGGGACTGAATGTGACGGGTAACGCAGGTCCCCACTGAGACTCGGTCCAGGCCCAAGTACCTAGGTAGTACTACTGGTCGCTGCCGTACCTAGGGGTTGTCATTTGTTGACCCAATATCAAGGTTTGGGGATGAGAGACAGGAGGCGACGCGGGTTGGTCGAGGGACAGCCTTGGTCTGGGCTTGGGCCACTTAAGGTAAGGTACCAGTAGTAGTAATACATATGGATGATGTGATGATAGGGCGACCTTGGTGGGATGGCGATATGCACGTGCAGAAAGGCTCGAGATTATGGGGGGAGGGGAGGCGGTTAAGCATACATGTATCATTGATGGCTTGAGCATAGCGGCAACTGTAAACGCGCCCACGCATCTCGGGGGGGAGGATGTACATAGGTAGGGTAAGAGTGATAAGAGCTGACTACCTAGGTAAGGTATTCTTGATATCTTACTTGTAGAGTCAATATGGTTCACATTATAAGTAACATCAAGCTAAGGTACTGCCTAGGTAGGTAGAGCAGCAGTGTGACCGAGACAAAAACTCTAAATAAACCATTGTCCACATCCATCATTTCTCTGAGACGCAATCCCAGCCAGTCAATGGCTCTGCCGGCCAAAGTTCACAGCAGCGTTCTATATCTAGGGTGCATCGCACACAGACAGTAACAAATACCTAGACTAGTACAGTCTCGCTATCTTCAAAGCCCACCCACCCAATAACAAGCCAGTCAATCTCGCAGCGAGAGAGAGAGAGAGAGAGAGAGAGAGAGAGGGAGCGAGGGAGGGGTAAAGCCAGCCAGAAAGCGGTGTACAAGAGCCATGCTATACCTTACTGCTCCGTACAACAACCATGTTTTGCAAACCCTCCCCAAACTGGACTCCTCGAGCCGGCAAAAAAAAAAAAAAAAAAAAAAAAACATGTCACATTCGGAAACACGGCTGTCATACCTTCGTTACCAAGGTACACACATTGCACAAGGGGTGCTACCATAATGCCCGTGCCTGTACGAACCAAGTGCAGGAGTAGTAGTACTAATAGCATAGAGTGCCTACATACAACTACTAGTAGGTCCATAGGCTTGATGGGGTCAAAGTGGTCGGGACTGGGTCCGTGAGTCCTGGACCCCCAGCGAACTTCTCATTTTCCTCTTTCTCTCTCTCTCTCTTCCCCTGGTCTTGGAATCAGGTGAGAATGTCACTCCTCGGTGGCGGTTAATGAATCAAATGGATGGATGGATGGATGGATGGATATTACGGGACCACGCACAAGCTCTTTGCTCTTGTTAGCCGCGGGGAGAAGGGGGGGGGATGGGATGGGAGGGGGGAAAGGCGGACTGGCGCCAACAACATTGAAACTGTTCAATCTGCACACCCTGTGCTCTTCCGTGATGAAGGCGTATGGCGAGGCGCCGAACCTCTCTGTATGTGGGAGTAAGGTAGGTATAACAGTCGCTCGGCATGTCGCTAATTGGGAGGGGGGGGCTCTTCTTTGTTGCTGCTGCCTCCCTAGATATGTAGTATCAGCGTCATCACAAACGGAAACGGAGGAGACTAGGCGCGAAGAAGAGAGAGAGAGAGAGAAAGGCGAGAGAATCACTCTTCTTTGTCGGTAATTAACATTATATGATAGCAGCGCCCTGATGAGCGGATCAAGGAGCTAGCTAAGAGTTAGTGAAATGAACAGAAGCACAACCAACAGCTCATCCGAATTGGGACCATGTCATCTTACATGGAGGGGCGTCATCGTCTTTCTCGTTCCCCCCCATGAACAAAGGAGATGCTTTGGAATTGGCGCATTGGGAGACAGTGAGGCTCTTTACTCCTTCAGTAGCAGAAGTGTCACGATGCCATTGATATAATGCCGTGTAGCAAATGGTAGAAGATGAAGATGATGCTTGAGGCCTATTTCGTCTGGACGGTGAGGTGAGCTGCTGCACTCAAGAGACAGCGCCATTCAGGGGTCTGTCCAAGATGAGAGACGTCCGCGTGTCTTCGAGGCATTGTCCTCCTAGCTTGAATCCACGATGCTAGAGATCGGTGATGCATCTTGACGATGTTCCGAGAAGGTATAACCCAAGTCGACTCGGGTCTTGAGACTAGTTCCCTTCCTGGCCATTGAAGTTTCTCCCGAGTATTTGGAAGCGCGGCAGGCTCCCGCTGTCCAGCTTCCAAAACGCCTTAAGAACGCAATGTCATCTAGCTCAAGCTGTGGACTCGTTTCCCCAAAGCCTTGATGCTGGCTTCTCACCAGAACATGACGCTATCTTTGCAATCAATACACTGCTCGCTGCATAGCGGCACTGTCGCATTCATGGGGTGTAACACCTGATAAAGGGCACATTGCTTGCTCACATCATGTCCCACTATATCATCTGTTCTTCATCCCTTAGTTATGTAGGGTAAGCCATCATCACCAGTCGACACTACAGAATGCTCCCAACTTCATCCTCCCTGGGGAAGCAAGTAGACACCTCCAGCTTGCCAGTCGCCGCATCGGCATGAAACGAAAGCACCACGGAAGCTCCATAGCTCAACGGGGTGCCTTCAAACACAACCAAGTCCTTGCTCTTCTCCAGACCCAAGATCGACTCGACATTGGACGTCACAAGACGGACAGTCTCTTCCTGGCTGAGATGCGCATACTTGGCGGCCCATCCGGCCTCGGGACCTAGGTCGTGAATGCGATAGTCGACCGGCATTGCTATGACATGTGAGCTCGAGAGCCTTTTACGCAGTGGAAGCATCCTGAGATCGCGGGGGAAGGGGCGCTTACAGGGTTCATAGATGGCCAAAGCAAATGTGACACCAGCCTCCTTGAGATAGCTGGCTATGCTTCTTGTAAGGGGAGGCCCGACTACTGCGTCCTTGTCACGAAAGGCATCAGGAGCGGGCCGATTCTCTGTTAGAATCACAGAGATGTTGGCAGCAGCCAGCTCTTTGGCAACCTATAGAATACTGTTAGCCTCTCATGATCCCGTCCTGTGATTGCAGCACGCTTCGAATTGTTGTCACACTTACATATGGGGCTTCCTTGCCGCCAAGTATCACAATATTGGTCTCCGGAAAGTCCTCCTTGACAAGCAACAGTTGACCCATGTCGTACTTGTTGTTGCACTGCACGACAAGAGGCAGGCTGCCAGCCGCAACTCGCCCGTACACCGTCTCATTATGCTTGCCCTTCCCATCCTCCAGCATCTTGCGTAGGTTGCGAATGCCGTTGCTGACCGAGCCTTCCGAAGACTTTGTCGCATCGCCAAGATTCAGATGCAGAGCGACATCGCCCTGAACGATACCCCCCTTCGTAAGGCTCTTCTTGCCGCTGGTGAGAAACTCTACGCTGACGCCCTGGACGAAGCCCGACGCGTCTCCCAACGGAGCAGAGATTGCCCTGGTGACGCCTCCCAGACGGGCTCTCGCAAACTCCTTCCCGTCGAGCCACAGTCCGTACTTTGCGTGGACCAAGCTCTCAGGGTCTCCGATTTTCTGGTTCGATGCTTGGCCGTCGCCGGTGCCGTCCAGCGTGGCGATTTCGGTCAAACCCAACGCACGAGTGACCGCAGTCAAACCTGGTAGGACATGACCATTTCGCAGGGACAGGCGAAGAGCCTTCTTTCCCTTGACCTCGAAGTTGCTTACGGCTCCTGCGCACATGGCAGCTGAGCCGAGGCATGAAATCTCGCCATCCTCGACGATTAGCTTGAGAGGCTCATCGTCAACCTGCGCCAACGAGGCTGCTAGCTCTGGATAGTTGTCCACGAAAGCTTTCTGGATGCCGTCTACGATGAAGCTCTGACCTGGCTCGTACGCCTGAGAGCATATCGTTGTTTTCTGCTCGTCTTCAACCTCGTACCGAATCTGTGGCTTGATCACGGGCGGTTCGTTTCCAGTGTGAGCTGCCGTGAACGTCGTGCCCATGCTCTGCTTGACTCGTGACTCATCCAGCTGGGCTTGGCCGTCGATGAAGACCTGTAGGGGCGTTGCGCCATTCGACAGAGGGTGGGAGTCCCATACCACAATGTCTGCGTCAAATCCAGGCCTGCAGTATCCGATCCGGAAATCCAGGTCGATTGCCTTTGCAGGGATGGAAGTGACTGCCTGAAGGGCCTTCTCTTCTGGAAGCTTAAAGGAGTACCCTATCGCGGCCTGAGACGCCAGATACTTGGCACTCGTCATGCCAATGACGTGGTCGGACTTGTAGGCCACGGGAATGCCATTCTTATCGAGTATGTGGCCCGCGTACAGGTTCGGGGAGTATGCCTCCTGTTTGTACAGACTGAACTCTGCAAAAATGGCAACGGTGACGTTGTCTCCCTCCTCCTTGAGCAGGTTTGGCACTTGCCAGGCTTCGGTGGCATGGTGGAATCCGGCAACCCTGTAGCCAAACTCGTGGCTTATCCGAAGCATAGTCTCCAAGTCCTCGGGCTCATAGTTGTGGTTCTGCACAATGACCTGGCCGCGAAGAATGGCAACTGTCGACTCCAGTTCCAGCTGGAACGGAAACTTTCCAGACTGACGAATGAGGCCGGCCTTGTGGTTGTCGTGCCAGGACTGGGCCTTGAGGATGGCCGCACAGTAATCGTCCTGCTTTTCCTTGAGCTCCTTGGCTCTCTGGAGATGTTCTCGCAGGTGCCAGCCGTTGCCTAGACGAGTATAACCCCATACGCTCTTGGGGTTTTCGCCAAACGCAAACTTCATGTACCGCCGCCGATCGCCTGTCGGCACGCCTCTCTCGAGAAGTAGATCCTCAACGACAGGCTCGGAGTGCTCTCCGGAATAGAGCGCGTTCTTGACGGGAACGCCCTCGCCGGCAATGAGGTTGGCCGAGCCTGGAATGATGAGCGAAGACGTAACGCCGCCCGACAGAATCAAGGTGGCGGCTTCATCGTACGGCTTCAGAGCATCAAGCACATGCACCATTGGGGTAAAGGCTTTTGTGTCCGGGTTCATCTCATTGGTGTCGTCGCCCACTTCAGTACCCGGCCACGGCGTAAGGAAGTGATGAGAATGCATGTCCACGAGACCGGGCGTGACATATCGGCCCTGGACGTCCAACTCCACGACGCCATCGCCCTCAATGGCCGTGTTGTCTGCCGTCTTGTGAAAGGCTTCGACGAGACCCTTGGAAAAGACAATGTCCACGGCGTAGGGGAGGAAAGCCTCGCCGTCGAACAGGGTTGCATTCTTCAACACAATTGTCGCAGCCTGGCCGTTGGTCGGCGTCCATCGGGGGTTGCTCCGTCGAAGCCCAGGCTGTGGCCGGCCAGGGATCCTCTCCAGCTCGCGACACTGCACCAGCGCTTCCTCGTAGCGTTGTAGAAGCTGCGGCGACGCGTCGCCATCTTCGTGCCGCCGAGTCCGATACTGGCGATCGACTGCATAGCACAGCCAGAGCACGGATGCTGCGACCACGAAGCTCAGGCCCGTCCTGATCGACACAATGCTCCGCGCAAAGGGCCGGCGATGGGGCGGTCGCCTGGGGTAAGCTGGGACCTCGTACGGCGGAGGCTCTTGCGAGCGCAGCCGCTTCTGCTCCGTTGCCTCGTCCATGCGATGTGATATATGATAGTACGATGTGGTGTTGCTTCCGCCAAAGCTGCAAGGACTGTCGCAGTGCCAGGATCCGAGTCGCAGGTCGCGTCTGCCTGGCTGCACGCCCTGTAAGAGTGTGATGCGCAATCAATCCGAAGCGCCCGCTGTGGTCGAACAGGCGATTTCCCACCTTGTCCGGCCAACGAGACACACAAAACGAATGGCCGCGCCCAGTTGCGACAGGGCCAGAGTGAGACAGGAAACGGTGTGGCTGTTGGAGTCGAGATCAATCAGCGGCCCCCCCTTTCTTAGAGTTGCCGCGTTCTCTCAGCCGGTACTTGAATCCCATGTTGTCTCCTCGCACTCACTCTTGTGCTACCTCCCGTCATACTCGTACAGTACCCCAGCACAAGCCCAGGATGCGTAAGCTCTCGCGCCTCATCTATGACGCCAGCAGCTCATCGCGCACTAGGACTTTTGGTCGGGCGCCCAGGTTGGGGATAGCCGTTGGCGCCCTACAGTACAGTCCATTACTGTACAGACAGGCCATGCTGGACCAGGTCCCATTTCTTCTCAGCCTCTCCAGGGCATTTCCGCTTCCAGTGGCGTTTGGCGGGGGGGCTGGAGGGAAGCGAGCGGTTCTTGTTGTCTCTCTCTCGCCCGCCCTGGCCGTCCTACGCATGTTCGGTTGCCGATTCAGTTGTACGGCCTTGGATGCAGAACCTGACGTGTCGTAAACAGACGCGAGTACCTCGCACTCGGCAAGGTAAGTATCTCATGTACAGTACTAGGTAGTACTCGAATGCAGGCGACCCGTCGTCCCGCGAACGAACCGCAAACTGCAGACTGCAAACCGCTTCTCCTGTCAACCCCCAAAAGAACGTAAAGTGTTTGTAGTAGGTACAAAGCAGCTACTATTACTGTGCCACTGACCGGCCCGTGCCGACGCTTGGCGGCCCTCCATCCAACGGCGAGTCAAAGCGGACAAAGTACCTCGATGGAGGGCTGCGAGCCGAACCGAGCCTTGCTCAGGCACATTAGCCAGAAGATAGCTTGCAATCCACGCATTACACGGCATGAGAAGCCTCGCAGCATCGTCGGGCATAGGTATCTGTATATATACACACAAGGGGCAGGCAGTTTCGTGATTCGTGTTGGACTCGGGCAGGGAGCGCTCCTAATGTGTGACGGCCCTACCACCCTCTACTGCGGTATGATCGTGCTGTAAGATCCGTACGAGGACGGAGTCAAAGGGCAACTTCCAGGGCCCGGGGTACGCATTGCTAGCGAGTACAGGGACTCCATCCTCCGTCCGTCCTCCTCAGCGGTACGAGTCGATAGATACGGAGTCCTCAGTACCCAGTAGCAGGACTCATGTTCGCACAAGGAGCTGGGGTCTGGCAACCGTAGTCTTGAGAAATCAGACGACGCCGCTCCTCGCTATTGGGCATGTCTGTCGCCATTGACGCAATGCAGACAACCGAGACGGCCCCTCGCCTGTTGATTTGACGATCAATTTGCGGCTTGAAGCCACACCGAACATCTAGCACCCTGTCGTGTCCCGTGACGCTGTGTGATGCTTGTTCATGCGTTGCGTTGCAGCGACTCCGCGAGCGGCAAGAGAAGGGCGGGGTCGGAGAAGAGACCGAAATACCTGTACTCGTATGCGACGTTTCTATAGCAGTAGCAGCTTCAACGGAGATGGGTAGCCTCAACGGAAATATCATGCTGTCTATAAACTTCATCGAAGACACCTTGGAAAGTAGATCCTGCTTGGCCCTTATCCAAGCCCTATTCGTGCCCAAAGACTGATATGCTTTGCCAGTAGCAGCAGCATCCATTGCGAGCCAGAAAACTCCAGGTAGAAAGACATAAAAGGAGAGAGGAAGACCAAGAAAAAAGAAAGAAAGAAAGAAAGAAAGAAAGAAAGAAAGAAAGAAAGAAAGACAGGAAGGAAGGAAGGAAGCGCTGTGGCAAAGGCCAATGACCAGAGTCAAACAATCAACAGCCTTGCCAGAAGCCGTTCAGCTCTCATCCCGTCATCGCCTTCTCTCGCCGCTCTCCTCCCAGGAAATGCGCATTAAACCTCGCATACACACAAGGCTCGTCAGACTCTCTCCACCCTGTTCTGTATACATTGTTTCCTGGCCCAAATCAGCTTCGCATCTGCCGTCTCCTTCTATGACCTTGTGATGCTTCGCCATCCTCGTCGTCGTCATTATCCGAACCGTCGTCATTATGCCTGGAGCCTCGTCCTCTGTCGTTCCCTTTCTTGATTGAAATTATACACCCTTGTTCTTTCAGACGCTTAGCCAGACTGCTGCTAGCCACCATACCTGGAAACTCTTTGGCGCTGTAAACCTTGAAAGGCTCGCTCTTCGACTCTGCGAGGATGGGGAAGTGTTTGACAAGCCCGGCACGGCCCGGATCTATCATCATCAAAGTGAATTTGAGGCGAAATGAGCCCGGAGTACGACAGGAAAGGTCGGAGAAGCAAAAGAAGCAGCCCTCTTGCCCGTTTTCATCCTGTCCCACAAATGGCGTTGCGACAAGAGATCCCATCAGCCGCCGCTGATGTTGGTACTCTTCCGGCATGTAGGAGGAGTCACGCTCTCCTGACTCGTCAAAGATGGCGCAGCTCATGACATAGCTCTCGTACCTCAGATACACTCTGATTTCCTCTTGCGTGAAGTTTGGGTTCCTAACCACAAGCTCCACGATCGGGGGCGGATCTATGACTCTTCAGTCTCTGTCACCAAACCCACAAGCTCGTGCCGCATTTGGTTGTTGCCGCATCTTGAGCTCAAAGATGGTGTCATTCAAGTATTGAGCCTTGCTAGAGCCCAGCAGATTGGGAACTCGGATTGACAGAGGCCCTGCGGTTTCCGGAGGATGAGATGGCGGTCGGGCTACGGGCCTTGCCGGCTCGGGCTCAAAGGTCGACTCTGCCATGGGCGTGTCTTGTTCTTGTCTCGCCATATAGGGGGGCGCAATTCCACTTTCAGGATGCTGGTATGGTCGAGGTGGCGGCGTCTGCCGGTTCAAGTGGTTCATGTGGTCCATGCTTGGAGGATACTGTGACAATCGAGGGTCGTTTGCATTATCCGGCCTCCCAGCTGGCGCCGGCGGGAATATCTGCGGCGAGTGGGTTGGGTCTGCGATATGACGGGGCGGATAGTTCTGAGGTGGAGCGGCACCGGCATACGGAATGTGCGAAGGAGACATCAAGGGGGAGGAAATGCCGTGGCCAGTGCTATTGTGAGGGAGATACGGCTGAGAGTGATAATATTGAACAGGATCTTGGGACGGTGGCCGGAACGTGTCTGGTCCGCAGGGAGCTCCTGCCAAGAGGCCTTTTGGAGGAGGCAATCGCTGCATTCTGTAGCCGGGAGTTGTGGAATAGCGATCCATGCCGAAGTTGTCTTGTGTTCGAGGCATATGATCCAGTCTGGCAGAGTTCCTAGGATCCATCTCAGTTGCGAAGCCAGAGGGACCTGTAGAGAAGTCGTGATGCCCTGGAGCGGAAGACATGGTCAGTTTTGCTCTGGGACAAACAACTGGGATTGGAAAGGGTGCAATGGCAGTAGTATATAGGTAAATCCAAGTAGATGGTAGTAGTGCAATGTTGGCAACAAGAGGTGGTAGGCAGCCTTGGTAGTACTAGTATGTATATGAAGGCCAATCAGCGCACCCTGGCTTCGGAGCGGACAGGCAAATCAGCCAATGCCGGTCTGGTCAGAGATCTTCCAGACCCTCCCCCTTCCAGGGCTCAATCGGGAGGAGTTCTTGAACCAGGTAGAGGGGACCGGAAGCTGCATGCCTGCAACCAAGATCGTTGTTGGCGTGGGTGGAGGGGATGATGTGTGCGCTGATGCGGGGCGGCAAGAGGAGTGTGTGTATACAAAGGGTACTGCATAGGTATCAGGGAACCGGACAAGTGCAATACAGTGTTGCTTACTTGGTGGTCGCCGCAAGGAGGTTGAACGCAGGACTGGAGTCGTGGGCGGAACGCGCGGTAGACGGGTACCGTTCCTTCGAACGCTCCCCCCCCCCGGCTTCGAGCGGTCAGAGCAGAGAGTTCAAGTAGGGAAAGAAGGGAGGAAAAGAACGATACATGCGCATACTTACGATACAAGCTGTCGATGCGTCTGCCCGCCCCCTTGTGAGACACAAGACGCACTACCCCCAATGACCGGAACAGAGGCGACCGGTTGTGTGGAGCGCTCCAGGCAGGGAGAGGTCAATGGTTGACAGATGAGTACCAAACAAGGTGAAATTCGAGGCCTTTGCGGGAAACAAGCAACGTCGAGCGTCGAGAATGGACAATGACCTCTTGATGTGCTCAGCTTGGTAAGGCCGTTTGGTATAATAACGTTGGTTGCACCAAAAGAAGTAAGAGAGCAAACAAGTTCAGGGCCGGGCCTGATGACTTGAAAGTGCGAGAGACGGCGAGTGGGACTCGAGAAGGGAACCTTGCTTGCCAGGTATACCAGGCTTTGTTGGTGGCTTCTGCCAGCTCCAGAGAAAGGACAAAGGCAAGGCAAGGCAAGGAGCCCGAGTGGGGGAAGAGGAGTGCAAGAAGAGAGACACGGAAGCGCGAAAATGTTGGCGTGCCAAGAGCCATGGGTAGTAGGATCGGTAGTAGCTGTAGCCGCAGTAGCAGCATTAGGTTGTGAAAGGGCTGGGGAAGCCAAAGAGGATCAGGTTGCAAGACGAGAGACGTTTGATGGCCACTGTCCGTACTCGGAGCAATTCTGCCAGTGCCGTGCAAGTATGGGTACCTGATCACGCATGGGACTCTGGCCGTTCTCTTGCGTGTGCCACATGCCTGTATGAAGTTGTACCGGTAAGGTAGGGAACCAACGCATGAGCACTCCACAGGCACGCCGCAGAAACAATAATGAGGCCACTGCGCAAGCGGCCCAGCCGGGGGTTGTCAATTGGCGCTGGCTAGGGGTGCGCGCAAGTTACAACTGACAGATCTATTTCCCACAGGGCGGAGACGCATCACCCATGTCACAGCATGGTTGATGTGGCGGTGGGTGAATCCGAATCGCTGGGGCCGCGGCGGCTGACAGTATTGCGCATTGATTCTGCTAGTAGTGGGCGAGCTCAGACGATACCTTTGCTCTGTCTTGTGCGTGACGTACCAAGCTCAATCACAAGCATGACCAAGCAACCGCCTTTGCTTCCGTCTCTTATCGTAGGTGGTGCTTTCGAGCAACGAGGGATGTGGCGCCAAAACAATTGTTGGTCACGCAAAGGCTTCTGCTTCTGAAGACGTGGCATCAAGGACGGCGCAACCACTGTGCTCTGCCCAGAATCCAGCCCAGCCATGGTTGCAACGCTGGACCGACATTGGCACATCCAAGTCGCAGCTCAAGGCGCGAAGCAAGGGTGGTCGTTGGTGGCTTCGAGTCCAAATGTCGGCTGATATTACCTAACAGCCAGGCCAATTTCGAAGGAGACCGGGATGCTGGCAATGCCCTGATGTAGGTCTGCACCGTTGTAGGATCAGATCAGATCAGCTCGCCCGCCTCATGCACCCAGAAGATGAAGATGTTTGCTCTCCTTCGGCATTGGTACTGACAGGGTTTCATGGGCGATATGCTATTCTTTGGTCCTCGTGAGAGAGAGTGAAGCTTGTGGCATTGGGCATAAACAGACCCGGCTACTGCCGACCCGGAGCATGGAATGATGATGCGTCTCGGTCCATCGAGATCCAGTCTTTGGGCGGTTGTAAAGAGGCTCGAGTTGGGGGCTGGAGGCGTGCGAGATGCGTCCTGGTCCAACGTGTGCGTGTGTGCCCGAGTAGGAGGACTTTCTAGTCTAGTCATGGGGCGGGCGGCACGGCTGGAGCACAATCTTTCCTTTTTTTTCCCCCTTGGATATGTCTTCCATTGAAGTAACGTACTCCGTATACCTGGGTATCATAGCGCAAGACACTATCCAGCTAGTGCTCCTCCAACCCCAAGTGGCCCGTGCTGCCTTGCCAGCTCTAGCCATTGGGGTCGGCCAAGCTCAAGTACGGAGTATGGGAGCTGGTCAGCCGGCCCGTATGATCGGCGAAACGAGGGAAGAGACGACGGCCGCTCGAAGCTGCTGGTCGATTCCGTAACACTAATACCGCGACCCTGGCCTCGTAGTAGGCGATCTACGGCTGGACCAGGTAGGTAGTGAGGTCTGTACTTGTACGAAGTACGAAGTACGAGAAATGCCACTGAGAGCCAAGGTAGCATCCGCAATGCATTAGCATGCCGAAGGCGCGTCTGGCTGCGCTGTCATAAAGGACACCACTCGCATATCAGGGCCTATAATCCCGCCACCCACCCCAAAATATTAAAGCCACCCTAACTAGCTGTGTTAGGCTAGTATTCTGCCAGACTTCTTAATATAAAAGGTACCTGTCTCTGCATATAAATTACTAGCATTTATAAGTACCCTTTATCTTATATTAGTTTTTTTTTAATGCAACCTAACTATAACACCAGGACTAGCATATATATATTAACACTATATAAATATAAAAAATAAAGGCAATAAAAATGCAAGATATATAAATTAAAGCTTTATTTACTATAAAAAAAAGATATCTTATATATATTATGCCTATAGCTAGGTTATATAAAGTTAATTATAGTCTTATATAGCTAAAGCATAGCTAAATGCCTTTATTAATATGCATTTTATAATATATAGCTTAAGATTATACTATTTTATATAGCATTTAGCTGCTAAATTAAAGGCTAATACTACTAGTAAGAAATAATTTAGTTACTGCTGCTATTAATTAAGCTAAGGGCATTTTAAATTAGTAATTATAATTCTAAAGGTTTAAAAAAACATAGCCTATTTTTATAGCTATAGTTAAGGCAGCTGCAGGCCTTAGCAGGAATTTTATATACCTTAAATCCTAAGTAAATATATTTTATTTTAAGCCTTGCAGCTTTTAAGCGCTAGAATGTTTAATATAGCGGATTTAAAGCTAGTAAAGTAGGCATTTATATAATCCTTATATTATTTTATAATATTATATTATTTCTAAAAGCTTATTAAATTTCTTAATATATAATTAACTAGAGGATTATAGCTAAGCCCTTATTAAAGCTAGCTGGCTATAAGGCTTACTATAAGGCTTAATTTATAGCGCTTTATATATTTTATTATTATTAATAGCATTACCTTACTAGCGCTAGCGCTAGTAGCTTTATAAGATTATTCCTAGGCTTATTTCTTTTTAAAATAATATAAGGATTATAAATATAGCAGTAAGAATCTAAATCTTCTTATTTTTTATTAATAAATAAAATAATAAGGCAGTAAAAAAAATAAGGATAATATATAAAACTAAATAAAAAAAGCCACTAGTTATTAAAAAGCATAATTAGTAATATATTATTTATAATAATAATATAATACTAACTATTACTAAATACCTTAACTATAAGATAGTTATTAATTATATATATATATAGCAGCCTGTATTAAGCTATAAATAACTTTATATAGCTTTATAAGGCATTTTCCTTAAGATTTAGTTATATAGCCTTTACTTTAAGGTATTACTAATAAACTAAGTCTAGTAACCTTTATAACACTTTATAAATAATATTAAAAAAAAGCTTATATTAAAATATATTTTATATTCTTATTACTTTTATAGCTGCCTTTTTTTAAAAGCGCGCTAGTGTTATCTTTTACTGCTTTTTTAAGGCATAAAATAGCTGCTGCAGATTATTATAATATAATTAAAGGAAGGATTTAGTATTAAAATACTAGGCTTTAGCTAGGGAAGTTATAAAATGCCTATAGTTATAGTATTTTTTTATAAATATAATTACCTACTGCTTATAAAAAGAAATATAGGTTTATTAAATATAATATAAAAGCACTAGAATTATTAGTAAATATATTATAAAAGGAAAAGAAATAATCTCTTACTAATATACTTAAAAAATACAGTCTATATTATCTCCTAGGCTATACTAAAGCTAGCTAGTGTTAAAGCATAAAAAAGGCATTACTAAGTAATTAGGAAGTTATTTTTTATCTTTTTATATACTTTTTAGCATATTAATAATATAAAATTTTTATTTATAAGCTATTAAATAGTAAAATACTATAGCTCTAGCTTTTTAAATTTATCCTAGCTAACCTAATACTTATTAATAGCTTTTAGAATATTCTTTAAGATATACTAAATATATAGCTACTTTTATATTATTAAGAAGATTATATTAATAATAAAGCGCTTAGCAGTAGTAAAGTTTATAATTATAACTTTAGGTAATAAGAAGTTTATTAGTAGTAAGTGCTGTTATTTATAAGCAGTTTATAATAACTTTAAATTACCTAAAGCCTATATAAAAAAATTAGTATTTTTTTAATAGCTAAGGGTAAAGGTAATAAAAAAGATAGTGCTAAAGGAAGAAATACTATTTATTTTAAAAAGCTTTATATTATAGCAGTTTATATTATAAGTAGTATTAATTATTATTATATTAAGTAATGCCTCCTATATCTTAAAGTTACAGTCTAGTATAATAAAGATATACTTAATAAACTCCTACTTATTAAGCTGCTCTTTATAAATAATGCTATAATTATTAAGCTCCTTAAGCAAGGCCTAAGTTACTATATACTCTTTAAAATTATACTATATTACCTATAATGCTATATTTTAAATATCTTACTTTATAGCTATAAAATTATTATCTTAGGCTTTTAATATATACTTAATAGCTTTTACTATTAAGCCTATTATATTAAACTCTAGGATAAAAGCAACTTGCCTAAATATAGGCCAGTAATACTTAAGGAAAGAAAAAGGAAGCTAGAGATTATAATTATACTTACCTTAAATAACTTTAATAAGCTAGGCATTATTATCTTACTATATTATTTTAACTAAAAAAAGGCAGCCTGTTTTATATATACTTATTATTTAAAGGCTATAGCCCTTCTTTTTATACACTCTTAAGTATATATAAGCAATATTATAATAATAAGGCTGCCTGTTTTTATAGTTAAATATATATTAGTAGATAATAATATAGCCTTCCTCTTTAATATAGTATTAAATTAAGAGAAAGGCTTTTTTATAATATAAAAAAGGCCTAAGTTAATAAGGTGGCTGCAGTAGTATTATTATTTAAAGCTATTTGCGTTATTATAATAGTATAAATATTAGTGTTAGTATTATAGTAGGCGCGCTATATAAGTCCTAGTATTATAGTTAGGTTATATTAAAAAAAAAATAATATAAGATAGAGGGTACTTATAAATACTAGTAATTTATATATAGAGATAGGTACTTTTTATATTAGAAAGTCTAGCAGAATACTAGCCTAACACAGCTAGTTAGGGTGGCTTTAATATTTTAGGGTGGGTGGCAGGATTATAGGCCGCATATTAGCATTATGACGGGGATTTTCAGTTGGCGCACGCACCTGGTAATTCGCCGTGGTGCAAGTCACTCTCGTTGAGGAAGCGAAGGCGGCGGGGGGGCTGGGCAGACCCTGGAGGTTTCTGGAGGAGGATCCTTGCAACCGTTGGCCTTTTCTGCCCTTTTTCTTTTTTCCTTGAAATTTCGTGGTCATCGTCCTCTTGTTTTCTCGCGTGGGAGGATCGTCTGTCACCTGCAAGTGCTGGGCCGAACGTGACAATCTGTTGAGCGGCGGCAATGCTCCTAGGAGGAGCTGGAAGGCACCACCTTAGGTCGTGACTGTCGCTGCGTTTGGGTACATCATGCGGAATGCAAGAGCGGGCTCCATACCTAGGTAGGTATTGGACTACCGCTGTGCCTGCCGTGGTTGTAGACTTGTAGTGTCTACCAAAGATAAGGCACATGCTTGTACCCTCACCTCGAGTCTACCTTATAGGTACCCAGAGAACCTGAGCACAGCTGCTATCGCATGAGTATACCTAGACATGCTCTTTGTAATGTCTGTGAGTGTGTTCCAAGCAATTGCATAAGGCCTAGTACTCGCTCCTGTACCCAAGCGAAGCGTATTGCAATTGGTATCCATACCACCCTCCAGAGACCGGATATCGCCCATTGGTAGGTAGGCAGGTACCTACATAGGGTTGGCTGGCGCTGGAAGCTTCTGTGTCGCGACTGCCTGCTAGAGGCTCGGTGCCACGTTTGGACTAATGCTTGGGTGCCTTGGTAGGTACCTAGGTACCAAGAGGTAGGGCAGGCAGGGCCGTGATCTTGTCGAGGGCGGATACCTGCAATCAGGAAGGAACGGCGCCTGTGGTTCGTACGGAGGGGGTACGAACTTGGCCAGGAACATCCTCTCAATAATGTGTACCTTGATCCGGAGCCAAATGGGTTA